TAATTATAAAATCTTATACCTTTTAAACTTAAACCCTTAATATAAACTTTAACCTTTTATATTTTAGCTAAAACCTTTTTAATACTTTATTATATATAAGGATAATCTTATAATTATTAATATTATTAATAATTATTATTTTAAAATTAACTTTATTATTATTATTATCTTTTATTGCTATTTATAAATAATAATATTAAAATTAATTTTTATTAAATTTATTTATAATTTATTAACTTTTTTTATAATTAAAGAATAAATTAATAATTATTATATAATACTTATAATTACTTATAAAGTCTTATATTATAAATATTTATTTTAATTATTAAATTCTTATAAAAATCTTTTTCTTTTTATTATAATAAAAAATATTAATAATAATTTATAAAAGTTATTTAATATTTTTATTAATATACCTTATAAAGATAATAATAATAAGCGGAATTATTTAATAAATATTATATTTATTACTTATATTAAAGATATACTTAATATAACCATTATTATAATTATTATTAATATAATTAATATTAAAGGTAGCCTTATTATAATTCTTAAATAAAATTAAGATTTCCTTATAAATATTATAATTATAATTTTAATTAATAAGATAAATATTATAATTATAATCTTAATTAATAAAATAAATATTATAATTATAATCTTAATAAGTAATAAGATAAAAATTAAAATTATTATTAAGGTTATAAAAAAGGCTAAAATTACCTTAATTAATAAAGATAAAGATAAGTTTATTAATTTTATTAATTCTTATAATAAGGTTATTGCTAATAATGTTTATTTAATAAATATTAATAAAGATATTAATAATAATAACTTTTATTTACTTACTTATTTAATAAATATTAATAAAAATATTAATAATAATAACTCTTATTTACTTAATATTAATAATAATTTAATTATTATTAATAATAAAGATAATTAAAATTAAGTTAATAAAATCTTAATAAAGATTATAAAAATTACCTTTAATTTTACTTTTATGCTAAGTATTAAAAAAAGCAAGCTGCTTATTAAAATTAACTTTTATAAAATTATTAAAATTAATAAGCTAAAGATTATAATTATAGCTTAAGTTAAAATACTTTTTTTAAATAATGCTATTATAATAATTATTATTTAAATTATTAATAACTTTTAATATTAAAATAAGTAAATATTTTTTAATAATATAATTAAAAAGCTATATATTTATATTAAAAATATTAAAACTTTTAATATAAAATTATATAATATTCTTAATAATAAGAATTATTAAGATAATTATTATTTTAAATGCTAAATTATTATAATCTTTATAATAAATAACTTAATAAGAATTTTAATTTTAAGTATTTTTTATATATATTAAATTAAAAAGATTTAATTATTAAAGGATTAAATTATTATATTAACTTAAATTTAAAACTTTTTATATTAAATTATTAATAAGTATATATAAGGCTTATATATAAAGAGATTTATTAAAAAATATATATTATTATTTAAGTAATTTAAATAAAAAATAATTATTAAAGAAATTAAAAAAAATAATAAAAAGTAAAAAAAGAACTTAATAAATAATTAAACTGCTTATAATGCTTAATTTTAAAAAAATAAAAAGTAATTAAAAAAAATTAATTTAAAATAATATTAAGTATATTTTAATAATAAAAATAAAAATAAAGATAATAATATTTATATTATAAAGATATATAATAAAAATAAATATAAGTTAAAGAATTTAATATTAACTTTATAAATATTAATTTCTCTTATAAAAAAGAAATTTAAAATTAAGGCTTTTATATAAAAGTTAATAATTTTTATAAAAAAATAACTTTAAAAATTAAGTATTAAGAATAATAAATATAATATTTAAAAAATAATATAATAATAAAAATTATAAGTTTAAAAAATAATATAATAATAAAAATTATTAAAATTTGCTTTAAAACTTATAAATTATAATTTTAAGCTTTTTTAATAATGCTTTTTTATAATAAAGATTATATATATATAATATATAATAAATTATAATTTTAAATTAATTATAATAAAAATTATATATATTTATTAAAAAAAGAGAAAAACTATAAGTATTAGTAAGTATAACCCCTATACTTAAAAGGCTACTTTAGTTATCTCCTCCAGGGCACATAGCCTCTTAAAACTTAAACAGAACAACACCAATACACGATTGCTTTCCATATGACTATCGTACATACGAGAGACCTACCAACAGTGGCAAGCTGTGATGGCTTCCCCATAGGTACCCAGCGGTGCAGGAGATGGAGGGAAGCAAGAATTGCCAGGATTATTGCACCAACCGGCATCAAATGCTATGGGCGTAGTCATTGAATGCGTCGCCACGACGCAAGTACGTATTTATCATCACTCCCTGAAAATAATCCCTCGGTTTAAGCTGAGGGTAATCTCCCATATGCAGGGGAAACAACTTGAAGGTACACGGATAAAAGCTCGGCAGCAAGCCGTGACCGGGCCTGTTGGGTGACTTGATTTCCACTGCAACACAAGCTCTAGACCATTTCGGCTCGATCTGAAGTCATTGTGGATCAATCGCTGGCCTTTGGCGACTGTGGCCTACTGTTGCGCCAACGGATTGTCCGCAACATATTACCCTCCTTTCCGTAGCCTCGGTTCGCCCCGGTCTCGTCCCCACAAGCCAAGGTCGCAACGAAGAAACATTTCCATCCTAAATCCCGGCGCTTTGAAGACTCGCAGAGCAGGCCCGACAAATCGCGCGATGGTCGCATGGGAAGATCAATTGGCTCTGCAGCCACGTCTACTAGTACTAGTACTCTATGTGGAAACAGCATCACCAGACCGTTGCCACTCAAACGCTTGACTTTCCCATATCTGCCTCCGTGCTACAGTCTGCCATATGCAATTCGAGATTCGCCCTATAATGAGACATTAGACTGAGACTGAGATATGTAGATGAGAATTAATCACCGCTTTTGATTCTGGCGCAATGTGTGGTGGAGATCGGGCTAGAATCAACCCTGCTTCACACTGGTATGCCCGCGATATGTGTCTGTTGGTTGGTGGCGGAGTAAGCCCCTCAGGCCCTGATAACGTCTTCCCAGGGCAATTCGGGACCAGTGCTGGATGTATCTCCCCCTTCAGTCTGTTGGTCCGAATGCAAATCCCGTGCCGCAAGTGGGACCCATATAAGCTGGTACGGTTAACTCGGGTTCAACACCTCTCTTGGTTACATGGAAGGCATTGATGTGACATGTCGTTGGTTCCCACTCAACCTGAAAACTCAGGGCTCCTGCGGGGATATTTGCGAAACTTGAAGATCCCTGGGATGAACTGCGACCAGCCCCACCATGCCTCGTCGCTTTGAAGTAAAGTCCAACGGCAAATCTGCCTGAGAAAGCGACTCAGACCAATGGCGACTGTAAGGACCAATTGCAATCGCCAGGAACGCCGGTGCATGCTGACCTAGCTTATATGCTTGAATAACGTCCACAACTCAGACTCATTTCTTGGGTGCAATATAAAGAGGCAACTTTCTTGGGGTGTGGTGGATTTGTGACATGGCAGGCTGTGATCTATACAGGTACAACGAGTATGCGGGCGCCCAGATGACAAATGCTATGCGTTACTTATGTTTGCCACCTGGGAAGTTCTCATCTACTGTTTCCACTGTTCAAAGTTGAGGGAAAGCGCGAAGGAGGAAGGGGGGTATCGTGCTCAAGTGGTACAACACTGTGATGCTTGGCCCAGGGCCACAAATTAATAACTGTCAGTGATATTTCTGTTTGTTTCCACCTACCTTAATCTGTGTGTGAACAACTTGCAGCATCCTTGGGGGTTGTGGAGCCATCGGTCGTCATTTCTGACACCTCGAGGCGAATCTTTTCATCATATGCAGTTGTATACCGACGTTGAAAAAGTTCATCCAGCGGTTCATTCCTGGGCCGCTTGATTCAGGCATCTGTGATGAAACCGCAGTGTCTAAATCCAGCAAGAGAAGCACGTATCGCCAGTGCGAGGGGAGCATCGAGATGCACACATTCACAGGGCACCAGGCTCGGAACTCGAAGACACATCCAGTCATGGAAGAAACTATGGATACCGCTGCTGAAAGTGTACACGGAGATGACCACAGTGATCGGGCTATACTTGAGACGAAGGTCTCTACCTAGGTTCTGCGACATGACCATGATGTGGACGATATCGGGCTGGTCAACTCGCGCAAGGATTGACATTACAACGTGCCTTGCAAAAATGCATACATCAACACCGTGAAGTGGCGAGTACCAGTACTAGACGATGAGCATAAAACAAAGTTTGAACTTTTCATCGAGAATAGAACTTTAATGAAACTGTGCCTAATCACTGTCACTCCGTATCATCTATCGCTGCCACTAGAGCACCTCTCAAGGCTAGGGAAAGTCATGTGACGGTACGGCACTTATATACTGCTGTGGTGTTTCCAATTGTGATTGGAATTTACTGGTCTTTTGGCCAAGTGGTCTATTCGCTAGCAGTGATAGATTCGTCTCAAGTCATAGATCAATTTCCTACCGAATTTGCAACTGGAAGCGGTGGTATGAAACCAGGTCTCAGATATGTTCTTCAAAAATACAAGCGTCCTACTTGTGTGTTACGCTAGACTCTGAAATTCGTAAGTGTCACATTTATTTATCTTGGAGAGCCATGTTCTCATATTGGAGAAGTTCACATCCTGGGTACGGCGACATCAGGATGCTTCGAATGATGTCTGTCTGCACATGAAACACAGTCCTGTAACAAAGCGGCAAGGATTCGATAACGCTCACTTCATAGTCCGCAATAGACCAGGGACATGATAGCGGCCGTATCTAAATAAAAGTTCTTTGATCTCAACAAGCCTATCAAATTTCCATTGGCCAGCAAGGTGTTGGCGTCAACTCCTATAGATGCTCTCACCCAAAAATATCGCTACCCCAAAATAGCAAGGTCGCACACACAGTGCCTGGTCAGAACCGACTTGAGTATCCACGTGCTGATGGCGTGGGAGGCCGCTTCCGCCCAGTGCTCGAATGCGAAGTTGCACGAAAGCTAGGCAGGTTCTCAAGCTCCGTGTCACTTCCTCCTCGGCTGCCGTCCTGCTTGTGATTGCCGCGAGCTCGAGCAAGGGCAGCCGCATCAATCTCGTCCAGAGAAGTCGGGTTCATCTCCCAGGTACAAAGACTCGCGACAACCTCGGCAACAGCGACCCAGAACATGACCCAGACCATGCTCTGGAAAGACGCCGAGAACACTTCCTTTACGTCTCTTACGACTCCGGCGTCTTTCTCAGGCATGTCCATCAGCGCCATGGGGGAGCGGTGGAGGGCGTCCTTTTGCTGGGGTGAGAGCTTGGCTTCGAGAGACTCGAGACGAATGTTGAAGATTACATTGCAGATTACCAGGCCCAAGGCTCCACCGAGGACCCTGACTTGAGCCATTACTCCTTGGGCCACGGCGTGGTCTCTGCCGGAAGCCTGAATCTTGGTGAGAATGGTAGCGGAGGAAAAGGTCAGGCCTACGCCGAGACCAAAAATTGCTTGATAGCCGAATTGCGGGTTCGTAGGCGACGACGGAGCATCAAAGGTAGTCAAGAGCCCAAGTCCGATGACCTGGAGGCATGACGCCGCTACAAGGGTTCGTGAGGTGTTGTTCTTGCTCTTCGACAAAGCTCCGGCGATGATGGAGCCCAGAGAAGTGGCCCCGAGCATAGGGATCAGGTGGACGCCTGCCATCAGCGCCGAGTCTTCATTGACAATCTGGAAACGCTCTGGAAGGGTGATGACTATTGCCAGATAGCAGTATCCCGAAAGGAACATTGCACTGAGGGATTTTGATCAGTCATTCGTCTTGTGGAACAAGGAAATGGAAGTCTAAAGAAGAGGGCAGTGACACAGCACTTACACAACGGCGGACATGTATACACGATTGTACACTAGTCGAACTGGGAAGACCGGCTCGATATGCATTGGGAGATGCTTGATAATGAGCTGCCAGCCCCAGAATAAGGCCCAGCAAACAACCGACACCACAAATGTGGCGATGAATTCGACACTCGTCCACGCAAATATCATCGTCCCGGCTTGCTGCAAGCTAAAGACCATGAGCACACAGGCAGCGAGGATGAAGATGTTGCCAATGAAGTCAATCCTCCAGAACTCGCGCCAAGGATGGATAGGTTTGCCAAAGTCCTGTGGCCAGAGGACGACGAGACCAAACATGCAGGTGAAGCCAGCAGGAATACTAAAAGCGAGTCAGTATCCGGGCACAGCCGTGTTCCCCTTCCGGTGCCTTACTTCATGTAGAATATCCACCGCCAGTTGCCTCCAGAAATGGCACCGCCGAGAAGAGGGCCCAGGACGAATGAAGTGGCGAGCGTGATTCCGATGAGCATGCCGATCAATGCATTTTTACCGTGGGGGGCAATCTCTGCAAGGGATATCTGGGATAGACTGTAAAGGCCTGAGCCTCCGACCCCCTGTAGGGCTCGGAAGATGATGCTGTGGAAAGTGTGTGGTTAGCTGAAGAACCGCCCCGACGACTGCCGGCCTAGATAGAGAGAACCTACAGCTGCGGCATATCCGTAGCTAGACCGCATCCAAGTGAACAGCTCGAGAATATGAGCCAGGAGAATAGGAAGATCGGGAGACGGCCAAAATGGTCGGCGAGTTTGGCGAACCCTATTGCGCAGCCTAAGGAGTCGTGGTTAGTTCGCATCTTTACCGGGTTTAGGCTACAGAGCGATTACCCAGGTATGAGAGCAGGTATGCCAGCACTACCCAGTACATGTCCTGAAAATTCTGGAGATCTGTGGCAATCGTGATAAGGGCCGTAGAGACGATCGTGGTATCTATCACAGAAAACAAGAGACCGCCGAGCATGCTGATACCCAATCAGTTCTTCGTCTGGAGAACACAAACGGTGCCTGTTTGACTGTGCTTACAACATGATGATAAACCCCAGACGTGCGCCATTCACCTGCGGTGGCGGAGGTGGGAGGCAGTCCTCAAGGGAGTCCTTGAGTGGAGTAGTCATTGTATTTTGATCTCTCGTGTTCATTGAGCCCATGGACAGGTCGCTGTTTGATGGTGGCAGATACACGTCATACGTCGACTCTGGTAATTGACGCCTGTAGGAACTCTGAGGAGAAAATACAGGCCGCGGTTGCGTTGTATGCAGGCCAACTTTGGAATGCCAAGAAGACGTTGAGGTGGTTGGTGGTAGTGGGGGTGAAGTTGAGTGGTGTGCCTCAGAGTAAAGGTTGTCTTTGGAAGAGATCGAGGTGTAAGGTCGCTTGTGGACCCACTTCCTATTCACCAATACCTGGTCATTGTGACCTTCCATTGAAGCCATCGCTGTTGGGTTCTTCTCCAAATCACTGGCGTTGAGAAATCATTGGGTCGTTTGAGGCAGGAAGCAAACAACATTCACTTGATGCTGTTCGAAGTCCTCGATGTGAAGGGCCAGGGGCTTATATCTCCGCGCCACGAGACGTCCAAATTTACCACTACCCAGAGAGCTGGGACGTCAATCAATTAATGATGCGCTCGCTTAATCTTCCAGAATGCAACCGAAGACAGCACCTGCGCAGAGCTTCATGACCTCTCAGCTGTCTTTGGTCCGAGGCGAGGTGCCAATCTCGTCCAACCTCTTTTAAGATGGGTCAGGAAGTACAGACAGGAGGAAGATCCGAGGAGAGGCTGCAGGTGCCCAGGCAAGGCCCAGGTCTGGGAGAGTTCCAACCTTATTGAACTCAATACGTATGTGCATGGGTAATATGCTTCTAACAGCGCCACCAGACGGCAGCCAAAAGTTGACGGATATCGTGCAACGTGACACAGATTCTGTGCCTGAACACAGCGGTCGAGTGGCGGAGAATCCCATGCCAAGTGTCTCAATGAGGTCACATGGAACTGAATCTGCTCATAGCAAGCCAGCCATCCACCGTACACAGTCGACTGCTCGACCGTTCCCCTGTCTATCATTCCATCGACCACACGTGAAAGCTGCGGCCTCGTGTGATGACACGAACCAGTGGCCGAGCAGCAGCCGAGTCAGTGTTTCGCAAACCCGTCGTCCGAGTCTCTTCGAAAGACCGTTGAGCGGCCGAATCGAATCCGAACGCTTCTGAAAACAGCGTGAGTCACTTGGGAGGATCAAGGAGCGCGAAAGCTCTGCTCGTGCCACAAACCAAGACCAGAAGCGCAGTTTCTGGGCGTTCACTTCAGCTGGGTAGTCGACGCCGTCCAGCCCGAGACAGGCTCAAGCAGAAACATACACAGTCCGCAGGGTACCCGCTATTCTGAGCCGACGAGGCGAAGACCGGGTATCCAATGAGCCAGCGGGCTTACAACTGCAGTTAAGGCCGTACTTGTGACTCGATCCAGTTTTTCCCAGTTTGTTGAGGTGGCACCAGGCGACACGGACAAACACTTGATCGATATACAGACAGGCATGCGGATGAGGCTAGTCGGCCTGCTAATCTGGGTCGCTAAGGGCGACCAATGCAGGACTCCGTCCTGTGTGACCTTCCTGCCAGACACTTCTGGCGGTGCGAGCAAGACACGGCTGGGCTTGAAATGGGCTTGAACTACAGGATCGGTGGCCCTCCCCCATATGCAGTACACCTGTTGGCTGCTGCAAGAGTCATCTCAGATGCTGTCGTCTATTTCCTCCTCCCAATTCCTCGGATACTACAGGCCAGAGCAAGAATGGAGAGTACTACGAGATCAGGAGGGCGGCCTGAACGCCATGGAGAAGCCTCGGCTGCTCGGCTGTTCCCTAGCGCAACCCAGTTGAGTGTCTTGCAGTGGTGTGTGTAACAGAACGTCAAGACTCAAGACTTTCGCCCGTGTGGCCAAGTCGCGAGTGCGAGGGGGTAATAAGTCGTCCCGTCCGCCTGCTCACCGCACCTTGTCGCCACAGCCGACTGTTGAGACTTGCAAGCCCAAGCGACCCCAGTGGTGGTCAGCAATTGTCTCGTGGGCGAGACAGTGCTCGTAATCGCTTTGGGATCCTGATCCACTTGGACAGCATCGTGCCATCAGGGCCATTGGGACTTGCAGTGACGTCCAATGCACGATCGATCCACAAGGACATTGCGCAGCCTTCATCATCCAGGGCATAGCGACTGAGATTGGTAAGCTGCTACCAATGGGCTGGTCGAGTCCGCAGGTGCGCCTGCCTGGGCGTACTCGATTCGGGTTCACCCATCCTGCCAGGAAAGCGGGCCGTGGGCTGTCGTTACACCCGTGGACGTAGGCGCTGCGGCGGCTGGCTGGCTGGCCGCCATACGGCGTACCATGTTGACAACGGCCGCTGCCGTCCTTGGCAAGTGAGGCTATAGAGGATGTGCACGATCGCCGATGTCCGGACTGTGGTAGTGTGCTTGATAATTGCCGAAATATTGCCAATGTGACTACGTAGTGAGTAGCAAACGGTTTCTGACACGACCTGGAGCTTCAAACGAGTCGACACAGAATCATACGTGGGTTTTTCGTTGCAGTTTCCAGGGCTGTACGTAGGGAACCAATGACTGCAAAGTCAAGACGAAATGAATGAGGCTTTTCGCTTTGGTTTGAGTTTAGCATCAATTGATGGTCTCTTTCCCTATTATTTGGCTCCAACGGCGAGGGATTGTTGCGAAAGACGGACTTCTAAGTTGATACTAGCATCTCAACATCGGCAAATGGACTCTCGGGAAGGCGCTTCCCGGCCAAGCAGCCCCAAGCTCCTCCGAATACACTCTGTACCTGTACCTGCTTGCTTGTCCAAAAACTCGCATTGCATCTGAGAGAGGTCTGTCGAATTTCCTTTCGATGTTTTGTTTTTTTCACAACTGGTCTCACCCTAGGATCCGGTCCAATGCTTCATCGCAGGCCCACGCCAGCCCTGCAAGAGGAGAAAGGATTTGACTGACCCCCAAGGTTGGCAAGTCCTGTCCAAACCATGCGCCTTCCATGGCCGTCGCACCAGCAGCACGTCAATGCTCGTCTCGATGTCGCCTCGGAGCCGCATCTCGAGCACTTGAACGCCCTTTGATCCGCTCGTCGTCGGCATTTCCCTGTTCCTCCCCGAAACCCGCGCGGCCGCTCTGACTGTCTGATACGGTGGCACGGCATCATATTCTCCCTGCGGAAAAGCACGGGAGTCTTTTGGCACCCCCAAAGAGGGCGACTGTCCCACACAGATGGTCAGACAGGGCACGCTGCCACTGTGTCTGCTGGGTCGACGCTGACACTAGGCCCAGGGGGTGGATGAAGAACAGAACTGCGGCTGCTTGCAGGATCTTGCACATCGATTGCGTCTGTCAGTTGTCAGGTTTCGCACCAGCGTACCAATCCGTTCGGATACAACGGCCGGGGCACGACGACTTCTGTCCCAAACGTCTGCTGCTGTATCTACTTCGTACTCTTCCTTGCCCTCCCGTCTTCCGGATGACACTGTCTTGTTTCCTTGGATCTTCAAAATGGTCCTTTTGAAGCGCTACGTCACGATATGGTCGCTCACCGCCGTCATGGCCGCCCCTGGTTTTGCAGTCGCCCGGTTCTCATCTGCAAGGATCCGTTCTGAGCGGCTCCGAGGAATGGTCGACTCATTTACCCGACTTTGCTGGAGACTTCCGATCCACGGGCAACGAGGTTTCATCCATCGTGCCCATCGGGCCCCAAACATGGAGCGACATCTCCCCTTTCCTGCATGTGCACAGTTACTTGCACCGCAGCGAGCTCCTAGTCACCCAAAACTGGCAGAACCGCGTCCGTTTTCAACAATACAGCCACTCTGGCTCAGCCCACGGTCACGAACGTCACCTGAGAGAGCTTGAATGACCCTGTTACCGGGGCTATCGGTTATTAGTCGCCCTCTGAGCCGTTCGGACACGTCATCCGAGGACATCGTGGCAACACTTCCGCGTTAATTTGGCAAGCACGCTCTTGACCAAACGCAACGCGATGCTCCATGTTATTGGTCGAAGTATTGATTCTTCTCTGCCAAGAAAAGACCTATTGGAATGCAAGGGGTACGTTTGGGCGCCATTACTGCCCAAAATGTCTGCTCTTGGGGAGCTACTCGCACATTGCCAGCTTGGGTCCGGCTCTTTCCCCCACAAACTGTTGTTTACCCGACGAGACGGTGCATTGGTTTTTCAGGGCTAATGTTTCTCATGATTCAGGTGACATCTGTCAGCTGAGGCTTAGTGCTGACCGGCGCCCTCTCAGCTCAGTAACCTGAGGATCAGGGGAATATCTGCGACTGGGGGCTGGGCCACAGTAGCCAAGAGACTATGATGTCCAAGGAGGCAGGTTTTGGAAGAGATACACTGTCTGTCATCCTCCCCACAGCCAACGGGCACTCCGTCTCATGTCGAAGACGCGGTGCGGCGACACGAAATGTGTTCTGGAGCCCGAGGAAGCAACCTCATAGTTGAGCATGGCATCTGTCTGACGAAATATAGGTAAGAGGTATGGTCGGATCTCCTACTTGAGGTTTTTCTCTAACTTTCCTATTCTGTCATATTCTCCTGGTCTCCGATCCCTGTCATTTGTCGTATGTGCGAGCCGTCTTTTGTCCCGCGGAAGTACTGCATCTCGCAGCTCGGCCCGCCCCTTGTGGCTCTTCATATCCTGCCCCGATCCGTTGGTTTTTCATGGCAATGCATGCGTCTAATGCATGCGAGCTGTTAGAGCTTCCGGGAGATGAACTGAGAAGGAGTCGATTGGATGGTCTGATGAATTATTTTCTCGAACAAGGTGTTGGGAAATTTCCGCTGTGGCCATCTTTGGAACAACGTCTCCTTTTTGCAGGATCTCTCCTTTTTGCACACTTGTCTAATGAGACTCGTGCTACCAATCGGTCCGATCCTTCTCTGCATTTAACTCTTGTATCCGTCTCATCATTGGTGGTCATCGTCCAAGTTTAGAGTCGAAGAGGGATGAGCTATGTGTCACCAATAGCATTAGGAGGGAAACAATGAGCCTCATCGACTCGGAGGCAACAAGACTCGGAGCTGTCTAGGTACTCGGGCAGGCTCAATCACTATTATCGCCACTTTCACCCACGAGGGTCTATGATAAGGGGTGAATGCTGCCTCGGAACCTTGCCATCTGAGGCTCGGGAGTACCGGAATCCGCAGAGACCTCATTCACTTCACCAATTCACCTGCCGCCAGGAAACATCAACGACATCAACAGAGCCAGTGAACTGCATTCAAAACATCGGGGTTAAAATCCCCCACCACCACTCGACGCCTTGTCCAGAAACGTCTCTCTTTAACTTATCTCCTGGAAGCAACAACTGATACATCACTATTGGGACTTGACAGCTCAACCGCCCCTTGTTGTCCGTCCGTGCAATTCCTTCAATCGCTCCATCAACCTCAGGTCTCCCGAGCTGTGAACCATCTTGGATCACATCTTGGGTAGAGCCGCCCCTTTGCGCGGCTTTGAAACGGGCCTACAGCTTCATTAAGTGTCTCTCTCGCCCTCACAAACACACCCCCTCCCCCCACCCGCGACCGAGACAGGCCCCTCCTTTCGCCTTTCAATCAGCACAGACTTGTTTCATCAAGGAACAATGGGTGAAGCGCTCATACCAGACGACGATGCCGTCGTACCTGTCGCAATCGTCGGCCAGGCTTGCCGCTTCCCTGGAGAAGGCGCGAATATCGAGTCGCTCTTTGACATGCTTAAGAAAGGCGGCGATGCCTGGTCAGAATTCCCTAGCGATCGTCTCAATATTGACGGCTTCTATCACCCGAGCGGCCAACGTCAGGGCTCCATTGGCTTCAAAGGAGCTCACTTTCTCGAGGGTGACATCAAATCCTTTGATGCTACGGTATGCAGCGGACATTTACATACACTCGTTGACACTAAGAAGCAGCAACTAATTAGCTACGAATCAGTTCTTCAACATTTCTCAGGCCGAGGCACATGCTATCGACCCGCAGCAGCGCATCTTGCTAGAGGTCACGTATCAGGCACTCGAGAATGGTAACTAAGTCCATATCATCGCATGAACTACCTTTCCGCTAACTGTACACACAGCCGGCTACTCCAAGGAGTCGCTTGACCTTAGTGAGACTTCAGTCAACGTGGGAACATTTGTGAAAGGTAAGTCAAAAATAATAGCTGTCTCCCATCAAACAAGCCCAGAAGCCAACTCTTTAATCCGCAGACTACGAGCAAGTCATCCTACGAGACGCGGACTGGGCGCCTCAGTATGCGGCAACCGGGACCGGTGCGGCGTTGCTTTCCAACCGCATCTCGTACCAGTTTAACCTTCGAGGGCCCAGCCAGACCGTGGATACAGGATGCAGCGCAGGTCTCGTTGCCGTGCACAACGGCTGTCAGGACCTCCGTACCGGGCGATCTGATATCGCTATCGCTGCGGGTGTTGGATTGATCTTGACCCCTGCCACCATGATGCCCATGACAGCGCTGAACTTCCTAGGAAAGAGCGGGAAGTGCTTCACATTCACGAACAAGGCTGAGGGCTACGGCCGCGGTGAGGGCGTCGGCGTGGTCATATTGAAGCGACTCGATGATGCGATACGCGACAACGACACCATCCGCGCTGTCATCCGCGGATCTCGCGTCAACCAGGACGGCAGGACCCCAGGCATCACCATGCCGAGCTCCGACGCACAGCTGTCCAACATCGAGGCGGTGTACAGGGAGGCTGGACTGGGCGTTGACCAGACTGCCTATGTTGAATGCCACGGCACTGGGACGCCCGCGGGCGACCCTAAAGAGTGCTTCGCCGTGTCTCGGGCGTTTTGTGGCAGTCGCGATGCCAACAAGCCCATTCTCATCGGCTCGATCAAGCCCAACGTGGGCCATCTGGAGGGAGCGGCGGGCATAGCTGGTCTGATCAAGACAGTACTAGCTGTTGAGCGTGGTCAGATACCAAAGAACTTGTATTTCGATCCCTCAATTGGAAACCCGGAGATCAAATTCGACGAGTGGAAGATCAAGGTATGTCTTTCATCAAATGCTGTGGCCATCCACAGAGGTGGCGATGGGTCGTCTTGCGTGTGTCGTTGTGGACGCGGCCCCTGGTTATGTAATACAAGGCAGGCTGACCTCTTCTGTCTGACCCTCAGGTCCCAACTTCACTCACCGACTGGCCGAGGGACGGTCTTCGTCGTGCAAGTGTCAATTGCTTTGGCTTCGGAGGCACAAATGCCCACGTTATCCTCGACGATGCAGGCTCGTACCTCGCAGCACGGTCCTTGTCAAGCAACCACCGTTCTCTTCCCACCACGGTTTCGGCTGCTCTTGCCAATAGACAGAAGACTTTTGCTTCCACCCAGCTGATCCTCGTCTCATCCCATGAGAGAGATGGCATCGCTAGAATTGCTTCAAGGCATGTGCCTTACATCGCAGAGCACGCCTCGGAACCTGACTTGCTGGCAAACTACGCTTACACGATGTCGCGCCGTTCGGCTCTTGAGTTCAAGGCCTGTTTCATTGCACGGTCTGCGTCTGACCTCGAGGAACAGCTCGCCGCACCAGATCGCCTCAATATTCAACGCTTTCTGAGTTCTGACGATGCAGCTCCTACTCTGGCGATGGTCTTCTGTGGCCAAGGCGCTCAATGGTGGGCCATGGGCCGCGAGCTGATGGACTTCGAGCCCTTCAGTAGCAGCCTCGTCGGGGCCTCCAAGTATCTGTCCAAGATCGTGGCTAGTGATTTCGATCTTCTGCAGGAGCTGATGCACGATGTACCTTCCCTGAGTCGCATTAACGAGCCAAGAATCGCACAGCCAGCGACCACGGCGGTTCAGATTGCTCTCGTTGGCTTGCTCAAGGCCACCGGTATTCTGCCCTCGGCAGTAGTCGGTCATTCATCTGGCGAGATTGCGGCCGCATATGCTGCTGGATTCTTGACCAGAGAGGACGCCTGGCTCATCGCTTTTCGCCGCGGCGAGTACGCAGGCTCACTCCAACACTCACACCCGGATGTCAAGGGGCTGATGATGGCCGTCGGTCTGTCCGCTTTGCACGTACAGGAGTACATCCGCCGAGTCCCTCCTGGCACTGTCGTTGTTGCTTGCGAGAACAGCCCGGTATCTGTCACACTCTCCGGTGATGAGGCGCACATTCTCTACCTCGCCCAGGAGATGGATGAGGACGGCGTCTTTCACCGACTACTGGACGTCTCGACAGCCTATCACTCCTACCACATGCAGTTGATCGCGCAGACCTACCAGCAGTCTCTGGATGAAGTAAGGCCTGTCAGCACCGCGCAAGGTCCACGAATGTTCTCATCCGTTACTGGTGAAGAGATCTTTGCTTCGCAAGTCGGCGCTGAGTACTGGACCAAGAATCTGACGTCATCTGTACTCTTCAACCAGGCTTTCTTCAACATGTACCAAGCTGTCAAGCCGAAGCTTGTGCTCGAGGTCAGTCCCGCTGCGACGCTGGCCAGGCCGATTCGTGAGATTGTCACTACCCTCGCCCCGGGAAAGACAACAACGGAGCTCCCGTACATCCCGCTTCTGAAGCGAAACGAGCACGCTTCTGTCACGGCTCTGACGGCACTGGGCGACCTCTGGGCGCGCGGTTGTCCAGCTGACTTTTCGTGGGCGTGGAGAAGCAAAGAGGGCCTCTTGCCACAGCTTCTTGTCGACCTGCCTCCATACCCTTTCAACCACTCCAAGAGTTATTGGTTTGAATCCCACTTGGGCGTTGCCCTTCGCCAGAGGCAACATGGTCGCGAGGACCTGATCGGTGCTCCTCTGGTTGAATCCACTCCCCAGGCGTCTCGTTGGCGCGGCTTCCTTAGACTTGAGGAGAATCCGTGGCTGAGTGATCATAAAGTTCAAAAGGTCATCATTTACCCTGCTGCCGGCCTGATCGCGATGGCTTTGGAGGCTGCGAGACAACGCAATGATCCTTCGTTGCGGGTGGAGTCCTATCAGATCTCCAATTTCATCATTGTCAAGCCAGTCATCATCCCAGGAAACCAGCACGGCTTAGAGCACATGATCAACACTCAAGCATTGAAGATACCCTCACCGGATGCCACCAACGGCATTGCGGTCTACTCCTTCTCGATCGAGACGAAGACAGAGCACGGGCCTTGGCAGGAGAATGCAAAGGGTCTGATCAATATCTCCTACGGCGGCAAATTGGTGGACGAACCTACGATTGAGACCATCCAGTTCCAAGATTACCGTGATACGTACTGGAGACTGCGCTCTGAGTGCACTCAAGAAATCAGCGCCCGTTCGCTGTACGAGAGGCTAGATGGGATTGGCATGAACTATGGACCTCTGTTCCAGAACGTCGTCTCCCTGGCGAGGGGCCAGCACACCTGTATAAGCACGGTTCGCATTCCCGATACCAAGTCCAAGATGCCAGCGCAATTCGAGTACGACCATCTCATACACCCCGCTACTCTCGATGCCATGTTCCAGACAGTCTTCGCTGTTGGCGATGAGACGATGGTCCCGTCTTGCATCCGGCAGATTTACTTTTCGCCCGCCATGTTGCAAGGGGCTGGTTCTGAATTTCACGGATACGCCGTCGCTCGGCGCAAGGGTTTCCGTGAGGCTGTGGCGGACATCGTGATGTCGGATGACACATTCAGCAAGCCCATGGTTATCGTGAATGGCATGGAGTCCATAAAGCTGGCTTCTTCAGGCGCGTCCGGATTCCTGCCAAGCAACCGACACCTTTGCAGCGAGCTTGCTTGGCAGGAACTGTATCCTGTCTGGCCCGGCATGCATGGATCAGTGCCAATCAACAACGATGCATCTCTGGTCGTTCTGCTTCCAGACGGAGATCTCTCTGAGGCGACCAGCCGCCTTTCTTCGGCCCTTGCTCTTCCCAGCGCCGAGCGCGTTCAGCTATCTCAACTGACTTCGCAGCAAGCGAGCAAGCGCTGCATTTCTCTTGTCGAAGTCGATCAAGCCCTTGTATTCAACATGTCTCGTCCAGCTTTCGATCAAATCAAGCTACTCCTGAAGGCCACACCTGGTCTCCTTTGGCTTACAACAGGTGCTCAAAAGACTACAGAGATGCCCCTGCTGGCCCCTTTCCACGGCTTGGCCAGGACCATTCGCTCTGAGGATTCTTCCAAGCGTATTGTGACCCTGGATATCGGCGTCACTCAAAACAACAGTGATGCAGCTGCGGCCGTATCAGCCGTCCACATCATTTTTAATAAGTCTTTCGTTGAGGCTGGCGAGGTTGATATACCCGAAGTCGAATACTCTCTTCGCGACTACAAACTCTTCGTCGCTCGACTTCATCCACTTGGAGACATGAATGAGGTGATCGAGAACGGTCATGATCAAGCAGTCCTCATAGAGACTCTGCCTCTCAAGACGTTCCGTCAACCGCTGAAGCTCAAGTTTGCGCCGAGTACAGATACAACAAGGACGTACTTCGAAGCAAACGACGCCGCCAAGAAGCCCCTTGGCCCCTATGATGTTCGCATCGCCGTTCAGAGCACGAACCTCTACCAAGTTGATCTGGAAACAATCTTGGGTCGAAGCAGCGAGAGCACTTTGGGTGTTGATGTCATTGGCACAGTGGAACGGGTAGGCAAGAGTGTCACCAGGATCACGGTCGGCAGCCGAGTAGTCGCTTTGGCCAGCGACACGGTCCAGTCGTGGGTGACTGTTGATCAAATCTTCGTTCATGAACTTGACGCCCACTCCAAGATTCAAGGCTTGAGTCCAACTGCTTTGACCTGCGCATATCATCGCTTCAACAACATCGCTGGCCTTTCAAGTGGAGATACCGTCTTCATACACTGTGCTGCAGGCCCCTTCGGTGATGCAGCAATTCGGGTGGCTCAACACCTCGGGGCAACGGTTTTCGTGGGTGCATGCAATGCTGAACAGCTTTCCGACCTGCATCTGCACTATGGCCTGCCGCTGGAACACATCGTTGAAATGAGCAAGAATGCCTTGACTGAGCAGCTCATGCACCTGACAGCAGGTAACGGTGTAGACTGCGTGTTCTCGCCAACTCTTGATCATTTGGACCAGAGCGCCCAGTGCGTTGGAGACAATGGCCACATTTTCCTTGTCAGCAATACCACGTTGTCCAAAGCAGTCATCACTCCTCGGTATGCCAACGTCTCGATCCACAAGTTCGACCTCTTTGAGGTTGCAAAGAAGCGAACTAAGACTATCGCAAAGGCGTGGGAGGATGTGCTCAAGCTCGTTATGGAGGATCGGCTCGGAACTCCGTCTCCCAGACTCGTCCGTGAGGAGCGAGTTGAGAACCTCGACCAGCTTTGGGATTCTATGGCCGCAAACCCCAGCCGCCACCTGAACACGGTTCATTTTAGTTCCGAATCCCACATTCGGGTCGGCACGAACCCTCTTACTCCTATGGTTCTAAAGCCGGATGCGACATACGTCCTTGTAGGCGGTCTGGGTGGCCTGGGCAAGGCTGTGGCTGGCCTGATGGCTGACCGCGGAGCCCGCCATCTGATCTTTGTTTCTCGCTCAGGCGCGAAGACGCCCGAAGACTTTCAATTTCTGTCGTCACTATCACGACGTGGTGTCAAAGCCCTGGTTCTCCGTGTCGACGTCTGTAACGAAGACGACCTTCGCCGGGCCCTTTCCAGCACCGACATGCCGCCTGTCAAGGGCGCTGTTCAATGTGCCGCAGTGGTAGCTGATTCCGTGTGGGAGACCATGTCGTACGAGGACTGGACAGCCGCTACTTGCCCTAAGACCATCGGCTCTTGGAACCTGCACAAATTCCTGCCACATGACATGGACTTCTTCATCTTCTTGTCTTCCGCGTCCGGCGTGATCGGAAACCGAGGCCAAGCGAACTACGCTGCTGGTAACTGTTTTCAGGACGCGTTGGCCCGCTATCGCGCATCCCTCGGCATGAAGAATTCCGTTTCCCTCGACCTCGGCCCTGTAATGGGTGCCGGCATGTTGGAGGACGATGAGAAGACCCTAGCTATTCTTAAGGCCAGCGGTTTCTTCACGGTCTCCCTGGACAACTTCCTGTTCCTCGTGGAGCACGCAATGGCCGGCTGCGCAAGCGACGCCCTCCGACTGCCCGCCCAGGTCGTCACCGGTGTGGGCACTGGCGGTCTGATCCTCCAAAACGAAGTCGCCGACCCCTACTGGGCCGAGACCAAGATGTTCGAAGTCCTCAACCAGGTCGACCTCCCTGATCTGCAGTCCGACACCTCTGGGGACACGAGCTGGGGCTCCTCCATATCCACAAGCATTTCCTCGCAGAGCAGCGGCAAGGCTCTGGTCGCGGCTCTCAAGTCGGCCGACTCGGTGGACGAGGCTGCCCACGTCGCCTTGCTAGGCTGCGTGGAGTACCTCTCTTTCTCCCTGAGCATGTCCCCGGATGACATGGACGCAGACAAGTCCCTCACGGCATACGGCGTCGACTCGCTCGTCACGTCCTCTTTCCGCAGTTGGATCTTCAAGAACACCGGCGTCAAGGTCAGCGATATGGAGGTCATTGGTGCGGCGTCGATCATGGAACTGGCACGGTCTATCGCCGAGAAGGGCTGTTTTGGTGCCCAAGTCTGAGGAGCTTTAACGAACACGGAAAAAATACTAACAGTGTTGCTGAGAGAACGAAGTGAGAGTCTCCGGAAGACGGACGGCCGTGCTGCTATGAGCCTAGGGAGCGGATCTCCAGTGAGCAGGAGAGAGGTACCAAACCGGGTCAGGAAAGAGGGAAGGATGAGACGTTAGTAGATACACTTATAGGTATATGTTCAGCCTAGTGTATGTTTTTATAGCTTTTTAGTATTTCGGCAAAGTTTCTTACTATCTGTGAAAGTTGTTGTTCTTGATGATATACAGATGTAAAACTGAACATGGGACTGAAGATCTACAGAGTCCGGCTGATTTATCGGCATTGAGATGAGACGGAGCCTCCTGTACGGCGTCCCAAGTCTTTTGCGTTGTTTTCAATTGATCCAAGAGCATAGTCTCACACACTCACAAGACGAGACACTCGGTTTAAACGGTGGGATAATTTTGTATCAACCCTGTGGCAAGGTGACTTCTCAAAAAGGGAGCATCCCGCTGCATAATCGTGTGTAACATGTCATATGGGACCGTACCCAATCCGTCGGGTTCACCTGCAGGGTCTGTATTACCTGCATATCAAGATACATTGAAATGGAGACTGGGCCGAGAGCACTTATTATTCTTCTCTCCACTTCAGAAGATAACCCAAGGCTTCCATCCGACCTTGCACACTTTCGCAAAGTACAAAGATATGAGAGCACCTAGATACACGAGCCCGGTGAAGACGATAACCCCCCAATAGTCGCCTCCGTTCGAGGTCAAAATGTTGCCACCGATGGGCACACCCACCAGGCAAGCAAAGCTGACAACAGTATAGCAGGTCGCATAGTATCGGCCGTAATTCTGCGTCTTGCACAGGAGGCCTATGCAGACCGGTGTGATGCTGATATTGCTGCCGCTGGCGAAACCAAACGTCACCGCGAACAGTATCAGGCCGGCAGTGTAAGACCCAGCGGGCAGCCAGATCGCGAGGCACGAGATAATCGACATGACAATCATGATCAGATTTATGTTGAAGGGCCCAATCTTATCTCCCCAGTAGCCCGGCAGCGCGCGGCCAAAGGCGGACGCGGCGTTGAGGATGGGCAGGATCTGGAATGAGAAGGCCTCGGAGAAGCCCTTTGAGCGTGCGTAGGACGAGATGTACGTCAGAGGGATGAAGAGGGCGAACTCGAGGAGGAACATGCCGATCGTCGTCAGCGTGAAGGCGCTGTTGCGAAAGATGTTGAAGTCCGGGCGGGCGCTGGCGCCGAGGGCGGGCGGGAGGCGCGAGCGGATGAGGAAGTTGGCACACCCGCAGATGGCCAGCACGGTGAAGCCCAGGGTGCGGACGGACCAGCCCCAGCCCAGGCGCGGGAACAGCGACTGCAGCATCAGCGGGAACACGATGCCGCCGATGCTGCCGCCCGTGGAGGCGATTCCAGTGGCGAGCCCCCGGCGTGCTTGAAAGAAGTGCCCTACAGCAGCGAGGGAGGGCGTGAAGAGCAGGGAACAGCCGAGGCCGCAGAATAGTCCGAAGGACAGGATGAAGTGCCACAGCTCTGTCGGTGTGTTAGCAGCAGTGGATATGCGGAGCTAACTCGGCGCGTTGAAAGAGATGCTTACCTGTGGAGATGCTAAAAAGCATCAGGCTGGCACCAACAAACACGGTGCCGGTCAGGATCAGCCATCTCGGGCCATGCTTGTCGAATAAGGGCCCGATAAATAAGCCCCCAAAGAACACGACGAACGTGTATACGGAGAAAATCCACCCGACTGTGCCCTCGTCAGTCCTTGAGCTGGTTTGTCATCACATAGGTCTGGAAGGTTGCGAGGGTGTTCATGAGGCCGAGTGACGATAGAAGCGCCAGCCAGGCGCCGAGGACGACGAGCCATGCCCGCAGTCCTCCTTCCGGATAGGACTCACTATCGCCGGCCGATGAGGCTGTGTCTCTCCCCGGTGCCTGGTCCGCGTTGCTAGGCACAACGAATAACGGCGGCGGAATGGCATGGGCGCTGCTGCTGTTGTTATGGTAATTACTGCTGCCGTCGTCGATGTTGTGGTTGTTGTTGGTGTCGTCCGCAGGTGCCTTTTCGGTCACCGAGTCAGGTGCGTGGCCATGGTCCAGTGAGTCTTTGGGCTGTGCCATTTTAAGACTGTCTCGAGACCAAAGAAGGATTCACGACTCTACTGTATAAAGCTCTCGAATCCAGTGGGGCCCTTGTCGCCAACGAGCCAGCCAGAAACCACAGAAAATTGTGATACAACTGATCATTTATTGCAGTTGAAATTCCTGATGAGCAGATTTGCCGGTTTATTCCATATATCCGCTCTTGGAAGAGGGGTCCAGGGCCGTACTCGGCCCGGAAAGGTTGGTTATGACTATCACATACCGTATGTTGGGCATTGCTCGATTTCATTATGTAAGGATTTCATCAGTCGCATTTGTGCTTTGTGACAGCACCTCTTAGTGTCCCTCGCCGTCGGAGTCATGGGTTAGCGGCAATCGGCTGTAGGTCTACAGGCTTAATCGTAATGGGTGTGCATTTGCGCACCTGACTGCTTGGCAGACCGACTGCCAACAGAGTACCCTCACACCTCCTAATTGTGACTTTTCTCTAGGCTGTTTCTCTGTCCCAGTGGACTGATAGTCGCAAAACACTACAGGCTCGCCGGTAGCAATCCGAGGAGGCTTCCACGGAACGTGCTCCATCAGAGAAATGGAGCGAGGCTGGAGTTGTGGGCAAATATGTCCCCTCTTGCGCTTCCTTGGTCCTGGCATACCTTGTCTTCGGGTTGAGAACAGCCGCTGAAGACCTCCGGGAGGCGTAGCCTTGTCTCTTCGAGTCTACGATCTTGTGAAAGGCGCAGAGCCTCAGTCTTCGTCTTCCTCGACTTCCTCCATCGTGACTTGCCGAGATGCTGTTGCCGAGGCGTGGCCGGGCTCCGTTGACTGTGATCCCTGGACGTCGTGTGATGCATGCAGGTAGCCCTCTTTCTCCAGCCTGTCCGCCTCTTCAGGCTCCATGAGACCGCCCTTGCCTTGAGTCTTGTCCAATTTCTGCCTTACCACGCTGGGGACGAATGCGACCGCCTCCTTGCGAAGGTCTCGCACTATAGGCTTGGACTCGTATACCGTCTTTGCTTCTGGCGCAGGCGTGGGCGTCGACTGTTGCCTCTCACCTCTGCCGCCCCTGTCGTTGCCGCTGCCTAACGGCTCAAGATTCGCATTCTTGATCTCGTTCATCTTGGCCCTCCTCTTAGCCCACCACCGGTCCATGACCTCTTTGGGGATTGGCGGCGGCGTGTCCCTCGGCATTGGGATACTCTGCACATCCTCTGGCACATCACTGTCGCTGCTGAGTTCGACCTCGTCGTAGTCCCTCCGCCTCTTCCCCAGCGCTCCCCTGTCATTGTCGCCATCTCGGCGTGGCCCGCTGCTTCGGAATTGCGGTGCCGCATCGCCGAGTGTCTCCCGTGCCTTCTGGACAGCCTTGAGCTCCTTCTCCAGGCCCTCGAGGACCTGCTCTTCGTGGTGTGTGAGTTTTCCGCCGCCGGCAGTCACGGCTTTGAGGTCGTCGATCTGCTTTTGTAGGTGCACTGGGTTGCGCTTTGCGAGCCGCTCGTTGCGCTTGGCGGTCACATCTGCCTTGCCCTTCTTGATGGCCTTGGCCTTGTCGGCCTTGCGCTGGGCCTGCACGGGGTTGAAGTTGCGTTCCTTTGGCATGTTGTGTGTGCTGTAGGGGAGAAAGTGGAAAGACCAGGAAGGTAGCAGGAGGAAATGCGAGGTAGCAAGACCCAATCAAGGAACTCTGCAGGGGAGGTACCGCTCAACTTCCAAAGCTTCTGATGCATGACGAACCCGCATGGCTTATCAGCAAAGCTTCTTATCTCTTAACGCCGAAAAAGTCACGTGCGGGCAGCCACTAGTGGAGCTCGCCCGATTCTGGCCCCGCTGTGGCGCGGCGAAAAACGAGTGTGCAATTCCACAGAATCCGACTTGCCCGTCTACGACTCATCACCCAGCGCCGACGAAACCCACCGACTTTCATCAAACAACCCATCAACGAACCTTCGTCAATCGATCAGGACATCATCGAAAATGGGAAAGGTTCACGGATCTCTGTAAGGCCTGCGACACCTGGGGCGACCGCTGCGGGAGGCAACGAGCGGGAAGAACAAAATTCTAACAAAATTGTCCACAGCGCCCGTGCCGGCAAGGTCAAGTCTCAGACCCCCAAGGTTGAGAAGCAGGGTGCGTACCACTGCAAATTTCTGATGATCCTGAGATGTATGCGGAAATGCTGACGGATTTTCGATGACAGAGAAGAAGAAGACCCCGTATGTCTGATGGATCCCCCCGATCACGCGATGACGATGCCGACCTCATCCCAAATCACCCGAAACCTCGAAGCTAACAACCACACAGTAAGGGCCGCGCAAAGAAGAGACTCACATACACTCGCCGCTTCGTGAACGTGCAACTCACCGGTGGCAAGAGGAAGGTGCGTTTGACGCCCAGGCGTGATGGGCGCGACACTGCCGTCGCGGCTGCCATCTCTTCCATTCCCACCGCACCTGGACAACCGAGGCTGACATCGTGTTAGATGAACCCCAACCCAACCTCCTAAGCTCGCCTCTGCTTTTCTGGGATGAACGGTGACGGAACTATCGGAACGACAGGACTAGAGGGCTAGAGACGATGGCGGGCGGCTGCCGGGAATGAAGGGATGAATGGGGTCTCATGACAAGAGTACACACCCACGGCGACTTCGGCCATTACGGTCTACTCAGGGACTCTTCTGCATGATGATGGAATTGCATCTGTGTTTCTACCGAGTTTAGGCGCACGGGTCCTCCTCAATACGGAGCCCGAGGACGCCCCATCTCGAGTCCTCGAAAACGATTAGAGAAATTCGATCGATTTGTCTGGTCACCAACATCTCGCGCGCCTCATCTTACAGTCTTTAGTGATACAGGAGCCAGTCTGTCGCTGGTTGAGCGGCTTTCCGATGGATTGAATGCGACTTCTTCTGACCACATCACCATCTGCCCGCCACAAGGTCATAGGCCTAAGCAGGGCGAGTCTTGGTCATGCCCTTCTGCGCGAGCTCATGCTACTATGCGGTGATGGAGAGTGCCTCGCTCTGTGCGGTGTGACAAGGGCCAAAGCAGCAGGTGTATACCCGTGTTTGATTGAATGGCTACGCGATGTGCCTGTGCACCAAGGATGATATTATGGGTCTTTGAGAGATGACTGCTTCGCTGCAATCCTTCTCTTTCGGAGTAGGTGGCCCAGTGGCTGTCTATCCATTTGTCCTCCACCGTGCTGTCAACTACGGAAGTCACACTGCTATCTCAGACTCATCAGCAAGGACGCTTACGTGCAGTGGCTATGGCCATGATCTATGAAGGAAGCTGGTCATCACCCGCTTATAGTAAGCTTGCATGCTGTCCAGCTGTCTTCGACCGCGGAACACACGGTGCATCGTAATCAGTCAGTTTATCCAGGCTGCTGTTCTAGACACTCCCGGGATATTCTGTTTCCCCTGGTTGTGACATTGAAGCCCACGGCACTGGTGTGAAGAGCGCGGGAGAGAGCGTGCCTACGGAACTGTTGCCTATCCCCCGTCAACGTCAGACACGGGACCCGGTTCTCTCTCTCGCCGCGAGTCAAAAGTTTATCATTTGTTACTGTGACGAAGTCCCGTGTTTACTGCCAACTCCTTCCCGCGACTCTTGTTGACGGAGATGTTGACGGTCACGCAGCAGTCCTCTCGGTGGTCGCAAAGCCCACGATGGGTATCGAGCCCTAAGTGGAAGCTCGCTCTCGGCGGACGCGACATTGGGAAGCGCTATTCCCTTTCTGTACGCTGACGAGCAAACAGTGGCGGATCTTGGGCACCTCGTGCCAAACCCGTCAAGAGACAACGTAGACAAGCCTGGCCAGGTCTGCTAACCTGAGCGCCTGCGAGTTCTGAGCTTGTTGACGAGTACAGGAGAGAACAATACCCGCGCGGATGCGCCGGTGGTGGTGGAATAAAAGACAGATTCGGGAGCGAGGACGGCACACCAAGAAGTTACAGAGAGTGTTGTTTAAGCCTTCGTATTGAGCTGGTTTCATCACTGTAGTACTGTGTACGATCAACGGTAAGGGCGAGATCGACACCCGGATAGTAGTAGCCGGTGAGTACTTCCCAAGGGCAGCAATCAACGAAGTAATCATCAGCAGACACGAGAACATGCCTAATGCAGTGCAGGGAGCTGGTGCAGTGTGCTGGCAAGCAAGGACCCAGACAGCCCAACACACAGACAGAGAGGATAGCCTTGGGAGACATAAAAGGTGTCCACGACACAAGCAGGCGGAATGCACAAAAAACCGCCCGTACCTAAGTACCAGAACCAATACCACACAGTACTTCCATTTATTCATCCAACATAAGCACAACTTTTATCTAAAATATTAACATCATTAGAATCAGATACTGGTTCTAGATATCTGAGCATAATTAGAATTAAGCACATACTATTTGGTTGTTGAGTAATTTGGGTTGTGATGTAAAGGGTTTGGGTGGGATTTGGGCTACGGTCGGTTTTTTGTGCATTCCGCCTGACAAGGTACACGGGTGGGGTTGGAATGGAAAACGGGACCGTTGAGATGCGTTTTGTCTTGTTTCAAGGCTTTTTAGCGTGGCCTGCCAGTCGCGTTGTCTTGTTGTTGCTTGACCAACCCGCGAACGGATGTTTTGATTCTGGGTGGGGCCAATGACGCCTCGCTGACTGACTGCTTGATCCTCCTTGGGCTCCTTTCCCCTCCTCCTCCTTCCCCTCCACCTCCGCCTCACTGCCAGTGCCACTGCAAGTGCCACTGCCACTTGAGTTTGTTCGACAAGGCCTGGATAAATAAGTGGGCATCGTCCCGGGTTTCTTGCCCCATGCTCTTTCTTGCATTTTGATCGCATCGGATTTGCATTGCATCAGTCGCAATCTCTCTCCCCCCCACCTTGGTGCGGCTGAGCCTGCTTCACATGTTGTTGTTGCCGTAGCCGCGCGTGTGTGTATCTATTGTGTGTCTCTGTTTATCTCGACTTTTCAGGCTCGAGCTTGGGCTGCAACACTCTCTCACCCGTTCTCTCACTCGCTCCCATTTTCAGTCCCCAGCAGACTTAGACTATCATCTCTCTGTCTCGCCCGAGGGAATCGACCAGTCAATCCTTGCCTTTGTGGCTCTCCCCTTCAATTCGACAGGTCGCATCGCACGCCCGCCACTTTTGCGCATCCCAGGCGCATCCAACGCGCCCTCGCCGTCACCAACCAACCCCCCACGACATCAACGCGCCACAACCACACAACATGGCCAGCTTCATGTCCAACATGCTCTCCGGTGGAGGCAAGGATGCTAACAACTCCAACGCCAACGCCAACAGCAGCAGGCTGGACCTTGGTCGCCCCTCGACGCCCATTAGTAGGAACAGCTTCATCGAGCCGGCCAACACCCCCAAGGGCAGCCCCAGCAAGAGGACCGCGCCCCCGGGTGCCCGAGAACTGCCCCAGGCTTTCGAGAGCCACCTCAAGCTCAACGCCGCCACCACTCTCGACAGTCCCATCAAGCTCGGCCGTCCTCAATCCGTCATCACCCCGCTGTCTCCCACCAAGCTCAGCAATGCCCAGTCATACGACCCCTTTGACGCCGAATCCACAACAAATACCCTTGTTGATGATAGCATCCTCCAGAGAGGGACCCCCACCACCCCGCTCAAGCACCAGGGCCAGGAGAACACCCCTCCGACCGCCTCCAAGATACCCATCTCTCACAACCATGCCGCTCAGTCGAGACAGGAATTGTACAGCAGTCCGCGTGCGCCTCCTCCGGGCAAGAAGTTCGACACGTCCCGCGGTCTCACAGACGAGGAGCGAGCTGTTCTGGAGAAGCCCAATGTGAGGCGTCTGGTCAATGTGACACAGCTTTGTGAGCCACCGTTATTCCTACTGCTTGACATCTGATCCCTACAAATGGCTAACGCGACTTTTCTGCAAAGACTTCCTCGACTACTATTTTGATCTTCTGAGCTATGCCGGCAACCGCCAGGGCCGCCTCAATGCCTTCCGCGCCGAATACCCTGAACCTCCCGAGACCGATGAGGAGACCTACAAGCAGATGTGGAGCAAGTACACCGGTCGCGAGCGGGCCAATCTGCGCAAGCGTCGTGTACGACTTCGACAGGGCGACTTCCAGATCCTGACACAGGTTGGGCAGGGTGGCTACGGTCAAGTGTTCCTGGCCCAGAAGAAGGACACGAAGGAGGTGTGCGCACTGAAGGTTATGAGCAAGAAGCTGTTGTTCAAGCTGGATGAGGTGCGCCACGTCTTGACCGAGAGAGACATCCTGACAACTGCCAAGAGCCAATGGCTTGTCCGTCTGTTGTACTCGTTCCAGGATGACAAGAATATTTACCTTGCAATGGTGCGTGTTTCCCTCCCGTGCTCTGCAAGGGCTTGACTGACATGGCGCAGGAATACGTGCCGGGAGGCGACTTCCGCACTCTGTTGAACAACACCGGTGTCCTGTCCAACAGGCATGCTCGATTCTACATTGCCGAGATGTTCTGTTCCGTAGACGCTCTCCACCAGCTCGGCTACATCCATCGCGACCTGAAACCTGAGAACTTCCTTGTCGACTCGTCTGGCCACGTCAAGCTGACCGACTTCGGATTGGCGGCTGGCATGCTCGCGCCTGCAAAGATCGAGTCAATGCGGCTCCGTCTGGAGCAGGCGTCGGAGACCTCGGTGCCCTTTGGCAAGCCAATGGACCAGAGAACCGTGGCAGAGCGAAGGGATGGATACCGGTCGATGCGCAACAACGACGCGAATTACGCCAAATCTATCGTCGGCTCTCCCGATTACATGGCCCCCGAGGTCCTCCGCGGGGAAGAGTACGACTTCACTGTCGACTACTGGAGCCTGGGCTGCATGCTTTTTGAGGCCCTGACTGGCTTCCCGCCGTTTGCTGGATCAAATGCAGATGAGACCTGGCGCAACCTGAAGCATTGGAAGGATGTTCTCAAGCGGCCTGTGTGGGAAGACCCCAACTACTTCCTGAGCAATCGTACCTGGAGCTTCATCACGACCTGCATCAATTCCCGGTCCAAGCGCTTCTCCAACGTGAAGGACATATATGCCCACCAATACTTCGCCGAGGTCAACTGGGAGACGCTGCGGGACACCAAGGCGCCTTTTGTGCCCGAGCTGGACTCTGAGACGGATGCTGGCTACTTCGATGACTTCACCAACGAAGCGGACATGGCCAAGTACAAGGAGGTGCATGATAAGCAGTCGGCCTTGGAGAACATGGCTGATCGTGACGATGACATGGGCAAGTCGCTGTTTGTCGGATTCACGTTCCGTCATCGCAAGACCGATGAGACCGGCGGCAGCTCAAGGAAACCGGTTACGGACAACACGTTCGGCACAATGCTGTAGGGCGAGCAGATGTTTGCTGAGCCGCAAAGTCCGGCTGGGAAGAGGAGGTGTGGAGAGCGGGCCCTGCGGGTGCCGATGAAGATCTCGCCCACCAAGGTGTCGCCGGTGAGAACGTACGTTGGGCGGTCACCTGGGCCTGGAAGTCCGACAAGGGCTGGGCATTAGCATGTATACTTTGATGAGAGGCATGGCTGATGATTGATGGTTGATGCTGATATTGATGACGTGTCTGTGGATGCGAAGCAAAGCTCTTTTCTTCTCTGAAATTACCGCTTGCGGTTTTGGTCCGATTGGACCGTGTATTACATATGACGCATCGGTTCGAGGAGTTCAGGGTTGCTGGCAGAATAGAATCGCAGGCCAGGGTTGGACAGGCAGGCAGGTAAAGGGTAGGAAACTTTGCTTGTCGGGATTCTCGGGCGGTAATAATGGCAGGATATCAGGAAAGCCGGGGTGTCGGGTGCGACTTTATCGCCTGTGGTTAGTTTGTCTGTCTCTGTCCTGAACATTGCCCAAGTCCGCCATGGCTCAACGGAAGCAGATGGCTTCGAGTGTAAACAAACCCATATAAGGAAAATAAATCACAAGTTATCAGTCTCGCCGACTGCAGAGAAGGCTCAGTAGGCGAGGAAACTTCACCATCCAACGTCAACCCAGTGGAGTCGGGGCCATCACTTACACGGGGTTCAAAGCCAATCAAATTCAGAGATCTAATCTAATCTCGCGGATCTCCGCCCCAGACCCATGTCGCCGACTTCCGAAGTAACCTCAAAGTCAGCCTTGGCAGTGAAACACGACCTTGAAACAAAGCCGAGGGTGAGCATCGATGAAGGACGTTGTCGGGGCTGCGTCAGATGTGCAAAAAAAGTCGCCTCTTGGGCTCGGAGGTACTCGTCAGATGTTGACGTATGATCCCTCCATTCCGACAGCCCCATTGCTGACACAGCCGGGCCCTATATACACAATCGTATGTGTATGGGGTAAGGGCCAGCTGGGGAGACTGCTTCGGACATTCCCCAACCTCTGTCCTCCCCGACCGCCGACGCCATCTCGGTCCCGACGTCGCAGCCATAGCGTCGACTCCACACGATTTGCCTTTCCGTCTCAAGGCATCTTTTTTTTTATTCTTGCTCTCCTTGTCGGGCTGAATGGAGTTGGGTGCGTCAGACTGGGAGGTATTCGTTGCACACGGCTGTTGTGTTCGTGAGTCGTCACCGCTCTTCCACCCCATGAACTCTATCGTGGCGATGGCTGGCCCGCCGCAGGCCACATGACAATGGACAATAGCTGGCGTGCCATGTATTTCAGCTTGCCTAGTTGCTGACGGCCAATCTATTTGACACGGAGGGGTAACATGCACGAGCTGCGCTGCCGCGCAAGCGCCGACGTCCTCCCTCCCCATCGTGCGTCTGTCTTCTCGGTGCTGTCCGGGCTGTCCGGCCGAGCTAGCGGCTGCGATCAGGCGCGCCGATCTCGTCACTGCGCTCCTCCCTTTCCGTCGACCCTGCGTTTCTCGAGTCCGCCAACTGGCGGGCCGAGAGGGAGAGATGCAGTAGCATGGGCCATGTGCCGGACCCGACTATCCCCCTTCGGGCCTGCGTGTCTCTCACACTGCGTCTCACGCCGCATGCAGTCGCACCATGGTGCTTTCCCTGTTTGGCCGTGCTGGGTCTCTGTCCCTCTGTATGTTCTGTCTCGGTCCCGACAGTGGGGCTGATGGTCACAACGAGGGTGAGCTGACGAATTCAGTATGCAAGGATGGGGCTGAACGAGCCTTGCGGTCGTGAGGCTGTTCTGCTGTTCTGCCCCCCGCCCTTCTGCCTATGACATAGGTGGACGGGGCTCATTCAGGTGTCATTTGGAAGCCTGAGGTCGCAGGTTTATAAACGGGCTCGTCCTTCCTCCTTCTGGCCTGGACCGATGCACTTCTCTGAGGATAAGAACAGCTCCCGCATATGCACCTCCTCGGACCAGCTCACCTGGAATACGCGCCACGCATACTTGCCTAGAGAAATACCCCGCCGCAAACTCCGAAGATGAAGACAGCCACTCTCGCAGCCCTCGCCAGCGGAGCAGCCGCCCAATGGTGGGGAGGAGCTCCCGACTGTGCCGTAGGTCCACGTCCCTGTCCTTTTCCCTTCCATCATCCACTGTCTCTCCGTCTCTATCTCTCTCCCTCGTGCGCCTCGGGCAAAAGATATAACTGACACACATGGTATAGCAATCCTGTCTGTCCTCAAAGTGGGCGTCCTCGACGCCAACGTCGGCCTGGCCTGAGCCGACGTCCTACTGCGACGGCGACGACACCAACTCGGTGGGCTCGTGCCTGTCCAGCGCGTGCTCCGCCACGCCGACAGCCTGGTCCTCGTACTCGTCCGCATCGTCCAGCATCTGCGCCGCCTGGTCGTCGTGCTCATCCGTCGGCTCGACGGGCGTGTACACCGTCTCCTGGCCAGCCGCCTCGGGGGGCTGGGGCCCCGGCGGCGGCAGCAGCGACGGCTGGAGCAGCTCCGGCCGCAGCGGATTCGGAGGAGGGAACGGTGGCCGCGGCGGCGGCGGTGGTGGCTGGGGCGGCTGGACCTCCAGCTACACGGCCAGCCAGGTGACAGTGACCGGCTGCCCATGGGACGGGAGCCCGTGGATCGGCCCCGGCGGCGACGGCGACAACGCGGGCTGGGGAGGCTGGGGTGCCTGGGGCCACGGCTGGACCTGGAGCACGCACAGCACCACCGTCACGGAGACTGTGACGGGCTCGAACGGGAACGTCGTCGTCTCTACCGGCCTTGCGCAGGTCGCCGAGGCTGTCAGCGGTGACGTTACGAGCACCACCACCCTGACCGGGAGCGATGCCACCGCTACCGCCACCGCGTCGTCCTCCAGCTCAACCTCCTCTGGGTCGACCTCGAACGCTGTGGCCGGTGCCAAGGTGGACCGGGGCGTGATTGCTGCCGGTGCCGTCTTGGGCGGCCTGGTTGGTGTGATGGCTGTGTTGTAAGAGATGGGTGGTGGCTCGGATACCTTTCACCCTCACTGGGGAGAGGGTTTGATATGGAGGATGGAGGCGGTACGGCCGAGGAGAGTTGTCAAGGGGTTGTGGTGGACTGGGACTCATTCTTTCAGCGGCACGGCACGCGAACGTATCATCGAAGTAATGTTTTCAAGTTGTGACCAAATTCCGAACACCTATCTGTTTAGGTAGCACCTAAACAAAACACCCCCTGCTTCCAGCACACTCGAGCAACATTTATTCATCCTTCGACCTCTGCGCTCAAGTCTCTTCTGTAGCATCCGAGTCTAACACACATTCGGTCACATTGAAGCTCCTGTTCTAGTCTCGTCAGAGTCCAATAGCCCTTCAATTTATGCAAACAACACTGGTCCTTGCCTGGCCTGGGCAGCCTTTGTCGACTTGGTATTTTCGATCGTTTGTGATCAAGTCGGTAAGGGACTTATAATCGCGTTCCGGTATTGGTCTTCTTTATTAGCAGAGGTACGGACGGTACTCATCAGTGGGATTCACTGTTGTCTGTAGTATGTGAACTAGGTGGAGTTAACGACACCGACGCCTATGTAAAATGCCACTTGCCCTTTTGCACGAAACATATGAAGTTCTGTGTATTCCTGGGGAAGGGGTTCATATATCGCCTGCCGCCGGTCACGGATATAGTTGCCATCAGCCTATGGATTCAATAGTAATGAAAATGGAACCTCATGCAAGAGAGACTTATGAAATTCATGCGGGTATGCCCTGGCCTCTGGATCCCAGACCACTTCCGACTAGCAAAAGAGCGAGGTCCTAAAAGTTCTATAGTGTCACATGTAAAAGTATAAATATCGATGCCCGATGTAGCCATAACAATTCCGAGTTTTCCGTGCTTATGAGCGGCAACTTAATTGTATTGGCTCTATATTGCCCTGACTTCCAGTGCACACTGCACAAGACTATCCTACCTACTCGTGCCTGATACTCCGCTTGATTCTTCCCCCCCTTGCTCATTGCCAGCTATTTCCTACCCTCGAATCAGATACATTCAACAAGGCTCAGTTGCGTCATATTTAAATACCAGTTGTTTGACTATCAAGCAGGTAGTGTTGTATTGAGACACTGCAACAAGCTCGACTTGCTGGAAAGGGATGGGGAATAGGGCCAATCAACGATAACATGAGGCGACAGATTGTTCCGTCGCTCGAGATTATGCCCGTTTTGTAGTTCCATATAGTCCTCGAATCTGATGTCTTCACTCTGGCCATAGTAGACCAATGTCCAAGGCGACCCATGCTCACCAATTCCAGAACCATAGCATATGGACGGACTATGAAGCTCTCAAGCCACCATGGAATTGGGTTGCTCTTGGATCCATCCCTCGCGACATCATCACGGCGACGGAAAATGAGCCAAGTCAATTCAGGTTGCGATTTCATTCTTTCTCTCGATATAGCTCGAAAGTCATCTACCGAGGAACAAGTACAATCCTCAAGGAGAACTCCAGTCTCTCCGTGCAAATGTTGCCCAGTCTTCGGAGGGTCGAATCGCTCACAGAATAATAATACTCTGGTGTATCTCTGCCAAACCACCATCTCTGATATCAACTTACAAATCCCGCGGGGTATCCACCAAATCTCTACGCAACAACAGCACGCGCGCACAACAGACGCAAACGACACAAAAAGCCCACGCTCTCGCTCAACCTGTTCCGCAAAATATACAGCCATCCCCAAGATCATCATATCTAGCGCAGGAAAAAAGCAACAGTTGATACCCTCGGGTGCCCCAAAAAGCCCCGGCCGGAAACCAAATGGCCGGAGGAAGAGTGTTGTAAAATCGCCAGAACCGCCCACGCTCGCTTGTTAAGAAAATCCCATAAAGTACCCTCTCGTGATGATGCGTTTAGAACCCAATAAGCCACGTCGCAATCAGAAACAGCTTTGGGCGTGAAAGCAGCGCTGCGGAACCAGTCTATGTCTCGACATGGCCTCCCCACCCCACTTCCCTTCCGCAAACTCGTGGTGCCGGCTAGGATCATAGGAGTAAAAGATCCAGATAGATCGTGTTGCGAAATGACCGCGCCGACAGTCATTCATCGAGCCGTTCGATCCATCGGAAGGAATCGTCGTTGCCGCCACCATAATAATGATTATTGGGTCGAGCACCCAAGTGCCTTGGTTTCGGCAAAGGGTATAAAACATTGCAAAGCATAAGATTCGTGAGACCCACCCCACCTCAAAAGTCAGAACGCGCCGAGCTGAATGCCAATATTCCAAACTGAAAGGGGAAGAAGCTGCCAACCACCGAGCCCCGGCATGCAATCAGAGCCATGCCGCGAGTGTGAAGCGAAGCAGCCTTCGCCTAGCTCTATGGACTGGCGTGGTATCATCGAGTCATGTAAAATAGCCGATTACGCGACTCAGTGGTGCGTATCGATGCAACAACCGTAAACGCCTTTCGAATATGCAGATCTGTCTCGTCGGAGCACTCAGAGACTCATGGTCAGCCACTCCCATTCCTGGGGGCCAGTTCCGGTACCGTTAGGCGCCACTGTCACGGGCGGCTGACCGGCAGGCATGCCCTTCATCATGCCGGAGCCAACCATGGGCCTCTGCGTCATGCCGAAGCCGTTGGCAAGGCCCAGGCTGGCCGAGTTCGACATGGTACCGAATCCACTGCTCGAACCGATCGAACGGGCCGTCTCGTTGGATCCGGTCGAGTTTTCGGGGCTGTCAATGTCCATCCCGGCATTGTCAGCTGCACTCTTGCTGTGCCTCCGCTGTCGCTTGGCGGATACTGCGACTGTGCGCGGAAGTGCGGAAGCCCCAGGTCCGGGAGTGGACTTCGGTGGGGCGGCCGCAATAGGAACGACGCCCTTTCCACCCACTGCACCGTTCGCTGTGCCTGCGTTCCCGTGGAAACTTGTTGGGCTGCTCCCAGCAGTGTTGCCGCCCGACGGCCCACCGCTGACTGGGGAATCGCTGGCATTGACGCTGCCGGCGCGGTTGGTCGCCGGAGGCGTCGAAGCCTGGCTAACGATGTTGCTAGCCGAGGAAGAGATGGCGAGCGAGGAGTTCTTGCGAGTGTTGGTCCCGGAATTGTTGTGCGAAGCATTCACGCTGGCATTCTTCTTCCCCGATCGCGTACTTGTTCCACCCACAGGCAGGCTGTTGCCTGAGCCACGATTCCGCTTCTTGATGACATCCGTCTTCAAACTCAGCGGTCTCACAACACCGTGGAGCTTCAAGAACAGACCACAGGCGTTACAAAGTGGCTGACCCTCAGGGTTCCGACGCCAAAGAGGCGTGGTTTGGGTGAAGCAATTTGTGCAAGTAGTGGGAGCGGTTCCGTCGGTTGACGAGGTGTTAGCAGCCTGCAGATTCGTCGAAGAGCCGTTCTTGGACCCAGGAGGTGACGACGGTCTGCTGGGGTTCACGGAGGAGTATCCGGACGTGTGACCAGCCCCGTCTGCCGGTGGGGAATTGGGATTGGATCGCGAGAGGCGATCAAACGCATTGCCTCGGTTTACCGCTGGGGTTGACGCAGTTCGCGGCACTTTCTGTCGGCGGTCTCCGCCATGTCTGAATGACTGAGATTGACTTCGGCCGAGATTGCCGCCTTCCCAGTCGTTGGAGTCCACATAATCTGTTGTCGTCCCACCGATAGTGACCCGCTTGGCAGTAGGCGGCCCACCCGGGTAGCGTGCAGCCTGGGTGCTGAATTGCCCAGGCAAGGACGCATCCCACTGCATCGCGTTGCCATGCGATGGCATTCCCTCAGCGTCGAACTCGGTTGAGGAGAAGTCATGCGGCATCGTCATATTGCGGTCAGCGAAAGCACCAACATCTTCCTCTCCATCATCCGAATCTGGCCCAAAGCTGAACATGCCATTGCTGTCCGGCATCATACTGACACCGGGAGACCGGACAGAGTGGTCTGGAAAGACCTGACTTGGGTCAATGTGGCCAAAGGAATTGCTGGTGGCGAAGGCGGAGGCAGGGTCCGCACCAGAGGTGGTGGGGAACATGGGGTTGCCATTGGACGGATTGTACATGAACTGGTTTGGCATCGAGTTGGCCAAGGTCGTTGGTGCTGGCCGGAACGGGTGTGGTCGTTGATGACGGACGTCCATGGAGCCAAAGTAAAAGGGTTCCTCGTGGATGGGATGGGGTGTAGAAACGGCGGATTGGTAGGCCGATCCAGGCGGTGAATAAAACTCGGTGTTCTGCACGGCCGAGGAGGGCATGGACTGGTTGTTATACATGTTGGCGAACGCCCCATGGTGCGCCATCGGCGAGGTGCCTGGAGAAAAGGCAAAGTTCGGTTGGAAAGGCCCTGCAGAGGTGATGATGGGATCACTCTCCATCTGAAAGGTGTCCAGGGGGAATGGCACGCCAGGGTGATTGGGCCCGTGACCCATGCCAGATGTATTGGGATGGTCGAGCGTGTACTCATGGAAGTCACCGTCCCCTTCTAGTCCGCCAATGCCGGACACGTGAGGCGAGAAGTCGGCTGGCCGCTTGCGAGTCTGAGAACTGTCAGTTGCGATCGAATCATAGTGCAGGATATCGAGTCGTGCCAGGCAGAATAGGCAAAGCCCCCATGTCACTGTTCTCGAAATGAAAAAAATTGCTTACCCGTCTCTCGTCGATGCTCGTCTTCCTGTGGTGCCTCGTAATGTACCCGAACTCGTGCTGAACATTGGGCGCGTGAGCAGGGACAGGGACAGACTGGGGTACGAAGTGCGGGAGAGAGGCCTGGCGGTGTTTGATGGGGATGGCGGTGATGTGCGAGCGCATCGGCTTGTCTTCGCCTCGCTTTGAGAGCTCGGGCGAAGGACTGCTGGCCGTTCCGGCGGGAGTCGCAACATTGTCAGCGACGAGGAAGTCGTCAAGGTTCATGGGGTCCGAGGTGGATATATTGTGCTCAGATGATTTTCGCAACTGGGCGATGCCGCTGGGGGCATTCCCACCGGATCTTTGGGAGGGAATAACAAGTTAGCACCTTATCGTTCCTTCGCATGGCATGGCACTGCATGGAGGTGACCGCATTGCTGGCGTCGCGCAGGTAGCGGAGCAGACAACCGTACCTGGAAGACTCGTTGGCGAGCTGCTGCTTGCGCAGACTGGCATGCATCATGCGCCATGTGAGGTTCTCCATGCGCTCCTGGTTGGGCAGGCTCTGCTTCGTCTTGCTGAAGAAGCGCCAGACCTGGGCGGCCAGCGGGTCCTCCTTGCCCAGGTCGGCCGGGCTGGAGCTCATCCCTGCGATGCCATCCTGGAAACCGGCGAAGGCGTCCGTCTTGGACAAGGTGCCTCGTGCATTGTCCAGGGTCTTTGAGAGATCAAAGCGGACTTCCTTGAGGCTGCCGCGCATCTCTGCGGTGTTCTTGGACTTGTTGGTGGTGGTGGTGGTGTTGGACCTGTGGGTGTTGCTGGGGCTCCCGTTGGTGACCAGTGAGGCGGTACCGATGCTCTTGTTAGTCCTGGCGGGAGCGGAGCGCTCTGATTGCTCCGGCTTGATGTCGCCGGGGCCGCTGTCGGCGGGCCTTCGTGGGAATCGGAAGTCGTGCTCTGTTGAGGTAGGGCTCATTGAGATCAGGGGACTCGACGTCGATATGGCGGCCATGTCGTACGGACGAGTCGAGTCGGCTTTGAACTGTGCTTCTGGGGGGGTGAGGATGCGGTGGTGAAGAGAGGGAAGCGGGAAGACTTCGGCCAGAATGGGGGGAATTCTTGGGACTTGTACCGTCCAAGCAGAGACCAGAGACAAGAGAGGATCCCGGGAGGCTCTACCCCACGTTCGGCTGGCCGCACCTGCACCCACACCCACACTTGTCTCTCACACTCTCACACTCTCACGCTCGCACACTCAGTCACTAACACGCACACCCCTACAAGCACAAGCACAGGCCTGGCTGGGCCGGGCTGGCGGTTCCTTTGGCCGTCCTGGCAGTCAGTCCGTCAGTAGTGTGTGGCCTGTCTTGTCTGGTCTGGTCTGGTCCCTGGTCCGGCGGGTTGGTGGTGTGCCTCTTCTTTTTTTTTTTTGACGCTGCCACTAGAGCCTGGAGAGGAGAGAGTGCGCACAAGCCGAGCAGCGGTCACCCAGGTCCAAGCAGCAACCTGGTCCGCCGAAAGTGGAATTGCACGCCCTGGCCAACCAAGGGCGGTAATAATAGAGTTGTCGGGACCAAGATGCGATTCAAGAGTCAGGCTCAGGCTGCACTCGCGGGCAGGGGACGAGGGAAAAATTGTTAAAAGTGCCACACGACAGTAACAGCAGAGCAGAGCATGACACGACACCACACGACACGAGCCGACACGATCTGACCGATCCCTCTGCCCTTGTACAAATATGCGCTCCTGTCGTTTGTCCCCTCTCTCTCTCAGTCCTGCACTCTGTTCTCAAGCGTGCGTGCATGCGCACACACGAGGTCCAGTCCAGATTCCATTACTGTTGCTATTACGCCCCCCTCGGAAGGCACAGCTACAGATAAATGTGCATGCGCATCAACAGGGCACGGCGCAAAACCGAGTTGCGGAAGCGGTGGTGGTGGTGTTGGTTGTGGATGCCCATCGGAGCGTCTGATGAAGCCTTCTCCACCTGCTGGCCTCTAGCATCTCGCTCGGCCACTCTGATCCCAGCAGCGCCAGCATCTTGCAGCAGCCGCAGGCCTTTCTTTCGGCTTAACCTGCAAAAGCGCAGGACCAGGGGTGGATCCTCCTACGCCGGTGGGCCCCTGCGCACGCGAAGGTGGGCGGGGCCACTTGGGATGCAGAAAGACGAGAACGAGACATTTTGCCTGAAGTAGGCATCGGATGGCTGGCGGGCTGGCGGGCTGGTCAAGTCGTCTGCAGCCTGACGCACAACGGTGCAGTTGATCATCCACTACAGGGCCCCTGTTCAGGCCGTTTTTTAAGGGTCCTCGAGATGTCCTTGCCATGAGGCATCGAATTGCGGCGATCCGCTCCCACTCATTGTTTTCTTTTCCTGTAAATCTCAATGCGTGCAGCAGAGCGGTTGCATCAAGATGCACTGTGAGGTCTGCCGGGTACAATTACCAGAATGACATCAGAAGATTGACTGAGAAGGCCATTACGAGGGCATCGCCAACCTTTCGCGATGATACACTGCCCTCCCAAAAGCATCACCGGCCCAGTGGATAGGTGACGCATCTGGGTCGATCCCTGGCACGCTAGGGGCTTCTTGGTTTTCCCGGGACGTGAGAGAGGATTGGCATGGACTGTCCAGTCGTTAATTAGACCATCCGACCCCTTTCCGAAATCTTCCTTTCCAAGTGGCCCAGTGCTGCTAGTGTCTGGAAGCAAGGCTTGTTCCCTGTCTGAAAACCGTAGTGTCGGCCTTGAAATCGTCAACCATCTCTTCCCATGTGGGGACTGGGACAGGCAACGTTCAGGTGAGATTGTTGCACACGACAGCCGCTGGAAGACCCAGGCACGTTCCCCAAAACTCACAGGCGGGTTTCGGGGGGCATGCTTGCGTGCAGCCAGGAAGCTAGGAAGAGAAGGTCCCGTCCAGCCTGCGACACCGAGCTCGTGTGGGGGCAGTCGAGCACCCGATGGGCATGCCGGATTTGAGACATGGACATAAAATAACCTGTGCAGTCTAGACTCGGGGGTGCATATCCTGGCACACAGCAGGTGCCCATGTCAGGATGCGGTGCGAGGCCATACAGCGGGCATTGCTTGCTCAGCTGCGCAGCTGGGGTTGGAAATCCTCGTGCACGGAGAGTCAGTCCCTCGGTGTTAAGGACATGCAGGAGCGGGCATGGTGGACATGGTGTGAGGCTTTGGAGCTAGCGACGCAGACAGGGTTGGCGGCGTGGGGTTTCTTCCTGCAAGCACGGATGAAGGAGGTCGAATGTAGTCGGTACCGGCAGGGGCACGCGCGAGTGGATGGGCCGTGATCGGCAAGGATGGCTTGCTCCGCGCGAGGAGCTGCGACAGCAACGCTGCGCGGCTGCTGTGGCTGCTCACGCATCGGCGTCGCAGCGCGCGGATCGGGCCCCTTCAAACTCGGCCTGTTGAGCATACATTCGTGGTCATGGACATGGTCAGCCGTCCAGCAAGGCCGAGTACCGCCGTGCCCGCGTCGTGGGCTCATCCGGCACCTCTGGACTCTGGAGCGATTTGGAGCACATGTAGACTACTGTGGTAAGCCAGGCAAGATCTGGGCCGATGGGTCGTGCACGTACGATATCTCTGCCGGTGACTCGTTTACGGTTGTCATTTGATACCAAGCAAGACTGTGGAGCAACAGATGGTCCCTGCCCGACCTGGGAACTGGAAAAAACTGGGAAGAGGTGGCATTCTGCCTTAAACCCACGAGATTCCCGGGTTCCGAGCTCTCTGGGCGGCGAACGGCCTCCACCGTGATGGTTCGTACCGTCGCAGAGGATCCGGACCAAGGGCAATATGAGATTCTGCATTGAGACAAGAGAGGCGTGCCTGGTATTGTGCGGCTGAGCTCTCTCCACGCAGATCCACGGAAGTTGGCCGGCGATGCTGGCGGCGGGTGGGAACGGCGGACGGCGCTGTCGACTCAAGACCTAGTTTTTACAATACACGCTCCCAGGCCAGCCGGAGACAGACTGTGAGAAGGCTCCTTGACTGTTGCTTCACTTCAAGCCCCTTGGCCGCCTGGGATGTTCCGCGGTTGACGTCAGGCCAGGTGCGGCAACGAGCAAAATGTGGGCTGCCGATGTGGCGTCCACATAGCCTGGATAAGTGTAGTTTAGGACATGTCCATCATCCACGGGAGTGCGGATGTCGACGTTGCTTCCGCGGCAGTCTGATCGGAACGTAGCCCGTATGTTTAGCGCTGCACAGAGGTGGTTCACGCCCCTCCTCCTCCTCCTCCTCCTCCTCCTCCTCCTCCTCCTCCTCCTCCTCCATAATCGGAGACATTAAAGCCCACACTGGCTGACTTAGTCACAGCAAAGTGATGCGACGGGGTTTGGGGGGTTGGAGGGGGGACCGGTTTCCATAGTTCAGCGATGCTAGACAGCAGTGTGTAGCTGGCGCTAAGTATTAAATGCCCAAAAATTCGCGGCTGTCGGTGTGCATTCTGTGATGAGGAGGCGCTGGATATACCTTTTCCCATGGCAATTACTTAGTCTGATAGGTTAGGATGGCATCGTGGCTGGCAGTAATGACAGGGCCCGAGGAACCTGTATTCGGTCCTGTGGCTGGCCCCTGGGCAGGTACTTTTAATCACGACTTTGGACAGTGGTGTGTAAGCAAACCGTGGTTTCAGGGTCCTTTCTATTAGTACCTATGCAGTCGCTATGTTGCGCAGATGTCGTCAGTTTCGAGAGGGGGACTGGATGGGATTGGTGGATGTTGTTGACCTTCCTGCAGCAAGATGATGACCGCGGAAGCAATCCACTGTCCTGTGGATCTGTCGCCTCCGTGCTTTGATTTAGCTGTGGGAGCTCTAGAATGCTGCAGCACTGCGGCTGAGAAGCTGGCGATGGGAAGACGGTCGTGCCCTTGGAGTCCTGGGCTTGTGAGTCCTGAGTCCTGACAGGCACGACTGTACCGTGGTACTCATGGTGGACAGGTATCACGGTCTGTGGGACCCCGGACCAGACAGGCTGACTGACTGACTGACTGACTGACTGACTGACTGACTGACTGACTGACTGACTGACTGACTGACTGACAGGCAGGCAGAAACTGCCAGAAAGGCAGGCACGCAGGTGCAAGTGGGTGTTCGTCTGTGCTCGAAACCCCACACCCCTCCACCGCCCACACAGCCCGCACCGCACCCACCCCATGCTTACTACACCCACACAACACCCACTTTCCACCCACGCCAACGCCCACATCCATTGGACTCGCTCGCTTTTCAACACAATGAACTGCACTTGGACTACGGCATAATGATCACTGGGCCCTTCCCACGAACTCCCGCCCGCACCTGGGGGGCCGAGACCAGCCTCGCCATCCCGCGCGGGCACTGACAAGTGCTCACCCTGCTCCTGCCTGCCTGGCCGGCCTCAAGTCACACCACAACCACGCGCTGACGCGCACTCCCCTTTCACCTGCCTCGAGCTCATCCTCGCCATCCTCAATGAGTGCACCTGATCCAGGCGACGGCGTCATGGGCGTCAGACGTCGGCAAATCAAGAGCCACGAGGTCCGGCTGGACGGCCTCGACAACATGTTACGATGCACCTTGACATGCCACCCTCTAGCTCCATCCAGCTGGCGCCCGCTGCGTGGGTTGCTTTCAACCTGACTTTCAAGCCTTGTCTGGCTTGACCCTCCAGCCAGCCCAGCCATCCGGAATCGAGTGGGCGCTGTGGCCGTCCCAGCCCAGGCCCTGTCATCGCTAGACGACCCCAATGTACCGGATACCCAGATGCACCCACCTTTTCGACAGGGGTCTAAATTGTCGCGTGTGTACATCCTATACCTCAGCCAGGGTGCTCTACTATGGCACATGTGCGAACCCCCACGGCAGCAGCAAGCCTGTGAATGAGAGATCATAAAACCAGACTGTAACAGCATCGGAACGACAGCCATCTCTTCCTCCTCGGTCTGGCGCTGCCTGCCTGCACGCAACAAGATGACCAGATGACTCCTGACCTGACATTCTACAGGCGTTCCAGAATCCAGTGTCGCTTGTGTCTGTGTTTGGATTTTCCCGTCGCATCTGGCTCCGAGCCATCCCGATCTCTTCCTGCAAGCGGTGGGCTTATTCTTGCCGGCACCCCCCAGCTTCGGCTTCAGCGACCGGACGCCTCAAAACTTGATTGGGCAATGGCTGTTACTCCTTCACCCTCACCAACAAACACCCTGTCCCATCTCCGAGTCTCGTGAGATTGGCCGAGACAATCTGGTTGTGCCCGGGCAGGCAAAGCAGCCAGACAAATCAATCAGCGAGCCAGCCATCAATGAACCGAGTACATAGTGGCCAGGTGCGAAAGTACCTGACTAGGACCTGACATGGCAAAATAGCCCTGGGATGGAAACACGACATGAAAGTAATGGTGTCGTGCGACTCGACTGCATCGTCCAACAGACACACGTCGACATCTGGCCGGCAAGCATGTGAAGTCGCCCACCCCAGGCACAAAGAAACCCTCGCGCGCACCCTCTAACCAAGGGGCCGGCACCCATCGGACGGCCAACTGGCGGGCGGGCATACACGACGCTCCCATCCCTTAGACGGCCTGCCATGTCCACAATCCTGCTGCCATTGCGTTCGATGGCGGTAGAATTCGATAAATTGCTCGGCCGTCCCCTACGACGAGCCGTGGTGCTTCCGCTCAATCCAGTACCTAGTACGTAGCATTGAGTTTTTTTTTTGTAAAGAAAAAAAGTGCTGCGGGAGCAGGTACTGCTGAATGCGGCGCCTAATACGACATGCCCGGACGGACCTTTCTAAGTGTGGCACGGATCACCCCTGCACCGCAGCGTTCGAGAATCGACCCGCTGGACTTGCATCTCGTCTCCATTTCACTGGTCGACCGAGCGCCTGGCCAAGGTGTGTGTTAGACGAGTCCATACCAGCCTCTCGGGTCCAACACATTTGTAAAAGCACGTCCAGAAGGCTGCCCACAATGGATGGCAGAGTTCATGTTGGGTGCTAAGCGTCGGAATCTACAAGAGCAGCGACATATCTCATCTCAATAATGGCATGGCGTACGGTCCTGGCGAGTTCGTGAGGCTACATTCGCACTGCCTAACTGCTAAACCAAGTCGCATGCGACGCGAAGCTGTCCACGGCGCAATTTACTTCTTCAGGGTAGTCATTCGTCAGTGCCCCTTTGGCTGCAGCATCGTTGCCGCCACTAGTTGAATACAAGTGGTCCCGACACGGACCCTGAACAACACGAACAGAGGCTCCACCAATTGCCCATGGCCGGGACCGCTTTTTGACGCTGGTAAGCAACGCCTCCATGTCGTCTCGGCTTCGAGAAGAGCAGCTGCATTCAGCGGCGAGCATGAATTGTCGGACAGCCTGGTGCATTTCAATCAGTCAGCAACGATGGTCACGATCATACACGCGCTTCCCTTGTGCCCGCTCACGAACCACGGCAGGTAGAATCGTGTTCGTCCGAGCTGAGCGCTGGTTCGCATGAGACTACTGGCTTGCTCTGCCGTGCAGGGTCCAAGTGACGCAGTCCACGGGGGGGCCACTTGGGCGTGGTGAAGCGCTCGTTGAACCAATTTACATGTGACTGCCGAGCTTGCGTGGCAGCATTTAAGCCCGGGTGCCTTTGTCGCGAAGGGTAGGGACCATTTGGACTAGATTTTGGCGGCTCTGTCTCTGGGCACCGCTGGGCAAAAGAACAACCACCCCCTAGGCACTATAGGGATGATCCTCGTGGCTTCCGGATCTGTCAAGGAACCCCCTCTCAAGGCTCACCGTTTGTGCCTCCTGGAGGAGCAGGCGGTGAGAGGTCGCGGCAGACTGGGCGGCAGATTGCCTGGTCGTCGTGACCTAGGCATTGAACCGCCTGAAGCGCAGCGATTTTCTGACGCTTGATTCTTCGGACCACAACTCCGTGCCAACAGGTCTTTTACCCGCAATTTAAGCCAGGGCGGGACTTGCCTGGGGCCGGGCTTCTTCAATCGGCATACCGAAAATGGGGCTGACTCGCCCGGTCTTGTTTCCTGGCCCGCTCCATCCGGCCGCTACAACGTACAATTTCGCGAAGGAAGCAGACAATTTTCCGAAATGGACCTTGTCTGCACTGCTGTCATCGTTAGATGATTAGGACGTGTCGCCGCTTCTGAGGGCCAACGCTCCATCGCTGGTACCCTGCAGTAAATTCCCAGAACCCATGACGCCAGGTCCGGAATCACCGTACCAACGAACATAAGTGGTCAGCACCAAGTAATGATCACGACGTGCCAAATTTGGATGGACCAATCGAAGTTGGATCCAAGCGTGGGGGTCCGCAGCTGCCTTGCAGGAACCCCTCGTTCACCTCTGTATGTCGAACTGTCGGGGCGATCGCCCGACCTCCGCGATTCCCAGAAGGTGCCTGTCGTCGATGGATCTCGTCGGCGAAATGGAGGGCAAGATGACTGGAGTCGCCTGAACAGGCCATCGTTTCAGCGGCCTGCAAGATGGCGGACGTTTGGCCTTTCGCCGTAAAGATCGTTCGTTCGGACCCGGAAATATCATTCCCTCTCCCGGATGATGACCCTATTCCCTAGAACTTCGACATTTTTTATGATAGACCCCGCGCAAGTCGAACCCTTCGGGTACGGCAGGGTTATGTCGCATCCTGGAATTTGCAGTCGAGTTGGTCGACGTCGCATTCATGGTCGTCGGCAAGGTTCGCCAAGTCCGAGGGTTGAAGTCCGTATTTGCGATGTTGAACCTTGACAGGTTTGTGCCTGGCCGTCTGCACTGCTCCTCCTACCAGGGGGCATTGGAACCCAGCCAGTTCCTCGAACATGGGGCGAGAGAGGCAAGAGGCCAGCTTATATGCACGGCAGATTCAAGAATGACTTGTGTCCCCCAACCTCACTCAGCCCATGAACCCCGGGGGGCCAAGGTAGGAATCCTTATCTCTGACGAACAGAGCCTTCCTCTCAACGTATAGCTCCACAGGTGAAGAGCACAACCCAGCGCCGATCCGGCAGGTCACCTCTGCTTCTGCACGTAAAGAGGAAGTAATTTGCAACATTGTGCAATCGGGCCCGGTACTGATGCGCAAGATACCAGAGTCACTTGCCACGTCCTAGTCCAGATATGAGGTTGATAAGACGAAGCGTGTCTCTGACCTTCCGAATGGGTATGGACAGGCTCGATGTTCAGCCTCTCTCTATTCGTCGTGCCCAACACTGCTGAGCAGTAGCACCTTTCTCAAACCCCTTCGAAGTTTCGAAGTTTCGAAGCTTCGAAGCCCGCAAGGGCCAAATTAACTCATCTCTTGCGAGATACGAGTTCCTCAAATGACCATTTTCAGTTAATCGGGACCTTCTGATTCGAGGTGTCTAATGTCTGATCAACCCCGAAGAGACGATGTTGGCTCTTCTCCGCGGGCAATCACTTGCACCCACCCCTACACACGTGCACGTCCTTTCCTGCCTGAATCACCCGAATATATCTGTGAGACGTTACCTCACAGGGATTGTTCTACGGGCCTCTAATGGCCAGCCTCGAGCCCCGAATCGTACTCCAAACGGGACATCAAGGTACACATCAACAAATACCTACTTAAGAGCGCCCAGGGCTGATACAGGCCCTGCTGACACCGCACGTATCAAGTCGCCCTTCTCTTTCCTCAAACTTCCTTATCTCTGTCCCTTTCTGTTCTTGTCTCACCGGCCACGAAGATCCTCGCATTTTGCAGATTGTCATCAAGTGTCAGACCTGCAGATGAGGCGTGTCGCAGTGGAAACTCGCATGCCGTTGCCAGAGATAAAAGGGCGGCGGCATCTTCGAGGCAACACAACCGGTGGCCCGTCCTCTCGCAGTCCCCGTTCACTTTGCCGCTCCGCAGGCGGTGGGCGTGTATGCGCGTCTGGCAATGGCTGGAACATCTCGGTGTCAGTACTGGGCCAAAGAAGTCTGATCGGCCCCCATTCGTGAGGCTCTCACTGCACGCCTGTTATCTTTGTGCTAGTGGGCATCTCTTAGATGCCGTTATCGCTTGCCCGGATGATGCATGCATTTGCGTGACTCGCCGAGGCTCACATAAGATGTGTCGCTCACCTGCACTTCATTGTCCCTTGGTCTACTTTTGTTTTATTTTTTAAATTTCATCGTACAAGTATTTCTTACACGTCTTGTCTTGTCCATGATCAAGCGAGTCCGCCGTGAGGCTGGACGAGACTGGAGGACAATGCTGAGCTGGTCCCATGGGCAACTTCGCGCCATCCCTCGAGTCGAACTCCTCTTGAACGACATAATGTGCTGAGTGGGGACTGAATACAGCTATGAGTGTGGCCGTTTTCGACCCGGCCCTTTGTTGTGTCGGTGCTTGACTGGACGGGCTGCTTTGTCTACAATGTCACTCTTCTGAACTCGGGCCAACAGAGGAGCCTCAAGATGTCGAGCACGAACTCTGGATCCAGGATACCTCGTCCTGATGGCACTCTTGGAGATGGTATCAAAAAATGAAGGCACGATGGGGCGGCGGTTCCTGCCATGCTGCATGGCCGTCGCTCTTTCTCTGTTCGGCATTGCTCAATGTCAGGCCTCGGGGGAAGGGGACACGACGGTCCACAGCACGTCCACGACGACTCTATCTTTAACAAGCACGATCACGGTACAGCCCAATACACCGACCGCCCTCCAGAGTAAAGAGATGCAGAAGGGAGAAGTGTACATTCTACAGGGATGTTATGGACAGGGTGAGCCGAGTAACGTCGAGACAATGCTGGGCACAAACGTTACGGTCCGAAGCGCGGCCGGGAAAGATGGGATGTCACTGTCGATGTGCCTCAACTTTTGCAAATCGCCGGCGTCACCTGAAATCAAACCACGAGATGAGCAGAGCCTTTCTTTATTTGTTGGTCTATCGGAAGGAAAGTAAGTGTTATGTGTCCTTGCTGTGATCACAGGGCGGACCAGACAGCAGAACTAACCATCCGACCATGTCCATAGAGCTTGTTATTGCGGAGGCTCGCTCAACTCGACTGCCAAAGAGGTCCAACCCACGAACTGCACCCTGCCATGCGCTGGCAACAACGCCGTAGCGTGCGGTGGCGCTGGCTACATGTTAGTCTACAAGCTCTCGACAACATCCGAATCCGGGAAGAAGCAAGGTGATGGGCCCTACGAAGATCATACAGGTAGCAAAGGGAGACCAGGTGTAACGGCGGGGATCGCGCTGGGGAGCATATCCGGGTTCGCACTGCTTGCATTCCTCATCTTCTACGGCGCCAAGATGTACAAGAGGAGAAGACAGCGGCAAGCGAGCCGGAGTGACGAACACGGGGCGGGCGGAGACGGCACGAGCGACACGCCACCTGCGAGCAGCGCGGCCAACCTGAGCAATACCAACCGAGCCGACCTGAGGAACGTCGATCCTATCGTGATAGACTTCGCCCCCCTAAGCGGTGACCTGCGTGCCTCGAACGCGCCACGGCCAAAGCAAATCATCGCCGCCTCGACGGGCGCAGAATGGAGGACGGGCAACCCGGGGACACCGCGAGCCGCCGTGGACGCAGCGCCGAAGCTGGCAACTACTGGGGCCCGAAACGACGCATGGGACGACATACCCCACACGCCCACGATACTGGTGCAGCACCCCGAGAGCGCCGCGCAGAACCCGGGGCTCGGCGAGAGGGCGTGGCACCGCCGGCGCCTTTCGACACCTCAGCCTCCCGCGGGATACCGGTACAGCGACGGCCCCGACGCCTTCGCAGGCGGGAGCTCGCGGGGTCCGGGGGAGACACAGACGTCGCAGGGCACCGGGGAAATGAGCAAGGCACCGTGGGAGGACGACTGGGACTCGCTGATGCCTGCGCCGCTGACCTTGCCGCCGCTCGGGCACGGTGCGGGCGGCGCCTCGGCGCCGGCTGAGGAGGACCGAGGACCGCTGACCGCGAAGACCATGTGGACTGTCCCGTCTGATCCTTCGCTGTCCGGGTCGTCGGGGAAGACCGTGGAGAGGGGTGGGAAAACGGGGAAGACGGAATGAACGGATATCTGTGAGAAGTGCATGGCTGTACGCTATTCAGTGTTAAGCGGCAGATCCAAACAGGAAAGACCTTTCTGGATCATCTTGTTGTCCATCCTGTCCGAACACAAGCGCATTTGGCTGGTTTGCACGCCTTGAATATGTGTGTCGGGAACGACTCATTTCTGTAACCGCGTGCCTTTGATCTAACTGGCAGTATGGCGAGTTGGAACCCCCCAGGTGCATTACCCTCCACTCTAGGTCGGTTTACGGTCCTGAGACTCGAGGGATGGTGCTTTGACGACTCTTGAACGAGGATATCTCCGATGTTGACCTTGTCGTGACTGTTGAGGGATTGTGTCAGTACGCCATGAATTTGTGCAAAAGATTGTAGAGGTCCTCTTCCTCCTGGTGACGCATTCAAGGTCTATCCACCCGCAGTCTGATTTGGCGTGGCTCCTTTACCGTCCGCGATGTTGATCCCCATTTAACATCCAACAATGAGTTACTAGGCGTCCCTCAAGGCGAATGAAGCAGCTCTGTGGACAAAAGAAGGAGCTTCTCGCCGCGCTGGATGGCCCTCGCAATCAGCGAGTCCGTAGAGCCCTCGCCGACCAGGACTGTCTTTCGTCACCATTGCTGACCTCAGCTGGTTGAGCTTCTTTAAACAGCACATAATGAGGTCGCGAACGCAGATTTTGAAAGGAGTCATATCGAGGTTCCTATCCATGGCACAAGTTCTCACACAAGGCACACCAGAGGAGTCTGAACATTGGTCCATGATGATCTCGGGAGGCTTGATATCGCCTCCAGGCTGTATTAGGACAGAACGAAACGACGGAGAGATTGTCTGTCTAGGTCTGTTTGCGTATTCTTGCTGAAAAACAAAGACTAGGGGAGATTCAGCTTGTCGCCACACACACAATGGACCAAGCGCAGTCAGAAATAGTTCATATTCCGAGCAAGTCCGGTTCTATCTGGTATTCAAGACCACACCAATTTCTTTTCCTAACCATTTTCCCAATGTACCTTTCAACCTCCAACCAAAAACCGAGAGGCATCGAACAGACTCAATTGCCCGTTTTCCACCATGTTGCTCACTCGCAGTACTTGCTCTGGTAGTACCTGCTGACCTTGACGCTCTTCATCTCATTCTCGTAGAAGCGCGCTGTAAACAGCTCATTGGGGGTGTTCGCCAGGCCTTTGCCCATCAAGAGGCCGCTCATGAACAAAGTCCACTCGCAAGTGCCAGTCTCCTCGGAGACGACGATGTCGAAGGTCAGAGCATGCTCGCTCATGGTGGCAGAGACTTGAGAAAGATTGGTCAGTCAATTGTTGAGAAGAATTGCTATCGATCTTTGCAGAAAGAATACGGAGAGTATCTATTTGGCGCACTTACTCTTCTCCGCAGCAGCCTGGAGTGCCGCGTCGTGAACCTGTTGCATCTTCAAAGCCTCGTCGGCAGCCGCGGGGCCAGTCTCAGTTAGAGCATGGTCCATCTGCGGCAAATTCGAGTCAGCGTCAGGCAACAGAGAGCTAGTTCTGGCGCAGCCGCCCACCAAAACGCTCTTTGCCAGCGCGCCCTCCCACTCGCGACAGGCCTGGGCCATCGCGGAGAGCTTGACGCGAAGCTGATCAGATCGCCACATGTCTGCCTCCTCCAGCACGCGTGTGTTCTCCGAGTGCGCTGGGTAGTCCAACAGGACCTCCAGTCGGCCGTGGCCATCCTTGCTGCGCTGGGTCTGGACAGACTGGACGGAGCAGGCGGGCGTCGAGACCAAGCTGGGGAGCGACCAGAAGCTCGCGCTGCGGTGAACGTCGGAGCCAGGCGCGGAGGGGTAGGTCATCGAGGAAGGTTGCTTCTTGGATGGCATCGTGACAATGAAGGAAATGGGAGCAAAAACCCAGTGGGAAGGAGAGCAGGTCTTAAAAGTGGGTTGAGGAGGCTGGGATTGCCTTCTGGCAACAACCGGGAGAGGGGATCGAAATTGAGGACCTTTTGGTGAGGCAGGGAGCCTTGCAAATAACAGAGAAGCTCGCGATCTGAACACAAGGTTCGGGACCTGAGATATGGCTTTGTGTGCTTGCAAATAGGAAGATGGATTAGAAACCGCAATGTAGTGAATGACTGAAGTATGCAGGTACAGTTGCAGTATGGCAACTACCTAGGTATGTGGTGGGTACAATCGCGGTTGATGTGAACAAACAAGCATGCTAGTGCCTCTAGCAGAGCAAACAATGTGTGCGCATGGGGTATGGAATTAATGGTGGCCTGTTGGTTGGTACCAAGCAAAGGCGACAAAGCTATGATTGATTCAGTTTCCACTCAGGAGTTTCTCCACGGCCCATTTCACAGAGAAGTTCCTGAGGTCGGAATAGTGCTGTCCAACGCCAACAAACAAAACCGGCACGTTGGTGGCATGTACCAAGCTCACCAGGGTGCCAACCATATCTCCCACGGTATCGCACTTGGAGATAATGAACCCGTCAAGAGTCCGCACGGATCCGAATGCCGCGTTGAAGTTGCGAGCCTGGGCGACAGAGTCCGTTCCGACCAGAGCCTCGCCCACCATGAGGATCTTGTCGGGCTGCGCAAATTTGGCGAACTTCTCCAGCGACGACATCAGCCGCTGGTCGTTGTGCCTCCGTCCAGCTGTATCAATCAGCACGACATCGTAGCCCTGCTGGCTGGCAAACTGCACAGCATCTCTTGCGACGGTAGCCGCGTCCTTACCGTATCCCTTTTGGTACAGCTCAACCTCACCACCCTCACGCGCCGTCAGCTCCTTCAGATTGCGCACATGCACCTCCAGCTGCTCGACAGCCCCCGACCGGAAGGTGTCACCTGCTGCGATGAGCACCTTGTACTTGTTCTGCAGCAGAAAGAAGCAGATCTTGGACAGGTTCGTGGACTTGCCCACGCCGTTGACACCGACGATGGACATGACGTATGGCCTGGCTTTGCGCATTGACGTCGCAGAGGGCGAGGTGATGGAGTCGATCTCGCGCAGAAGATCCATGGATGACGTCGGGGTTAGCATTTTGGTAAGCGATGCCTCCATTGCCGTCTGTATGCGCGTGCTGATGCTCTCGAAGCTCCCAGTCGTGACCCCGATCAGCTCCTTCTCGACGCCTTCGCACAGCCGGACTGCAGCCTCCCTGGCCACGTTCTTGCGCAGCAAATGATCCTCCATCCCCTTCATCGCCTTGTCCAGGTCCTCCTTGGTCAGTTTCTTGCCGCCAATGACATTGCGGAACAGGCCGCTGATGGCGCTCAGACCAGTTCCCACCAGACCACCATTCGCAGTCTCTGTGCTGGTTGCTGCCTTCTTGGCTTCTGCGTCAGCGAGCATCGAGTGAACCTCATCGCCAAGGTCCTTCAGCACAAACTTTCCCTTGGTGGTCGAGCCCCATGTCGAGGAGTCAACTTCCTCGAGCGCCGAGGACCGTCCGACAGCCACGTCACCTGTGTCACCAGAGTAATCGAGCTTCACGTCAGTATCGTCCTCGAGGGGCAGTCCGTCGTCGTCCCACTTGCGACCCTTCTTGGCCTGCTTTGCCGCTCCCTTGGTCTTGCGCGATGCAGTCTCGTCTCCGGACGCAGGGGCAGAGTTGGTGCGGTTCACCGCCTTGCGGGCTCGCCTCGATAGCTTGGCTGCTGGACTTGCGTCGCCACCGAGCACGGCATTGTTCGCAGGGGTGGCAGGCCGGGAGGTCACAGGTGTGGACTCGACGGAAGGGGCGATCTCGGGTGATGGAGGGTCGTCGCCCTCTTTTCCGGACACCACATCCTTCTCTCTGGCAGCCTTTGCCGCCTGGGGTTGGACGGGACGCTTCTCGCCGAGTTGCTCGAGCTCTTGGATCTGCTGGTCGAAGTACTTGTCGAACTGGGAGCACTCGACTTGTGTGGTGTTCGGTTTGGTCAATTGGTCACCGTACAGCTGAACGAAAATGGTCTTGATGTTGTCGACGAGCTTGTCTATCCAGGAGAGGTGGAGCAGGGACCTGTAGACAGCGACGAAGATGATGCCGAGCTCCTTGACCATGGTCCATCGCAGGGTGTGCTGCTCGGTCTTGTAAGGCGCATTGGTGGCGGCGGAGTTGTTTGCTTTCACAAAGCTAGATACGCCCTTCTCTTCGACAAACACATCTGTTATAAAGCTGTTGATGACCGAAGGCTTGACTGGCGCCCATTTCCGGGACCATATCACCACGCCGGCGGTGGTGACGATCTCGAAGGTATCCAGCATGGCTGAGACGGGGACACTTCGCTCGGATATTGTTGGGCAAGAGGGGGGAGCGTCGGACTGGTCGATTAAAGCAGGAGCTAGTTGGGAAGCTTGCTGTCCAGGAGATCGGGTCGAATCGAGTCGAGAGCGAAGTGAAAGGAAGAGGCAGACTCGATGGAGTCGGAGGCGAGAGGCACTTGATGTGCTGGCGCTGTCAATTGGGCGCAGGCGTCGGACTGTCCGTCTGCGGCGCGATAAGGCGGCGCATCCTTATCGATATCCTATTCGACCCGACCTGGATTTGGTCTTGGCACATTGGTCTAGGTGCACCTTTGCCGCCCACAGCACAGCTATGGCAGCCTGGGTGGTGTTATGTAAGCTCGCTGCAACGTAAATGACAGCATGCGCTTTCGCAGCGTGCGCCGTCTACCTTTCAGGGGTCGAGCTTTGTCTGTCCAAGGCGGTCAGAAGCTACTCGACCACAGGCCAACTTTCGCACCCCATAGCATAGCTGGCGTCTTGTCCTGACCACGTCTTGACAACACTTTGCGCCACCACCAGCCCACCCACCGGCCCTCGTCCGTTTCCTATCGCCGCCTCCAAATACCGACAGACTCAAATTACATTTGATTGACTGCCATACCGTTGGCGCGACACGCCAGCACGCCCACGATGCAGCGACCCCAAGCATACGGCCAGTCGCCGCCTCTCCACCACCCCGTACCACAACATGTCTCGACCGTGCCCCAGCTGCGATCACCACCTCCGCCTCCACCGACAGGCTCCCAGCCCCAGTCGCAGAACTATGGCAACCCCTACCAAGCTCAACAAGGGGCGCCGAACGGCAGCAACCTTGGCCAGTACGGCAACTTCATGAACGACCCCACAGCCCAGTTCGCCGCCCAGTTCGGCCAGACTGCTTTCAAGCACGGACAGGAATATCTCGAACAAAACGTAGGTGACCTCCAAGCCGGGCGCATAGCACATTTGAGGCGCCCGAGTGTCTTGGTGACGTGTTGCTAACCCCCATGTGACAGGTCAACCGCTACTTCAACTATCCCGCCCTCAAGCACTACTTCAACGTCACCAACAGCTATGTAATAAACAAGCTCTTCCTCGTCCTCTTCCCCTGGAGGCACAAGCCTTGGTCGCGCAAGCAGGCGGTCGGCCCCAACGGCCAGGAGGGATGGTACCTCCCGCCCCGCGACGACGTCAACAGCCCGGACATGTACATCCCCGTCATGTCCATCGTGACCTACATCCTCCTCTCCACGCTCCTCGCCGGTCTGCGAGGGCAGTTCCAGCCCGAGCTGCTCGGCTCGAAAGCCGCGACTGGCCTGATCGTGGTCATGGCCGAGATCGCCGGCTTGAAGGTCGGGTCCTACATCCTCAGCATCTCCAACTCGTCGCAGCTGCTGGACCTGGTCGCGTACTCGGGCTACAAGTTCGTCGGGATCATCGTGACCATCGCCGTGGCTGAGATCTTCAACGGTGGCAAGGGCACCGGCGGATGGGTCGGCTGGAGCGTCTTCATCTACACCTTCCTGGCAAATTCGCTCTTCCTCATGCGCTCGCTCAAGTACGTCTTGCTGCCGGAGAACAACGGCGACCCCAGGGCTGGAATGCAGACGGACTCGAGGGCAAAGAGGAACCAGCGCACGCAGTTCCTGTTCTTCTACTCGTACGTTGTACAGCTGGTCTTGATGTGGATTCTCTGCAGGGCTTAGGGGAGACTGGACGGTGATGCGTCTTTGTTATGACACAACGATCTGTGGCTTGGGGAGTTTGGGAGAGGGCACGGCGAAAAAAGGTATTGGCATATGTACCGGCATGTTTGAAATGTAACACCAGTAAAGTTTAAGCGGTCCAGGTTCAATGGACGGAAACACATTCATCATATGTCTTAATTAAGTGCATCTGGCTCGACTTGTTTCGGTCTTGACGAGGCTGCCGGGAATTGTTACAACAAAAACATGCAACAGCGGTTGCATATTTCTGCAAGACATGACGATGTCGATCGGACAAGCTCCAGTTGTATCGATACGTGGGAAGGCTTCAATATCTCTGGTTGAAAATATGTAGCGACAACTTTGCTGTAAGTAGGGTTGCACAACTTGTAAATGGACCCTCCGACCCCAAGGGGTGGCTGAGCTTGCATATGCAGGCGGTCTCTATTTTTGTGGCCTTCAGCATCTCTAGATCGGAGTTACGCAGTCCTTCAGCCTGGGATATCGGGAGACTCTAAAGGCTTGTGGTTGCACGTCGCGTGTTCTGAGGTCTCCCGTATTCAAGACCTTCAAGACCGGATGTTTCCTATCCCTGAAAACTGTTTTACTATTTGCTGTCAACCTGCTACCCTTAAGCTTTTGAGACTATGGTGTGTCACAACACACCAATTTGGGCTGCATGAGTTCTTTGACGGCGGACATCCAGCTATGGCAAGCCTGGAACGTATCCAGGACGAGATTTCGTCACTGCACGGGAGCACCATCTCGTTCAGTTGCCATCGTTGTTAATCTGTTGATGAGAGGCAGCCGCTGCAGAACGGCGACCAAGCCAACTTTGTTGCACGCACATCCCTAACCCTGGTTTGCAACCACTTTCTGGAATGCTTAAATAGTCAGATTTCTTTTATTTCCTCCTTTTAAACTACTCTTAGGAGATAAACGCTTTTATAATTATGCTTTTAAACCCCTTATAATACTTATAGCCTTTTATAATTATAAGCTTAATTTATATAAAATAATCTTTCTTTTTTATAAGCTATAAATAAATTATATAAAGCATATCTTAATTATATTTATTTTATATTATTTATTTCCTTTTATTTTTAAGCATATATTTATATAATAATTATAAATATTTCTTTAAACCTTATTAATTAAATAATTTATTTAAATACTTATTTCTTTCTTATTTAATTTATTAAATTATAATTTTATTATTAAATTAAGGAATATTAGGAATTTATAAACCTTAATGTATTAAATATAGCTTTCCTTAAGTAATTAAATATAATTTTAAAATTAAATTCCTAATTTATATAACATAAAAAGAAGAAAAGAAATATTTAAAAAGCTTTATATAATAAGTATTAAAAGCATTTAAGTAATAATAAGCTTTTAAAAGATAAAATAATACTTATTTTATTTTTTCCCTTATTTTTTAATAAATTAAAAAAGGGATATAATTAATATTTTTAATAATAAGTTGCCTTAATTCTTAATAAGGTAATTAAATTTAATAAAAAATAAAAAATTTAAAAATAAATATAAAAAACGATATTTAGCTTAATTCTTTCTTTATATTTAATTAAAATAATAAATATAAAATAATTTTTTATTTAATAAGTAATTTAAAATATTAAAAATAACCTTATACTTTTTAAGTTAAATATAATAAATACCCTTTAAACTTAATATTAATAATACTTAAAAAAAGTAAAAAAACTAAGTATTAAATTATAATAATAATATTAAAACTTTATAAATTTATATTTATAAGCTTATACTTATAAATTACTTAAGATTAAGGGATTTATTAATTTAAATAACTTTTTATAAATAATTATAATATATATTACTTTTAATTAAGTAATTTTTAAGCATTAAGAATTTATTAAATAAAATGCGCTAAGAAATTTAATTTATCCCTTAAAAACCTTATTTAAAGAATTAATAATACTTTTATATTATAATAAGCTTATATTAATCTTTAAAAATATTGTAATATTTATTATATTAAAATTAAAAGTATTTTTTAAAATAAGGAGTGATTAATTAAGAAAGTAATTAAGAAATAAAAATACATTATTTTAATTATATTAATAAAATAAAATATATAAATGCTTTTATTAAAAAACTAATTAATAAAAGGGATATACTTAGCTTCTTATTAATTACCGCTACCTTTATTTTATGCTTTTAAGGAAATAAATCTTAAAGTTAAAAATACCTTTAAGAAAACCTAAATATAATAAAATTAAAATATAATTATAAGAAAATTATTATAAAAACTTAATTTAAGAGCTTATTTAAAAAAACCTTTTACTTAAAGATTAAATGCAAAGCTTATTAAAAATATTAAAAACTTCCTTAAATACATTTTTAAAAACTATTAAGGGATAAAATCTTAATTTCCTCCTTTAATTTCATTTTTCTTTATAAAATAAATTTATGCTTTTTAAACCTTAATTTTAAAAAATTAATTAATTAATAATACCTTTATTATATCTTTATTAACTTTTTATTAATTTATTTACGCTTTAATTAATTTATTATAATTATTAATTATAATTAATTCCTTAAAAATATATATAACTTTAAATTTTATATTATATCTTTTATTTTTAAGCATAATTTTAAATAATTATAATATTATTTATCTTATTAACTATATTAATTATTTAATTTTAAATATTTTTAAAAAAGCTATTAAAATAAATATTATTAAAGCAAGGACCTTATTTTTAAAGGTTTTAAGCTATAAAATAAAGTGCTTTAAAAATATATTATATAAAATAAATAAAAAAAAGATTAAGAATTTAATCTTAAAAAATATAGTAATTATAAATAAATTTTATATTAATATAATATTAAAAGCGCTTTTATAAAAATTAAGCATTTAATATTATAAAATTAATTTAATATTATGCTTTAAATTACTTAAATAAAGCATTATTCTTTTTAAACTTATTTAATAATATAATTTAATTTTTCTTAAATATATATTATTATATTTTCCTTATTTTTACCTTTTATTATAAATATTTATAAGCATTATAAGCATATATAAGCTTATAATTTTTTTAATAAACTTAATAAAACCTTTTAAGCCTTTTTAATACTTAAATAAGGATTAAAAGAACTTAATAACCCTTTAGCATTTTTAGTTTAAATACTTAAAGGCTAATATTCTTAAATTATTAATTAAATATATTTAAGGCATAAAATTTAAGGAAATTAAATAAATTAATTATAAAAATTGCTTTAAAACCTTTATTAAAAAGGTAATTTAATATAAGCCATTAAAAGGTAAAAACTTAAGACTCTTTTTTTAAATCTTATAAAACTTATTTTATTATTTATAAGCATTAAATAGGTTAAATTATAAGCTTATAATAATAAATAAGTTCTTAAGATTTATTTATATCTTTCCTTTTATATTAAAAACTTAAAAATAAGTATTTAACATTTTTATACTTATAAAAGCTAAGTAAAATAGTAATATAATTTAAATATTTATAAAAATTAAATAAAATGTTAAAGTTATAATAATTAATTAATTTATAAATATTAAATATATTAAATAGGTAAAATGAAAGAATATTAATTTAAAACTTATTTTCCTTTAAACCTTAAAAGCAAATAGCACTATAAAAAGAGCTAGCAAAGTAATAATTAAATATACCTTAATTATATTATTAAAGGCTAATTTACCTTTTAACCTTTAGCTAAAAACAATGCAAGCTATAGCTTAATTACATAATATATTACTTGCTTTAAGGAAAAGAGGACGCGCCTTAAATATTCTTTTATATATATAGTTTTCCTATTATTTTTAGTAATTTAAACTAACCTAAATTTACTATTTTATAGCTTATTTATTACTTTATTAAGGTAATATTTATGCTTATAAATATAAAGTATATATATTTAAAAAGAAATATAAAAATAATATAAAGAAATGCTTTATAAAAAGGGAATTAAAAACTTATATTAAGTATTTAATTAGTTATATAGCATTTAACATCTTTTAAATTTAAATTTCTTTACTTAAGTAAATAATCTTTATAAAGAATATATAATTTAATAAAAATATATTTTATAAATTAACAATAAATAAAGTAAAAAATAAGCTTTTAACTCTTAAAGTAAAATTATTAAATATTAAAATTATTAATGCTAAGGAAATTTAAGATTATATTTATATTATACTTTTAATACTTTATATAAAAAATAACTTAATTAATTTAAATAATAAATTTAATACTTATTTTATATTAAGAAAGAATAAAATTAATATTTTTAATTAAAACTTAAGGGTAAGAATTTTTAAATTTAAAAGGTAAAATCCATTATATATTGCTTTTTTAAAAAGCTTAGGAAATTAAAAATAAAGACTTTTAACCCTTAAGAAAACCTTAAATATATTAAAATAAAGCTTTTATAAAAAGAAATATACTTTTATTAATAAAGTAAAAGCTAATAAACTTAAACCTTCCTTTTAAGAATTATATATACTTAAAGTTATAAGAAATTAAAAATTCTTTTAATTAATGCAAATAAGAAGAATATAAAAATAAATTTAAGGGTTTAAATTTATAAAAAGATTTTCCTAAATATATAATTAAAATAAATACCCTTAGGAATTCTTTAATTAATTATTATATTTAATAAATATAATTATATTTTACTTTAATATAACCTTTTAAAATAACTTTATAATTATTTTTTTACTTAATTAACTTAAAAAATAAAAATAAAAAATACTTAAAAACTTATATTTTTTAACTTTAAATAATATAATAATAGCTATTATTTAAGCCTTTAAGATTAAGTTTAAGCCTTATTTAATATAATAATATTATAAAAATCTCTCTTTAAAATTAATTATATAAAGAAAAGCTTAAAAAAGCCCTTTTTAAGATAAATAGCTTAAGGTAATGCATTAAGAAATGCAAAGCCTTATTAAGCTTAATATTTAAAGCATTATTAAGCATTAAAAAGCAAAATTAATATTATTACCCTTAAAATAAATATATAAATATAAGCTTAATAAAGATAAAATAATTAAATTTTTTAAGGCATAAATTTATATTTAAAGAAACTTATAACCTTATTTTATTATAAAAAGTATATATATTATAACTTTAATTATAAAATCATTTTATATAATAATAATAATTATTATATATTTTAATTTAAAGATTTAATAATTTAATATTATAATTATATTTTTAAATATTAATTAAAAAGGGTTGAATTAAATTTATTATAAATTGCTTAATAAATTTAAGGAGTTAAGGAAATATAAAGTACTTTTAAGGGTATTTTATAAATTAAAAAACTTTCCATTTCTTTAATATAAAAATTTTAACTACATATTGCAAAATTTAAACTTAAAACTCTTTTTAAAAAAGCTATATCTTTTTATTAACTTAGCTTATAAGGTAATAATTTTCTTTTATATAAATAATATTTTAATTATATATCTTAAAGATAAATATAAATCTTTTATAAGGATTAAAAATGGGATTTAATTTATATATAAAATAAAAAACTAAAGAAAGGCTTAATAATTCCTAAATATATAAATTCTTAAAAACTAAGAAAAGTATATTATAATATTCCTTTATAACTTATATATTAAAAAGATAATAAATAAATATAATTTATTAAAAAGCAAAAACTTTTTATTATTTACCTTAATACTTAAAGAAAAGCTTAAGCCTTTTTTTAAATAAGCCTTAAAATAGGAAATTTAAGAGTTTTAAGAAAAAGTTAATTTTATCCTTTATATAATAATTATAATATGCTTAAATATAGCATTTCCTTGCTTTATATTATTAAGATTTCTTATAAACTTAAATTTAAGTTACTTTAAGGCAGTAAATTATATAATTTAATATTTATATATTATTTAATTCCTTAAATTATAATTTAAAGGGAATTAAAAAGCTTAAGCGCTCTTAATAATTAAAAATGCTTTATTTATTAATAATAAGGAAAACTAAAGATTTTTTAAAAGTATATAATAACCCTTTTTAAAAGCCTTATATATTAAAAAGCATATAAATAAGTAATTATTTTTACTTTAATTATTAAGGCTAAATTATTAGCTTTAAAGCTTATAATTAAAGAAATAATAACTTTAAAATGCTTATTTAAAAATATAACCTTAATTTAAGCAAGCCTTAAATTATTTATTATAATAATTAAATAATTATATACTTAATTATTAATAAATATAAATAGTTAAAAACAAGGCTTAAGCATATAAATATTTAATAAATATAATTAAAATAAGAATTTAAAAAAGGCATTTTTAACATTATATACTTAAAAATTAAAAAACTACTTATAAATAAACTTATTAAAATTTTATTATGCATTTAATTTAAATATTTTAAAGCTTTTTTAAATCTTTAAAATATAAGGAAAGTAATAAAAAGGGATTAATTTATTTATTAATTATTCTTATTATTAAATTTTTATTAAAAATTTTAAAAACTATACTTCTTAAAAACCATAATACAACCCTTATATAAAAACTATTTCATAATTAAAAACTCCCTTTTAACCTTTATAATAATATATTAATTAATTTAAAACCTTCTTTTAATTATTATAATAACCTTTTAACTTTTTTAAAAAACTCTTTTTAATCTTTAATTAAATTTTTAATTATAATTTTAAATTAAAATTTAATAATATTTACTTTTTAATATTATTTTTAAAATTAAAAGGCTTAATTAAGATAATAATATAATTTTAATACTTTTTTATAATTTTTAAATTATTAATAATTTAATTTTAAAGCTTTTAAGCCTTTATATTAACCTTATTATATTACTTTAAAGTAATTATAATTTAAGCTTTAAAATACTTTATTATATCCTTATACCTATTTTTTATAACCTTTAAAAGCTATTACTATAAAATAAAGATCTTTTAAGTATTAAAAGAAATTATAAAAATGCAATTAACATAAATTAAATTAAATTCCTTATGCTTATATATATTTAAGGCCTCCTTTTAAGTATATTAAGACTTTTTAAATGCTAAAAAATTACTAAATTAAGCATAATAAAAATAAAGTATAAATAATAAAAGGAATATTAAAAATAGCTTATAGGAATTACCTTAAGTATAATAATAATAATAATTATCTTTATTATTATAATTTATATAAGAATTATTATTATAACTATATATAAGGCTCTTAATATAAAAAAAATAAAGAATATAATGCTTATTAATTTTCTTAAGCTTCTTTATATCCTTTTTCTTTTCCTTGCACTTTATTTTAACCTTTTCTTTAAAAAGGCATTTTATTTTAAGCTTTAAGCTATTTATATATGCTTAAAGATTCTTTAAAGCTATATTAAGAATTAATATATGCTTTAAAACTAGTTTTTAAATTAATTAAAAAACTTACTCTTAAGCATATTATTTAATAATATCTTAATAAAAGTATTAAAGCTTTTGCTATTTTTATTAATAAGCTCTTTATTAATTTAGCCATGCTTATATTTCTTTTTTTAAATCTTAAAAGTATAAAAAGGCAAAATAGCTTATAGCTTAAAAGTTTATTTTCTATTACTTTTAATTATCTTTAATATAATTAAAAAAATACTTAAAATTAATAAAAGTAAGTATTTTTAAATATAAATTTAATTAAAAAGTTTAAAAAAAAGCTTTAATTATTAATTATAAGCTATATTATAAAGCTATAAACAATTAAAGTTTAAGTAATAAATTATATATATTATAGGAAAGATTAAATAGTTAATTGCTTAATAAGTTATAGCTAATATTTTTAAGTATAAATTAGCTATTTAAAAAAGTAAGGCAATTAATAAGGCAGGAATTGCCTTTTAATTAAGGGGTATATTATATATATATCCCTAACCTTAATTTGCAACTACTTTTTAAAATGCTTAAATAATTAAATTTCTTTTATTTCCTCCTTTTAAACTACTCTTAAGAGATAAACGCTTTTATAATCATGCTTTCAAACCCCTCACGACACTTATAGCCTTCCACAAACTTGGGAAATGCAGCAACTGCTTCACCAGGCGACAGTTGCCGCCCGAATGGAACGACGCGAGGTCAACAAGCAGTCAAACAAAAGCCCAGACCTAGCGGGCTACACACAATCTTGACAGATTCTTGGCTCCATGAGATATCTTCACTCATCGCCAGCTGGGCATGTCAGATATGGCTTGTTGTGATCCTTCTTCAGATGGACAATCGCCCTCTCGACACTTGGACACAGAAAATCTCGCCCAATGCCATGGTTTCCGCCCTTTCTACCCTCTCGAAAGCGCTCCTCCTGGAACCAGTAGGAGCTAGCATCGGCCAGCTGAGGTGGTTACATCTGCGCCGCCCTCGCCGCATGTATGATTTCGAGCTCTTCGACCAGGCCAGTCGAGGACCTCTCGGGTCCATCTTTCTGCTGGCCCGATTTCGGATCGACATGGTCTCTCTTGGATGCTTCGTCACTATCTTCAAGTTGTCTGCAGCTCTTGGTCCGTTCACCCAGCAGGTCATCAGCTATGCAAACCGACAGGTCGATGTTCGGAACTCGTCTGTTACGTTCGGCGTGGCGTACAATTACAGTGTAGCCACTGTCACAGGATCAAACTTCGTTCCCAACACGTTCGACTCGTCTATACGTGCCAACATCCTCGGCGCGTTGTATAACTCCAAGATCCCTCCGGTCTTCAACTGTACATCCTCTTGCGTCTGGAACGATACGTATGTCACGCTGGGCTTTGGCCGCGAATGCAGAGATGTGACCGAAGCTGCGACTGCGAATCGGAGCTGCATCAATTCTGACCCCCTCAGCAACCACGAGCGCGTAGACCCTTACGATGGCAAGATCTCTCAAGAATGCAACATGACGACGCCGGGCGGCGTAGTGCTGAGGCCGGACCATTTCCCTGTCTTCGACGGGACGTGGCACACGACCAAAAAGTATGTCTCGATCGCAAGCTCCTCGAAATTTAACAACTGGAACTACCGAACCCTCGAGCGCGGCAAGTCACATTCCAGCCTTGTCACACTAGCACAATACGAGCGCGATACAGCCTTCCTTCACGGGGGTGAACTGAAGGAGAACGTCACAGAATGCGAGGTGTCGGCCGTGGCGTGGCGGTACTCGGGCGTCACAGTGGAGGGCAATGAGCTCGCGATTGCGGACCGGGAGAAGATACCACTGGACGGTTTCGACTCTATGCTCAATGTAACGGGCTTCCCGCCATGGAGTACAACGTCAATTTCAATAGAACGGGCCTCCAGCCCATGGTGATCAGTCTTTGGGACTGGAAGGGCCCGGACTCCTTCCTGGTGAATCTGTTGTCAGACATCTTGAGCATGGAGGGAATGCAGCCCTACCAAGAAACCGACGATAAGCCACCCGTATTTGCAACGTCCGTGTCCGGTGGGGACATTTCTATTTGGGTCGCGAGGATGACGGAAGCGATGACCAGTGCGCTACAGTCCGGGCCGAATAGCCAGCTCATGGAGGGTATGAGCCGGGATGTGGTTATCTTTGTGCGAGTCGACTGGTTGTGGTACGGATTGCCGCTGGTCGTGGAGATTGGATCCGCCTTATTACTAGCGTTCACAATTTGGCAGTCAAGGTCCAGACATGGCGTACCCCTGTGGAAGACCTCGGCACTGGCACAGTGGGCTTACAGGTCGGAGCAAGAGGGAAAAGAAGACACTATAATAAGACTCACATTAGAGGAGGGTTTGCCTGATTTGCATACGGTCGAAAAGGAGGCTAAGCGTTGGAAAATACAGGTACTACATTAGAACCAAGCCAGACCTTTTCTTAGAAGAGAACGGATATTTTGCACAGAAAGAAACAAATTGTATACAGATACATTACACGCCTAGTACACTTATACCCAACACACTCACACCCAAAACACCTAACACACCTACAACCAGTATACCTATACCCAATTTATAGGTGTATGGGTTTAAGAGTGCGAGAGTGTATGAGTATGGAGTGTGGGTTTTGGGTGAGGTGGCCATGTACTGGTATACCCTCGTTTTCGCAGGTGTGAATCTCTGTATTCTTCTTATAAGTAGCTTGCTGATCTTCTTAATACCGAGAACCCGGGAACCGATCCATCCTCAACTCAAATACGTTGAATGTTAGTCCGAGGTGAGACTCTTGGGTAGCTACAAACTTCGTAATAACATCTTATAGTTAAGATTTCCCATACAGGGAAGCCAAATGATGACAGGGGCATAGGATGAATGTAAGGCAATGGCTGCACGCACCAACTACACAGTGCTATGTGTTTGTCACTTTTTGCTCTGCTGTGGGCGACTCGTAGGGAATCACTGCTGGATGCTCGCAACGTGAAATATTGAGATCATGTTCAATTTGCTGCATATGAATACCCTCCAAAACGCAGGACCTTTCACCCTATATCCACGTGCTAGGACCAAACGTCTCCCCTGGTGGTAACACAGACTGCACAGCTGACTCGCTCATGTCCAATGTCGACAAGGCCCCTGCGTTGCCGAACCATTTCGGCGCGGAGGTTTCTGTAAGATAGAGGCTGAAGAAAATGATGATTGTTGATATGATCAACCCGGTATCAAGGGCGGCCGAGGTGATGTAGTTATATCGAAGCCTGTCACAATTTGTCAGCAAGAGTTTGCACATGTTTCTGGTATGTTGTAATAGGTCTGATAAGCGTGCAGGCGCGACGTGTCTTGCCAATATGCAACTGGGACGCACCGAGTGACCTGAAGCAGGGAGAACACAATGTAGAGCACGAGAGGGACTTACCACCAGTCTTTCATACGCCGCTTGATGAACCAGTTGAACACGGTCCCGACTACGCCCCAACAGCTGCAGAAACGCGTCAGTGTCCAGGCCAAGCGAGGAAGTGAACGCAGGGGAGGCAATATACGCACAGATATATATAGACCGTCGCCGGGGGCAGGTACCCGGACCCGCCGAAGATGAGCGGAACGTCTGCTATGTGTTAATCACCTGCTACGGATACTGAAGTGATGCATTCTAGAACATCCCAAAGCGCAACAACCAGGGAACCAGTGAAGGAGAAGAGCTATACTGACGGACATAGCGCCACAGGCTCATCGGGTATTTCCTGGCCATGAGCCACGTGAGGACCGGCACGACGGCGCCAAGCAGCCAGAACCACTGGAGCGACGAGTACAGGGCGCCGGCGCTAAACATCCTCCTGGGACCGATGACGCCCCAGATGATCGACGCTGTGTAGAAGACCTTTGCATTGGCGCATGTGTACTGGTGCTCCTGGTTGTCGGTACAGACATCCTTGATATTTTCCAACGCCCAGTTCATGACCGCGATCTGAATCACGGCGGACCAGATCGAGGCCGTCAGCTGCGCAAAGAACATTGTCCGGGGGGGAACCTTCATGTAGTGGCCTAGCTTCATATCTGAGGCAAAGAAGAGCGCTTGCGCCATGCAGAGATAGCCGTAGTTCTTGAACATCATCATCGCAAGCGGTCTCCCCTCGAGCATATACCCCACAACATACTCGGTCAGGACGTTAAGGCCCAGCTGGATATTTGTAATCCCTTGTACAATTCCTATAGGGATGGTAAAGGCGATGGGAATAAGGAGGCAGACGATGAGCGCCCACCACGGAAAGTCGGTCGGCCACGCGCACACGACGATGAAGGAGAGGGCAACCATCACAGCGAACAAGGCCATATACCACCAGTCCTCGGCGTCGCGGTATTTCTTCATCATCCGCATGTGGCTGTCGTCCTCTTGGTTCCGGGCGAGCGTAAACTGGGCCTTGATCGTGCGGCCGTGGTACAATATCACATGGACCACGATCGCCGAGACGGTGGCAAAGGCGAGGCCGTAGGCGAGGGCGAACTGGGTGGGGAGGTAGAGGGGCGAGTAGGAGAAGTACTTCTCGGCGTCGAAGTGGAAGTTCTCGTTGAGGATAGCCGATACGTTGTAAATGGCGCCACGGTTGTCGAAAGATTGAGCGCTGCTTACGGGCAGGTACTGAGCGTACCAGTGCCCGGAGTAATGCAGGCCCATCGAGATGATGATGAAAAACACGACTAGGCCGACCATGGTGTTCGCGATGGCGTAGAAGGGCGGGATGAGCGGGGATCCCAGGTAGCCGGAGATGATAGTCCAATCGAGGGATATTGGCAACAGGCCGTAGCCCGACACGCCGCCGAACAGCTGGTTGACGATGACGTTCTCGGGCGCGATCCACGTCACCCAGCAGAAGTAGCTCAGCCCCTGGAATATCCAGCCCGGGAACCAGTACCACACGAAGGCGCTTCCAAACACGATCAGGAACCACTTGTAGCGGCCTATCCGCCAGCCACAGGCAGACTCGGGATCGGACTTTTCGTGGTCGTGCAGTGTGTAAAACAGGGCGCAGTTCTTGAGTCAAACGTGGATTAGCGACGACACGACCACCCAAAACGCCCACACCCAGGCCGCTTGCTCATCACCAAGGATACTTACTACCAAGGTTCCCGGCCAAATCATCGAGGCCGGCCACACGAGAACCTCCGCGTCAGCCCAGCCAGGCCATAGCCCAAGCAGAGTGTGGTAATGCCAAAAAGTATCTGCCACGCCCAGCCGAAAAATTTCTTGTACCAGATTTGCTGGACTATAATAACATCTGTTGCATACAGAGAGCCACCGCCATACGCTGCATTCGACCTATCCCAGTGTCAGCTCCGGAGGGGTTTAGTTCAAAGGGGCCAAAGACGGGACGAACATGACTGTTATGATCACATGTTCTTTGAAGTTGAACTTGCCCGGCCGCAGGTTGAAGCTGAGACCGAGCACCTTGAACGTCCGGTCGGGGAAAATCAGGTCCCAGGCCAGTCCTATGGGGTACGCCACGAGCTGGATTGCGTACGTGCTCACAAAAACACTGGGGTTCCTCAGGGCGAACAGCATGTTCACACCAGACCCTATCGTGCACAGAATCATGCCAATGACCCATGCCCGTATCGTATTCGCCGGGAGATCAACATCGTAATTCCGTACCGTCGACCGGACCTATAATCCACCACGTGAGTTCTCAAGTACACTCTCTATGTGGCCAGCCCCTTAGGGCCGGTTGGAAAGGGTCATTGTGGTAGTGGCCTACCTCAGGATACGGCGAGTTGTCCTCGACGATCAGGTGCTCGATCTCGACGCCCTTCTCTGCGTTGCCCTCCCGGATGGCGGCGTCGATCTGCTCCAGCTCGTCTATGGGCATGTTGGGGTCCAGCCGGTGCATCTTCTCGAACTGTGTCAGCGAGGCCACGCCCAGGGACCGCAGGATCTCCCGCTCCGAGGCGGTCTCGGCCACCTCGAACTCGACGATCTCGGCCTCATGGCGCCTGCGTATGCCGAACACCATCTTGGGCAGCCTTGGTCGGGAATGGCATGCCAATTCTGGCGTGGGCTGTAGGAGTCACGGCGCTCTCGTCCGTTGGTAGGGCGTGATCCGGTGGGCCGTATATATAACACCTGGAGGAGGTACACAAGCCTTGGTCCAGATCACGAAAAGGTTCGCACTGCTCTCCTAGCGGTGGTGTCGTGAAAGTGGGCACAGCGTGGGCGACTTCGCCGGCGCAAGGTGCGCCGCAAACAAGTGCTGTGCAAATTGCTGGCAGCTCAAGACCGGACAGGGAGTTGAAGAAGATAACAACCCACAAGATCCTCGACCGGAAGAAGATTAAAAGAAAAAGAAGGAAAAGGAGGGAGAGCCTCAAGCACGGGTTGGGTTAATCAGAAAGCGGAGGATAAGAGCGATAGGTCGTTCAACACACGGCACGCCATCGCGGCGGCCCATGTAGCCAAACCACCAGACGGCAGGGAGACGGGGTTATCTGTCTGTCACTTGACAAATCCGCAGTCCAGAATGGCAGCTCGACATCCGGCCACAAGAATGTGGGTGTGTGTGTGCGATGGTGGTACTATAGCAGCCAAGGGTCTATCGCGGAGGACGAGGCCACCCCAAAGGCGCGTGTCTTGTCTTTCGACCTGCCTAAAAAGGCTGGGAATTATCGACGATGCCGGGCGTTGAAGGGGGGCTAGCAGGGGTTGGATAATTGACGGCAGTGATTGGGGATATCTTCCCCACGCCCGCGTCTGCCCAGTCATCAACGCTGCGGGCAGAGGGCGGGCTGTACTTATCTCAAAAGGTCAGGTGTCCACACAACGCGTCAGTTCTGAGGGCCTAAGCTTTCTTAGTAATCTGTGTGGCTAATCACTCTTAAGTGCGGAGTTAGGGGCAGGGACATCAAGGGCATCCAGGTGGTCTGTGTCTCAGAGATAAGGCTGTGCCATACTCAGCATATGCATGGCGACCGGGATGTCGCCGATAAGGTAGGTGATGGCCCGCCCCTGGAGCGAGGCTAGCGTTGCGCGATGGCACCATGCTTTTCGTTTTCCCTGTACCCCTCGGCTCGCAACACTGCTGCCGGGATTTCGTGATGCCTTCCTTGTCTCTCAGGGCGCAATCTCCCAAGTCTGGCAGGCTGTTAAATGATCTGCAGTGCGTCGGCACTGACTCTCATAATTGGCAATGATCCCCTCAGATGTTGTCTTGATTTGCTGGGGAGCTCACGGTCGAATTTGTAATTTACCATGCAAGCTCTGCCGTGTTCCACGGCCCGCATGTACGACTTGGCTCTTCGGCTCCGTGTCGTCGGCGCTCACGGGCGGAGCTTGTATCCCGGATCCCACGCAGCAAGTACTATCGGTGACGGACGAAACTCGATGCTTTCCTCATGCCCGTGACTATCATCCCAACCTCTCATACCTCTCCCGCGCCTTGTTTCGCGTCACCTCCACAAAATCGGTGTAATTATCTTTGGTCTTCCTTGCCGCCTCTTCCACCGCATCGCCAAGTTTGCCACCCTCGGCACCCAGACCAACACCGGAGGCGTACACGTCTGTAGCGATGACTTCCGTCCTCCCGCTGCCTTCGGCACCCAGGCCCTCGCCCGCTGACCACCCCATCTTGCCGAGCAGCGCTGCACCCTTGGACGGCGCCGCAGGCTTCTCCGCCTCTTTGGCGGGCGGCGCAGCGTCCTCCTTCGGTGCCTTTCTGCGTGGCGCGTTCGGCTGCTTGAAAGCCTGCCTGCGCTCCTTCGCTCGGTCGCGGTACTGTGTGCCCTTGTTCTTGGCCGGCACCATCTTGCGGGGTGTTTTGCCTACACGGGCGAGCTGAGATATCGCACGGTCGATGTTGCTCTGGTCCTCCAGGTTCAGGCGGTGCATCTCGCTCTCGCGCTCGTGCAGGGAGAGCATCGCGGCCTTGGTGAACTTGCGCTGGCAGATGAGGCAATGCAGCTCGTCTCTGTCGGCGTAGGACGTATATATCAGGTCTGACGGCTGCCGTGACACATTTGCTACCCGAAGAGTCACCACTTGAGGCCGTTTCGCCTGGGTCCTGAGTCTCTCTGCGGCTGCGTCGCGCTTGCCTTCATCTGTCAGATTTGCAATGTGATCCTTGTTCAGCGATTCGTGATCACGTAGGGCGATTAGCGAGTCGAACTTCCTCAGACACAGTAGGCAGGACAGGTTGTCAGTGTCGCTGTATGAGATGTATGAGTCCTTGGCCTGCGTGCGCGTGGAGCCACGCCCTTTCTCACTTGGCGCCGGGCTCGATGCGGCGCTGTGAGCATCGAGCTCAGCCTGGGCTTGGGCCTGTCCAACGAGCTCGGCTCTCTTCTTCGCCCACATCTGCATTTGCGGGCCCATGACCATGGCAGGCTTCGCCGCAGACTGGTTGATTTTGAATTTCTTCAGCTTCTTTGCTGAAGCGTCTTGTGCACTAGGCACCTCATCGCCAGGCTTTTCGGATTTTCCTGCGTTGTCAGCGCTGTGCTGCTTGGCCGAATCTGAGTCGTAAGACACCCTTAATATGCTTGGATAAACTCGATTGTCCCAGTATTTGAGCAAGATGTCCTTGTTGTAGATCGGGTGGAAAAGAAAGCTGCTGTTTTCGTCCGTGACACGGCCGCTATGCGGTATGAAGACGCCGGTGTGGATGAAGGCCGCCGTCACTGGTTTCGAGGAAATGGCAAACTTTGGTGATGCCTTGAACTTCTCTATCGCACCCTGGGCATCTTCAAGCGTGGCAAACTCGGCAAACCCATATCTCATCGCATCATTGGTCTTTTTGTCCCGAACGAGGAAAACACGCCGGAGGGAGTCTGGCTTGGCACCCAGGCTGGCTGTCCTTGCCGTCGGCGCGGTCGATTTCAACTTGTTGTGTGTTTCCTTCTTCGGCTCTGGCTTCGATTCGATATAGAGCTTCTTGACGCCTTCCGCGAATATTTCCTCTGTGACAGAAGGCTCCAGGCCACGAATGACGATATACTGCGATGGAAGCTGCTGTGGGCACTCATCCGTCTCACCTGTGAGCTTTGGTCCGTATGACGCGGACTCATCTCTTCTGCGGAAATGTCCTTCTGTAAAAACCGTCAGTCTAGGCCCTTTCACCTCAAAACCGTGCCGAACATTTTGAATATAAAAGCGATGGAGTCGGAGGGACGCAGAATAGAGTGAAAGAACAGCTGCTCTTACCCGGTTTGTCGGCGCGACACCTGTGGCACCGAGTTCTTGAGCCGTAGTTCATGTAGGCGCACTAGAGATAATCCGTCAGACAATATCCATCAAGGGGTGGTTTTCATCGCTTCCGGCGTAAAGACCCACCTCAGCGCACTTCCAATCCTCCGTGTCCCTGGGCCTGTCCTCCCTGACCCTCTCGTAGCCTTCGTCATCCCGGCTCCAGCTGTAGTTGATCCTGACGCTCACCGGCTCCGAGTTGACGCCGCGTGAGTGTGCCAGCTGGAACTCGAGCGATGGGTAGTGGAACTCCAAGAAGTGGGCGGCCGCGTTGGCGTCCGCGAACTCGACGAACGCGATCGTCCGCCCACGCCCATTGTTGCGTAACCTGACAGTCTTGATGTTGTCTGCGTTGAACACCTTGAGGTCGGGCGAAACGCTCGCGAAGCCGTCTATCACGTCGTCCTCGGTCGCGTCGCTGGGCAGGCCTTGGACGACGATGGTCGGCGATGGCTGGGCGGGAGGAGGCGCATATCGACGGGCAGGAGGCGACCGTGATGCTAGGCGGCGGTCACGGTCACGGTCGCGGCCGCGGTAATCGGGTTGGTCGTCATCGTAGGGCAGAGAGCCCTGATCGTCTTTGTTTTGGGGCCTGGGTTAGCCTTAAAGAACACGACAGCCCATTGACAAGGCGATGCTTGAGATTCTCATCCTCCAGGCATTGCGGCTTTACCATTCCGCGAGCGATAGTAGTCATAGTCGCCCTCGTCCCGCTCGCGGCGCGGCGACCTGGAACTGCGGCGGTAGCTACTTCGCCCTCGGTCGTAGTCTCGGTCGTAATCCCGATCATAGTCTCGGTCACGGTCTCGGTCGCGGGATCTTGCTCTGTACGAGTGGCGCGGCCTGTCGTCGTCGTACATGGTGGCGGCGGGAAATGAGAAAGACAGGAGACGAAACACGAAAAAGAAAAGAGACTGAAAAGAAAGTCGGACGGCCAGGTGGATTGAATTGGACGTGGCTTGGGCGGGACAAGGTGGGAGCGAAAGATGATGTCGAATCCGTTGCGCAAGACGGCCCCAGGCAGGGGAGCTTGAGCTTCGCATTTCTGGGGGACCCTGGACCCTGCCTGGTGGGCCCCTGGCCGATCGCCGAGGACGGCCCCGGGCCTGGAGCTCCACAGCGCCGGCACCCTGCTCCGGATCGGCTCTAAGCCCAGCTACTCTGTGTGTTCTACATCGGTGGAAGAATGATCGATCACTTGGGAATTCCTCAGCACTTTCAACTTCATACCAGCACATACCAATCGGCAACACTTATTCACAAAGAGACGAGCCGACAAAAATCATTGACGAACCCTGACGTCAGCATCATAAACTCAAGGACTGGAGAGCAATTTAAACGGGCTTATTCAGAGAATACACAACCTCAAGGCACGGATAACCGAGGAAAGACGATTCCCGCAACGCTATCATCTGTGTGCTTCATTCAAACACCACAATCGGATCACACGGGGCCAGGCCTAGCCGGGCCTCCCGAACAAACCCCGCCGAGCTCACCCCCAGCGCACATTCCACCATGGCCACCGACACCAGCACGACCACCTCGCTGGAGTCACCAGGCATCTACGTGGCCCTGACCCACGAGCCCCTCGACGCCAAGCCCATAATGGACAAGGTGCGCAGCCCCCAGGCGGGCGCGACCGTCCTCTTCGCCGGCACGACGCGCGACAGCTTCGGCGGCCGCGCGGTGCTCAACCTGTCGTACGAGGCGTACGCGCCGCTGGCGCTGCGGACGATGCGGGACATCGCCGAGGCCGCGCGGGCCAGGCACGGCCTCAAGGGCGTCGCCGTCGTCCACCGCCTGGGCGTCGTGCCCGTCGGCGAGGAGAGCGTCCTCATCGCCGTGTCGAGCCCGCACCGCGCCGCCGCGTGGCGCGCCGGGGAGGAGTGCCTGGAGGAGGTCAAGGCGCGGGCCGAGATCTGGAAGCTCGAGACTTTTGAGGATGACAGGAGTGCTGTGTGGCGGGCGAACAGGGACGGCGCTGTGGGGGAGAGGGTCGAGCTGCCGGGCAAGGGCGGTGTTGAGGATGAGGCGAGGGGCGTAACCAGCCAGCTCAGGGGTGATGATGATGATGAGGCTGACGGTGAGAATGGAACAGCCCCTGAGGCAATGGGCCCAGTGGTGAGGCCAAGGCGGCCTGGAGAGAAGGGTCATGGAGCTGTAGTGAATCCGACTTCGCAGACGGCTTCTCAATAACGACTCGGAGATCGCTGTTGACCTTGTTCATAAGGCATATTAATTGAAGCGAAGTCAGGACGTACTAGCAAATGTAACAAGAAGATCACACTCATGGACATTGGAAGGCAGCACATTACATATTATGCTATTGATAGGGCGTATGTAGCCCGGGTGATAAACCCCCTAAAGACCGTGAGCATGCAGATCTATCGTCTTCATTCTGACATTGCCATGTATTCCCCCGATAACACGTTACCCAACTCCGAGTTGATATCCCAAATTTACATCCAAAACAGCGTACTTCCAGAAATAGCAAAAAACCGCCAAACCAACTGTGTACAGAGCCCCGTGTCCCGGATCGGCCCCCAGCAAGCCCGCATTGGCCGAGGAAGAAGCTATAACACCATTAGTAAATGTCGCAGAGACGGACTGTACCCCCGAGCTGCTGCTGAGCACGGTCTTGTCGACACTGGTCAAAGGAGAATGGGAGCCGGACGGCGTCCAGTCCGCACTCGAGCTCAAGCTCGCGCTGGTGCCGGTGCTCGTAGCAGCCACCACCCCTCCTGTGCTGACCGTGCCCATGCTCGCGCCCGCACTCGTGTCCCCCAACGTCATGCTGCCCACACTTGTAGCCGAAGCACCACTCATGACACTGCTGCTCATAACACTGCTCACAGACAACGTACCCGTGCTGCTTCCCGAAGAACCCGAGCCTGTCCCCGTACTACCACCACCAGACGTGCCGCTCGACTCCTGCTGCTCCGCCACGCCCTCGAATGCCGTCAGGTCCGACGACCCGTTCAGCTCCTGGACGTTGGTGTCGGTGCTGTTCAGGTTCGCCTGCGCCAGGGCGATCTCGTTGTTGTCGAGGTCGTAGACGACGTACGCGCTGCGCAGGAACGTGTCGCCGAGCAGGGCAAAGTCGATCTGGCGCGCGCCCTCGCTGGGCAGGGAGTCGCCCGAATTCTGAATGCCGAAGAGGCAAGGGTCCTGCAGGGGAATTTCGGGCGGGATCATGCCGCTTACAGAGCCGAAGGCGTCTATGACAATCTCGTCGGCCGGCACCATGATCGAGACGCTGTCGTTAAAGCGGAAGCTGACCTCCATGCCCGAGTTGGCGAGCCCGCACTCGACCATGGTCAGCCCCACCGAGCCCAGGGAGCTGTACGTGAAGGCGCCCAGGGCGTCGAACAAGGGTGTCGCGATGTCGTCCGGGAAGTACGAGAGCGTGGTCCCGGAGTCGAGGACGGCGTCGAGACTGCCGCCCTGCAGGCTCGCGTTGTATGTCGTCCCGTTGGGGAAGGCGAAGGAAACCGCCGTCATCCCCACCGTGAAACTGGTGATGTTCTGTGTTTGTGCGTCGGGTAGGATAGGGACGACGGTAAGGCCTCCTATGAACTTTTCCGTGTCGACGCCACCGAACAAGATGCTGCCCGTGGAGGACTGGTAGTCGTTCAGGTAGAGGGAGTATGCCTTGGTGGGGATGAAGTCCTGTTGCACCATCTGGTCCACGAGGTTCGGGTACGGAGTCTCGGCCGCCTCGTTTGCAGTGTAGCCGATCCCGAGAACTCCAGTGCCAGAAGCCGTCTGGTTGGCAAGACCCATCTGCAGTGATTCGATAACTGTGTCGCCGATCTCGAAGTGATCAGTTACATAGTCTCCAGCGGCTGTGCTGCCATCCAAATACTGTATTTGGAAGCCATCAGGTACGACAACCTCAAAAGTGGAGCTTTGAGATGAATCAACTGTATGCCTGGTCAGTCGCTGGTTACAAGTACAAGACTACTAACACGATGAGAAAATGCCCGATAAAACATATGCATGAGAAAATGCCCAATAAAACATATCCATGAAGCCGTCCATCTCAGTGTAGAGACCACTGAAGCCATCCGTTTCTACCGTCTTCTTAAATTCCTCGCAGGGGGGAGTTGCATGATAGAAAAGCTCACATGTCTGTCCACACGACGTCTGGTAGATAAGTTGCAACCTCGGGCTCTCGCACAGATCCGCTCCGGCGGCCACTATGAAGGCATCGCTGCTCCCCGTGTCCAGGATCATGTCGATGTCCTGACCAGGCGTGCCGACGGAGACGCTGGCGTAGTATCCGCCGCCGGTGATGTTGTTGACCAGAGACTCAGTGAAGGTCGCCCGCCTGGTCAAGCGCGGGTTCCGTCTGGTGACGGTACCCGGTGAGTTCCTCGCGACCGGTATCCGGAGCACATTTGCTGCTGCCGTCGCCGCCAGCAGCAGCGCGAGGAGCGCGGGTGCTGTGTGGGATCTCATATTGGGCCGCCGGTGATGTGAGCGGACGAGGTCGCCTCTCCCGGAGATACTGGAAGCTGTCCTGCCTGTGGTTAATATCGTTAATAGTGGCCTGGTCCTGTTCCTCCTGTGGCGTCAGTACGAGAATCTAGCTAATTTGGATGTCTAAACAGCGTCGCACGGGTGGCGGTGATGTCTCCGGTTGCCGTGACAGCTCGTCGAGGCACCCTGGGCTGGGTTGAGCTGCGGTGACAACTTGGCAGATCAAGTTGTGTGACGGCGATATCAAGCCGGGTTGCGGGAGGGAGGCGAAAGTGGCAAGTCGACAGCAACAACAAGACCACACTTGTTAGGCTGGGTGTTGGGGTGCAAGGCAGCAGGAGGAGGTTGAGCACAAAGTTCCGGGCGAGGACTTTAGAAATTAAAAGAGCAATGGGGCTCTTCGCATGCCTGTGCCGATACCCATATCCATGCACAGAGTTGCAGCAGCAGGGCAGACGGAGATCGTCATTGTCGCCGGGTGCCTTGCTGCTGCTGCTGCTGCTGCTGCTGCTGCTGCTGCTGCTGCTGCAGGCTTTCTCGGCAATAGGGCACTGGGCAAAGCGAAAGAGGCGCCGACAAGATGCATGATCGCCAGACTTGTGGTGTGGTTGGTCCAAAGCAGCAGCAGTGTTTGGGTCAAAGCAGGCCTAGCGTCGTGCGGGATTGCGTGGCTGTCCGCCCGCCCCGGCCAGGCCTATTTCACTAACGCCTAAACAGGCGCGGATTTCTGTCTTAACCCCTCTAATAACCTCTCGCCCAAGACTTTCCCTGACCTCACAACGTTGCTTCAAAGCCCCAGAGAAGGAAGCCTCTTCGCGTGCATCGTCACGAGCCCGCCACATCAACGGCTGTCCCTAGCCGCGCTGCCCAATCAAGGCGCCCTCTCGGGTTCTTTGTCAAACTGCCAATGGCCTGGATCAGTGGCTCGGGTGTGACTGTCCCCAGACCTTGGCACTGGTCTAGGCGGGAGGCTGGGCGCTGGGCGCTGGGCGCAGTCCTCTCTTCATCACCAGCGTGACATCAATGCTAGGCCCGGGCAAGCCGTCGTGTTCCATCGTGTCTCTCTCGGGTACTTTGTTACGACTCCCAGTCCAGGACTGCTCGTTTCAACGGGCCTGTTTCGCTCGCGTGCACAAGGTCTCATTAATTAATCTTTCAACGCTCCGAATGTCTCGCTCTCTAAACGTTGCTCGCCTGAGTGTGCCATTGTGGCCCGGCGCACGGGGCCCTCGTGTAAGCTGCATCTGGTAATCCAGATCTCCGGTTCACCACTATGGGCATATGCAGAAGCAATATGCAGTGTGCCAAGTCGGGCCCAGGCCCTGGCTGGCAAGAGTGATGGATCATGTCGTTTACGTAGGGCTGTCAGCAGCATGTCATCATACCTGGGCCTTGCCAACCTGCAATCAGAGAGAGTCTGCCGAGGGTGCTCCTTTCTTTTTGCCCTCTTTCCACTGGCAAGATGAACATGGTCGAGGAAAAGCACAACTCGCAGCTGAAAACGAGGCTCGATCGCAGGCTTCGATGTGTGACTGCCAAGCGAAGACACGGGTTCCAGCATGCTGCAGGGTACCGACTTGTGGACGGCGTGCCGGAAGAGTGCCCCGTCTTAACTCACCGAGAAGTACACCCATTGGGAAAGCCCATCTCTCTGGGACAGCTTCCCCTGTCGGGCCTGATGGAGTTTATTCAGCAGAATGGTTCCTTTCGTAAACTACCCTAAGTCATCGGTGTAGTCGAGAGCTGTTCGTATCGTGCATATGTCACTTGTAGTTTTGGAATTAATCTGGATCCATCCGACTTGCAGCCTTGTTCGATTGGACCAACCACACTGTAAGAAAACGGGGTCGGAGTTGTGTAAGTCGTTGACGATCCCAATGGGGAGAGCGCACCCTGCCGCGTGCGGCCACTGTCGCAATTAATTGGGATCTCATGTTACTGCCTAACAACTATCTGTTTTTCGGACCTCATTACTCGCTTTATAAGGAAATGCATCCATATCTCATAGTTATGAAATATGATAAGATGAATGAAGAAACTACGACTTGGTGCGTCACCTGAGGTTGGCGATGCTGCCGTTGAGTGGGCCGATTTGTGATACACACCACCTTCAATAGCTCTCCCCACTCGCTGCATCTCGAGGGTCTGTTTTACACGAAATTCAGAGAGCGCCAACAGTTTCGATACCAGTCAGTACCCAAAATCCCAAGCCTCATTCGCCCGTGGAAGCAAGTCTCTCTGGAAGTGGCCCTAGAGTTGTCATTGAGTTGCGGTTACAGCCGGCGCCTTCTCCGCGATCGCCCTTGCAGATCGCAAACTTTTCAGGGTTTGAGCCTCAAAGAGTCACCAGCTCCCACTCGACTTTGTCACATCGCCCAAGGCCACCCAGCTACCGTCAAATCCTAGGTTCCACACGTTGTATAGGTAACTGTCAAATCTTCACTGAAACTCTAGACCCATGAAGCTAACCAGGCCGCAGATACCGTCCCCACCTTGAACACTTGCTGGGACAGACGACCTCGTCAGTCCACCAAGGGACACTTGCCTTTCGCCAACACAAGGACCTCAACCCCGACACCACTGCTGCCCTTCGGGAGGGAGGCTCAGCGAAGATGACCGACCAAGTCCTCAAGATCGACATCAAGTCGCTGCCGCGCGTCGCGTCGGGCAAGGTGCGCGACCTGTTCGACCTCGACGAGAAGACGCTGCTCTTCGTGTCGTCGGACCGCACCTCGGCCTACGACGTGGTCATGGACAACGGCATCCCCGGGCGCGGCGCCATCCTCACCATGATCAGCGCCTTCTGGTTCCGCGTGCTGTCCGAGAGGGTCCCCGGGCTGCGCACCCACTTCGTCACCCTGGACCCGCCCGCGGGGCGCCTGACGCCCGAGGAGGCGGCCCTCGTGCGCGGCCGCAGCATGCAGGTGCGCAGGTTCAAGGTGTTCCCCGTCGAGGCCATCGTGCGCGGCTACATCACGGGGTCGGCGTGGGCAGAGTACCAGGAGAGCGGCACCGTGTGCGGGCTCGCCATGCCGGCCGGCCTGCGCCAGTGCGAGGCGTTCCCCCAGGGCCCCATCTACACGCCCTCGACCAAGGCGGAGCTGGGCCAGCACGACGAGAACATCAGCCCGGAGCGCGCGGCCGCCATCATCGGCGACGCGAGGCTCGCCGCCCGCGTCGAGGAGCTGGCCCTGGCCGTGTACAAGGCCGGGCGGGACTACGCCGCCGGGCGGGGGATCCTCATCGCCGACACCAAGTTCGAGTTCGGCCTCGACGAGGAGACGGGCGAGGTCATCCTCGTCGACGAGTGCCTGACCCCGGACTCGAGCCGCATGTGGCCCGCGGACAAGTACGAGGTCGGCCGCGACCAGGAGAGCTTCGACAAGCAGATCATCCGCAACTGGCTCACGCGCGAGGGGCTCAAGGGCAAGCAGGGCGTCGAGCTGGCCGAGGACGTCAGGGAGGGCACGCTGCAGAAGTACAAGGAGGTCTTCCAGAGGCTCACCGGGAAGTCGTTTGAGCAGGCGCTGGCGGAAGAAATCAAATGAGCGCGATTAGGGGCTAAGGGAAGGGAAGGGTCAGGTGGGCAGTCACTGGCAGGTGGTTGAAAGTTTTGTCTTCAAGACTCAAGAGTCCAAGGCGTTCTCATCTTTGGAAGGATTAGATGTGCTCGACCCTAAAGTCCGATCGCTTCATTCATTCGTCGCTTCATGACCAACCATCACGGTACTCTCCATACATGCCAGCATGACCAAAGTGCCCGCCAATCGTCCCGTCGTCACAAATCATGCCGTCGTCGTCCGCAACAACCTTGCTGCTCGCCGCGGACATCGCAGCCGACATGTATCCCGAATCGGCCCAGCTCCAATCCCCACAGCTCTGGCCGAGGTCAAACATCACACCGTCAAACCTCGTCTCATCGTCAAAGAACGGCTGTGGCGGCCGGTACACGTCGATCGGCTGACTGGTGGCCCAGCCGGTGGTGACGGGCGGTGTTTCGTTGACGGGATCGTCAAAGGATGCCCCCGAGGTTGAGGGCTCGATGAACAGGTCCTCGGGCGACTCAGGCGCCGTAGCCCTCCCCTTCCCCTTCACATCGCCACCATCCTCCAGTCCCACCTCCCCGTCCCCCGCCGCTTCGTCCTTCTGGGGAGACCCATCCCCTTGTAACTTCCTGAAGTCCGCAAACAGCCTCTGCTGCATGTCCCTCACGATATCCACAAGCTGGCGCTTAAGGCTCTCCTCCACAGGACTAAGTTCCTGCTCGATGCGCACCTCAAGCTCGCCCCTGACGCGCCGTGGTAGCTCCCTGCGGAGGAACTCCTCATACCGCGCGATGTCCGACTCCGGCCCGGACGGGCTGGCCGCGCCCCACGCTGGCGGCAGCTCGAACCACGGCGTGGGCACGCTGTCGGGCGCGTCGGCCGGGAAACAGATCCGGAACACATCTCGCCATTTGTCCTCCTCTGTTTTATCCGTACGCCTCCTGCTCCGCAGCTGCCTCTCCTGCGACGCGTCGATTCCCTCCAGCTCCAGCGCCGCGTCGTCGCGCACCGCGCACCGAGCATCCGACCTCGAGTGCAGCTGGAGGAGCTTGTCGCTCGGGAAGACCTCGCGGCACCTGTAGCAGTGGATGGGTAACATGTGGCGTCGGTAGAGGTGCTCCTTCAGGCGGTGTACCGTCACCCAACCGGGGCCGACGCACTTGCTTTGGTCCTTGTACCTGTGGGGATTCCTCTTGAAGAACGGGCAGGCGAGCCTCTTCACCTCGGCCTCCTCGCTTTTGGCTTTCTTGGGCTTTGGTGCCTCATTGTCTTCATTATCGGACCCTTCATTCTCGTCGGTGCTGGCGGGCCGCTTGCCCTTACTCGGTGGCCCTTTCTGCGCGTTTGCTCCCTTGCGGCTTGGACCACCGGCCGTGGATTTAGTCCCTGGCCGTGTAGAGCACCCTGTTCCGCTCCCGGTATTTGTTTGGCCGCCCCTCACGAGCTCCGCGAAGAAGAACTCCATGAGTCGGTCCAGGAGGAGCCTTTTCTGCTCTTCACGCCACAGCAGACCCGGAGAAGAGCTGCTGCTACACGACGTTTTCATCGCCGTCGTCTGGTCAGAACTAGTGTACGACGTGTCCGTTGACTCATCGGCTCGAACAGGGCGGCCGAGGGGTGATTTCGAAGCTGGGATCGCGACAGGCTTCGAAGCGCTGCTGGGGCTCAAGGCCTCCTCATCCAGGATCCTCTGCGTACGAGGGTCCGGGCAGCTCTGGACCTTCCTGCCGCCCTGAGCGGAGCAGCGGGCGAGCTTGCCTAAGCAGGGCTGGAACTTCCTCGCCGTCGCCATCAGGGCCCAGATGTCATGTTTGGGCGGACATACTGGCCCCGGCCCTTGGACACTGCCGAGCATAGTGGATAAGGCAGAAACATGGCTCCAGCACCTCTGTGCAGCGGTCTGCTGTTTAACAAACTTCGGATTCCCCTGTGCCGGAGTCCCATGGTCGTCGCGGTCGTGATTCTCCACGGTCTGGGATTGCCCCACGGACGACCCCCACGTTCTGCAAGTCGAGAGGGACGTCTTGTTACTGTTTGCAGCATCGGACCACCATCTCGATTTCCAGCTCGCTTCACTGGACTTTGGGCTGATACCCCCAGGGCTTTCGTCAAGCCGGCACTGCTCAAGGAGGGACCGTGAGAGAAGCACGTCTGTGCTCTCCATCAGCGATGTGCACAGACCCAGCCTCCCCGCTGTAGCATTTGATGACGATCTGCCGGGGATTGCCACTGGTGTTGACTTTTTCCAGATGTCATACTTCAGATGCTGTCTTGGATTTTCCATGCCGATCTGGGGCTCGTTAGGATTTCCTTGCGGTGGACGCACAACCGTGACTCCTTTGCCTGTTGGAGGAGTGGGAGGCATTGGGGTTCCGGACTCCAGGAGAGTAGGTCCTTCGGTCTTCTGCGTTTGAGGAACGGCATTTGCAGACGAAGGCATGTCTATAAGCAAATACGGATTAGAAGGAACCCCGAAGCGTAAAATGGGTCTGCGATGGTGACATAGCGGGCTCCACAACCAACCCGAAAGGCGGCTTACCTCCGCTACCTGTACTCCTTGGTGCTGGTGCTGGTGCTGCCTTCCCGTCTTGAGAGGACCATGCCGATCTCGCGGGCGGAGGATAGCCAGCACATGTCTTTTTGGAGCGGATGCACTGAGTACAAGCGGGCCTCTTCTCGTCGCATTTGATTCTGCGTTGCCTGCAGCGATAGGTCAGCCTCGATTCGTCTTTGAGAGAGGTCTCATCAGGGAAATCATGGAATCCATGGACTTACTTGCAATTATTGCATCCTGACTTGATCTTTGGCTTGCTTGCGCGTGCTCGACGCTGTTTGGCTGGACTCTCAGTCGCTGCAGTCCTTGGCCGATCGTAGTCCTTCTCATCGAGGACAGATGCACGCTGCTCCGTGTACAGGTCGGCCATGTCGTGGAAGCTGGCCATCTTTAATTCTCATACACTGGCCGAGGACTTTCTCGGAGCGTCGTTGAAAGAAAAGCTTACAACCCCAGCCTTCACAGGCGGGATGATTTGGGGCCGCGATTGCTTTTATGCTGTGCCTCAATTGCAAGGCTCGCGGCCCAAATGGCGTTTTGCGCAAATCCGCCCTGTGACCAGGCGCTCGCTGCGGCTGTGGGAGGTCATCTCACCCCTCCCCGCAGCTGAGGCTCAGCTGCGCTCCAATGCATGGGCATTGGCCAGTGGCGTCTCAGGGGTTTCGAGTCCACCATACATAATCTTGTCAATCTGTACTGAAAGCAATAACATCTGGAGTGAGTCAAATCTCGACATTAGGCCTACTTAGCTTCATTTCCTTCCGCTCTGAACCTCCCCAGTGCCCTAGGTACCCAATACCGGAACAGACAGGATGTCAGCCATCCCGGATCTAAGTCCGGCCCAAGTCGGCCACATTGCTCCTCAGAAGCACGTCGATATCGACGGCACAACAGTCTCCTTCCCACTCGTCCTCACTCCCGGGAATTCCGGGACTGGCACACCAGCGGACGCTCTCACCACCACTGAAGCTGTCGCCACCTGGATCACGCGAAACCAGAAGCACTTGGGCGGCCTTGCAAAGACCCACGGTGCCATCCTGCTCCGCGACTTTTGTCCACCCATCTCCACAGCCGCAGACTTTGATGCCGTATGCAAGTCGTTTGGCCTAGATGAGTTCCCGTACATAGGCGGGGCAGCACCGCGGACCGTGGTGACCGGGTCCGTATTCACTGCCAACGAGTCCCCCGCCGACCAGCTCATCCCCTTCCACCATGAAATGGCACAGAGCAAGAGCCACCCCGGTGTCTTGTTCTTCTACTGCATGAAAGCGCCACCGGAGGGCGGCGAGACCCCCATTGTACTGTCCAACCTTGTGTATGAGCGGATCAGGGAAGAGTTCCCGCATTTTGTATCGGAGCTGGAGCAGAAGGGCGTTAGGTATGTCAGGGTTCTGCCGGAGGTCGATGACCCCTCCAGTGCGATCGGGAGAGGGTGGAAGTCCACTTTCGCGGTGGACACCAAAGAGGACGCCGAAAGAGTCGGCAGAGAAATGGGCATGGAGCTGGAATGGCTTGAGGGGAGCCTGCTCAAGACGACAACTGCCGTCATACCGGCCACGAAGAAGGACCCGCGCACGGGAAAGACGTCCTGGTTCAACAGTATCGTGGCAGCTTTCACAGGCTGGAAGGACACGCGCAACGATCCGCGCAGGGCGGTGGTGTTTGGGGACGGCAGCCCCCTCGATGCGGACATCCTGCGCAGGTGCCAGGAGATCATGAACGAGCTCGCCGTGGCGTTTGAGTGGAAGCGAGGTGACGTCTTGGTGGTTGATAATTGGGTCACGCTCCACTCGAGGAATTCCTTCAAGGGGGAACGGGTCATCTATGCAAGTCTATGGAAGTAATAAACAGCCTCTTCTGGCTAGTCAGTTGCTCCATTAAATGGTGACAGCACTTAGAGTGAACCATGGAGATCCATATGCGTGACAGCGAAGTATTTCGTGTTTTTGGACGTATATTCTAGAAGCGGTACACTAGAATTACACTAGAATTGTGTCCGTCCAAACATCGTCTTCGTCCAAGCATTGTTTCCGTCCAAAACTTTATTTCGCCCAAAAGTTTATTTCGTCCACAATGTCGATTGTTTACCTAAGAGCACCACTCTAGGGTTCAGCCAATATCCTCACGGGCTCAGAAGTCTAGTAGAACCCAACCGCACCTCCCATGTCTACAAAGCAAAAGCCCCATCCAACCAAGTCATCACACTGTTGATTTGCCCGGCCATCGGACAGGACCTTAAACTTAAGAAGATGTTCTGAGTGTCCCCAGCGCATTGATCACACCTTCACTACGTACACTGAAGTTAATCATGTGTGCTCAACAAGTGCGCAGTATTTGATTTCAGTCATAACAATGTGAAGACTAGTATAAATAGTTGGAGACCAATCAACCCCCCCCCCCCCCACCTCCCCACATGGCCTCTAACAAGCAACCCAGGTGTCTCATTTTCCCCTCTGGTTCCGTAGCAACAGATATCTGAGACTTCATACCCCCTTCCAAGTCTCCTTACTTCCCCTGTCTTTCCTCCATCCCTGAACGAGATCATGACTCATCCACTCCGGGAGTCGTGCCCTGAGCAAAGAATGTCCAAGACACCGTAGACAGGGCCTGCTCAAGACTTATACTGGGGAAACGCAATCAGGAATGGCCCAGATAGACGTGTACCAGTAGGCTGGGGGCACCGGAAGATCCATTGTCGTGACCCTCAGGAGGTGGTGAGTGTAGAGAGCCGGTAGTAAGTGTGATGTCTTCGCAGTCGTATTGGGGAATGCCCGAAGGCAGCTGGCTTTTAGGTCCAATTTCTCTACTCCCAGCCGATCTGACTATCGCGAGCCGCATATGTGAACGCTGGATAGTCGATTTAGGGACTGGGCCATTGCATAGCCTCGACCCCCTCTTCCTTCTCGATTGACAGCCGAGTACTGTCAGATTCTCCGCGTGATCCAGTTTTTATCACATGAGGTTGCCCTGAGCATTGACGTCCTCCCAGAAAGACATCTGTGCGTCCCACGCACCGGCGAACTGCTGGTTGTCCGGTGCTGACCCGAGGTTCTGTGGAGATGTGAACTCAGGGGTGTAAGATGACCAAGGCGTCTGTGGTGCGCTGGAGAATGGAGTATCAGGAGGGTTGAATGGTGTGGTCGGAGCCGTGGAGATGTGGCTCGGGGTGGTGTTCAGGCTCGGTACGAAGCCAGGAGATGAGATTGCCTCCGGGGTGAACCGAGTGCCGAAGGTATTGGCCTGGGGCAGAAACTGGTTGTTGTTTCCGTAAGCTGGTAGCAGAGGGTTTCCAGGGGTTGGCGCGGTGAAGTTGAAAGCCTGGCCAGAGGGGTTCTGGGAGAAGATTTGCTGAGAGTGACCGGGCTGATGAAGATCGAAACCCTGCGGTGGACCCTGGAAAGAGACTGAGGTGGTCTGCGGTTGTGCCGAAGGAAAGGCGGTCGCACCGACGGATGGAGTCCAGCCGTTTGCCGGCCCAAAGAATTGATCAGCATAGTTGACCTCTGGTGCCAGCTCAACGTTGGGGTGAAAGTTGTTCGCGGCCGTCTGTGGGGCGACCTCAGTCTGTTGTGTGTAGACTTCAACTTGAGGAGTTGCGAGCGTGCTGGATTGTTCCGAAGGTTGACCTGCTGCGGGTTGGGTAGCGGCAGCCGCGCGACGAGGTGTGTCGGTGGCAGATCGCTTTGGCTGCTTTCTGGCATTACGCGGGGCCGTCTTTCGAATTGATCGAGGCGCTGGAGTGACTGGAATAGCGGGCGTGCCTGGCGTGCCTGGAGTATTGTGCGAGGCCGCCTCGTGCTTTTCCTCGTCGTCCTCCTGGCCCTCTTGCTCCTCGCGATCTCGCTTCCTCTTGGCAGCAGCTTCCTCGAGGAGAGTCTGTTTCTTCTTGTTGCCCCGCATGTTGCCCTTCTTTCTCTGGACTTCGTGCTCTGGAGCATTTGCCAGCCTGCAGGTCCACGAGGGCTCCATGAGGTCTGCCGCGGCCTTCTTCGAGACCTGTTCCAGGTTTGTTAGCAACAGAACTAGCACGCAGGATTTAGAAATAGTCTGAAGCAACTGCACTGACTTTGATTGAGTCAAGGACGGCGTTGAATCGGTCAATGAAGCTATCGAAGTGCTGATACTCGAAGTTGCGATCCCATGTCCACTTCAGTGCGTAGCACGCACCCAGCTGGGCATCTCGGATCCCAAGCTGCAATTAGAACATTGTTAGTCACGTAGAAATGCCAGTTGATGCCAGGAGACATTCCGACTTACCAAAAGACCCCAAGCCAGCAACTCCAGACGAACATTTGGCTCATCTCGCATCCGACGAGCAGTACCGCTCTCCCTCCGAACAGGCTCGCCGTTCTCGTCGCGAATGACCTGCTTGCTTGCGTCTTTCTTGACAGTTCCGTCCAAAATGTCTATCTGGTTTCTCATGGCATCGAAGAGACGGCCAACCAGCTGCTTCTGCTTGGCGGGGTCATTGTCTGGGAAGTTCTTGTCGGGGTCCTGAGAGAGTGGTGCGATGTCGTGGCCTTCCTTTCGCTGTGCCGCAAAGAGAGCCGAGAGAGTGAAGTAGTCGTTGATGTCACGAATCTCGCCACGAAAGTCCTCTGAGACGAGGGGATCGTCGAGCCGCGCTTGAAGGGCCTGTTGTTGTGTTGGCTGGCCGGGCTGGCCTTGGGCTGGGACACTCGCCATTGTGAAAAAGGCCATGGTCCTTGATGAGTAGGCACGCAAGTAGTAGTTGAGGTATTGAGAAAGTGATTCGTAGTAGAAGAAGTCGCAGGAGAAGGTATAGTAGTAGAAGTCAAAGTAGAGGTCAAAGTCAGAGTAGAACACGACGAAGTAGGTCTTGTCTACCTGAGCTGTAGAAAACAAGTTTGTCGCAAGGCGAGAGCTTCAGAACGACTTGAGGTTGAGCGATGATTCAAGATTGAACGGCAACTCGAGGTTGGTTCAGGTTAGGGAGAGTGATTCAACGATCGAGGAAGAAGTTGGGAAGAAGTTGATAATTCAGGGCCGTCGAAGCCACGGCTGACGTAAGGTAGATAAGACTAAAAGTGAAGGGACGACAGGATAACAGGACGGAAGCTATTTCGTTTGCTCGATCACATGCTTAAAGATCAGGGGCAGCCTCGTCACTGATCGTGGGTTGAGCAGACGGTGGAGGGGCTTAGAAGCGTTGCTGTCGTCGGACAAACGACTTCCTGATACGGTAAGGTCAACACGAGGTAGTAGACGGCAGGCAAGTACTTTTCTTGAACACATCAAGGGAAATATCCCTTTTCGTCGACAGTTGACCTTTAGGGCTAGACCATTTACTTACGACGTGGGCGTATACAGTGAAAACAGTGCCAGGAAGAGCCGGCCACAGCTTCGTGAATCACTTCAACGACGCAATCACATGCCATCTGTATTCACACTACAACCTGAAAGACACGGTGACCTCGTTTGCAAAAGCCCGGGGCGGGGTGGGAAAGTGGGAGGACGTGGGTGTCCTATTAACTTATTACCTAGTCGGCCAGCTGATAATGCGCATGGAGCCCATTAATGAAATGGAATATCTAAGGATGTCATCACCTGTCGTGATTGGATGTTGTCACTTACTCTCTATTGATAATCTTGCCATCTACTACGCTGGCATACTAAGACTTTCCTGAAGTGAACCAAACAAGAGTACAATCTATGCCGGCAGAGATGCTACTTCTCAGGGCAAATACAATATGTTACTAGTTAATGAACGGCTGGACAACAGCTGGGAAACATCATCTATTTGAATAGGTGCTAATTCGTTGACTTGGGCGAGTGTTCAAATGGCAAGTATGATAGGTTCAACTTATAGAAGTCCCCCAGGTACTTACTAAGCCTCATGGAATGTAAGAACCATAAGCGGGCTACATGTCTTTTGATTGTTTTCACTCTAAATTCCGGATGCTCTCAGCACCTGGAGAGATAGGGGAGATTGAGGATTGTAGTCTGATTGCTTTAAGTTCCATTGCGGATGTGCAGCTAAATTGTTGTGGCAGAAATAATGCTGCAGAAAAATGCACATGTACCAGTGGGTGAGCGCATTGGATGGAAATGGTGGAATCGCCGTCACAAAATAAGACTTTCAACCAAGGCGATTGATGCGGTCTATCCCTTCAAGTCTTTCTTGTAGCTCCAAGAGCATTAATTCAAGCTCCAAGAAGGGTCAAATAGTAGCGTTGAGCCTGCCAAGTTGCTCGAAGCGTCGTGTTGATGTATTGTAAACAGATATTCTTCATGCTGTCCTAGCCAGGAGGTAGGCTTAGTAATCACTTTGAAGTCAAGGTGACGTGTAGAGCAGCTTGACTATTCTCTTGACATCTGCAATGAAATAGAACACTTCCTTGGTATGTGATAGAGCACCACAGCAGCGGACCACGGCTCGTGACAAGATGATTGTTACGAGTGTATATATGTGCGTGTGTATGTCATTGGAGCGGGAGGAATTGCTTGTGTAATACTAGCACTTGTGTACGGTCCAGGGGCAACCGCATCAATCTTTTTTCTCTTCTGTTCAATGTAAGGTGAAATCTTGTTTAAAGCCTGATGTCGCTCTGCCAAAAGTATCCTACCATGCGAATTAGGCCTGGGTGATGTGCTTTGATTGGCTATGGCTATGGTGGAAGTTGATGTACTGGTGTACCCTCAGTTTTTACAGGTGCGAATCTCTGATTTCAAATTCAACGACAAAGGGTAAATGCGCTGCTGAGTTGAATATTATCAGGAACTGGCGTGGCACAACCATTTCTCTGGAGAATGTCAACTACCTTGCAGTTGGCAGTGTGTGAGACGCTGAAGCTGAACCAACATCAAGACCTTGATCCCAAGACATATAGAACGCTGTGCCGCACTCTTGCGACTCTAATCGTGAGGTTCATCTAGCAGCCACACATTCTGTAAGTAACCGACCAAAAAGAGCCTGGGCTTATTACCTGAGCTTGATTCATGCTGGCCAAATGCTCGCATATATTTGATTGACGGTGGCTTGGGTTGCGATGTTACGATGTGTTCATGATCTTGATTGCGACGATAACGCAGTCGTCCAGCCCTACCATCAACCCCTGATCTCATCAGCCACAGATGAAGAATGATTCCCGCTGTGCAACCTTGTGAGAATCTTCTAGACTGTGTCAAAGTCAGATCGCCTTTAAATTTTGAGACTCCTCGCCTTCACACTGCCGTCAACTCCTTGCCTCATTGCCATTATCAGCATATTCCGGGTATCTTTGCCTCATCTATTCCATTTCTGACATTAGATTGACCAGGGCAGGAGAGTCAAGTCGAGTGGTAGGTAGCCCTGGGCCGTAATCCCTTCCGTTGCTTGCAGAACAACAAAGTTCCTTGCGCCGGCTCCATTTCCCACGCCATCTTGAGGCATCTGGATGTCATGAGATTTGTCAAAACTGCGCTGGATGTCTAAGATGATCCACATCCCTTCGATTTGAAGGACACCATCTCAGCATCTCAATGATCGCTTCCCTAGACGGTCTCTCTGACCAGCTTCTTCACCAACTTCCTTTGGGCATCCACGTCCAGGCGACCATCATCGGTCTCCTTGAGTGCCCTCCCAACCACCAAGATCGATCTCACAGCCTCGCTGTTCACCCATACCCTGCCGTTCCTGCCCGCTGCGATCTCAAAGCCAAGTCCCATGGTGCCGAGCTCTTCGAGCACCACAACACCCCCATCGGTGGTACTCTTGGGCATCAAAAGCCTCCTTGCAAAGCCCAGTGACACAGTGAACAGCATGCCGCCGGCTAAGGGACCTAGTCCATCTGCCTTGCCGGTCGCGGGGTTGACGCATTCCAGCTCGGCGTCCATGTGCTTGTTGGCCAGTGACACTCGTGCGTAGACCAGCTGCCCGTTTGCAAGTTGTGGCCGTGTTTTTTTGGTGGCCATCTCGAAGGCGAGGACGGGCAGGAGGGCGTTGGAGGTGTGAGGTGTGAGTTGGACGTAGTAGAAGTCGGCAGCGCCGTGGTGGACCTGGCCGATTACGAGGTCGCCTTGTGAGGGCACGTACTACGGTACACCGATGGTTAGCTATCACGAATTTGATACTGCAGATTGTGTGCTTACTCTGCCACCATTAAATTCAACCCATAATGAATTCTTCCTCCTGTCTGTGACGAGCTGCCCCGCGACGGTGGGCAGGATGGTGCTTGGTGGAATGTGCCGCAGTCCAGGACCCAGTTGCAGTGCTTTCTTGGGATGTGAAGGGATATGTGAGGGGTCTATTGTGTCCCCTGGAAGGACAACAGGTGCCTCTGCTGACGACATCTTCTTGGTGCCTGATGTTGCGGATTCAACCCCCAGTTGCAAGAAGATCGATGTAGACGATGATGGAGGGGCCGTTCCTCAGAAATTCAACTGCCTGCCGGTGACGTTGATTCTTATCGCTATCAGGGAAAGGTACGTACCGACATGGACGTGCAGGGGACAGGGGGTCCCAGACTTGGGCAAGGGACTCGCCAGAATTTCTTAGCAGCCAAAAAAATTCGGTCAGATTCGCAGCTTGAAGAGTCCAACCCCACCATCAACTATCGTCTTAACTGCTCAGCCTTGTGATTCTTTTAGACTCGCATCCCGAAGCCCTCTTTGCTGAAAATTTCTCCCCAAATCTTCATTTTACAGTCGCCCAGATGAGTGAGAACGGAGTTACTGGGCCCAGCCCTCAGCCGGGCGACCGTGTTGCTATCGGTATCACCTTCGGCAACTCCAACAGCTCTATTGCATACACGATCGACGACAAGGCAGAGGTCATTGCAAATGAAGATGGAGGTGAGTGTGAAAGGGCAATGGCAAGCTGTGAATTATGCTAACAGCGCTTCTGCAGACCGACAAATCCCCACAATATTATCCTACGTCGACGGCGACGAGTACTATGGCGGTCAAGCAAAGAGCTTCCTGGTCAGGAACCCCAACAACACTGTCGCATACTTCAAGGACTTCCTAGGAAAAGACTTCAAGTCCATCGACCCAACCCACAACCACGCTTCTTCCCACCCCCAAGAATCTGGCAGCACCGTCGCTTTCGAGGTTAAGGACAAGGAAGGCGAGGAGACCCCGTCTAAAGTGACCGTTTCCGAGGTCACGACTCGCTACCTGCGCCGCCTCATCGGCTCTGCCTCCGACTATCTCGGCAAGAAGGTGACCTCCGCTGTCGTCACCGTTCCCACAAACTTCACAGATGCCCAGAAGGCCGCCTTCGTCAAGGCCGCCAACGACGCCGACCTCGAGGTCCTGCAGCTTATCTCCGAGCCTGTCGCATCCGTCCTCGCCTACGACGGTCGCCCCGACGCCCCTGAGGTCACGGACAAGATCGTTGTGGTGGCAGACCTGGGCGGCACCCGCTCCGATGTCACAGTTGTCGCGAGCCGCGGGGGCATGTACACGATCCTGGCTACTGCCCACGACTACGAGTTTGCTGGATTTGCACTGGATAAGGTGCTGATGGACCACTTCGCAAAGGAATTCATCAAGAAGCACAAGAAGGACCCTCGCGAGAACGCCCGGTCGCTCGCTAAGCTGAAGTACGAGGCCGAGATCACCAAGAAGGCATTGAGTCTGGGAACCAACGCAAGCTTCAGCGTCGAGTCGCTGGTGGACGGATTCGACTTCGCCTCCACCATCAACAGGCTGCGCTACGAGATGGTTGCCCGATCCGTCTTCGAGGGCTTCAACCGTCTTGTTGAGGGCGCAGTCAAGAAGGCCGGCCTGGACGTCCTGGACGTCGACGAGATCATCCTGTCTGGCGGCACCGCGCACACCCCCCGCATCGCCGCGAACCTGAGCAGCATCTTCCCGGAATCGACAACGGTCCTCGCCCCCTCCACCACCCCGACAGCCATCAACCCCTCCGAGCTGCAGGCCCGCGGCGCCGCGCTGCAGGCCTCCCTGATCCAGGAGTTCGAGACCGAGGACGTGCAGCAGAGCACCCACGCCGCCGTAACCACCGTCGCGCACGTCACCAACGCCATTGGCGTCGTCGCCCTGTCGGACGACGGTTCTGAGGAGGTCTTCACGCCTGTGATCGTGCCCGAGACGGCCGTGCCGGCGCGGAGGACCGTGCACGTCAGCGCGCCCAAGGACGGCGGCGACGTGTTCGTCAAGATCGCCGAGGGCAACACGCACATCCACGTCACCAAGCCAGAGCCCAAGGCTAAGGAGAACGGCGAGGACAAGAAGGACGCGGATGACGAGGACGACAGCGACTTTGACGACGATGAGGACGAGGACGACGAGAAGCGCGAGAAGTTGTGGAAGATCGGGTCCACGCTCGCCGAGGCCGCCATCCGCGGCGTCAAGAAGGGCAGCAAGGTCGAGGTCACGATAAGTGTCCTGGCGGACCTGAGCGTCACGATCCAGACCAGGGAGGTCGGCGCAAAGGGTGGTGTGAGGGGAACGCTGTCCGCCTAAGGACGGTGCAGGAGAAAGAAACGAAGAGAAAAAAGAGGGCAGGGCAGTCGGCACCTCACGATGGCCTCATCGGCACCAAGTATTGGATGGATGCCCATATAGACTTTAGCCCCGAGACGAGGTTTATGATGAGCGAGACCCCCGCGTGGTGAGCTTGCATGTACGCATAAGCACATTAGAGGACTCGGTTGAATAAAACGATTAGATCTTTGCAAAGATGGGAGTATACCTCCGGCTTACAGTATTTGGCATATGTAGGTGTGATGCGGCCGATTCTGTAGAATGGGGACAACTGACCCCAGCCATCTGACGTACGAATAGCCCGGGTGTTTGGCACACGGACACATAATTCACTCAACAATTAAGACTTGATATCCAGGTGCCACCTAAAGCTGTGACAATTACATCGCTTGATTCCTTTTTGTTCGCTGTTGTAGTCTCAGTAAAGCAGGGCACATGTGCTGTTTCCACCTGCCTGGTGCCCTTCACTCGCCTAATTTCCAGTGGTAATTTTACTGTAATTTGAGACACGTCGCAAGGGACAGTTTCTCTTCTTCCTGCCATGTTCAGCTCCCATGCTCGTACAACAAGGTCCCACTTTCGTACATTGCCAACGGCGGAACGAGCGTGAAATATTCGGGCTCGAGGGCTGCACAGGCTGAATCGGACGCTCATTGCCCTACGGCAAACCTGATCCAGCTCAAGCCGCGAATCACGATAAAAGACATCTTGCTTGTTGGCATGCTGAAACATGACCACCATCCTGCGTCATCCGGAGGATGTCAGTGAGGAGCAGTCACAACTGTTTCTGAAGAGCTTCGACTGCTGGCGATGACGCCGCCATATCACTCTTAGAAAGGGACCGCTTTGCATGCCATTGGGACCGGACCCCTTGGCCTCCCCAGTGGCACAGCGAGCCTAGGAATAGGCCCGCCGGTGTAGGATGCCCTGAAATGGCTGACAGCTGCTAGATCCCCTGTTTACAAATCTCTTCAAGAGTTCGCAACGCCTGGATGAATCCGGCTCTGGTGGAGCCAAGACATATGATATGGCGGCTGTGACTGCGGATGATCGTAAAGTTGTGGCATTGTGTTGCGGGCCTTCCTCTGCTTATCCTGTCATGACGGCATCCTCTTCCACTGGCTCGGGAGGGTTGGGCTGTTGATGCTTGTTTTGCATGTGTCTTCGCCAATTATCCTTTCTCGGAAATGACTTTCCACCTCCTTGTTTTGAGTAAGCGCACCCGGTCACCGTGCAGTGGTACTTTCGTGTCTTGTTATGCTTGTCGTTGATGTGCCGGTCGAGATGTGTTTTCGTGCCGAACCGCTTGTCACACTGCGGGCATTGGTGCGGTCGTTCGTGGTAACGTTTGTGATGGCTGTGGGTTACAGTAAGCATACGGACACGAGATGGACCGGAGGGTCATAGAGGGCATACTTCAACTTGTGCACCTGGTCAAACTTGCTTCCACAAATCTCACATGCGAATGACGTGGGCTTGGGCGACGCTGAAGTTCTGTCTTCCGATGTAGAGCCTTGCGACTGGCCGCTGATGGTTGTCTCCAAGTATTCTTCGCATGTGTTAGTCGACTGCAGCGACGTCCTTGATTCCAACGGTACATTACCTGTGGTCGGTTCGAAGGTACTTGAGGGGCGGTTTGACATTGATGATCGTGGCGAGGGAGAGGCGGTATAGTTTGACCCCGTGAAGCGTGTCTCGGGAGAGGTGTGGTTCGAAGGGGATGGACCGTATGTATATTGGTCGAATCCAGGCGACGAGGTGTCGGAGATGTCTGTGACGACTTGCTCATCGGTTTGGGGCACAGCTTGCCCGTTGGTGGTCACGTCCATCTGAGTCGGGTGCCGCACAACGGCTTGGAAATGCGGACGATCAGGTTGGGTTGGAGGTTGTTCGGCCTGGGCTTGCTGGGGAGGTGGTGACTGAGATGGCGAGTAGTATTCGGTTTGTGAGGGAGGGGACGGTTCGGATGGGGGAGGTGTGTTATCAAGTTGAGGTGGAGGCGAATTTTCAAGTTTCCAAAGTTCCGTATCTACCCAGGCAGCCTGTTCGGCGGCAGTCGTCGGTTTCATCATATCCATCGGGTTGACTGTGCCAGGCGCAGGGCGGTATGGGCTGGGTGGAGGCTCGAACCGCTTTGGGCTGGAGTCGACGGGGAGGCCTCTGCCGGGTGGCGGAGACAGGGTGTCACTTTGGGCCTCCAGTGACCTTGCCCGCTCGCCCTCTTCACTGCTCAACTCTTCTTGCTTGACTTGAGGCGAGGTGGGACTCGGCGGGGCTCCGGCAGCATTAAATGGACTTCCAAGTTGTTTCTTACCAGTCTGTGGCATGAGCGATTCCACTATAGAAGCCCCCGAGATCCCAATCATATGGATGAATTCTGAGCCAGGGCCAGGCGTCGGCAGTTTGTTCTCTTCCGGCGGCGACAGAGGTGCGACAGCTCCCGCGTAGTAGTCTGCTGCCGCCTGGGTGTAATACTCATCGGCTGCTCCTCCTCCTGGGGGTTTATCGTCGCGCAAATATGGCACAGCGGGCGTGGTTTCAGTGCGGTCGTCGTCGAGTTCCATATCAGATAACCTGGGTCCTGTGCCACGAGACTCGCTCCCGCTTGATCTCGTGCTTCCCCGTGCGAAGACTTTGGAACTTAATTTGCGAAAGACGCCTCCCTTCGTCGACTGTGACCCGTGTAGACTGCCCGTGGCTGATCGTGACAGAGATTCGGGCTCTGTGGTCAAGGTCCCAAAAGTTCCACTTCGGTCTGGCTTTCCCTCTGGCGGGGGTGTAAATGGCCCCTGAGCAACGGCCGGAGAGGCATTTCGGCTGACAACCGCAACTGCGTCGGCCAGGGAGGGTACGCTGGGAGCGGGGGAGCACGAGAGCATCGTCGAGTGGCGGGCAACGGTAGGCGGTGGAGGGGGTGCATGATGATACACGATCCCATCTGGGCCGTATTCTTTACCGATTTGTGAGTCGCGATCGGACAAGGTGCCCGCGGTGGAGGCTATACGGCCTTGGGAGAGTCGGTTGGCGGGATACTGGGAGAAAGTCTGGGAGACTGGTCGCGAACGCATTGGGGCGACGCCCATCCCGGGTCGCAGAGCATCTTGCTGTTGGCGTTTTCGCAGTCGTCGTTTTCTCCTTGATTTTAATATGAATGGCAAACTACAGACGAGCATGAGGATGATGGCGGCAACAGCGCCGACGGTGGCACCGGCGATGGTGCCAGGCGACTCGTCGCGAGCCATGATGACATGGCCGCGGGTGATTGGCGACGGCGACATGTCAGGAGAGGGCGATGGTGAAGCTGAAAATCGATGTCGATCTCCTGAGGCCTGGATGAGTGCTGAGGGCGCCAAGAGAGAAGTGAATCAATGTCTCTGGCAAGTGAGGCTGATTGGCCGGGGGTGGCGCAGCTGTGAGGCCGAGAGACGGGACGGGGTGAGATGAGGTTGGAGTCGATCCGCAGGGCCCAGCTCGGGAGAAGAATGAGGCTGAACGACGACGAAGGCGACAAGACGACGCCGTCAACGGTACCGACTGCCAATGGGGTTTAGGCCCTCATAACCCGAATCGACGGTGGCTGGCAGGACCAGACTGCTTCTCGTCGTTGGTCGTCGTCTCGGCCGGGGCGCAGCAGCGGCGGGACGGCTGCAGAAGCTGATAGGGTTGTCACTGGGTGACGGTGGAGGATGCAAGAGGTGTGGTTCGGTGTGTTCGGCCCCTCATGGTCGAGAGGGTCGATGACGGATGAAAGTTGCAAGAGGGTGGAAGCAGGATTTGAGGCGAAGGTGAACCGAACCAAAGAGGGAGAGATGGGACGAGGTGAGATTGGGTCGGCTGGCCGGTCAGTCGGTCAATTGGACTCGACTGGATTGGATTGGATTGGCTTCACGGGCAGTGGGCGGGTGGGCAATCGGGGTGCCGGAAAGCTGGGATCCAACGATGGGTGGCCCTGGTGCTTGTGCAGCAGCCCAGTGCAGGCAGGCCAGGCCAGTGCCAACACCAGTGTGCAGCAAGTGTGCCACGCTTCTGACGCTGGGCTCTCGTGGTGGGTTCAGCCTCCGAGCGGGCGAATGAGTAGCTGTATCCCTAGGCGGTGCTTATTTTAGGTGGCCGGGTGGATAACTGTAGCGTAGATGGGCACAAGCGAGAGGATGAGCGGAGCTGGGCGAGCCTGGGTGCTTAGTAGGCGGGTGGGTTTTGAGGCGTTTGTTTGAGGAGTCGGGGAGGTGCCGCAACGACGACTATTATGTCTATAGGATCGACGATGGTGATCTGAGTTGGGACCCGGGAAGAAACCTTGGGGGGTAGTGGTGCAGCATCAAGAGCATGTGTCTATCTACCTAGACAGTACTGCTGCTGCTGCCGCTGCCGCTGCGGTTGGTGTTGGTGTGAGGTAACCTGGTCTGTGCCACAGCACCGCTTGGACGGCAGGGCCGCACGACTGCGCGACTTGCTGCACGATGGACTGGTGTGAGGACGCAACGACGAGGTTGGCATCTCCCTGTGGGGCGTGCCGTGGCAGGGAAGGCAGGAGGAAAGGGGCCAGGTAGAGTTGGTCGGCCATTGGCTGCTGGCCACTCACACCCGGATGCCTCCTTCCCCCAACCCCACTCGGCACTTTCTGAGTTTGACGGCTTCCCTACACCACAGCTGACCACAGCTGGTCCCTCTCGACATTCACTTCCCAATCTGTCTTTCTCTCACCGCGATATCGCCGGATGCCAGCATCTCGCCAGTTCGCAACCCAACCGCAATGTGACGTTCCAATGCTGCGCGATCTGATACCAGATCCGATGCCTCAGCACCAAAGCCTCCAGTGACGAATTTTCACTCGGCCTTGTCCGAGGCCTTGGTCCTCGAAAGATACTCGGCGATCGTCCCCAAGCAGGGCACAATGGACCCAAGGCCAATCCCAATGGGCCACGCCCTCAGATTCGCTGCGACTCGACCCATCTATCATCTCGGCAAACGACAGCAGGGCTCAGTACCTAGGTATTCAGTACAGGGACAGCTACAGCTCACAGCAAATAGCACAGACAGCCAGACAGCCACACAGCGACGTCCATACAAGCCCGTCCCCTCCCATTAGCTATCCGCTACTCGCCCCGAGTCACTGCATGCGATGACGATTCAATGACAAGGTCCCATTCGAATACATCCCACTGCTACGGCACAGCTTGCAGAAACCTCCATCCCCACGGGGACTGCCCGAGCTGCTAAGCCACGGCGCCTCAAACACTCCATCTTGATGCTGTACTGCCACAGGCATACAATCACTCAACCGCACCGTAGCAAAGACTTCGTAGAATCAACTCCTGGGATCACATTTTTGACCATGACACATTCTTATCTTTTCTGTCTTTTACCATTGATGCTTCCCTGTCCCAGGACTGTTCGACATCTCATCAAGTTCATTGCCCACAACGCGATCCTGGTCTAGTGCAGCGTTTGAAGCCCACAAAAGGCCTCTGTTCTACCTCCCAACTCTTCCCAGGATACCCTTAAGTGTCTATCATCTGTCGCGGAACGTGCTTCATAGAGCCGACTTCTTGGAGAATTTTATGTTGCAATCTCGACTTCTCTCACCATGCAGAAGTCAGGACCAATTGAAACGCACAGCCCCGTGGTTCCTGTTAATCCGAGGAGTCTATTCTGCTATAGTTCCACCCCATCCTCGGCCTACCCCTGTTTTGGATAGAAGCCACTGACCTGGGCGCGGGAAGCTTATAATGGCGGAATCTTTCGGCACAGCCACCAAAGGTCGGGCACGTGGGGTGGCTGTCCGCACCACGTCCGAGAAACCGCAGTCCGTCCGTCAACCGGTATCCCCGACGACATCGTCATTGCCTCGAGGACTTCTTGACGCCTGCGGCCTCCAAAAGAGGCAACCTGGCAACGATTGAATTTTTCCTTGAGTGCAGTCCGCGAGTCGCACGGTCTTTTCGTTGGGTGACCTCCCCGGGTTCAAGCCTCCCCTCACGTGATGTCTCATGGATCAGCCTCATCTGAGGATGACTTGGTTGTCTGATCCATGTCCTGGTCTTGGGCGAGAACGCCGTCCCCATTCTCGTCTGTCAACCAGATTCTCTCGCCGAGGTTACTCAGAAAGTACAGAGCGTCAGTCGTCTTCCTTCGGTACATCGCGGAGTATATTCCCACTCCCATGAAGCCCTGTTCAACCAGATACTTCTTCGATACATATCTTACTCCCCAGAAAGTCGCGCTTGGGTTATCTGATGCATCTGCTTCGCCGTCCTCATCTGGGCTGTCGACCTTGTCCAATTTATCTGACTTCTCTAGCTCGTCATCTGCGTCTGATCCGCCGACATTTTCAGCGCCGGCTGGGGGATTGAATGCCACCCCTGCCGTAGAAACCGGGCCTTCTGGAGAAGGTGCGTCCGAGCCGCTCACGTCAAGCCGGGGCCTCTGCCTGGGGAAGGTTAGGGAAACCTTGATCCTGTTCGTGACGGCCGTTCCTGTCCAGGCTTTGGATGATGATTGGTGATCGGGGACCCGTTCTGTTGATTTCATCGAGCTCGTTTCGGAGGTGTTGCCATTCTCGCTCGCGCTCAGCTGCGGCCTGTTGCTCGCTGGCCTCGAGCGATCTCCTACGGTTCGCCTCTCGGCGGATCTCGATTTTGCGTGTCGTTGCCGCCAGTGCGGCATTGTTGGTTCCGAATCATTTCTGGACGACATTCTACCGGTTACAAATGTCCATGTTGGAACATCTCTGCTTCGAGTCGGCTTAAATCAAAGGCCAGAAATTGGGAAAGCAAGCGGTTCACAGTATTGATTGTTCAGGTGAGTGTGAGTGCGTTGGGTCTTGAAAAGGCTCGTTGTTTCGAAGTATGGCCAGAGACCAAGAGGGCCATGCATTTCAGGACAATCAGAGGGGGTAGCGGCGTATAATTGCCCAAAATGGATTGCCTAGACAGGACGTGTTGCGACTTATCGTCAGGTCCAGCAGACCATCTCCCAAGTCTGGCCGCAAGGTCCCCCCTAGCGCGGCGCACATTTCTTTCCTCGCCGCAAGCATTGGCTGGTAATGGGTGCCCATTGCGTGCGCTGGAGTTGATACTGGGCTAAGGGCACGGCTAAGTGGTGTTCGGGCTTGTGTCATGAGTTTTAGCTCCTGGCACGGCGCGCATGCCTCCATGCCTCGATGCCGCGGGTGTATCTGCTGGGAAACCGGTTTCCATCAAGCACTACGCCTAACGGGCACGAGAGCCGGCTGTATCGCCTACGAGCTACTGAGCTTCGTTGCCCGGCGGATCCTCGCCTAGGGGATGTCTGTCTTTGGATAGCTCAATCGGTGTGGTGATTCCAAGGTTGTGCGGGCACAGCAGGGACCACTCGCGTGCGGGCGTCCGGGTCGCGTGTTTGCTTCGTTGCGGTTTTAGAAGGAAGCTTCCCGGGGTGTGTACGGACGTTCGCGGTTTTGGTGTAACCTTTTTTTTTTTTTTTTGGTATACACGAAGCACTCGAAAAGGAGGGAAAAGCAGTCAGAGGATTCCGTCCTCACTTGCTGCTTCACGTGGAGGGCGCTTGCTAGTCTCAGTGGCAGGCGTCGTCTGGATGTTTTCTCAAACCAGTGTAGCGGAGGCTGTCAACCCCGTGTAATTTGATGCGCTTTTGGACGGGTTTAGAAGAGGTGGGGTGGGTTATTATCAAAGCGCTTGGGGGTTGGGCCGAGCATGACAGATTTCTTACGCCGTAGAATGGACCGGTCCAGTGACGGCGGGCTCGAACTGGATCAAGAGGGAATGCATGTGAGCACATGGCACGGTCTCATGGTAGACCGCAGTCTGCGAGGCAGGAGCAGGAAGCTGGTGGTCTTGTTGACCAATTCCCGAGTACCAGGTTGTATTGATCAACCTAATAAGTTGATAGTAAGACATGCCAGTTGGTGATATTGTGCGCCTATCCCCCGAGAGTGTAAAAATTCACATTCTAACAAGACTTGCAATGCCATGCAATTTTTGCTTTCTTTGCTTACAACAATACCATGCAAAGGTGCTCAGTATATTCCCGCCACTGAGGAGTGCTATAGTACCTTGGTGGCAGTTTCCGTTCTGTCCGTCCCTGCCTCTCCTACCGAGCTGGGCTTTGTGTCTCACCCGGTGAGGCGGGACTTGCCCCCGCGGCCATCCCCTGGCCTGGCCGCCCCCAATTATGGCTGAACACCAGCCTTGGCCAGCAGGGTCTGACCCGCGGCCAGGTTCGCCATCTGGTAGGCCTTGGACTCGGGCGGGAAGGTGCCGTTGGCGGCCCAGAGGTCGATGAGGGGCTGCACGGGCTCGAGCTCGTGGGGCCGCAGGAGGTCGAGGTTGGTGGCGGTCAGCAGGAAGTGGGAGAAGCAGCTGTTAAGCTGCTTCTCCAGGTTGAGGTGGTAGAAGGGCTCGATGAAGTGGGCGTGGTACAGGTGGGCGTAGACGCGGAACATCTGCAGGAAGATGGTCTGGCAGATGGACAGGAACTCCTTGGGGAACCCGCTGCGGCGGCCCACCCAGTCCTCGCCGTCGCCGCTGATGCTGGACAGCGAGGGGGACGAGCCCAGGGCCGGGTTCAGCGCATACGACACGCCCGCCGGGTCCGTGGGGAACACCTTTGTGTTGTCGATCTTGCCCGATATCCACCGCTGCATGAGGGTCATGTACTCGAAGGCGGGCAGCTCGATGGGCTCGTAGCGGCTGTTTAGCCATGTGTACGAGTGGTTGCTGGTGAGGATTAGCCGGTGGGCACTCATATGACAGCCGCCGTCTGGCTTCCCATGAGAGTGGGTGAGGTGTGGACTTACGGGCCGGCAGTCATCTTGGGGCACGTGGTGGCGTTGCAGATGTTGGAGCCGTTCTCCTCCTTCTCGTATATGACACGGACAAAGTGCCACAGGTTGCGGTAGTGCTCTACGCACTGGTGGGCAATCCACTCGCCCTGCTCGACCGTCTTGGGCCGGGCGCTGAGTGTCATGAAGTTGCCCTTGACGATGTGCTTGGCATAGGCCGGGTTGACCCAGGCCGGTAGGGGGTGGGGCAGGTGGTAAGCTTTGAGGGCCTCATCGCCGTTGGAGCTTGAGGCCATCGTGGCGCCGACAGACCTGGAGAGGGAGTCTGACGGGGGCAGCGGCGGCAGGACGCTGTCTAGGGTGCGTCCTCTCTGCTGCTGCTCTAGTGTGGGAGACGGTACTGCAGGAATGGCCTCTTTTGGTGTCCCGGGACGGCCAGCGTTCTTTGATGGTCCTCGTGACTTGCTTCGTGACCGTCTATGAGGGATAATTAGTGACGGATATGCAAGTGGTGAGTGATTCAAGCGTATGTATGAGCGAGTGCCAGGGGGGTGAGGAGGACGGGACGGGGTTCTTCTAGTCGCCTCGAGTAGCGGACAAAAGACATGATGGGCACGAATGTGGTGGACACGCACGTGGCGGCAGACTAGGCCTATGGAGCGCAACAAGCGCCAAGACAAGGACAGGGCAGGGCAGGACAGGGCAGGGCAGGGCACAGCATATGGCATAGGGTGTAGGGCGTAGCATGCATGCTCGTGACAGGTGCCGGCGGTGACCTCTGATGCTAGGCGAGGTCTGACGGCACCAGGACTTGGGCGCGGTCCGGCACGGCTGCATCTGCATCTGCATCTATGTCTGTGTCTGTGTCCGCGTCCAGTTTATGGGACTGCGTCGTCTTCCACAGGTGAGCATCCATAGACACAAGCACATGGCTTGCATGCATAGGTACGGTGGCAGGGCAGGGCGGAGCAGGAGAGGAGGGTGCCAGGCGGTCAAGGACAGACTCACAGTCCAGAGAGGAAACTTGACATATTCTGGAGGGGCAAAGTACCTGTTGTGTCTTGTCCCAGTCAACGGTGGTGAGGGCGACGGCGAGGGCGGTCGAGAGCTTGAGAGCTTGCAGAGCTGTCTGTCAGCCACGGGGGTTCCTGGGTAGGGTAAGGGCAGGGTGTTTGCATAAACCGTCGTCGGCGTCTCGAGACAGACAGACAGACGTTGACACGTCCACCGGGGAGATCATCAATGCCAGGCCTCGCCGCAACCGACAAACGGTCGCAGAAGCAGAGACAATCGGGGCCCAGCGCCAGCATCCCTGATCTCAGGGGCTTGCGGCTCCACGCCCGCTCCACCGGCCCCAGCTGAGAGCTCCCCTCCTGCCAGACATCCAGAACCCTCGCAACCCCCAACGCCAGGGTACGTGTGCGCTAGCCTGAGTCGAAACCTTGGAACCTCGGACCGCTGGGCCAGAGAAGCTTGAGAAACGTCAAACGCGGGGTTAGCCGCCTCAAGTGCCACTCAAGGCACCCCTACCTGGCCTCGCAAGCTATCATTGAAACAACGTTGGGATTTGCGCCTCTGCCCCCATCCTAAGCTGCCCAAGGTCATCTGCTAAGCGTTTGGTCGGCGGCGTGCCACCTCGTGCTTCGATATTTTGACCTCGGCAGATCTGTCCACTGGTGGCAGAGCTGTAGGTTGAACGATGTCACCGTTAGACGTCATGCCTTCATATGCGCTCGCACGAACATCTGTAGCTTGGCGCTTGAGCAGCAGAAAGACAGACAGCTCCAGTGCAACCACAAATCGCGAATTTGAGATCCACTAGCGCGTTGCTGGACGATGGGCCACCCAGATGCAATATCCGCCGGAACCACCAAGCACGCCCAATTGCCCCAGGTGGGTCTGTGAACCGATATATATATCATCTCTTTTGGCCCAGCCGAAGCACCACTCTCGTCTCGTCTAATTTCATCTATCTAGCCTTACAATTTCGGTGTGCGTTTCGAACCACGGCAGATGGCGATGGACAAGATCGTGCTGAGCTCTGGCTGCCCAGGCCGCGAGACCCGCACTCTTGAGTTGATTCTTGCTCGGCTGGGTGTCTATGTGATTCGACTTTGACGTTGTCGAAGTGGACAGGCACCAGGCTACAACCTCTTGGATATGGCTACATGACATGTGGTACTCAGTTCGATACTCCCACCGAACGCGCACTTTCCAAGTTCAGTTCTCTTGCCCTCGGCCCTCCAGAGTGTCTCTACAGAAGCTTCAGAGCACAGCCGTTGTAACAGGTCCTTGAGTCTTGACCGCCAAAATCTCCTTGCCGTTCGATAGACATGTGTCAGACCACGGGACTAGCCGCCGTCAGTTGAAATTGGCGCCCACACTACTAGAAAGCTTAAAAGCCAGATCTGTGCACCTCAGAAGATCTCTGCACTTGGACCTTTGTCATGAGGATTTGACACTAGGAAAAGGCCATGATTTTTCTTAGCGTTCCAGGGATCAGTCCTCTCAATGGCTTGACCAGATCTCACTAGGTGACAATCGTTGCATCGACCCTAGGAACGTCTTAAAAGCACACTCGAGCCTGCTTGCAGCCATAGACCATGTGCGATCGGGTGTCTTCGGTGAAAGTGAGCACAATAACAGCGAAGGATCTGTCAGGTTTGTGCAGGATTCTTTCATGGGATGTGCTGTTGATCAGCAAAACTAGGGTAAAGGCGCTATTAACCAGGAGGGTGTTGACACCCGCAGCATTGCTGACCACCCACCCAAGCACATGCCACCCCAGACATCGTATATCATTTCAAGACTGGAAGAATTCGACCCAACAGAATATCGACTTCAACTTTGATGATCTAACCATCGGTATCTGAAATGGGACATAGCTATCGCTTCATTGTCAATATGTCTCTATCTCCGTGTATTTCCTTGGCTCGCAGTCCTCCTTGCCTGTATCGCTTGTCCAGGACCACCTACAGTGGCAGCAAAATCTTCCTCTATGCTTACTCAGTGCAGGCCGGAGGCCTATTGTACCTCAGCATAAACGCCCGTGGCTTGCAGGATCGGGAGCATCACCCATACCGGTGACCACAGCAGGGTGGTGTGGTGGGGGACTCAGCTTTGGGCTGAGTAGGGATAGTCGACAGCCTCGTCAAGACAGGTGCGGAGCATAAAGCCGCCGTACAAGACACCCATCCTCGGCTATGATTTTTTTTAAACATAATATGCTGGTTACTCCAGAAATTCATTCTCGACATGCAGACTTGATCATTTGCAACTTTAGAAACTCTGCTTGCCATCTTGGGACGACACTCCCTTCATTTCAACAACTGCCGAAAAAGTTGAGGCCCATACATGGCGTTGAATCCGGAGGTGCCTCAAAGGTCTGAAACTCTCCTAATCGATAACAGACGCAAGGCCCATCGAGTATACCGGAAACTTGATCGTAGGGACCGATTCAACCCTTTCAGACATATCGCTTGGTACAAGACGTCAAAGGACCTCAGACCACATTGTTTGTCCTACCCTTTGACGATACAACTTCAATTGTTGAGCTAACGACAGCAGCCAAAACAGCGAAAACAACCAGTCTTTTTGGGTTCCGATACACGCTCTTGAAAATCAAGGAGGCGCCGGAGGAACCGTTTACAGTCGCAAACCAGATCCAGAGGACTTTGCTCACATCATGGATCAACATCCTGCTCGTGTGTGTACCAGCTGGAGTAGTCCTCTCCCAGATTAGGGGTGGTACTCCCGAAACATTCACTCTGAACTACATTGCTCAGATTCCGCTCTGGTTTCTGTGCGATTACTCCCTGGAAGAACTGGAAAAGTACATCGGCGTCAGGGCCACGGACATACTGGATATATTCACAACCAATACTGTGCAAATCATCTCAAGCGTCCTCTTGCTGCTTGATGGCAAGGTTGACCTGCTGCAGACATCGCTGATAGGTGGGATCCTGAGCAACATTTTAGTGCTCCTCGGCTTGAGCATATCATTCGGAGGGGCAACGAACATCGATCAACGCCAGCAGGAGTTCAACCGGACCGGTGCCCAGGGGTCATCAAGTCTTCTTTCAATCGCCGCGACTAGCCTCCTCATACCCACGGCGGTGAAATTGTTGGACCAGACATCGAAAGAGAACCTGGTCCGACAGTCCCGAGGAGTGTCAGTTGTCCTTCTGTTCGTCTATTTCACATACTCGATCTGTCAAATGTGGACACACAAAGTGGAGTACGGGGCATCAGGCAAATCAAAAGCCACCGTGTCGGCCATACAATCTGCTACTGCCAGTGGTGTATCGATCGGAGGTCGGCCGTTAGGGGACATGGCATCGCCAAGAACCCTGGGGATCCCTTCACCAAATCGCAAAGACGGGGCTTCCCCGCGATCCGTCTCCTTCATCCAGTCACCCGTGCCCCTCTCAAATCAGAGTGCCGTCGCCGTTAGCGCATATGAAAATGGAGACGACGACGAGATTCACGGGCCTCAGCTGGACCTCCCGGTGGCGGCAGCCCTCTTCGCCGCCTCGATCGTGCTGCTCTACTTCTGCATCGATGCGACGGTGAACAGCATATCCGCCCTAACAGAACAGACCTCGCTGACCGACACGTTCGTGGGGCTGATACTGCTTCCCATCCCCAACTGCGACTTCGCGCCCATCTCGCTCGCCGTCGACGACCAGCTCGAGCAGACCATGAAGTACACGGTCGGCCGGTCCATCCAGACCGCGCTGCTGGTCGAGCCCGCCGTCGTGTTGCTGGCGTGGTGCCTGAGCATCCCGGACGTCACGCTTGCGTTTGACGGTTTTGAGGTTGTGAGCTTGTTCACGACTATCTTGCTTCTGAACTTCCTTGTGGTGGATGCAAAGGTGCATTGGGTTCATGGAATTTTGCTGCTTGCCGACTGGGTGCTAATTGGTATCGCTGCGTACTTTGTACATCCGCAAATCGATTAACACGGTTGGATGTGCTTGCATAAAGGAGCAGAATTGCGTAGTTTCAAATCATGCTTGAGATTAATATTAGCCTTAACATGGTAGTGGTATTAACATCGCTGACTTCCGTAAAGAGAATACGTCTTGTTCCCATTCTTTCTTTAAAACCTCCAATCTCTGATGGACTCAAATTGCGCTGCTATATGAAATCCCCGGCGTGATGCTTGAGAATTAACGCAGAACTTGTATGACATTCAAGTGCACCGAAAATAAATATCTACCTGGCTCAAAACGCCTTGAAGACAGGGTGAGCTACCTCCCACACGGTAGGGTTGAACCCTCGTGCCTCCTTCCTCGAAACAGGTCCAACACTGTGGTGACCATCTGAGACCTTCACATTACACTCACACGTATCACTGCTCGCAAAGAGAATCTGCTCTTCGAGCGCATAACCAAAAGAATGGCCGAAAAATTCAAGGCTCGGCGGTTGATAGACCTCATCAGAGGGGTGGACAAGTAGGCAAATTCCATTCTCTCAGACTCCGTCTCAAGCTCACCACTCGTTTGCACCAGCGTGCCCGTCGGCTGGGACTACAACGGCCTCTACAAGTTACTTCTCCCCAACGACTCTAGGACACACGGTTACCTCACTTCAAATACTGTCGCCAAGCTGCCATGGATATCGGATTTCTCAGTCGACCACAAAGACAGGATTGTCCGGGTTGCTGTGGCCGAGGCTGAAGCTGATCGCATCAACGCCGCCTTCCAGGCCGTGGTCGATGGTGCTATTGCATTAGGCACTTCAGTATTCCCGAACCTGACATCTCATAGTGAGATGGTTCGCATCATCGGCGCGAAAGAGTACCCTTTGAAGACACCCCATCAACCAGAACCTATACGCCTAGAACGGTTTGCCGCGTCGCTGTTCGGGATATGCAGCCGTGGTGCCCACTTGACAGCTTACGTGCGAGACACAACTCAGCCTGCCTCAAGAGGCTTGAGGGTGTGGGTGGCCCGCCGCGACGCGAACCTCCATACCTACCCGGGAATGCTAGACACGACGGTCGCGGGCGGCGTCAAAGCAGAAGACACACCTCGGCAGTGTATCGTGGCCGAATCGGACGAGGAGGCGGCGCTGCCGCTCCCTTACGTCGAGAAGAACATTGTCACTGCCGGAGTTGTGACGTACGTCAGCCAGAGCAAGAAGACGGGCCAGGTGCGGCCGACCGTCCTGTACGTTTACGATCTGGAGCTCGGGGAGGGCATGCGGCCTCAGCCCAAGGATGGCGAGGTGGAGGAGTTCTACTTGATGACGGTGGATGAGGTTACCAAGGCGATGATGGGCGGGGAGTTCAAGCCGAACTGCTGCCTGGTGATGCTGGATTTCTTCGTCCGGCACGGGATCATCACGAGTGAGAACGAGAAGGATTACCTGGACATTGTGACGGGGCTCAGGAGGAAGCTTCCTGTGCCGGTGACACCGCACGAGTTGTAGAGGAAGCAATGACATGATTTCCTGCTTCTTTGAGAACATCCTGTTCGACATATTGGTCGGGAGAGTTTCCCAGTGGAAGTGATATTATTACATCGCGGGTATCGTACAACAGGTCTCCATGGAATTGGACCACCATTGCCAGAAAGCTTGCTTCGTCCTCGATTCCTCCAGCTCTTAAAACCCCTTGTATCCAACTATGAAGGAGGCACTGGCGCCGCAGCCTCGGTGCCTGTCGCACCTCGTTGTGTACCGGGTGGGGGAGGGAGAAACATGGGCAGGTAAGTCACGACAAGAGACATCAGACTCATGCCGACTGAAAAGTAGCCCGGTGTGCTGTTGCTCTTCTGGCTGTCTTCGCTCTCGCCCAGCCAGTTCTGGACGCTAAAAACCACGGCTGCCCTACATATTCACCGGATATTGTCAGCTTCCATTGCGTGTGTGGTTGCGCCTTTGCGGCGCGGGCGGTCGCGGCAGAGGCGCCGGCTCAACCGCGGTATGGAGTCGTGTACCAAGGCGTAAACGACGTACCATCCTATGTAGCGGTTGCGCATGAAGATCGCGGCCATCGGAAGGGTCTGGGAGAGGGTGGACGACAGCTCGGGGTTGTCGCCCTTGGACAATGGCTCCTGGTAGGGAATCACTGTGGAGATGGCTGTCAGTTGCTGGTCGCAAACGAGCGACGGCTTGGGCAGGCAAAAGCTTACCCAGGTCGGGCCTGCGTTGGTCCTTTTTTGATGCCATTGCGAAATGCTGAACCTCGGAAAGGCGGTAGGGTGTCAATTGAGCGGCTGGACGGAGGAGTTCGAACGCAAAGGGCCGTCAAGACATCACCGGTGTTGTAGCTCGCATTGGTGTTGTCCCGTTGCCGGCCGGGATTGATGCACTCCTTCGAAGCCAGGGTTGGGGGTGCGGCCCATGCACCCACCCTCCCCCTCCGGTCAAATGTGCAAATTGGGACGCAGATAGTTACAAAGTGAAGACGCCGCTCTCTTGCAAAACATGTCTTATGTGTGTTGTAACAAAAGACGCTACTTGAAACTCTGGGAATTAACAAATATGTCTACAAATATAAATTCAACTGAAATGCAAGAAACATTACACCCCCATGCAACTACGGCCTCACTCCTCACCTGCAGATCTACAGGCGATTCACAGGAACCACGGAGTGGTAGAGGATGGCATTTCTAGTATTTTCCAATCATTACCGAATGTAGTCTTCGCAGTAGTGGCTCTCGCCTATTGCGAAATTGCTTCAACAAGAAGGTAACACCAGCTCGTCCTTGTGATATCGGCAAGGAGGCTTTGTAGCAACTGCAGACTTGACCAGGATTGCCCCTCGGTTCGAAACCTCGCGACAGTGGGAATCCCGCTGAGTTCGGTTCCGTCGGCTCAGTCACTTAACAGTGCTCTAAATGTGATGTATACTGCACACTAAGAATATGTTCTTGCAAATACGAGGTTCCCTTTCATCGAACCACGCGCATCATGCATATCTCGTAAATTCATGGGGCAATCCCGAGGCCAAGAGTGCCGAGGCGGCCCACCAGTGCTCCTTTTTCAATGATACCTTCCTAATTCGACGTATGTTCACTTGCCATGCGACCTGCTGCCACAATATATATAAGGGAACCACTCGTTGGTGTAGTTTCAAAATGGAAGGATATCAGGCCGTTTGTCTGATTCCCTCGAGCCTCAACCTCCACCCCTTTCAAGATGCGTTCCGGCATTATCGTGCCGCTCACACTGTTGGGCTCTACAGGAGCCTCTATAGTCCCGCAGTTGAGGCGATCATCACCCGTGGTCTGCGGTCAGGATGAGGTTTCTGAGCATGAAAAAGAGTTGCTGGCAAGCCGACTAGGAGCAGGGACGAAATCGAGCTATCTCAGTTCGCGAGCCGACGAAGTTATCGATGTCAATGTATATCAGCACGTCGTTGCGTTCAATGAGACCTTGGAGGGCGGCTATCTTTCCGTGAGCCTGAGCCTGTTGCAACAATTGGTTCGACCCGACTAACCTCCACCCAAGAAAGATACAATGACCGCGCAGTTTCAGCTGCTTCAGGAGTCCTTCGCACCCTTCAATTTCAACCTGAAGCTCGCAGAAACTCAGTGGGTCGTCAACGAGACTCTCGCCTCCGTCAACAAAGGAGACGACATCGAGACCGTCGTCAAACAGGCTCTCCGGAAAGGCACCTACGCCGATCTGAACCTGTTCTACGTCGCCTACCTGACAGTCGGGCCCGGGAACGAAGGAACGGGCTGGTCGACGTGGCCGTGGGGCCTCGGCACCTGGACTCCCAACGGCACGGCGGAGCCCACGGAGTTTGACAAGTCCGTAGACGGGTGTTTCGTGAACTCCGCGACGGTGCCCAACGGCACCAACGACTGGGGCTACAACCAGGGCAAGATCGCCGTGCACGAGGCGGGCCACTGGTTCGGCCTGTTCCATGTCTTCGAGGGAGGCTGCTCAGGCCCCGGTGATTACGTGAATGATACGTTCCCTCAGGGCACCTACACCTACACGATCCAGGGCGTGTGCGATGATGCTCGGCCCGGGTGTTTCTTGGGCACTGATCCCCCGAACTATAAGAATCACAGTAAGTGACTTTCTACTACTCTAGCTACTTACTAAAAATCGCCATCTCAACCTGAGAATCTGCATTTGCCGTGGATATCTTGTGGCATAGTTCGCGATTTAAGAGACGAAGAAAAGCCCCAATACCTATGCTAATAACTCGTTTTGCAGTGGACTATTCGGATGAGTAAGTGATACAATACTAACATAGCCGTCCTCATAGCTTACTATTGAAATTTGGACTTTGCTAACCAGATCTATAGTCCATGTCGTGTCGAGTTCACAAAGGGACAAGAAGCTCGCATGCGCTTGATGTGGGATGAGTTTCGAGCAACTACGGAATAGCACCGCTGCCCAGTGATTTGTACAAATCAATTGGATATACACATGCTTCTAGCCAAATTGTTCAAGTCCCAGTATAATTTTGAATATCAGACACTCTGGTCGGCCTGCAACGTAAGTCCGGAAATATGACCGGTACTTGGTATTATCTGATGAGAATGGATATTCGCACGTAAGGAAACAGATGGTATACAGATGCCTTTCAAATATTACTCCCACAGCTAATTAAAGCACAAAGCCCACACCCATCAAACTGCACCCAATTTATATAATAAATCTGGTATATGAATTGTAGTGGGTACTATGTGTTTTGGGTGTGGGGTGTGCCGGGTGTGAGTGTACTAGGTGTGCAATGTATCTGGATACCATCCGTTCTCTTATCTGACCCTTTGTGTCCGTGTGTATTGCACATGTACTGCTTTGGGCGGAAAGCCCTGCGGCTTATCACGGCCATTGTTCTGCGTCTGATTCCCTTTCCAAAAACAATAGACAGATATGAATTGCTGCACAAATCTAGGAGTATTGATCTCGAAAGGCACGCACTCAGTCTCCCTTTTCCAGCCTAAGTCCTTCGTCCTCGGCCACCTGATCCTCTGTAAGCCCTCCATGTAGCTTGTCAAGGTACTTGTCAAACCGCCCAGAAACGCTAATGACCTTCTTGAGAATCTCATAAGTCAAAGTAGTGTTTTGCCACTTCGCATACTGCCTGGCTGTGGTAATAGCATTCCTGATCTGCCGACCATTCATCCCTTCCTCCTTCAAATCATCCAGATGGTGTCGGAGATCCGCCAGATCGATCGCCTCCCCGTCAATGCTGTCGAGTCGGTTGAAGAAGTTTTGCCATATGCAGAAACGCTGGAGTGAATCTAAAGCTGGGTATTGTATGGCAAGCTGGATTCTCGATTTGAAGGCTTCGTCGAATGTGCCAACTCGGTTGCTTGTGAGAATCAAAATGCCCTCGTAGTATTCCAGCACACGCAGGAAGACAGAGACCAGGGCATTCCTCTGCAGGTCTTCAAGGTTGCGTTGCTGGAGAAAGATGTCGGCCTCATCCAATAGCACAACACAGCCCCACAGCTTCCCCAAATATAGGACCGACTCCAGGTACTTTTCAACCTCTTCCGCTTTCGTCCCGACATCGCCGCATGTTACTCGATATAGGGGCTTCTCGGCTATCTCGGCAACGCTCTCTGCCGTTAGCGTCTTACCTGTTCCTGGGCCTCCGTGGAGGAGCAGAATCAGACCGTTTCCCTTGCCCTCAATCAGGTCCGTGTTTTTCTCAGACTCAAGCTGGTTGCTCACAAGGGCCCTGATGAGGTCTTTGTATTCACGTTGAATGACCACCTTCGAGAAGGCCTCCTTGTTCCACTTGACATCACTGATCCGGTCAGCCACAAGATCGAACCATTTCTTCGTGCGCAGATTGAAGCCCTTGATCTTTGGCGGGAGCAAGAACTCAAAACTCCCGTCTGGCGGGTCGTCATTCTCCATAGCTTTCCTAGGTAGGACGTCACCGAGATTGCCCTGGCGATTTCGACGCTGCGGAGCATCACTTTTGTGCAAGATTTGGTAGGTTTTCAGATCAATCACATAGCGCTCCTCGGCCTATCAGTTGCGTTAGGTCGGTTGTTGATATAGCAATCCATCGTTCAGCACAGGATGAATCAGACCATGTCAACAAACTACACTTACCAGATTGTTGTCGTTGGTATCCGCATCTCCACTGTATGACACCAATGCGCGCTTCCGACATTTCCAAAAACTTTTTCCACGACGTCGAAGTTGGTTGAATGTGGCGTCAGAGGCATATCCCAGGGGGAATATGTCCAGTGAATTGATGGGTATTCCGGATTCTTTATGGGTCCCTGCCTCAATCGAGATAGGCAGAGTCTCTTGCTTGCGTTGGAATTCTCCATCGAATTCCCAGTGCCATGCACTGAGCTCCAACTGTGGACTGGACTTAGCATGAGATTCCGACTTCTCAGGCTTCGTGGCGTCGGCTGTCTTGGCGTGCCTAAACGGTGTCGTCTCGCCACTTCGAATGACCCTGGGCCAGTCTTCGCAAATCCAGCCTTGCATCTCGTCATCTTTATTTTGGACCAGCAACTGCCCAGGCTTGAAAAGGTACTTAAGAAGTTCTGGGGTTATCTTGCCAAGGGATATTTTTGAGTCCGCTACCGCATACTCTGCCCCTTGGCTCTGGAGAATGTAGTCCCATAGCATTACCAGCTGTTGCTGGCTAGACGACGGAAGCGATAGCCGAATTCTCTCCCAGTCTTTTCGCTGATGAAAAACGAACAGATAAGGAGCTGCAAGCTCTGAAGTTTGTCGAAAGCTTTTGAGTATACTGGAGTATTCGACTTCTGCCTCCAAGAGCGCTTTAACAGCGTTCACCAGAGCGTTACTCACTGGTTGTATGGATTCATCCACCACAGCATCATTCGGATCGTGAGCAGCCGACTGTCCGTCTCTCATTCCTCGCGTTGTCGAACCGTCTTGAGGTATGCCGTACGTCTTATATACGAGGAAGGAGATGTCTTTGTTTCTCTCCAGGTACAAGTCAAAGTTCGTCACAGGAAGCTGCGATCGCAGCACTCCGGGCCCGCCCTGTCCCGTGGTCCATTGGGGACGATCGAAATACAAGGGAAATGAATTTCCTCTGCCTGCTGTGACCAATCTGGGGTTGGGATGGCTCAGCGGGTATCCACTTTGTGCGATTCGGTAGAGTATGAGATATTTAAAGGGTTTGCGAGTATTAGCCCGTGTGGACCCGAGCTGCTTGGCTCTTTTGTCCAAATGCTCGATCAGGTCTTCGAGTTCCTGGACATCAAGATCTTGTAAGTCGCCTCGTAGTGTTGTTGACCTAGAGCTCACTTCCGAATATGGCCGTTTCCTCGGGTTTCGTGTGACATGCGATGAATCCAGAGGTGTTCCTAACGGGTCTGTGGGCTCTATTCCATCGTTGGTTGTTTCGAGGAAACCTAGCGGACGGGTATGATTGTCTCCGTGATCGGTCATGAACTGAGGGCGTGGTGGAGGCATCCCCTGTGATTGCCACCCCGGTGGTGGAAAGCTGCCGCCACCCGGCGGCCTGAATGGGCCCAGCCCCGGGGGTGGAGGCATCACGGTCGTGGCCGTAGGACCAACAGGTTCAGTATAGATAAATCTCTTTCCTGATGATTCCACCGGAGCATCGACAGGTACAGTATAGACAGGTTTCTTTCGCCGACGAGCTTGATCATGAGCTGTAGCGTGAGTTCGTTTAGGTGATGTTGGCGGCATCAATGCTGAGAATTGTCTTGCCTGAACCTTGTCTTTCTGGCTCAGGTCATCTGAAATACTGATGGATATGCCAGTGAGTTGAGGAGCATTATCCCTAGCAGCTTGGGGCGGTTGTATCCCAACGATATCCAAAGGCGCCGGGCCAATTCCTCCCAAGCTCGAAAGGCGAAGAGCTTGAGGTTCATGTGTTCGCGATGGCAGAGTTTGAGGTTCCGGGTCCCCATCATCGGTACTAGCATATGAGCTGGAGGACACGCTGCTCGCATCTATTGACGAGTCAGTGGGTCAGAAAAATATGCCATGCAATAGACCCAGATCGTGACCGTGTTCACTAACCATGGCTGTCATCTTCAGCACCATCAGGAGGCGAGCGGACCCCATTCTCGTGGAATGAACAAGCGGAATCTTCACTGGATTGTCTAGATTCCATTTTTAAGCGATTTGAATTAGTCTCGTTGTCCCTGGCTGGTCAAACAACGTCGATATTCCGTGTGTGATATGTTGAGGCAGCTGATGTAGTGATGACAGACAACTCCGCTTCACAGTTGCGCCATATTTTAGGCACTGACTGAAAATGCCCAATCATACTGACTGCAGTATGCAGGATCTGTAAATTGCCAGCCGTTCATTTCAGGACGGCATGATGTTGTGTAACTTCGAACTGCGCCTCAAAGATGACTATCCGGGCTCCAATCCCTCATCCAATATCTTTTGAACACGAAACAGGACATGACGCACTCTTTCAACCCCTCTTGAGAAACGCCTTGAACTTTTCACAGATCGGTGTAGTGCTAAGCGCGAGTATTTCGTGTTCACTTTTCGCCCCTCCCGATAGAGCCAACCCCCTATCTGCCATGGCATCTACCGTGTCCCCGGCGCCAGCATCTTCTATCGCACGACAGATTGCGGGTACAAAAACTGCACAGTATGTTGATGCGGAAAACCACCAGGGAAGTGTTGACCTTGCATGCCAGGGATCCACTTGAAGCAGCTCAGATAGCTTTCGAAGATGGTGTAAAAGCCTTCCAAGAGATGACAAAAGACCCAAAGAAAAAGACCCTAGCCAGTGACATTTTGGCCTCGCATACGATGCAGGATGTCTTAGATGTGGTGCAGAGGGCAACCACGCACTACCATCGCGATCGCAGCCAGTCTAGATTTAGGGAGTACCTGAGCGCATTCTCTCACCGTGTGATGCATTATGGGAGTGTCATGGACGTGCTGGTACAGCATCATCCCGAGTATACTTCTCTAGCATGGGGAGCTATGAAGATTGTATTTGGTGTGAGTCCCTGCTTGCCTGGGGTTGAACATTAACCAGAATTAAGACATAATATAGGCTGTGATTGAGCATGAGCGCACGGGGATGACAATAGTCGCTGCTCTATGCGATATCTCGGAGTCACTTCCCACAGCAAAATCCGCGATTACGCTCTATCCAACGCCGGCAATGGTTGAAAGTGTATCAATGCTTTACGCACACATTATGCGTTTCCTCATCCGAGCTTGGAAGTTTTATCACGAGAGCAAACTTATGCATGCTGTACATTCAGTCACAAGGCCGGCGGCCCTGCGCTATGACGACCTTCTCAAGTCGATACAAAGGGATACTGAGTCCATTCGAAGACTGGCCATGACGAATAGTCAGGAGGAGGTCAGAAGCATACGCAACGAGGTGCTAGACTTGAGAGAAAGGCTCGAAATGGTGATAGCTGGTCGACAGATCGACTCGGATGCTTTGGGTTGTCTTCAAGGCAAGATGGATGTTTTGACTGAGATGCTGACTGAATTTCGACAGACGCAAGCCTGGGCAAACGCTGCTCAGACAAAGTCGCAAATGGAGATGCATGCTTCAATGTCAGCATTCCATTCATCACAAGCATTACTGATGTTACACTCGCAATGCAGTGTCGACCACAAGCTCGTCTTGCAGACGGCATTAGCTGAGCAGTCTTACTATCGGAATAGGCCCGGAACCAGGGGCGTGCTCTTCTGGAACTCGCCCAAGCTACGAGCATGGGATAGGTCAAATTCTTCATGCACTATCTTACTAAAGTCCACACACCGCGAACGGATTCAAACCCGGGGATTTTGTGTGGAAGTCGTTGAGCAAATCCTCAGCGCCCCAACAAAGCTTGGGCAATCCGGCCCCAAAAGATTCAAACCATCCTCCAGAATTGTTCTTTGGGTTCTGGGTGACAGGGGCAGGACCTATTCCTTAACGGAGACACTGAAGAGCTTAGTCTATCAGGCTCTTTGCTTCAAATTCGCGGCTGCTGAAAGTACCAGCCCGAACGAGATCTCTTTTCATGTCACCAAGTTCAGGAACACCTACTTCGAGGAAGACTACCTGCAAATCCTGGGAAGCTTGCTTCAAGATTTCAAACTCATCTGTACGTTTCAGTTTCATTTCAATGTTCTCTTACCCACTCCTGTCTTCTTGGGCACTCGTACCCAGAAATGGGACTCTGTATTAGGTCACTGACACGTCGTAGACATTGTCGCCAACGCGGAGGCCTTTGCGCCTGATACAGCCGCGCAATGCCGGGATTTGCTTGGCCAACTATCACGCATGCTGTCTGGCCGCAGCGCCGAGACAGTATTGAAGATCATCACTACAGCTTACGGTCCCCTGGAGCGAAAGAAAGACAGCGAGGCGCAAGACCTCGTCTTGGATGTTGGCAGGGGTCGCGGGCGGAGAATCGTGAAGCAAGGCCTGGGTCGTCAGAGGGCCAGACTGTAAAAATAACTCTGTCAAATACAATGGAAGAGGTAGTTTAACTTACCCACTCGGAAGGCTTGATGCTCACCAGGGGTTCACGTGTACCCATCTCATGAAGAGATGGTAGCAGGTCCTGAGCGGGGAGTCACCAAATCATCGTGCCGCGAGCTGAGAGTACTCTTTTGAGCTTCCCTTCCCAGGTACATTCTGATGAGGTGCTTGTATGCAGATTAAACCTGTGAGCATGGAGGCAGACGCAAATTGTCGCCAGCATTGCTTTAGACTTCTGGGTTGTATTGGAGTTATTACTGCATATAGTATCAAGATGCAGGAAACGTGTTGGCGTTAATTCGCACAAAGAGGCCGGTGCCGAGCTGACGTGTGTTTGGTGGTCGATGTGCAGAGCCGAAGTTGCAACATCATGAAGAGTGACCAGAGGAATGATAGTCTAGCAGACTGGGCACAATTGCTCATGTATTTGTTCCAAGGCCTTTTTTCTCTGGATTGAATACGTATCATCGGCGAGTGAAAGGAATCCCACTTCTGTTAACTCTCATGTGTACATTGGGTGTTTAGGTCTTGGGTGTGTGGGTATTGGGAAGGTTTTAGGTGTATACTAGTAGGTGTTAAGTGTGAAGGTCAGGGGTGTCTGGGTGTTGGGTGTGTGAGTGTACGAATAAGCCTGGGTAATGTGCTCTAATTAGTTGCAGCTGTGGACCGGTGTACCATCCGTTTTTACAGGTGTGAATATCCGTCCTCATAACAATATCCGATCCAGTGGTAGTCCCCCCAATGCGGCTTTACTGATTCCGTGTGACCTTGGTCTTGACCACGCTCATACGACTTGGACTTCCAGTAGACTGCAGTTGCGTTCTGAGGTATCACAGCTGCACAGCGTTATATGTCAGAACAGTGATTAGTAATCTAGGGAGGAATGTAAAAACATACTCCCGACACCATGGAGGGCCGGACTCCCCATACAATCATTGTTCTCGTCCTACAATGCGGTGATTACTGTAGACTAGCATGAACCCTGTCCACAGGGGGGCTTTACGTCACCGCCGGTTACCGAATTAGGCATCGTATTCCGCCAAGACCTGATAGTCTTGGCGGGCTTTCTTTCTGTCTTTGAGCCCTCAGAATCCTCAGGCTCACTTCAGCCTCCATTGAACCAAGACTATGAGCATACCTGGACATAATCGACGCCAAGAAATGCGCACAGCTGATGGTTGATGTTCTATGCTTCGTAAAGGAGCATGAGAACAAAGCAGACCACAGTTTGCCACACATGCCGGGCCCACAAGCTAGGTGTAGGTGATCCTTTCCTCGTCTCGACCAGCTGTTGATCATCTGTGCAGTGCGACGGAAAGCGCCCGGCTTGTTCTCAGTGTCTGTTCCTGGGGCGATCGTGCGAAGGATATCAAATCGACGCCGTCTTCGTTCCCTATCAGCCGACGCCACAGAAGCGGAAGCCTAGAAAGACACCCCGGGTGTCTTCTGCACCTGGACAAGCAGCGCAGACGAGCACCGCTTGGCAATCGAAGAACGGGAGCTCTGGCCTTGCCAAGGCGCGTGCCCAAAAGGCTTGGCGATGCCCTCCACCCAGCCTCGTTGATCCGCCAACTGCTGGCGAATTCACAGCAGTTATCCTCAACTGCTTCACTCCCGGGAATGACTTCGTGCCATCTACTCCGGACTCGAGCACAATTCAAGTCTGCGGCGCCTGGGTGGGTGTGCTTCCCAGGCTCGCAGATGAGATGCACTGCGAAGCTCTTATTTTCGCAGCAGTCAAGGCGTTCGGGACTGCCATCCTTGACAGAGGGCCGGATGGGAAACGTATGAACTTTCGAAGCCTCGAAGCCTACAACTCAACGCTGCAGCAGTTGCAGCATGATCTGATTGGGTCCAAGATGTCCTTCGACATAAAGACTGCGGCTTCCATTGCGTGTTTGGCCATGGTGGAGGTGAGTGCCGGAGCTGTTTTTCTTGACAAGGACTTTTGTAATAATCAGTACCTGTTAGTTGATATTTCCGACTTCTACCGATGGTTTCTACGCCCACTTCACTGGACTCGGTGTACTCTTTCAATTTTACCCGCCGGAGTTGTTCAGTTCTGACATTTATCATACCATATTCGTCGGCTGTAGGCCTATACTTGTGAGTGTCACTATTTTAGAGTCCTTCGTCGCGGGATTTTTAACACATCGGGCAGTACTTTCATGCTTTGGACCGAAGAAAGCCCACATTCCTTGCCCAATCTCAATGGACAACAAAACCATTTTGTTTCTACCCACCTTCGGATATGCAGCTCCTCATAAGTGATGCTACCACGCTCCCGTCCTTGCTAGAGGCTATTGATAATTTGGGCAGTCTACCATCCGATACAGCTATATCAGAAGCTCAACGGATAAGGTCCGGGTTTCTGGACGTGCATAAGAGCCTATGCAAATGGAAAAGTCTTTACGAGATGGATGCAACCTGTCCTTGGTTTCCAAACATAATGACGGCGAACGTTCACATTCATACCCTATCGTTTGAGATTATCTGTCTCACGGAAATAGAGAAGGTCGATTTGTTCCTGGCTAGTCACGGAAGCACCTTTGGGTCGGCCGCGGGCCAGACATTGGAGATCAAATACTCAGACAGGAAAGCCTGGGAGCTCGCTGACAAGGACTGCCAGAGCGTTGAATATTTTCTTCAAGAGGAGATGAGATTGTTTGGGCCAGCTTCTGCAGTCTTCCCACTACGGATTGCTTATGATGTGCTGAGCAGAGATAGTCAAGGGAATCAAGAGGGTATGAGGCGGATTCAGGGACTCCTTGACCGAATTCGTCAAACGGGTATCTCAGCTATCCCACATTTCCCGGCCAGATTAGCAGAGTTTGAATCCTTTCATTGAAGGCAACCGAAATTGGAATAATTCCGAGTGTATACGCTGTTACATGAGCAAATCCATAATTAACTCTGTGCTGCCACGACCCATGGACAGCACCGTGATGAGTGAATGCATGTGCCACCGCAGAGAAAACTTCTTGACTTTTAGTAATATGTCAGCGTTATCTCCCTCAGCGGATGACTGCATGCTGCCTCTTAGACCAGCCCCAAGGCCTCCACTACCTATAGGAGGCGTTTGCAAAACAGGTGTGCCTGGACGAAGGGGGTGCACCCCAGGATTGTGCTGTGCAGTCTAACCTAATCTGGCATGTAAGTCCGCCAAGACTGGCTGACATGGAGCCTCACCCACAACGTTGCAGTTCAAGGACAGTCGGCGTAAACACCACATGCCTTGAAGATTAACAATCGATACTAAAATAATAACTCATCCGGAAGAAAGTTTCCTCGCGCTTGCTAAGCATGCCTTTCGCCATTGTATGAATTTCTTCGTTCCTTTCTATAAAATCAAGACCAAGTCCAGCACATCCAATTATCAGTTAATTATCTTGCAACCAACCTAACATTGAGCAAATTCAGATATTCAGTCAACAGTCCCAATCATGCCGTCTTCAACTTTCAAAAGCACCATCAACATCACGCATAGCGGCACTGCCACTGCCATCCTCTCTATCGATGGCATCAACTTTCTGACAGACCCTTTCGTAAGTCATTCTTTTCCACTCGCATCCCGCCACAGGGTCATACACACTAACGCTATCCAGTTCTCACCCGCCGGCACCGAGCATGTATATGGCCCTCACGTTCTGCGGAACAGTGACTCGCCCGCCCTCACCCTCGATGCCCTACCACCCATAGGCGCTGTTTTGCTGTCCCACGAGGACCACTGGGACAACCTCGACGACCTCGGCCGCCAGCTCCTCGACGGGCGCCGCGTCCTCACCACTCTCGACGGCGCCTCCAAACTCGCGCCCCGCCCTGGCGTCGTCGGTCTGGCCCCGTGGCAGACCGTCGATCTCCGAGCCGGGGGTCGTAACTTCCGCGCCACCGGGACCCCGTGCGTCCACCTGCCCGGCGGCGAGTGCACGGGCTTCGTGCTCGAGTGCGAGGAGTTCGGCAAGGGCTCCAACGGGAAGCCGAACGCTATTTACTTCTCTGGAGACACGATCTATGTCGAGGAGGCTTCTCGGGGCCTGCGCGAGAAGTGGAACGTCGTGGTTGCGTTGATGAATCTCGGGAGGGCCAGTGTGCCATTCCCGGAAGAGAAGCTGCAGATCACGATGGATGGGGCACAGGCGGCGAAGCTGTTCCGGGAGATTGGAGCGGAGGTCTTGGTGCCGATGCACTTTGAGTCATGGGGCCATTTCACGCAGTTCGGTGGTGAATTGAGGGAGGTTTTCAAGCAGGAGGGGTTGGCTGGCAGCGTCTGTTGGCTGGGGCCTGGGGTGGAGAAAAAGATATTCTAATCTGCCATGCGGATATTAAACCATACAGAAGCTAGGTAAATTGGGGAGACAGTATGGTCGTTGCATTTCTATTAGCAGATGTGGACTACGAATCAAGTACATCTTCTCATGGTTGATAATTGGAATACGTTATCTGTACGAGCTTCAAGCCCGTTGAGTCGCGATCAAGCCGATATTGGTGTCGAGTTTTGTCCAAGCCCGCAGATCAGTCTCTTGAGAATGCTCCGCAATAAGATAAGATGATTTTGTAATTCAAGAGGGAAGGATTTGCCAATCGAGCATAAGCCTTCCTTCAAACACTTCTGTGATTCTAGTATTCTGGAGTTCGGACATGAGTTCTGAGTAACCAGCTTAACTCATGGAACCTAGAGTGCCAAAAGTGTCCGATGCATTCAGCAAGCCATAGCTCTATATAGCTTGGCACTAAGATAGCACCAAATCGATAGCCTCGCGGGCATTCCTGGTTTGCTCGGCTTACGCCTTATATAGTTGGCCTCAATATTACTCAGGTTGTTGGCGGAATTTTTGCTAGGCAATAGTTCGCAACTAGGCTCTGGGCAATTTGCTCGCTGTCAGCTTACCTACGTTGTAGAAGCAGCGGGGGGCGCAGCCTATACGCCTATACGCCCATGCGCCTGTACGTCAATGAGCCGGTACACACTGGCATGTCTGCGTGTTCCTTCCTGGCAGGCAAAAATTCACAGACGAAATCCTCACAGCCGTATGCCTTGCCATTTCATGTGCAGAGTTCCACAATACGCAACGTATCTTCGGACTCAACGTTCAGGATCGAGACCGATTGGCGAAGGCTGCGGGGCTGGATCGACCAAACACAGCATCTGGCCATCCCGTGTCAAGTGAATAACCGTCTTGATGAAGGGAAGAGTAGCATTGTGCATTTGTATATAAGGGTGGCCCATTATGCCCGATGTCCAAACGGCCGGAATGAGCAGCCACCACAGTTGATAATACCACAAGCAAACGACAGACTCTTTGATAATACATAATTCCTATTGAAGAAATCACTCGAACTCTAACCCACAATGAATCTCCTTCAGTTCTCGGCCTCGGCGGTGGCACTGATGATGTTCACGCGATCCTTGGCGGCACCAGCACCAACTGCGCCCCTCTCGAAGCAATGCGTTCAGCTCGAAGTCCCGCTTCTGATTACGGCTAACAACAGTCGATTTGATCTCCCCCGAGTGGACAACAATATTGACGCCGTAGACTGGGTCTGGGATGTTACCACCTGGTCTCACAAGAGCGAGACCGGGCCCGTCACGGGCGTCATTCCTGTCAACGACACGTTCACCATCAGTGCTCAGCTGTGCGTCCCGCCGCAGGGGGCCAAGTCTGATGTTCTTCAAATCACAACGCATGGGGTCGGGTTCGATAAGAGGTGGGAGATATTGTCTATATGGACGGAGGGGAGGCATGGACCAAATTGTCACAACCAACTGCTGGGTTGCTGGACAGAGTGAGCTGATGCTAATGCCTCGAGCAGATACTGGGACGTCGAGATCAACCCAGAGGAGTATTCATATGTCGACTCGGCGCTCCGTCATGGATACTCAATCCTCACTTACGACCGCCTCGGCACAGGAAACTCCACCAAGGCCGATGCCTACGAAGTCCTACAAGCTAGTGTGGAGATCGAAGTTCTTCGAGGCCTGACCGAACTCTCGCGCACGGGTGACCTGGTCCAATCTTCAAAGGTGGTCGGCGCCTCGTGCGATGACACGTCGGCGTTGGAGAACTACACGCCCAGCAAGATCGCCCACATCGGCCACTCGTATGGCTCGTTCATGACCTCGGGCCTGCTGTCTCGCCACGGCAACCTCAGCGACGGCGCCATACTTACGGGCTTCTTGATCAACGAGCACCTGCTCAACGAAGTTGGACCCGAAGCCTTTGGTTTCGAATTTGCGGCCGAGAGTGACCCAGATCGCTTTGCGGACCGTCCGTCGGGATACATAGTGAGCGCCAGTGAGGGCAACATCCAGCAGATCTTCCTGAAGAAGGGCACGTTTGAGCCCGAGCTGCTGCGCTACGCTGAGCTCATCAAGCAACCCAACGCCGTCGGGGAACTCGTCTCAGGCAACCAGGCGTTTGGCAGGCCGGCTACGGACTTTGATGGGCCGCTTCAGGTGAGTGAACCTTGCTGCTGTTGCAAGACTACAATTTGACAAGGCGAATGGAAATTGTGCTGTGCTCTCGTAGGATTGCTGACACTCGAACCTGCAGATCTTCGTTGGTGAATATGACTACCCCGTCTGCGATGGCGACTGCAACAACGTCTACGACTTGAGGAACATCAGCGCCCTCTATCCAGCGGCAACCAACGTCTCCGTCTATCTGCAGCCCGGCACAGGCCATGGTTTGACCCTTTCCACGAATGCGACAGCCGGTTATGAGGTCATGTTCTCTTATTTGCAATCCCACGGCCTCTAGGTCCGCTTTGGGGCTTGACTTCAGCCAATTAAGAGGTGCCCGGAAGCAACAATGGTTTCCGTGATTCCACATCTCGGTCTGACGCACATCATCGTCAATTTCATTTCTACACCTACACAGACGCATTTATACATAACACAGCCACTGGCTAATTTGTTCAAATACATTTATCTTCTGACCGTGGCGCCACGTTCATCTTCAAAATAATACTGGTACTCTACCGAATTACTCATTCCTCATCTATTGCAGCCGTTCGCAGCATTTGCCAAGGTCCTAGGATGAAGCCGAACGACGCGCTAAATCAATAGGAGTCTTACGTGAGATCACAGATGTAGTATTGACACTAGGAAGGGCGTCGCTCATCAGCCGCTGTTGCTGCGCCTCGAGGTATTTGCATTATCGTCTGGGGCAGAGTCAGAGTCTTGTCACAGTTATATTCAAGATGGCCTGGACTACTGGAGTTTCTCTACTGACGTGAATTGTGTGTCACGAAGCACGAGTATGTCTTCCAGCCCAAGACCTCGGGGCCGTCGGCCTCACACCAAATCAAGAAACGGTTGTGCAAGGTGCAAACGACTCCGGAGAAAGGTGAGTCAGCGGCCCTGTCTTGGATCACAAGCTTTCGATATCCTGACAATCAAGAACAGTGCGATGAGCGTCTCCCTCGATGCTCGAGATGCACTGACCTAGACAAGGACTGCCAATATCCAAACGAGGATGGCCACTTTGAGTCAAGGTCCAGTCCTGGACAGAGAACTCAGAAGAACGATTCAATTCCGGCTGAAGGACAACATCTCAGTCTGACAAGCGTCGGTCCACAAATTTCGGGGACAGTGTCTCGGGAGCCCTCGTCAACGTCCAGTCCACCCACGGCGCAGGCCTCCAACCTCAGCCCTGCGTTCACTGGCGATGGAAATCAAATGAGCCCAAACTCAAGGCTCTCCGCCCATCTCTTGGACGCCCGAGACCTCGAGCTTCTGAGCCATTACCTCTCGCACACAAGCCGCTCCATCGCCTACGACCGCGACGACCTCTATGCGTTGCGTGTCGGGATCCCCAACCTCGCCTTTAGCTCGAGCATGGCCCTGATGAGCTCGATGCTCGCGCTGGCGGCCGCGTGCCAGTGCCACGACCTCCTGGAAGCGGCAGCAGAGCCACCGCGGACCCCCGGCGCGGGCGCAGGCCCGGACATGCCGCGCATCCGGGAACTGCTGGTTCTTGCGGAGCAGCACCACGCCGCGTCGCTGCGGCAGATCCAGGAGGACATCCCGTCGACGGAGCGGTACGACCACGTGCTCGCGAACGCGGCGCTCATGTTCCTGTATGGCTCGGCGAGCCACTGGGTCCGCATCCGGCTCATGCGGGTGTATGAGGCCGGGAACAGCGGCGGCGGCGGCGGCGGGGCGTCCCAACTGCCCGGGGAGTTCGTGCCGGTGCGGTCGCAGTGGATGTCCCTAATCCGGGCGGTCCACTCTGCGTACGTAGGCCTCCTTGCTGACCAGGCCCAGAATCCCGGTGCGGCGGGGATTGGTGACTGTGAGAGGAGTAGTCCGCCGCGTGTCGACTTTAGCAATGTGGAGATCATGTACCCTCAGGATGGACCCTCTGACGAGACGAGGCGGCTTTTCCTCCCCATTCTGGCTGCCACCTCGGGGTCTGCATTGGAGAAGTTGCGCGCAAGAGCTAGGAAGGCGGAAATGGACGCCGGCTCCAACAACGCGAGCTTCCAAGCTTGCATGGAGTCTCTGGCGGTGTTCGAATCGATACTGGGCGAGACGTTCCGAGAAAAGACACACGCCGAGCTCTCGCCAGAGACGCCAGAATCACAGACAGACGATAAAAGGGAGCCAGGATACCCTCATTCCCTCGGCCGGCTGTCGAACGTCGCCCCCTGGCTGAGAACCTACACGGCACGCGTCACCATGAACAGCACAGATTCGCGGCCGCTGCGGCGCACCGTCAACGCCTTCATCAACCGCGTCCCCACAACATACCTACACATGGTCCAGGCAACGCTCGAGCACATTCCGGTACACAAATCGCAGGGGGCAACCCTCGAAACAAGTGATGCCAGCTACGACCCCGTCCACAGGCTTGCTATGGACATATTCGCCCACTGGCTTGTGCTGGTGTTATTGCTAGATGGAGTATGGTGGATTGGAGGTATTGGTGCTTGGGAGCTGGGTGGGGTGGTTGCATATATGCGGGAAGGAGGCAGGGTTGGTAGGGCAGACGAAGAGGAGGGTGAGGCGTGGTGGCCTAAGAGCATGTACAATATAAGGATGGAACTAAGCAGGCACTTGGCTGAGTAAAAGCAGACAGTCGGACTGTACATATCCCCCTGGGCTATACGCGAAATATTTCTTTAGCTCGCACTGCTGGTTAGCAAAACAACCTCGTTTAGATAGAATAGAGATATGTTCTGGTATTTCATGCGAGAATTTATTGTACCGCTGGTCATCTCTTGCTCTACATTGCTGATCTGTGTGCGTCACCTCAAAAGTGCGCTCAGAGCATCGGCCGCGGCAAGAAGCCTTGCATCGTCCCAATACTGACCGATGACTTGCAGACCCATCACGTTGCCCCTCCACTGCTCCCCAGTGGGCAGACTCTTGATATCAACGCTCTTCGGTATGCTGACAGCCGGCAGCCCCGCCAGGCTCGCCGGCACGGTCAGGACATCATTCATGTACGCCTCTAGGGGGCTGCTCTCTTGGCGCTGCTGGACGGCATCCAGCCTCGGCGGCAGCGTCGGCGCCGTGGGGCAGAGCAGGAAGTCCACTTGCGGTGGGCCGAGCTTGTTCTCCAGGACAACGCGCTCGTCCATGTCCGCCAGCGCGACCTGCTGCTGCTCGCCATCCCCGTCCGCGTCGCGCAGCGGGTTCGGGAGTCTGAAGGCAGCGTCGAAGTCGCGGCGCACGAGCTGCCGGACGCGCTGCGCCTGCACGAAGTAGTTGTCCATGGCCTCGGAGCTCAGCGTGTACGAGCCCAGCAGGATGCGCCGCTTGACCTCGGCGCCAAAGCCGCTGCCGCGCACGGCAGAGTACAGCACATCCTCGGGGCCCCTGTCCAGGGCCGCCTCGACCTCGGGCTGCTTCAGTCCGTAGCGGACGCCGTCGTATTTGGCCAAATTCGAGGATGCTTCCGCGGGTGCGATGACGTAGTATGCGGAGAGGGCGTGCCTCGTCGATGGTAGCGACACGGGCACGACGCGGGCGCCTATCTCATCGCGCAGGAAACTCGCGGCCTGCTCCCACGCTTGGCGAACCCGCCCCTTGAGCTCCGCGATGTTATACTCGACCGGAATCCCAAAGGTCAGCGGCTGTAGTAGTTCTTTATGGTCTTTCCCATCCCGCGCCCCATGCGACTTTTCAACGTAGAACTCCCTCGATCCTGTGCATCGTGCCCTCGCGGACGACGAGAGGCTCGTTGGATCCCGAGGGTCATGCTCCTTGTATAAGCCACCCCCTATAACCAGCTCCTGTATCGTCCGCACATCGCGTGCCAAGAACCCGACCGTATCCAGGCTGTTCGCATATGGCACGACTCCATATCGAGAGATCATCCCGTAGGACGGTTTGTACCCAACCACACCGCAGTACGCAGCCGGGAGGCGCACGGAGCCGCCCGTGTCGGTTCCCAGGGCGACATCCGCCTCGCCGCTCGCGACCGCCAGGGCACTGCCTCCAGAGCTGCCGCCCGCGCTCAGCTTGATATCCTTGCCGTCATGTGTTGCTTCCTGCGCCGCCGCGCCGTAGGCGGAGTTGATGTTGTGTGTGCCCATGCCGAACTCGTCCAGGTTGGTCTTCCCGACGACGCGGGCGCCACGATCCCTCAGCTGCCGGACGATGGTGGCTTCGAACGGGGACTCGTGGGAGGAGAGGATGCCCGAGGCGCAGGTCGTGGGTAGGGCCTTTCCATCTTGGGGTCCGACTGCGATGTTGTCTTTGACGGCGAGGCGGAAACAGGCTGGTGGGAGTGGGTGTTGGGCTTCGGAAGCTAGCGGTGTAGTTTAATTAGTCACTAGATGAGCAGTTTAGAGAGGCGTTCAGCTAGAGACCTGCTTACCTGGAGTAATGAACTCGTTCAAGCTTCGCCGCTGCGGGCGAAGTGACAGACTCGAGGTATGGGCGAGCCGAGGGCGCAGGCTGGACAGCCTGCCATTGAGGGACATGAAGACGCCCAATCTGGTTCTGGCAACTCAAAGAGATGCGCAAGAGCCAAGCTTCACATCGGCGCGTCCTGTCTCGCAGTCTAATGTCTGCTCGAAGCTGTTTCAAACTGCGAAGACTGGCGTGTGTGTGATGATAGCTCTCAAGTTTTGGGGGCCGTGCGCACAGCTTCAGGACCAAGGTGGGTATTATACTTGGCAAGGGCGTATTTTACGCCCGCTCACTCACATGCACCGACTATCAATTATCAACCTGCATCACGCCGCCACTGAAGCAAGGGGAAGTATTATTATTGCAGCACAGGTATCAACTTTCTTCGTAATTCACACAACCAAAGCAGCACTTTTCAGCACCAGTAGCCCCCTACTTCTTGCCAGAAAGGTGCCATTCGAAAATGCGCGTAAACGTCTCCTTTCCGGTTCCAACCAGCGTCTCTCCATGGCAAGGAATAAGCGTATCAAAGTCCCAGTCATTGATCCTCTTGACGCTCTCATTGAAACCGTTCCTGTCCCTTGCGCTCAAGACGTACCACAAGAACCGCTTCATGCCCTTCGCATCGCCCTGGGTCGACTGCATGTTCACAAACAGCTTGCCCGGGAAACCGACCTTCTTCTCGCTCTCAGGGCACCTCGAGTACTGCTCATCAGCGGGCAGGTTGAACATGAGGTCGGCCTCAATCATGATGCGCTCGGGCTTGTACAGGAAGACCAGCTCCTTGTTGGCGTGGCTGTCGACGTACTCATACTGGAAGTCGCGGTCGAACTCCTCGTCGACCTTGATGTTGAGCTTGTCCTTGGCCGTGAAGACGACGGCAAACTCCTCCTTGCCGATCTTGGGGTCGTTGGCGGACTGCTTCACACGCTTCTCGGGCAGGCCCTCCGGGCCGATGATCTTGGCCTCGGGGTAGGCCTGGTGCCACTCCGTGATGAAGATGTGGTGCTCAATGTCCGGCGCGATGATGTACTTGACCGTGCCTCCGAGCTCGGCCAGCTTGGCTTTCACATCATCGGTCATGGCGACGGGCGAGAAGACGGCGAGCGCGCCAGAGGTGAGTTTCACTGCGATGCTGTGTAAGCCTTCTCCGCGTGCACAACGTGGCGAGTGATCAGCCCTCGTGCAAGCCTCACGCATGTGCGCGCACGGGCTGCCACCATGCAAAACATGCTGTCTCACCCCAAAGCACGTGGCCACCAATCACTTACCCACTGTGCCTCGACCGCCAACGGGGATCGTGCCGAACCTCTTGAATGGCACTGAGAACGTCACAACACTGGGCGTGATATTGCGGATGACCATAACGTCGGCCGGGTTGGCCGGGATCAGTTTCGACGACATGCCTGCGGTTGAGGGTGAAGAGTCCTTGGTCGTGGTTGAGAATGGATTGAGCGAGATGTAGCCAGTGACAACGCCGACACCGATTGCCGCAGCTGGGAAGAGGAGGAAGGCTGTTCCTAGAGGACCAGGCCGGCTTCGACCTGTAGCGTAGTGCCTCGCAGGCAGTGATTTAAACGGCGATGTTGCAGTCTGCTGGGTAGGCGCGACTCGTGGGCTTGGCTGTTGATGGCGTGGGGGTTGCTGCTTTAACGGGTTGTGAAGAGCGGTTCGAGGTGTAGAATGAAGACGGCGGGTCTGAAGCTTGTGGGTCTCGACTGCTTGAATGTTTATCAACCAGGAGCGACCGACATGAGATGAGCCGGTGATCTGCCTTGATATAGCACCACCTGAGGCGATCTGATGGGATAGATAAGCAGTCTCAAGCAGGGCCTTCGACCTCGGCATCACTAATTCAGTGCCTGTCGATGGGGTACAATTCCTTGCTGATGGTTTCTCAGCCTGTTCTATCAGCTTCGCGTCGCAGGTCCTGATGATACGAACACGGGTCGGGGTCGGGTGCGCAGTGCTCAGACCCAGCGGACCAGGCGGGACGATATTTGGAATGTCGCATCAGATGTCTCCGTGGAAAATGGTCGATGACCTCACTGCGTGGCCATACTGACGGGACGACAGTCAAGCCGCAGGTGCCCACTGCCCAATCTTACAGGGCCCAGGCCCCAACACTGTCCACGCCGAGCTGGCCGGCTCGGCGCCTTCTGAGCCCCCCGACGCCCACTAACCTTGCCAAAATCAGCACCTTGCCGAGGCTTGACGGGCCAATGCGTCACAATCAACCTCGAGTCTCCATTGTTGTGATCGCCTCGGCTTCTTGCCCTTGCTTTTCCAAGACCTTTTCCTGGGAAAGATTTTTTACCAATGTCGTGCTGGCTCCTCTGAAGGGCGTGCGAGCTTACAAATGACCACATCTACATCGCTCTTAAGAGCGTGCTATGGCCATGGCCGTCGATTTTCCGTGGATCAGCATTCATCGGAGGCTTGGTTGGGGCTGTGTTTCAACACGTCCCCCGGCTTCAAGGGTGAAGCAAAAGCGAAGAAAATGCCTAGTAGAGGACTCGAACCTCTGTCTCCCCTGTGCTGCTGTCCACCACCCAGGGCGCCTTGCCATTAGACCAACCAGGCTTCTAGTCTCACCAAATACTAATCCATGAACCACGAGCACGTTCTCGGCAGAAGGACAAGATGCCTTTTAGACTATACTATATGTATAGTCGCCTTTAGTTTCTCTTAGACCCGAGTTTTCAGGGCTAGGGCCTGGCCTATCTAGACAGACGGCCGGCTGAGGTCACTTGAAGGGCAGCGGCCACGGTATCAAGAAGCTATAGGAAGCTTGAAGGATCATGGCAACCACTAACTAGGTATTCACTCACATCGTCTACCTACTGCGTCGCCAACAGATCGCTCGGGTGGGTTACTGGAATTGTCCAGGAACCGACTTCCGCGCCTCTCCCAAATTAGACTGTCCCAAACCCTGACTTTCTTGGTCGTCCCATTGCCCATTAATACCCATGAGAGTAAGCTTTGCCGGTGCCTCTCTTGAGACACAAGCGGGCTCTGTTTCACACAGCCCTACCGCAGGGCTCCAGCTGTCTAGTAAAGTGACCCTGGCCGGTTTGCAGGAGCTTGGCAGCCAAGTGACGCCCAGCCCAGCCCATGAGACCACGCCTGACTCGAATACCCAACCGCGCGCTCAATTTAATCGGGACTGCCAACAGGATACATGGGGTATTCCAATCGTCTGGGGAATCTGGAGCTCTATTTAAAGGGGTATTCTGAATAGTAACAATGCGATGACAACAGATATAAATGCCGCCATGCTCGTCATGATTTCGGGAGTATCGACAAGCACTCACAACATCGCTGTTACCAAAGACCCCAAAGCACATCTTGAACACAAACACGCTGTTGAATAATTACTGCTACAGATTCCACCTCCACAAGTCATAAATCTACTCGCCAACATGCAATTCACAACCCTTCTCCTCCTCGCCGCCTCCGCCGCAACGGGCCTCGCCCAGTCCTGCACCTACGAGACCGCCAACTACCTCTCCGTCTGCCAGCAGGGAACCAACCTCTTCTGCACCGGCAACACGGGCGTCTGCGTCCAGGGCAAGACAGACACCTTCGACGAGACCGCCACCACCGCCAATGAGGACGCCTGTGCCGGCCTGAGCCGTGGAGACAGCTGTGTTCAGACAGTAGCCTGCTGCTAAGGCGCTCCGGGGTTGGAATAGGTGGAAGCCTGCCCGGCGTAGATGGCTTGTTGATGTGGAGGTGCATTCGGCAACACGGGTGGTGGGCTGATGATGAGAATGTTGCAGAGCGTTTTCAGTTTTCTACAGAGTTGGGTGGAATGTGTAAATATCCTTTTCTTCAAATGAGAATACCCTTGCTTGAAGGCTGCTTCTTCAAGTCACAACAGATCTTGATGTACCCCGGACGGAAGTGACATCGTTTGGGGATGCTGTGATGACTCCAGCCACTCCTGTGCCTACAGAGAGAGCACTGTCATCCTTTTGGCGAGATGGTGCAGTCGGGTTATGGCAGATGCTGGACCAGACCTTACGAGTCAACTGATGATGTGGTGAGGGATTCGCAAGTTTTGGATAGTAGTCCACACGGTTCCAAGTCAGGTGTCAGTCAGGATGGACAACCACATTCATGACCAAAGGAAAACAGTTATGACCATTGATTCTTGCAATTCCTAGGGCTTTGTTGTCGTTGGTATTGACTTAGAGCCACCTGACTTTTCTCCATGTCTGCAAGTGGAACATGATATCTGGATATCATCACAAGTCCCAAAGAGCCCTTGGCTTACTATTATATGGCAAGCAAATAATATACACTGGCATTCTTGAGCCATGCCAGTGTAGTATCGAGCAAAGGACTGTGAGGCTTCAAAATGCATTACATTACATAGATTGAATGTTATAAGTAGCGGTCTTGAGGTAAAGCAGTAGCATTGATCGGACGCAATTCGTTAGCTTTCTAAAGGTCCTTTGCCGGAGTTGTATCCTCGCCTCTGGCGATTTTTGCCTCATATTCTTGGAAGGTTTTGATGCCTTTGGGCCTCCCATTCCACATGAGTCCCTGCTCGTCCATACCCTTGTCACGGTGTTCCATGGCAGCCTTCCAAGAGGGACGTTCGACAATACGCTGGTGCCACGCCGCAACATGGGGGAACCCATCAAATTTCTCCTCTGGCGCACAAGCCACGACGGCATCGAAACGCTCATTCCAGGGTGCAAAGGCAATGTCCGCATAGGTGATCTTGTCACCCACAAGCCACTTCCGGCTTGAAAGCCAGCCGTCCAAGACCCCGAGGACGCGGCGCGACTGATCGTTGTATCTCTCCATAGCGGAGGGGACCTTTTCGGGATGCATGACATTGAACCTAAGAGGATTTCAATATCCTAAGGTCGGGCCCTGCAGTGCAAGTCAAGCAGGACACTTACCATCCGGCCTGGCCATAGTACGGGCCCTGGCCACTGACTTGGAAATGCAGCCACTGATTGCAGTGGTGCTTCTCCTTGAGGGTGGTGTAGCTGATGAGGTTCTTGGTGTCATACTGCTCGATCAGGTAGTTCAGGATGGCGCCCGACTCCCACAGTGTCAGGCCCGTATTAGGGTCATGAATCGCTGTTCAGAACATGGTCAGCAGTCATATCCGAACTTGATTTCATGGGCCTTGAAAGCAAATCATGAAGTGCGCATACCAGGGAAACGGCCATTGGGATTGATGTCTGTGTAAGGCTTTTTCTTGACATCGTCAAACTTCAGTGAGATGATTTCGTATGGTATTGAAAGCTCTTCCATTATCACGACCACTTTCCATGGATTTGGTCCAGACGCTAGTGTTAATAGATTAGACTCTTTGCACTTCTACACCCAGCCAACCTCGCATCAAACCGCTTTGATCATGTGTAAAGTGTGACTCACGACTAAGCCAGATGCGAATCGACTCGAGCGACATTATGGCAAGCAGTGATGAAATCCACTGTAGCGTATCAAGTACACGTTTTGAGCGCGAAGAATCACTGGTTCGGTGGGGATAGGTTCGGAGTCTAAGGTATTAAAGAAGACCAGGGTGGAGGGAGAAGTTGCTCCAACAGCAGAAATACAGAGTCTGCTGGGCTGCTGGGCGGGGGAGTGACTTGATTGCGAATGCATGCGGCTCACCAAGTTAGAGTCCACGGGTAGTGCTGCATAGAAAGCGTACAATCAGCCATCCCATCTGGTGCGTGTGGGTCAGCCAGCCACAACTGCGGCATGAACTTGGCCGAACATGCAGATTTGACCCCTCTCTGCCATACTTACAGACGCATGTACTGCATTTTCTCCACACAAGACCCCTGTATGACCTACAAAGGCCCTTCTCGGGCATCTGCAATATACCTCGCACGGGGAGGCGAGAAACAAACCTGGGGAACAGTATTCAGCCCAGATGTTGCACTTGTTTGACGATACTGTATTGACACTATGTCCTCACGGTTTGAACATGCCCCGGGGCGTCGGTTGCCCACAATACGCCTCACGCCCCATCACAATGGATGCTCTGAAGCGATGTGCAACCGCCGTCATTCCATGACCAGCCCCCAACATGCCAGTGCGAACTGTCAACCATTCCTTAATCGCCAGACTCAGAGCCGTCACTATCCCCAGACACATCTGTATCTCCATACTCGTCATCACCAGACCAGTCTGTCCCGCCACTATCTGCTGACACGTTTGAATCGTCTTCATCATTTCCAAACACATGATCTGTGTCGTGTGTCTCAATCGGATTCAGGACAAACGACAAATCACTGCGACGTTGAGGGAGGGTGTGAGAAACATGATCCAGTGGCGGTTCGATCATTTCGGCGATCGTCGAGGCTGAGCGGCTAGTACCCGAGTCCGGAAGCTCTCGGAGCCTGGTCTTTCTCATCATAGCTCGGCCGCATTCCGGATTGAGTTCGACGCATCTTTGAAATGCATCGTGTGAGTCAAGGTTCTGGCCCACGTAGTCGTACTGCGAAATTTGTTTGTTAATCAAGAGATAGCCGAGGGGGGGTAATCGACGTGGGTACCAAGGTCGGGGTACACTAGAACTCACCAAAACTCCCAGATTATACCAGACTTCCCATATGAAAGGATTCAGCCTTACTGCCCTACATAAGGGTGGCTATAACTGTATCAATTCTGATGAGTATGTCTTCCAAAACAAAGTCGTTCTAGCAACCTTTCCTTCCCAGTACTTGCCTAATGTTTCAACACCAGAAAGAGAGGAAGGACGGGTGCTCGAGGACGCTTCAAAATCTCACATTTGAGCACAAACAATCTAATTCTAGGTATGAGACCCTTGATTGCATGCCCACTAATTACACCTTTGAAGGCACTCTCGTCTGCACCATCATGGATCACCCCACAAGCTCTCCAGGCTCTCGATCGGCTGGCAACTCCAATCGCCTCTGTTCATCATTGCTTTTGTAGCAAGCCATATCGGCAGTCACCTCTGCCACTTCTGAATGATTGGGCCATGAGGATTCAGATTTCATGCTGGCATCAAGCTCCTGGCGTTGCACTTTGTCTCTTCTCTGTCGTCTGTAAAGGAGAAACCGTGCAACTGCACCTAGAATAACCATCGCACCTACCCCTATCACTATCCCGGCTATCGATCCCGTTGAAAGTCCGCCTTTGTGAGACTCAATAACTTCGGATGTCCCAGCAGCGCTGGCGGTGGGGGCAGCTGTGGACACAGATGCCACCGAGGCAGTTGACGTGATGATGCTGGCACTAGTAGTTGAACTGGAGACAGAGACGGATGTGTACGAGTACCCCGTCGCGGGGATGGAGAAGTAGCTAGACAGCTCCGAAGACGCCGCCAGGCCAAAGGTTTCGTTCGACGGGCTCTCGCAGTCCCGCCCGTCATCCGTGAGCCCGCAGCAAGCCCATAACGACTCAGAGACCTAGACCACGTCCGGAATCCCATTTGCACCGTTATCAACTGGATATATCGAGGATCAGCTCATTGTCTATACCGGACAATACTCGGTCGACTCACGGCATCGAACCGTGCAATGCGGGTCATCAAAGGTCGAGTCGGTACAACCTGAGGTGTACCACCCGCTACCGCCCTGGAGGGAGTGCGTGTAGGAGCACAGCCCGACGCTCATGCACGTGTCGCCGGCCTGGCAGCAGGGAACTGCTGCTGTGGTGTCGTTCACCGGGCCGCAGGGGAACCAAATGTTACTGAAGGCACCCGGGGTATAATAACAATGCGTGGTCGACATTGGGGCGACTTAGGCTCAAAGGCGCTTGATGAAGGAGGCAGTGTGGGCTCAGGCGCGATGTTTCGGTAGTCTGTCGAGGGCTGGATTGAATTGAGAATGCTCAGTGAGGAAGGTCTTCCGGAAGGAAGGGACAAACGTTCAGTCAAGCCATAATCAATGTCTTCCGAAATCAAAGCATAAGGACAAAGCGGCCAAATTACCCTGGCCATCTCGTGAGGACCAACACGCAGAAACGCTCACATTTGCTCGGATCGGAATTTTGGGAAGCATCTCTGTGGGACTGAGGTGACCCACCAGTTGAGGCGCCGTGTCTCTAAGCACCTCGTCGTGGGCCATACCGAGTGGCTCAAACCAGTAGCAATGCACATGATTCTGAGGCGAGATTACAGGATTGCTAAAAAGGGCCACATCTATAGATTCTGTTGGTACGAGTACATGTCCTCAGAAGATTTTGGTGGGTTACGGCGCAGCAGACAACCCACATTGCGACTCTGCTGTCCCACCGTGGATACTCGCTAGGCCCAACATGCGTATGCGCAACCATACCGGCGCTTACGAAGGGGCTCTCCCCATTCGTTACCACCTGGGCGGAACTCTCCAATGTCACTCCGAGTCTACTATCCAAAAAAGTTCCTCGGTGCTATGTAGCTTTATGGCAACTTGCGTTGTGTGTGCTCAGGACCACAGACGGAACTAGTCCTGGCCTGAACAATCAATCTCCTGTCACTGAGGGAATTCTGTTTTGACGAGCTCACCAAATCCAGCAAGGCTGCCCGCTGATGATAATTGATGGTAGTCGAACCAATTTTGCAGCCTCAGTTCGTAAGGCCTGTCGTGGGTCTTTGTTCGTCTATGAGTTCATGTGCTGCTTCAGCCTCGCATACAATACAATTGTGCTAATTACTTCAAAAGGAGTGTTGCTGCTATTCCACACCACCTAAACACCTACGGCTTCGGGTGGTCACGACAGGTCGAAACTGTTGAATTCTGAGAAACCTTGCAGAGAGGAGGATTTGAAAGTCCTGGCTCAGCTCAATTTCGAGGATGACATGTATTGCAATTTGACTAGATGGCTATGGGTAATCATCAACTTGGAAATTTGTGCCTTACAAGACATTTTCATCTATTTATTTGACCATAAGTCATTGTGATTTCGAAGTGCTGGTACTTTGATCATATCTCCCAGGCAACGGCACTTATTGAGCGCTCAGAGATTGCCTGTAAATGGTCGCCTAACTCCCTCCTATTTTCAATCCGACCCGTTTGACTTGTTGTACTCCTTGCCCTACCCTCAGTCTTGCAACTTATGATCATCTCATCTGCCTGGACCTCCTGCCAATCTAACCCTCCTCTCTCACCAGTAGCACATAGCAATCTCCAAAGCCCTCCTCTCCGCCCCGAAGGTAAGCCTCTCCATCGCGTCGGCACATGTCAGCCAGTACGGCTTCAGCACCTCTTCGGTGTCCTGCGTGTTTGCGGCGGGCAGGGCGTCCTCTCTGACGGTCGCTACGTAGAAGAAGCACACCTTGGTGACGGGACCGCCCTCGAGCCCGGGGGACGGCTCCGTATAATGGACCATGGCGATGGGCTCGGCGCTCTGGGCCTCGAAGATGGGACCGGGCTCTTGCCTGCCCTTGGCCATGGTAGCGCGGGTGAGGATGTTTTTGGACAGGAGTTGGACCCTGTACCCAGTCTCCTCGTACGTCTCCCTGATGGCCGTGTTGCACAGGGCGTCCTCGCCAATGTTCTTGCGGCCTTTGGGCAGCTGCCAGAGGTCCTCGGTGTATTTCTCGTTTAGGATTACGAGAGCCCTTCTGTCATCCCCCCTGCCCTTGAAGGTCACAGTCCCGGCACAGATGCAGAAGTCTGTGCTCTTGGCACAGGCCATTGCGTTGTCAAATGCGGCAACATCGAGAGGCCTCTTCTGTTTCCTTGCAGTGTGTGTGATGTGCGCGGCGGTGGAATTAAATGATTTGGGGGAAGACTCGTGAAGGCACGTTCTGGGGTTCTCCGCAAAAGGTGTTGATCTGCTCTTAGACATGTTCGAGGCTTGCTTTTTTTTCAAATAGTCAAATTTTGCTCCGGTGCTCCGCGGGTGTGGCCGATGTTTGATAATATGGCGTGATGCGCTGGGCGAAGGAAGAAGAGCAGAGAAGTCCACGACTGCGAGATCGAACGACTCTGGGATATAGATATTGAATCATGAAGTCAAAGAAGGAGCGCAGCCACAGCGCTGTTGGCCATTGAACGAAAGATGGTTTTGGAACATGTGCTCACTTGAGCCTGTGCATGCCTCACAGGCAGCACGTCTGACAGGTGCTCGCTCCAGCTCCGTTCCCCATTCGCTCGTTGTCGCCAGCCATCCTGTGTCGGACTCACCGGTGAGGCATGCCACGTTCGCGATCTGGTGAAGGGTCTAGTTGACCGGTCCGAGTCACCGACTCATTGGGCAGGAATGGGGTCTGGTCCTGCGGTAGCCAAGGACGATGCACCGAAGAAACATACTTACACACTGGTACCCACAATGGGGATCTCCGGCCCTATTAGAGCACAATCCAAGGGTTGGAGGGAGTGATGTGCTCAGGTAGGTATAACCGCCGGCTCGGGAAGCGCCAGGGCGTGCATAGCTGTTCAAGGCCCTGCCGCATATGCCTCCATCACTCCTTGCAGGGAGGGTGGGTGTCATTTCCGATCTGGGATGTCATGTTGCCTTGCTCCGGCGCGGCCCCCCCACGGCCAGATCGCTGGTACGATCTCGAGAGTCGTCCTCGGGCACAATTCTGCACCCGCCTCGAGTTGAGAGTATCGCGCAGTGACATTGCGCAGTGACGTGGTGACGGTATCAACATGAGTCTCGGCCATGTCTCGACGGCAGTGGAAGAGCACCTGTCTTACCAAAAGTGGACGCAGCCACGTACGCCAGAGATGGTCCTACCCCGCGGTGAGAGGCGGCGTTGACCGACTGTCACGGGGAGCTTCCAAGTGGCTGGCAGCCGCAGCCTTGGCTGGAAAAGTAAGACCAGAGCTGAGGGTGTGTGTTACTGAACACGTGCGAGAGTGGGAAAGCATCGCTGACGGTGGGCGACACCCTGGACGCCTGACAGCCATCAATTGCCGCCCACCATGCAACAGACTGGGCACCATGGCCTAGACTGCTTTTTGCTTTTTTTTTTTTGCCAGCACTAAAGCACCGTCCCCAATGCGGTTTCAGCCCTGTTTGTCAAGAGCCTATCGGGCCGTTGAAGCCAGCCACAACAAGGTAAAATCCTTGGGTAGGGTGGCACCTTGGATGCCTCTCGCAGACCGAGAAAAAGAAATAGGGGACAGATGAAGAGTGGGGAAAGGGGGGGGAGAGAGGAAGGGATGCTGAAGCTGGCCTTGGCCTTCTGCTGTGCCACGTGGATTTGGAGGCATGAATGGAGGTAGGAACCCGTCTGCCTAATGTGCAACATACATGAAGTACGGAAAGAGTAGGACAGATGGGCTTCGCGGGAGAATCCAGTACCCAGTGCACAGCATTTTGAAAGTCGATCAGGACAAGCACTAGAACGACTCAGTCGCGGCAAACGGTTGAACGGCCCAGGCGGCTTGGCAGGGGCCCGCCATATCAGATACGGAACCCCTCCCTACGTCACAGCAGCGTATGTCGACCTCGAGCTCGACCTCGGAGCAGGTGCAGCGTGGGGGGGAAGCTTGAGATCGCGTCGATGCTCCCCTCCCTTGGAATGCATCATACATGCCTACATACACATGAAGCAAGGCGGTAGTCCACCTATAATTCGTATAGGTAGATGCAGCACAGCCTGACGCGGGGTTGGCACACCATACCACAGTCGTACGGCAGCTGCAACATTAAACACCGCGATAGTACCTAGGTAGGCCAACAGACTAGCACCCAGATCCAAGATCTAATCGTCAGAGTCGGTGCCGTCTATCGTCATGGCTCCCGCAAAGCGGCAGCTTCGAGCAGCTTCCAATGCGCTCAATTCCCTGCGACCCCACCTTCCCGCCATCTCCTCCCCGTTCTCCTCCTCGCAAATACCGCCAACTCCGAGCTCCACTCATGCTGCCCACGGCCTCACAACCCCGCGACAATCCTGCTGCAGCTCATTGAGAACCCAAATTCCCAACAACAACAAGACCAACACACAGCTCTCCAGCCCATTCAGCACATCGGCACCCAACATGTCCACAATGAAAGCCACCGGCGGCCACTCCGAGGCCTGCTGCAACATCCCGCCCGTTGTCTCGTCCGGCTACCAGAAGAAGGGCGACTTCGAGACCTTCGACGGCCGCAAGACATATGTGACCGGGCCCGCCAAGGAGGCAACCAAGGCTATCTTTATTGTCATGGACATCTTCGGCTTCTTTGACCAGACCGTGCAGGGCTGCGACATCCTGGCCTCGGCCGACGACCACAACAAGTACGCCGTCTTCATGCCCGACGCCTTCGACGGCGCGCCGTTGGACATCAGCTTGTTCCCGCCCCAAACCGAGGACCAGCAGCAGAAGGTCGGCGCCTTCTTCGGCAAGAACAGCCCGCCTAGCTTCGTGCCCAAGGCCCACGCCACCGTCAAGGCCATCCAGGAGAAATACCCCAACATCAAGGAGTGGGGAGTGCTCGGAGTGAGTATATCGGACCCTGCTCTTTGGTCGACTAGTAACCAGCTGACCCTGTTATCATTAGTTCTGCTGGGGCTCCAAGGTTATCTCGCTGTCTCTGTCGTCCGGCGAGAGCCCATTCAAGATCGCTGCCGAAATCCACCCTGCTATGGTTGACCCTAAGGACGCCGAGAAGTGAGCACAGTCCCGCGCCCCAAGATGCCCCCAGTGTTATACTAATACCTTCTGCAGGATCAAGGTTCCTTTGATCATGCTGGCCTCCAAGGACGAGGACGCCGAGGACGTTAAGAAGTTCGAGGCTGCCCTCACCGGGCCCAAGCACGTCGAGACCTTTGCGGACCAGATCCATGGCTGGATGGCTGCCCGTTCTGACCTGACGGATAAGCGCGTCCAGGAGGAATACACCCGCGGCTACAAGACAGTCCTGAACTTCTTTGCTAAGAACTTCCAGTAAGCCTTCCCTGCGGCACGGAACAAGGGGGCCTGGGATGATGACTGGCGAGGAAGAAACAGGCTGCCGGCTGGACGCCTCTGAACGAAATGTGAATACCCTGAAGATATGAGAATGATGGCATGAAATGTTTATCAAAACACGATCAAACTTGACGATCACACTTGAGCTTGATCTGAACTTTTATGACATGCAACATTCAATTGGCGAGGGCCGTCATTGGCGCTGTGGCTACACAGGCCCTGTGAACCAACACTTCCTTGGATCATATCCCATGACCAGTAGCAGGTCGACTTGACATGGGCAGGCCACCATTACAATAATCTGGCTTGACCAAATAGGTATCTAGGACACGGCCTGCCTAGTTCTGCTCTTCCTGGAATAGGCCGTAGCAGAGGCTGGAAAGGTATGCGCTTTTCTGGGGCTTTTACTCTGTAGGAAGTCATGGACTTGGCGACGATGAGTCAGATTCGAATTGTCGACTGTTTCTTTTCCATTGCAGCGTTGCACTTCGATTTAGCACTGCATAGATGTCACCGTCACAGCTCACAGGTCAACGGCCAAACGGCCAACCCAACGGGCAGCTACAGTAGGTGATGGACCATCCGACCGGCAGGTACCGTGGTGGGCGTGGGGGGACCCCTGCCCCGGCTGCCCCGCCATCTCATGGAAATTGTTAGCTGGTCGCATCTCAATTGACTCACCCCTCGACTTTGTAAATAGTCATCCTCAAGCCGTTTCTCACTTTTGCGATTCCACCCTCGCCAGACTACCCGCCCACCCTCTGTTCCTGGGTCTTGTTCCAAGTCAACCGAACCATCGAACCCGCGCCCTTCGTTCTTCCGTCTCGCCCCGGTAAAACCTGCCCACCATGGCATCGATGCCCGCCGAGGAAAGGATCGCCCTGATCAAGGAGAACCTGGCCGAGACGCTCGACTTTGAGATTATTGAGAAGATTATCAACGATGGAAAGGACCCCAAGGTCTACTGGGGAACGTGAGTCTACTCGCTCCTTTTTCCGTGGCCACAAACGTTGCCATTGGCAGCCTGGCAACACTCGTTGTCTCGATACAAGCACACCGGTTGCCATCCGTCCCCAGAGGACCAGCCCGCCACTTCTCTACCCAATAACTGACTATTGATTCATGACCAGCGCCACAACCGGACGCCCACACTGCGGTTACTTCGTGCCCGCCATAAAGAATGCGCAGCTGTTGCGGTCTGGCTGTGAGCTGACCATCCTGCTCGCCGACATCCATGGCTTCCTCGTACGCGACCACCCCAACCGACCCCCCTGCCCGGACGCCACCAACACTCCTCGCAAGAAACAACTGACTGACTGACCGCCCTGGTGGTACAGGACAACCTGAAAGCACCCATAGACCTCGTCCAACAGAGGGCGCTCTACTACCAGCGCGTCATCACGGCAATGCTCCGAGCGACGTGCGGCGAGGAGGACATCAAGAGGCTAAAGTTCGTGTTCGGGAGCTCCTACCAGAAGACCCCCGAGTACACCATGGACCTGTACAAGCTGTGCTCCGTGGTGTCCGAGCACGACGCCAAGAAGGCCGGCGCCGAGGTCGTCAAGCAGACGGCCAACGCGCCGCTCTCCGGTCTGCTCTACCCGATCCTGCAGGTCCTGGACGAGCAGTACCTGGACGTGGACGTGCAGTTCGGCGGCGTCGACCAGCGCAAGCTCTTCACCGCAGCCAAGGAGTGGCTGCCCAAGCTGGGCTACCGCCAGCGGGCGCACATCATGAACCCCATGGTGCCCGGCCTGCAGGGCGGCAAGATGTCGGCCAGCGACCCCAATTCCAAGATCGACCTGCTCGACGACGAGGCCACGGTCGTCAAGAAGATCAAGAAGGCAGAGTGCGTGCCCAAGGTGCCCGAGGGTAACGGCGTCCTGGCCTTTGTCGAGCACGTCCTGCTGCCCGCGGCCAAGCTCAAGGGCGAGGCCGGCTTCGTCGTCGACCGGAGCAGGGACGAGCTGCCCGAGCTCGTCTACACCGACATCGCCGCCATGCACGACGACTACCGCAATGACGTGCTCACGCCCCAAATCCTCAAGCCCGCCGTGTCCAAGGCCCTCAACGCCCTCATGGCCCCCGTCCGCGACGAGTTCGCCAACAGCCCGGACTTCAAGGAGCTCGTCGAGAGGGCCTACCCGCCCGAGGTCAAGCATGTCAAGGAGAAGAAGAAGAAGGACCGCGGCGCCATGTTCCCCGGCCCCAAGGACAAGAACAAGGCCGCCGCCCCCGCCCCCGCGGAGGGCGCCGTCACGTCACAGACCGAAGACCTAGCTATCCGGAGCGCTGCTGAACAATGATACTTACCCGCAGGCAGCCAATGAGGCGTCTCATCTTCCTGCCAGCCAAGCGCCTGTGTTTGTGTGTGCTGATACTCGTCTCTTGTTCGCCTGTGGCGTGATCTTCTGTGGTAGAACCTCTCATATGCTCCCAGAGCCGTTTTCGCGGGCAGGCTTCCTTGATTTCTCAGTATTCCTCCTGAAAACACTCGTGCGGATGCTGAGGGATCAAATGCCTTGTGTCCAGCATCCCCTCCCGCCCGAGGCTCGTTGTCTCAAGTTTCCAAAGAGCCTTCAGAGAAAGGGGGAATGCGGCAGCATGTTGGCAAAGCACGAGCAGAATCCACCGCGTCAGCATTCGTTTGCAAACGAGCCAGGCGTAAAGTGGGTTGTGGGGCCGATTAGATAAATTTCAATGGGCTGCAGGCACGCACATAGCACAAGTCGGACCATCATGACAAGAAGGGGCAAGCTCGGATGAAGAGATCGATTATATGCTAGATACATCTGCACTCGCAGCTCCACGAAAGAGCCCGACGGTGCTTCTCTCCCCCCATCATCATCCCCTCATCTCACCGGCCACATCCTTACTCTTTGACCATACATATGCGACCGTCACACGTAGACATGTAGGAGTAATAATAGTTTAATAGCTGGAAGCGACTGACGAAAGAAAAAAGCGTAGTGCAAATTCGTAAAACAAGAAGAACCTGTCCATTAGTCTCTCGGTTTCCAACCTTGGCTCACGGCGTGACGTGAAGGAATGGAAGAATGGATGGTAAAAGAAGCTTTGCGGAAATCTTGCTATCAGGGGGTATCATTCTAGTAGTGCAGTTCTTGGGTATGGTATTATGTTGCTGTCAGTGGCAGTGAAGGACGTTTGCAGGAAAGCCAGAAAAGTAAATAGCCACAATCCCAACCGCGTGTACGTCGTCGCCTATATCGGGCCCATCTTTTTCTCATATGACAAAGGGAATAAAAGGGAGGGTTGCCGCCTTGGCCTGTAGCCCCGATGACCAACTTCACTCATCGTCGAAGAAGCCAGCATCGTCGAAGTCGTCGGCTGCCATGGCATCATCATCATAAGCCGCCGGTCGCATCATCGGCGGTGTTTGTGGTCCGCTTGGGAAATTCTGCTGCTTTTGCGCTGGACTCCCTCCTCGAGCTGGCATTTTTTGAGCCTGTCGCTGGGGTGGTGCCTTGGGCCGGTTGGCAAGGTCCTGAGCTGTGAAGCGGCGACCGGTGTTGGAGAAAGCCGTCGGTTGACCAGATGGCGACGGCTGGCGGACACCAGAAGCCGGCGGGGTCAGAAGACCTGAGAGGAAGCTGCTCTGTGAGCCAGGGCTATCTTTCCTAGGCGTGGCGTGGTTGGCACCCGACGCGGATGATGATGATGGCGCAACGTTGGACAAGGTGCCGCCTTTACGCCAATTACCCCATGCAGCAGCCAACGGGCCGACGGCTTGAGCGACCCTAGGCGTCGCGGCATCCCGGAGACTGGCCGCGATGTTAGGCATCTTGATGGCCGATCCGCCGTTCATGGCCCTCTCGCGCTCCTGCTGTTCCATCTGTAGATTGGCCTTGAGGCGGATGGCCGCATCCCGAACGCGATCTTGATCATAGTCGTCTCGGCCGAGTGCGGTAATGATGTCTTGCAGATCTGAGTGCCTCACACCAAGGAGTTCCCTCAGCCAGACAATCTCGTCATCCCGCTTCGCAATCTTCGTATCAGATTCGGGGTCAAGCTTGGCCACAGTCTGCTCAAGCTCTTCGATCCTCAGCTCCCGCTCTTGCACTTGTTCTTGCAGAACCATGATAGATTCTCGGAGGGCCTGGGGAGAGATCTTCTCTGGCAGTTGCATAGCTGTAGCAACGGCTGCCGTCTGCGACTGCACTTGCGGCTGCGAGGTCGAAGCATGCTGCTCAGGGACGGGGACGGAGACAGGAGGAGCTGAGACAGGCGGCAAGACAACTCCAGATGCCTTGGCTGCCTGTGCTGCAGCTCGTGCGGCTTCCCTAGCAATGTCGAGCTTCTCCTCTAGATGAGTAACACGATCCTGCAGGTGCTCACACTTGGATGTCGAAATGCTGAGGCGTTCGAGGAGGTTGGACTCGGCACGCTGGGCGTCCTCGACAGTGTTGTTGAGTTGTCGTTCAAATCGGGCCTGCACATCCTCAATCTCGTCCTGGTGCTTGCGTATGACCTCGTCGATGTCGCCCTTCCTGTTTTGTTGAGCATCTTCCATGACCATGTCGTATCGCGACCTGACGGTGTCAGCATCAAGCTTGGCTTGGTCGAGCTGCGCACGCAGTCGGGAAATCTCATCCTCGAGTTCTTCGCGGACCACGTTGACTTGGTTGTTCGCATCCTCGACCTGGCCTTGCATTGATTCGCGAGTGCGTTGTATCTCCCGTGCTCCAGACTCACGGGCTTCCTGGAACTCTGCTTGATAGCGCATGGCGCTTTGCTGCAGTTTGTGGTTCTCAGTCCGCATCTCTCCCAAGAGGGCGTCCAATCTCTTAGCCTCACTGACAGCCTTCATGCCTTGACGCTCACCAGCCTCCAATCTCTCGAGTTCAGTCTCCAGACGCTCGCGGGTCTTAGACTCTGCTTGGAGCTTGGCATCGAGAACTTCTTGTCTGGCAAGCATCGTTTGCTCCTTCTTGGCCCGGCGGGCGTTCTCCTCGGTGATCTGGCGCATGGCATTCTCCATGTCTTGCTGCAAAGAGAGGAACTTGGACCTCCAGTCATCACGAAGTCGCTCATTCTCGTTCAGCTGAGTACCAAGAGTGTCAATCAACCTGTGAAGTTGCTTGTTCTCTTCCATCGCTTGGTACAACTCGTCGTTCTGGCGTTGGGACAGCTGCGCAGTCTGGTCTGCCTCGCTCCTCCATCGAGCTGATTCTTGGCGCAGATCTCGAACGTCCACTTCAGCAATACTGACACGATTCTCAAGGTCGAACTTCTCTTTCTCAGAATTTTCGGCGGCAGCTTCGAGCAAAGCCATGCGCATAGTGTTCTTGCTGTGGGTCGCATCGAGAATCTTGAGCCTCTCATCCTTCTCTTCGAGAGCCTCCCTTAGTCGTACCTCTTCTTCCGAAGAAATACGCAGAAGACGTTGCACCTCGGATAACCTGTCTTCAGCTGCTCGTCGAAGTTGGACTTCTGCCTCGTTTATGGCCTCTTGGTTGCTCAGTCTACTCTCTAGATCCAAGAATCGCTGGTCATGAGTGCTGCGGTTCATGATCTCGGCTTCGATCTTGGTCTCAGCCTTCCATAGCTGTCTCTCGAGTTCAGCTGCGCGAGATGCTTCTGCTGAAGCCTTAGCTTCTTCCAGTCGGTTACGCTGCTCCAGATCTGCATAACGAGCTTGCAGTTCGTTGAATTTCTCACTCAACTCGTCCTGGCCTTCCACAACAACTGGCTGGGGCGGGGTGGGAGGCAAGCGTGACTCGACTGCCTCCTCGACAACATTTCGAAGGTCTTCGGCCCGGAAGTCGAGGTGCAGGGACTCGCTAAATTGCTGCTTCATCTCTTCCATGGCCCTCAGGATAGAGACCATGCTCTCCGCGGATGCACCATCTTGTGCAATGCCCGGCAGGGGAGGCAATGGAGGGGCGCTGCGTTGCTGGACAGCAAATGCATCCAGAACAGCAACTCTTATCTGCTCCATTCGCTTGTCTCTGCGAGGGCTCATTGACCGTCGTGGAACGGGTTCATCATCCTCGTCATCCGCATCGCTCTCTTGGTTCTCCGCAGAGACGCTTCGTCGTTCGCGGCGACTCGACGGCGGAAGACCAGACAGCGACGCGAGAGCCTGTTGTATTCCCTCCAAAGTCCTTTCAAGAGGATCGAGCCGCGACTGCAGGGCAGCACCAACTAGCTCATTGACCTTTCCGTCGAAGAAATTGGCGCGAGAGTCGAGCTTCACTTGCTCTTCATCGCTGAACGCCCGTTCCCAATCGTCACTAGCAGCTTGGCTCTCACTGGTGTTGAGTCGAGAGATTTGGGCGCTCATCGGAGGATCTACAAACGGATTCTCCAGCATTTCGGTGGTGTGCAAAGGAGGGTGCACTCCAAGCGGCAAGTGATAATGCCTAGGGCTCGGGCTTGGCGCTTCACCGCGAAGAAAGTGCGGGTGGTTGCGCTTAGGAGACTCGCTGGTGATAGCAGTGACAGGTATATGTCGTGTTGGGCTTGGTTGGTGCCATCTTGGCGAGTCCACCATCTTCTTGACGCCCAAATCAGGATCATTCTCGTTGATGTGTTGCATGACAGCATCGATCTCTTCGAATGTTGGCTCTTCAGCTTCACCATGCTCCTCATCCTGATCCGTACGTGGGCTCGCAGACTGGGGTATTGTGTCCTGGGTGTCCTCTAGATCTTCAGCAGTAACAGGAGACGCCGAATATCGTTGCGTGTCGCTCACCAACGGGCTGTGAGGAGCCTCAACTTCAGAAACAGGTGACGGTGACTTGGCGTGCTTCGAAGCACCCAGTCCTTTAGGCGGCGAGGGGCTGGCAGCGAATCTGCTTGCAGCGAGACCCTTCTTCACAGGCGGAGACGGGGCCACAAATGTCTCAACACCGAGATCCTCTTCCTCCGCAGGGCTGATGATAGGTGAGGGCTCCCTCTCGATGGACTGCTGCGGCACGTCCTCAGCGCTTTGGTCCTCCTCCACAGGACTGACCTCAGCTTCCATATCAGATCGCCTGTCGGACCGTTCGAAGTAGCCCGGGACGGGGGTATCCTCCTTGTCATTATAATCATCGTCAGTCATGAAAGACGTGCCGGGAATGAATGGCCTCGCCGACGCTGAAAGAGATTTCTGGTGGCCGTGAGCCATAAAGCCTTCATCTCCGAAAGGCCGAGCTGTGTTGAAGGCTGACACCTCGGCTTCTGACCCGAACTCGAACGGAGTCCAGGCATTCGCATTGTGCTCCGCAGAGACTTCGGACAAGCTAGTGTTGTCCTTGGCATCCGTGGAATCAGAGAGAATGGTCGACGAAATCCCAGAGTCACGGGCTGGGCGCTCCTCTTCCGCGCCCTTGGCTTCTGTGTGGACTGTCGAGCTTGGCTCTGCAAGCAAGCGAGAGCCCTCGTCGTCATCAGCGCTTGCCCCTCTGAATCTCTTGACTCGTGTCTCGTCGATTATGCGACCATTTTCGTCCTCGGCAGGAGCTGGTTCATCCTTGTTCGACGTGCGACTAGCTGGTCGAACGATAGGAATGGCCTTGGACTTCTTTGGAGGCTTCATGATTTCCGGCATGTTCAAGTCGATGCTGCCGAATATCGAGGACGCCATTTTACCGCTCTCGCTACCAGAAAGGACCGGGGATGTCACCGAGCCAGCCACCGAGTGAGGTGTGAATGCCGGGGCATTCGGTCGGAAAGTGGGCGCACCGGCAGCAGAAAAGCTGAATTCGCTGGAACCGGGAGAAAATACTGGAGCATTGACGTTGATCTTGCGCGAAGGGCCTGCCGGAGGGCTGAACTGATTTGAGTGATCCGAGTCCGGAGGGTTCGAGGCGGAAGCTCCTTGGAAAACAGCCGGTTGGAATGTATTGCTTCCGAAGTTGAACTGCCCAGGCTGAAAGGAGCTCGTGGGGTTGAATTTGAACTCAGGCGCTGCAACGTTGAGCTTCGAAAAGGACGGCTTGCTACTGTGACTCGGCCGTCGTGAGATTGACTGGACATCCTGCCACGGATTGCTCATGGTGGAAAAGTTTCTCTCGTGGGACGTGTCTCCAAAGCTGGGTAGGACGGGTGTGCCAAGGTTGCTTGGATTCGTGTCAACGTCGTCGCGGTCAGCTTTGTCGTCGTCTTGTATAGGCTTCAAGCTGTTGAAGCCACCTTTGCCAGAACCGGCTCTCATATCATCTTCTCCGAAGTACTTCTGAGACAGCGAATGGCCTCTACTATGAGGTCGAGGATGATGGAGGACGAGATCCTTATCGACCGCACCCTCAAAGCGCGGTGCTTGTGGCGCGAACTGCACCGGCGATTCATGGCTTGATTGAGCAGCTGCGTGGATCTTCTCGTCCTCGTTGTGCGGACTGTAATCCTCGTCGTGTTCAAGCTGTGAGCGGAACTGTTCCTCCAAGTGATACTCCGCTTCATCGATTTCCTTCTGGAGGCTGTCGCTGGCATTGTGACGAATTTGTGGTGCTGGCTCAGGTGTCCTTGATGCACTCTTCGCCTCTTCTTCCTCGTCCGCCTCACGTAGTTCTTGTAAACGAGGTGAGGCCCGAGCAGACTGCATGAAGTGCTGGTGGGGTAGTTGAGGGAATTGAAGCGACTGGTGCCTTTGGTGCAGCATCGGTGGCTGAAACCCACCAGGCGAGAAGGGTGAGGTTGACAAGGAGGGCGACACACGGTGCATTCCTTGCTGCTGGAACATCACATCCCTAGGTGAAGGCTGCTGCTGAGGCGGCATGAACCCGAATGGGGACTGGTTTGCCGGGATCGAGACGGATTGCCGGGACTGGTGGGGGTTGAAGTTTCCGTTGAAGGAGACAGGAGAAGCAACTGCATTGATACCGCCCGCAGTATTCTGTGCGGAGAACGGGAACTGCTGCATCCCCTGAGCACTTGATGCCGAAGGTGTGGGAACCGGCGGCGAGAAGGGCAGAGGGGGATACTGAGTAATCGTTGCACGTCTGTTGAGGCCAATCGGATTGGGAGAGATGGATGGAGGCGGCGGCGGCGGGTCTTCATCACCGAGTGATACGCCGAGGGCCCTGAGCTTGGCCTCGGTCAATTCATTCATGTATTTCTTCCAAGCTGTTTAGCTGTTAGCAGAGAATCCCGAGGCTTGGGCAGACAATATCAATTTCTCACCTTCAAGATCCGGCAGTGTGACTTTATATTTACGATCGGTCCGCTCCCTCTTGATGTCCTCGACATCTGGCCACTCGTCCCTGCTCCTAGAGTGGTGCTCTACGGGGAGAGCCGAGTACTCTTGCGGGACGTTCAGGTCGAATCCACGAATGTCGTATCCGAGCTCTTCCCACTCCCTAAACATGTTCGCAACTTCATGCTGTCTGAGAGGAATAGGAGCCTTGCCCCGCTGGCCTCGCTCTGCATCTCGAGGAAGCAAAACCATTATGTTTTTGCCCCTCCATGGCACCTTTTTCTTCAACCGAGGCGTCGATCCGGGCGCCTTTTTGACTTGTGGTGGTCTCGTTGGGGTGACCGGGGCCTTCGTCTCTGCCTTGCCCACATCCGCTGGTCCTGCTGTACCATTCGGCGTCGATGGGCGCTGCTCGGCGATGTTCGTCGCTGGCGGAGTGTCGGCGTCACCTTTCGGTAGCACCACCTCTGGGACAGGATTCGACATGTTTGCGGTGTCCGTTCTTGATGGCCGACTAACGCTACTCTGCTTAAGGGTCTCGGTGCTTGATCGTGCCCTTGGATGTTGCCTGGAGGACAATCGAGACGACGTGGAGCGTCCGCTGGGGTTGGCTCGAGGCGTGGCCGAGCTCCTGCCTTCCAACCACGCTGCCTCGTCGCCGGAGGGTGAGCCGCTCAATGAAGAGTGCTCACTGTCTGTGCCGTCACTAAGCCAGTGACGGGGTTCAACGTTCTCGTGAGCAGCCGTGTGTTGACGTATCCAGTCTTCTGTCAGGCCACGCGCAGGACCAGGCCGCCTGGCTCGATTAACCAGGATGGCGGCAAGAGAAGAGGACTGCTGCTCTGTCGGCGAGACCACCAAGGGTGGAGCCGGGCGCAAGAATGGGGTGTCGAGCTCGAGGCGATGGATCGGCGAACCTTCTGATGGCTCGCTGCCAGGACTCTCTCGGTGAAGGTTGGCTTCTTCGGACCTTGGATACGGGCTCCCCCAACTTGCAGTCACGTACTGACTGTCTTCACGCGGGTCTTGGCGCGACGGCGGGGTCCTCAGCAACTCCAGGGCTCTCTGCGGCAGTCGCGGAGCTTGCAAATTAGGAACGAATGGAGATGAAGCCTCGCCGTCAGCGGTAGACGCGGTCGAGAGGGCCGGGGACCTCGGAGGGGATTGGCTGGATGCCCCAGGCTGCCGCAGACCGTCCTGTGCAGCAGCACGAGGAGGAAGTGGTGGAGACGGATCTTGCGAAGACGTCTTTGCGTGGACCTTCACAACAGCGACACAGTGAGCGTCAGATTTGGTTCAACACATGATGGGGCTGGCCATGAGCAGCGAGCACAGAGCAGGTGCACCTGGCGGCGGCGTGGGGCCCTTTTTTTTTTAGGCTGGGCAAGGCTTACCACTGGAGATCAGCGCAGACGAGGACCGTGTCGTCTGCAGCTGTATCTCAATACCTATCGCGTCGTCGGCGATGCCCAAAAGTCTTTGTTTGCCCGAAGCGAAGAGGTCCCCCCTTTTCAGTAGACACAAGGGCGGCGAGTGGAGATTTTGAGAAGGGTGGCCTGGGGGGTGACTGGATCGCGTCGCGTAACCGGAAGCTGGGGACGACTGGGGGCAGGGGAGAGGTGGAGCAGGGAGCTTGGACGTTTTCTCCAGCAGCGGGAGTCCAGCCAAAGCAAGGCGTGCCAGGGTCGGGTTGGGCGTTGCGCTGCAGCTGGGTCCACTCAAATTTTGAGAAATCAGGGCCAATCAGGAGGGGACCCCAATTAGAAAGAACCAAAGAAATGAAGAAGACGATGGTCTGTTCAAAGGAGTGACAGAGAGTTGGGACAAGAGAACATGTCGAGGGTCATCGAATCGCCGGTTTGTGCCTTGGCTGGGTCGTGTCTTGTTTGCGATCCTGCAGTTGCATGAATGAGAACTGCCCGTGCCTCGAAAGCCAAAAGTCAAGAGCTGGGAATCTGGTCGGGTCGGGTTCAGGTCAGAGGTTCAGGTACGGATCCGAACAGATCGAGGTCGAGGACGAGGTCGATGTCGGGTCCAGGTCTGGCCGAGTCGAAACGAGCACCTCGAATGAAAAAATGGCAATGACAGCGCACAAACCAACAAAACAAACGACGCGCGAACCAAGCAGTGGCCTGTCCGTCCTGGGTGGTGGGTGGAGTGCGTGACGAGAGGCTCCAGAGGGTCGGAAGCTGGGAGGAGGGATTATGATTATGACCATGTGAACGCGGCGTGGAGAAGAAGGAAGTAAAAAGGGCGAAATGATGGCAGAGACCAATGTGGAGATCGCGGTCTGCGTTCGCCTTGCCTGCTTGCTGCACCAATCAATCCCTTGGCTGGTCTGTCGTACCGGTTTGCTGTGTGGCTGTCCGTTCCTGTCTGTGCCTGTTCCTGTTCCTGCGGCCCAGCGTAAGCGTGTCCAAAAATGACAGGCGCAGGGAGGCCAGGCACCTTTGCATTGGCTCGGCAATTTCATCCAAATGACAGTTGCTCAGATAGTATGTACCTGATCAGACAGGCCAAACTTGACTTTGTGTCTTGTACCTCTCCAACAGGCCACATGCGGGACAGGGCGAGGCTTGGAAGCTCTCACAGTAGGTTCCGGGTCAGCAGCTTCACAAGTACATGCAAGGTCCATTGGACTGCATTGTGCTCTTTGCATCTGTAGATTGCGAGACCCATCATCCTGTGGAGAGAACTCTATCCAGTTATCCACAGTAGACGCATGGGAATACTGGAGATCCATAACGAAACCCTCAACGTGGTGCATACAGCACATACAGCGCATCTAGCCTGACCACGCGGGCCTAAGCCATGGGCTCGACGTGGATGGCACGCTAACAATTCTTCAGCAGAGACGCGTCGAACCTCCGGGTCTATTGACCATAGAAGGGGCGCTAACTTTGGTCTTCCCGGTATTACCGACCGGTCTTGGGCTGGTTGCTGTTTTATCATTGGCGAGGAAGAAAACGGCGAGGACGAAAGGGCATTGTGCCTCAATTATTCGCCGTGTACGGTTAGAAATACATCATGGCGACCGCAACAGTACGAAGGAACTTAATCTTTTGCATCTCGAATGTAATAGGGAGTTCACATTTCGCAAGCGAGAGTGAGACCTCGGCACCGGAAAGGGAGTTGGTCATGCCCTTTGTACGTGCATCAACCCATATATTGCTGTGGCTTCTTTCAGAGCACTGAACCTCGAATTCATGTCCGAGAGGCGATGTATGAGATGGACCCGTCCATGATATCCGGTATTCTGAAATGGTTTCAATAGAGCAACTATCCCTGGACAGGTGGCTACACATCCACGATCCAGTGAACGGCTGCCACCCGTTTTCGTGCTTCACCTCACGAGGAAGCTCAAGCTTAGCACTTCCAAACCCAAGCAGACGACAATGGTAGCTCGTGCTCCAGATTTATGTCCTGACGACAGCATTCATCTTCAATTATGCACGCTCATAGCCACTATTTGCTTCAAGTCTTCCTTAAAGCCGTATGCAACGGCTTATCCTATCTTGGATACGGGCGGCAGATTGGGACACCGTGCTCACAGCGAGTCTCAGGTCGATCCCGAAGAAACAACATATACAGACAGAAACATTATCAACCCGGGAGCATTTAAGCCGTCTCCTTGCTCATTAAGCCGTCCAAAGGCCGTGCAAACCCCGTAACGCCAGTCCCATATTCGTAGCCATGTCACAGGGAGAACGAAGGCCGGTCCTTCTGCAGGAAGCATCACGTCCAACTCCAAGACTCGTCACTGACCCACGCATCCTGCCATCGCTTTTTCACCCAGAATCCCTCAGTTCTCACAGAAGAAGTCAAACTCGGCATTTGAGCTCGTCAGAGTCAGGAAAGCGGTCTGCGTGGCCGTGTTGATAGCATCCTTGCACTGATCTGTTCGCGCGCGCACATACACTGTCAGCTTTCTCGCACACACACCTTCTCTAACTTCCTCCCTCTGGAGCCGTCGCAGCCGTGATCACCACCACCACACCGCTCAGGAAAGCAGAACAACAGGAAGGGAGGAGGAACACAAAAAGACTCACTGTTCTGGCTGTCACAGTCCGACACCTCGAACCCGGCGTTGCTCCCGTTGTTGGCCTCCTGCGAGCACTTGTTCTTCTGGTTGTCGCAGCTCCGCTGCGCCGCCGAGTTGAAGTCGGTGAACGTGTCGCCGTCCACCTCGAACGGCCGCTCCGAGTTGCCGCTGTTGGTCACCGCGTCCGCCTTGATCCCGCCCAGCGCCCCCGTGAACGCCTGCAGGTTCTGGCCCGTCGCCCCCTGCTGCCGCGGGAACAGCACCGACCCGCCGCTCAGCATCTCGCCCATGCCCAGTTCCGGCCCCGCGGAGGCCCGCGCGCCGCCGCCGACCAGGGCCGCGGCCAGCAGGAGGGCTGTTGATGTCGGGAGCTGCATCGTGCTTGTGTGTGTACGGGTGGGTGTGTATTTGGGTGTACGTAGTGCGGACCTGTGGGTTCGCGGTTGTAGTTTTGGGCGTAGATGGCTTTGTCCGTTGGGTCAGGCCACGGTCGGTATTCAACCTGTGCAAGTTCTTTCGCTCGTTCTTTTGCTCGTTCTTTCGTTCGCAGGATCGGGTCGTGTTCTCGAGTTTCGACTTGGTCCTCCAGAAGTCGAGCTGTCCGCCTGGGTTTCGTTCTCGCGAGTCTCTCGATTCAATGGACCCGTTCAATCGTTCGGCACTCCAATTAGGCACTAACAAAAAGGTAAAATGAATGTCGATGAGAAAGCCCAGCTCAATAGTGTGTAGAAAAGATCAGATTACGGGTTCGCGCAAGACGAATGCGTTGGTGGTTGAAGTCATGGTCCGAGGCCATCTCGGGCCTGCACATGAAACGCCCGCCCATCCTGGGTCGCGCAGCCGAACCTGAAACGCTACTGAGACGAACGCACACATGGCGATAGATGATGGGCAAACTTGCACTTTCCCCACCTAGAAACCGCACACAAGTACATGTATTGTTGAGAGATTTCGCGGGGTATGCTTAAATGAAGGCGGACGGAGACGGCAATGCAAGCCAGAGACCCCTGCCTTTCAAAGCTTTGTAGACTACATACCGTTCATGCAAGACCACTTTAAGATAACCTACCTGAGGGACGACCGAACGTGACCTGCTTTGGAATGAAATACTACGTGCTAACCTTCCAAGTCCCAGTTGAATAATTGTGTAGATTCCGGGTCGCCTAGCACATACAGCATATATGGGACGAACTCTTTTTTGTCATTTCCGTCTACATGACCTCCTCTGCCCGAGTACCTCGCGCGTGGGGGACATGTCAGTGTCACAAGATGGTCACTTGAGAGCCATGAACATAAACAAAATCAAAAGGGTATCTGTATTAATCTTCCCTCGTATCAAGTTTGTGCACAGTGGCGTGGTCGAAAACAATGAATCGTCCCCATAGAATGTATTGACAGGCTCCGATTTGCCTTCAAGTCATGTTCATTAAAAAAAGAAATCCTTGCTAGTCTATGTCCAGAGATAAGTGTCTCTGTCTCCTTTTGGACCTTTGTCGATCTGCGAATGAACGCTATGCTTGACTCCGAATTGTCGAATAAAAAACGCCGGACCTCGTCTGACGAGGTAAATCAAAATGCCTCAAAGGTTGCGCAGCTGCCGCAAAGCCCATTCCGTCGTAACAACTTCAGGTCTAGGGAAGACACACCCTAGAAGTTGGAAGACGCGTTGACATTACTTGGGGCGTGGTAGCTCTCCAGCGTGCTTTGGAACGGAGACCGTGCACCGCCAGCCTGGATCGATCCAGCGTTGAGTCCGCCGACTTCGCTCTTGCCCTCGGCTCCGTTGTTATAGCTCATCAGGCCGTCGTTCTCCTCGTTGGCCTTCTTGCGACCCCAGATCCTCCAGGCGAAGAGACCTCCAACAGCAAGCACGATGGCACCTCCAACGCCAACGACGACGCCGATGATGGTTTTCCTTGTCTGGTCGGACATGCCAGAGCTACTGCCGCTGTTGTTGGCTTCGCTTAGGCCGGGAGTTGGGGTGGAGACCGAGACGGATGTTGAGCTGCTAACCGACCCATCTGTAGCGGTGACGACGACGACGGCAGTAGAGGTGACTGGCTCCGCGGTTGTGGTGGCTGAGCTGGATCCTCCTCCGGACGTTGTCTCGGAAGAAGCTGTGGGTGAAGCGCTGCCGCCTGCAGAAGTCGAGGTAGGTGTGTCGTCGGTGGATGTGGTGGTCGGCGTAGGAGCGTTCTCGGATGTCGAAGTGGTCGCTGCGTCCTGGGATGTCGAGGTAGACGTTGTCTCCTTGGAAGTAGTGCTTGTGGTCTCGGCTGCTGTGGTGGCTGTTGTGGGCGTGGAGTCTTCGGTAGTGGTGGTCGCCGCCGCACCGCCGCTGCCGGTCACAGCGTCGGCGGCATTGTTGAGTGCGTCTCCTACGAGTCCTTGCCTACGGGCCAGCTCGACGCCGTTTCGGCCGAGGATGGCAGCATCGATGATGAAGCCCTGGGTGACAGTGTTGGCGGACAGGGCTGCCACCAGCAACTTGAGAATGTGCGCGGAGTGCATCTTTGGTCTTGTCGGTTGCTGTCGTCGGTTGTCGGAAGGCTCGGTCGCGACGGATGCGACAGCAGGGGTTGGGTTGACTGACGATGACGAAACCGTCTGTTTGTGATTGACGACTCGTCAATCGACGTTTATCGGCGGTCGAAGCACCTCAGAATGAACGAGGCGAGGGGCCTAATTAAAAGGGGGTTCTTGGAGGGGAAAGTCTGCTGAGTCAAACTCTGCGCTGCCGGCAGGTAGTAGTGCCGGTATCGATGTCGAAGGGTGGTACTTGCGTAAAGTGGTTGTTGGGATGAACAACCGGCTTGTGATTGTGATTGTTTGGATAGCGAGTGGTGAATGTATTGCTGAACGATGGACGAAATGAGAGAGCGAGAGAAGCGAGTGACTCTGGCTTGGGATGGGTTGTGTGGGTGTGATGGTTTTATTGAGATTGATGGTGGGTGGGTTGGAAGAAAGGCGCTGTGGAGTGGGCAGGGGCCAAGGGAGAAGACAGGGGTGGGCGGATGGGCTGGGACGGGATCTCTCTTTCTCCCAGGCTGTCAGGCCACCCCGATGCAGCGCAGTTGCGGGTGCCGGTGCAGATGACCATCAGACAGCGCTGAACCTAGGCCGCCGTTTGGAGGACCCTTTGGAATGGGCAAAAGGCGCTAAGTAAAACGGGGGGGCCACCACCACCTCGGTACCCCCTCTACGCATGTCACCTTGCTGGCTGTGGGATGGCCTCCTTTTCATGAACTTTTTCTTCTTATCTCATCTGCTCGCTACTGTAGCTGAGTTTGAGTCTCCTATTCTGTTGGCCACAGAACTGTGTGGTACAGTACGTGAATGAGGGATTATTGCAACAGTACTGCCGCGTGGAGGGAGAACCGTTGAGGTACCTGTGCAGAGCGGGCCAGAAGATCCAAGGATCAGGCTGTACCGTAGGCTTACTGTGCCGGCTCTGACTGGCTTGAAATGGGGCTCCCGCCTCTGCCCCTAAGACACGCCGGTGTTTACTACTAACAGGTGAGACCGGAAAAGCAACGGTCTAGACTCTCACTCTCACGAGACAACATGTTGCAAATACAGTACGGTATATACTGCCCAGGTGCTGAGATATGTGACTTGCGCGACGGCAAATCTGTGATGCGCTCGTTGTTCGACGGCCCCTTGGAATGAGGTACTACCCAACAGCCCGATCCACTACATTTGAGCACATTGCACTGTACAGACATACGGTACTACCGGACGTCACGGCAGGACAGTCACTGCCAGATCTGGATTGAGCTCCGTCCGGCCCACGCCCACTTCCGTTTTTCCTTTTCGTCTTGGCGTGCAAGGCTGGCAGGCTGGCAGACCACCGACCTCGTATTTTGGTTTTTGGCATGCGACCAGCGACCCAGAGGCCACCCAACCAACCACTTCCTACCGTTGCTACATGTACACCAGCACACACATGCCCAACCAAAACCACGGTCCGTCTTGCGGCTTGCCGTAGTCGAGAAAACTTAGATGGTGTCATGTTCTGTACGCGGCTTGACCGCTTGGGACTCCCTGAACTCCTGAACTCCCTCCAGCCATTCGTGCTCATGCGATGTCGTCCGTCCTGCCTGCTCCGCGCTCACGAATGCGACGTTACCACCATCGATCGATGACGGCCCTTCCACGTAGGCCTGTGGTTGTCGTCTGATTGGCGGCCGCGGTCGAAGTCAGGAGTCTGTCTGACATTTTGGACAGACCATCAAATGCCCACCCACACCTGGCGTGAGTACTTGTAGCCATGCAGGAATGGCCGGCCGCATCGCACTCCTGATGTCGGGCTGGGCCTGGCTACATTGTTCTGCCTGCGAACCGCCACCCGCGTACGTGCACCACTTGCCTAGCCCTATGCCATTGGCGCACCTGTCATCATGCTGTGGCCCAGGGGCATGAGAGCCCCCAACCGACGCATGAAAATGACCCCATCGTCCCTGGACAAGTCAGTGTCACACCTGCTATGGATTCTACATGGTGCTCGTCGATGACGATCTTCGCCAATGCCTCTTTATGACCCTCTTGCCGGCATGGGCCCGTTTCATCTGACATTTAGCCGTCACCTGCCACCAAGAAAACCCTCGCCGCTTGGGAAACAACGGAGGCGCTGAGCTAGTCGAAAGCAGGGCCTTCGAGAAGCTCGTTGTCGCTACTACTGCATCCCATCTACCGAGATGATCGACCATCCCGCGTCTGCTATTCATAGGAGGTTGCATGCACAGGTGCATTCTTGAAGCACTGCACAAAACCGGCTTACAAGCCACCAGCCACCAGCCTGCCAGCTGTCATGCGAAGACTCGGCCACTACCCATGGCAATGCAGCTGCCAGACTACCAGCAATCCAGGTTCCTAGGACAGGGAGCCCCAGCAGCCCTACGCAGCCATCGCAGTGTAATCCGCCGTCCTCGGGCCTCAACTCCTATCTGAGCCCTGGGGTGACGATCAAAAGGGCCTCGAGATCCCAGACTTGGTCCTGTTCTCGTCATACCGTTCAGTCCCAACCCTGATCGGCATCGTCACAGCCTCGCATTTCCTGTCCCCCCGTCTACCCGCCCGCTAAACGCCGGGATCCCCCTTTCTCTGCTCATTTTGCACTGCCCGCCTGTCCCGAGGCTGTATCCACAGCGAATCCAGGGTCCATTCGATGCGCCGACCGAGCTGACCAACACCAGCGCGTCTGCCCGTCAGGCCCGTCCAACGCAGCCGAGAGATTTGCACACCAAAGCCTAACAATCTCCACGGGGTTTGAAGCCTCACGCACCGCAGAGCGACCGAGCCAGCGCGGTAGCGTACTGTTGAGCGCAGACAATCGCCTGTGTTCCACTGCGTCGGTAAAACGCGAGCCGCGAGGCCTGTGGGCAATGTCCGGCCCCTTGCTAGTCTAGTCTCGGGACAAAATAGTATTCCATCTCGCCGGGCTCAGTCATCGAGACCCTCTTCGCAACCCCATTATTTTCGTCATCAATTGGCCGGGAGAAGCGCGTGGTCTGCAACTGAGCTTTGAAATTCAATATTGAACGCTCCACCTGATTCGCCCTCTCTCAAAAACCTACTGTGCTGCACTCCCGAGTGAATGCGCTGTCGGTGGCGATTATGTCATACCAAGCAACTCAGAATGCATGGGTCGCTGCAATCAATCTTGGTCGGAACCCTGCCCACGCCAGGAGAATTGAATGTCACCCGACCCCGTTGATCTCCTTCGCCTAGCCGCCAGCCGGCTTGACGGACGTCAAAACACGAAGCATGCCCGGCATCCCCACGTGATTCGAAACACGTTGTTTCCACAGGCTCGAATGTGGGACCGCGTGGCCGATATTTTTAGCATCTTGAATCATCCATCCAGTCTGGCAGTCCGTCTGGTTTCTTAACTCTCACAAATTCGATGTCGCCAGTTTGAATCCCTAACCGCCGTTTCCGCCAGGTCAAGCTGTGCACAGCGTCACGTCCCACAGAGTCACACGGCAGCTCAACGTCTAATCATGGCTACTGAGTCTTGAACTAGGCTCCGCCCGAAGGGTTTAGCAACGGTCAGGTCTTAAGGATCTATTGGCGGGAGGCCTTCCCGGGCGATGTGACTAGGTCGAAGCTTATCTAGCACGTTATTCGTAGCGCGATGGAACCCCTGCCTACTCTTGCCTGTACCACCCATCTCGATAGCCGACTAGTGGGACAAGCAGCATCATAACTTGGCATGTACATTCCAAGTATGTTGTCATCGGGAGAGTTCCTCATGAGGCAGATGTATCCTGAGACGAATCGACCTACGTTCAGCGTCTACGTGCTGGCTTTGACGCCCTTCCTGCTACGCTCCAAAGCCTTTCGAGACACGAACACGGCCGACCACCATCCCTGAGCTATGTTCCTAGTAAAGTAGCCCCATTCCCCCTGACGTTTCGCAACAAAAGAAAAAAGTGAGGTGGTGTTGAATTATTAATATGCTTGCTCCGAAGGACCGAGGCAAGGTGTCGCGACGGAAATCGCTGCGCCGGATCATGGCCGCGGCCCGGATGGCGGGCCGTGGGGTCGAATCGGCCTGACAGGACGACTCGTGTTCATTCCTTGGGTTGCCTATGTAGGTGAGCCGGTTGTTTCATGCGTTCGAAGCGAAGCGGCCGAGACCTTTCTGGAAGGGCGCTGGGGAGAACGAGGTGGCTTGATGTAAACAGCGAGAGAGTGCGGACGCGCTAGATGTCAGGAAACCATTCAATGGTAACTCCTAAGACTATCATGGCTGGTTCTATATCTCACATATCCTCGTTCTCGCCCACTTATACCCAACACCTACACGCCCAAGTCGAATGAGGCATACAAATTGGGTTTATAAGTTGAGCATATGGGTGTTGGGTATAGGTGCTGGATATGGGTTTTGGGTGCGTGAACTCTTATGTGGTTTAGAGGTGGCGATTTACTGGTGTACCCTTTGTTTTTGCAGGTGCGAATCTCTGTATTCTACTGTATTATTTCTCACACTTGTCTAAACAGCAGAGATAAGTTACTAACATCGATATTGCAGGGAAATGTGATTAGAACTGATGAACGCCTGAGAAGAATCTTCGAAGTTTCCCTCCGGAGCCCTAATTGTCACCCGTCCTCACGCTTGCATACACTCGTGCTCCATGCACTGTCTTCATCGTGTGTAATTCCTCGACTCAGTCCTCTGAGAGTGCTCGATAGAATAATGATCACTAGTGGGGAATGGCTGCATAGGCCATGCTTTATTGGAATCTTTAGATCCTATCATGTATCTGTCAGACTTCCCAGATACAGGCACGTATGGTTCGCTCCCACATGAGCCAGAAAACTTGGAGGGGGGAGGTGGTTTGAAATGGATCCATATCGGTCGCAGCGTCGGAAGGCAAGCTGATGCCACCGCCGTCGCCAATTCAATATTGGTCCAGTAGAAAACAGGCGATGTGTAATCTATGCAAAATTAGTCGGTAATCTTCGAGAGGCGTTGTGACGATGTACATGTCACATGGTTGTAGTGGTCAGCAAACCCTGCGGCAATTTGTACCAATGTAGCAACTCGTGTGGCGCTGATCGCGCAAACTCTAGACATACAAGTTAGTTCACCAACTAAAAAGGTCTTCTGATGTTGGTGGTAGAGATAGATGTGTAGACTGTCAGGGGCCGAGGAACTTACGTTGCACCAAGCATGAACATGCCCAGAACAGCCAGTTTCTCTTTCCATGGCAAATGGAGTTGCAAGACCATAGGAACCGGCATGCACAGGATTCCCACATCAACAATGAGGTCACTAATGACCACAGAAAGCCACATCGGAACGGTGTCCATGCATTTGTTGCCATAGAAGAACTCCATCAGAGGCGTGACCGGGTAGCAGGTAAAATCCCAAATCCTAATCGTCTCCCAGTGATTCATCCTCCAATGCCACAGTTACCGAAAATGGGACCAAGAGTTTCCAATGAATCCGAACAAGCTTTTCCTCTCCTACCAACGATTGCAGAGCCCAGTGTGATCTATCAGCCATGTCCTCGACACGGAAAATTACAATGGATAATTTTTGCAGTTGCCATCATCCTCTCAGTTCTGTTGGGATAACGTCCCCGGCCCAGATTCCGGCCGCCCCCCGATTCCGGCCGCCTTTCCCACACAAACTCACACTTTTCAACCTTCTATAATAAATCCAAATTAAATCCCATAACCCTAATCCTAAGGCTTAAAACATAATATTTTAAAGTAAATTTATAATATATATATTGAAAAAAATTTATTATAATCATATTAGTTTTTAAATAATTCTTTAAAATAATATGCTTAAAATGTTAAGGATCTTTAATATCTTATATAAAAACCTTAATATTTACCTTTAAGTAAATATTTCTTTAATAGAATTAAATAAAATTTTTATTTCTTTAAATATTTATTTATAAATTAATATATAATATAATATTAAAAAAATTATATTAAAAACCTTATATTTATAAAGATATTTTAAAATATAATCTTTTTTAATTCTTTTATAAAAATTTTATATAAGGAAATTAGGAAAATATAAACTTATTAATATTTTTTATAAAAATTTTAAATATATAAAATAATCTTTATATTTTATAATAAAATATTTATTATATATAATAAAATTTAATTATAATTATTTTATTAAAAGAATAAATATAAAATTAAAAAATATGAGCTGTTAAGAATTCCTTATATTATTTATATAAATTTTAACATTTTTTATAAATTAAGTTTAAGAATTATTTTTAAATTATTATATTAAAGCTATATTTTTCAAAGTATTTTAATATAAGAATGTATTTAAAACCCTTTATTTTAAACTTAGTGTTAGGGTTGTAGGATTTAATTTGGATTTAATATAGAAGATTGAAAAGTGGGTATCTTATAGTGCCAGTGCACCAGAAAACGACTGGCCGGAATCAGGGGGGGGGGCCGGAATCTGGGCCGGGGACGTTACGCTTCGGGACTCTACCACTCAAGGGAAGCGAATTCTGCTGAATATGGGCTTCCCCGTGAGTACACCAGCTTTTCATTGAGAATTGAGTGCTGAAGTGGCGAACAGGGCCTCCAGGTACAGTCCAAACAACCTGGGAACACAACTTGACATTCACACAAACGCCTTCCCCCGAATCCGAAGCCGCCTGGGCGTCGTTTATTCCTTCGGGAAGAGGTTTCGTACATCATGCGCAATTAGCACCTTTCATCTCGAATATTGCCGTTTTCCACCAACTTCATTGCCTGGTAAGCGACAAAGGACATGTAAAATGTCTCGATATCCACTGATGTCTCCGTCTCCATTAGCATTCCACAGTCGTTGCGTACTATGACGCACTTAAAAGCGAGCCCCTGACAAACCTCACGAACGTTTCCGACTTCGACAATGCTACTGCCACACGAATAGCCCCATTGCACACACGGCACTGCTTTGACTATATCAGACAGGCTCTCATCTGCGCAGCGGATACAAATCTTGAGGTCTTGGACAAGCAGACACACCTTACCAACGGATGGGGCCAGCCTCAGCAATGTCGGGATTATGAGCAAGTCTTCATTTGGGCAGAACGATACGCCAACTCGTCTGAGACGGGAATCGTCACGTAGCCTGAGATATTCAGGTGCTATTTGGTTTGTAATTTCACACAATTTATGAGTCCTTATCATCCTGCTCATCCTTGATGAACACCGAATAGTCTCTCAAATCAACCATTCTCTTCCTTGCACAGTGATCTAGTGCTTGCCAGTCAACACACTCATTGTCTGTATACACCCTCGATGTTGGCATCCCATCCTCCCTCCAGAAGAGAGTCGCAAGAGTAGTATCACCTCGACACATGGCGGCTTCCCTCCAATATTCAAGGCAATGCTCTGAACGTTGTCAACATTTTGCATCAGTGATGCAAATTGCTGTCGGGATTACATACCAATATGTACATCTTCGAGTTCTCGGTCTTCTGCTGTGTAATAGTCATCAAGGTTCAAATAGTGTCTCAAGCGTTTCTACAAAATCTGTTGTGAGCATAGTCAACGGTGTATGGCCTGGATTTTTAACACACAATGCAGTGCAACTCGTGGTACACGCCCATCTCTGCAAGGAATCCAGAACCGTCTTTGAATGCTATTGTGGTGTCGCCCTCACTAAAGCGATCAAGCTCTTCTTGAGACACTTTGACGATCATTGCTAGAGGCGTTTCAGTCAGCAATAGTCTGTGCAACACGTGCAAAGAGAGCACTTACGATTCACGATGTTCTTCCACGCTCTATCGAATTCTGGCCTAGGTTTTCCCACAAAAGGATTGGGTCCATCGATATCACGCCATAAACGCCTCTTTTCGTACCTTACGGCATCTATCGCGGGTGCTTGGGTGGTGGAGCTGGATGTCAGATGATAGAATCTTCGCCGTCCATATGCTAATGCGATACTTGAAAAAACTCACAGTAAGTCAGTCGAGGTCGCACGCATTGCAAATCCCCCTGTTGATCCTTTTGAGTCCCTGATCTGATCCAGAGAATTGCCATTGTGATGTTTGATAGTAGAAGAAAGGTAATGGCTATAAGCTGGATCCTCGAAGACTTTGGATGCCTATAGTGTGACAACGGGCTTGCATTGAGCTCCATTACCTCTGAGGTATCTTCATCTCCATTTAATGTAGTGTAGAGAGGCTGATATCCCTGCGATGGGGCCATATTGGTTCCAACGTTGATGGACAGCTCTGAGGGAAAAGTCCACAGACGAGGGTACCGCATGATCTTGCAGAACGGATCTGGGGCCTCAAATGAACCATGATTCACTCGAATTAATCAGACAAGGCATGAATTTAACATTGAGCAAGGCCCTGTTCTGAGAAGGAAAAATGTTGCCCGAGCTAATTCCCATGCTTGTCCTCGAATGCCGAGCCTTGGTGACTTCGAAAATTATCGGCTGTTCCTACCAAATCTGGTGTACTGGAGCATCAGAAAGGTTCCAAAGACATTGAGCCCTTTGCAATCAGGGCCTCCTTCTTCCCACCCCTGGTTTGCGTGGATACTTTGACACATCGCATGTATTCCATGGCACTTGGGCAATATTTTCAGAGCGCGATACGCGACTCGCCAGTGGAACATCGCCCACAGAGCAGGTGTTCCAAGGACTCTCAGATTATGCTTTGTAGCTAATACAAACAACAGCACTGTACTCTGCATGTGAAATCCGCACCAATCGGAGGACTTGGTGTTCTGGGCACTGCAACCAACAGATCCCAGCCGGCCTCGAAGGATCCGAATACAAGGAGAGAACCATGCATATAAAAAGCGTCCAACTACTGCAGTTGTGCCAGTATGGGCCGATCCCTGATGGCCGGTCAGATGGCTTATGTCCGGTTTAGACTTCGATACTGGCACACGTACTGTCCCTAGGCAGCCGGGGTTAAGGGGACGCTCACATTGGTACCACCTTGGGTTGCAATTGACTGAGCCAACTGGTTGATGCCTTCTTATCTCAGCGCAAAAGAGCCGACTGGGCGTGGATATTGTTGCATAAGATCCAGCCCTGGCAAAGCTGCGCCTCAGGGCTGTTCCCCCGTCAGGCTCGTATGCGCTCGATCAGCATCCATCCTCGTGCATTAAGGCTGCGACTGTTGGAAGACCAGAGCCACTCAGCTCCCGTACCGGCGTGTTGGAACCATTCCGTCACACTGTCCAACCGATCCCACGTCGGACGGACATTCGCCCGGCTTCTCTCGGGGTCTCTTCGATGGGAATGATACGCCGCTTCGTCAAGTCCCAATGTCATGTTGGTTGAGGGGGTGCAAACCCGATTGGGTCGGCGCGGCTATCACACGAAAACCTCGCGAAGGCAATATCAGCGTTGTATGTGACGCCATATCACCATGCACTTCCAGGCTTGTGCTCGGATGCTTCTCGTAGCCCAGGATAGCTGTTCATACAATTCTACCAGTCGAAAGCAGCCTGCTGCATGCCACGTGGTACGGGCGACTCTGAATTTCTCGCAGGCTCTCAGAAGACCTTGCTCAACGGAGAGTCAAAAAGGCCGTACCGCTTCATCTGCTCATCTTGTTATTTCCTCATTGCACTCTCGCCCTGTTCATCGGTGGCCTTGAAATTCGATCACCATGGCTACCGCAAACACGCCAAAGACGGTCCTGATCACTGAATTGCTCTGAATAATGCTCTTGTGCCGGGCTCTAAGGTTCGAGGCTCACCTTCGGTCGTCCAGGTCTCGGAAGAGCCCTCACCACTCGCTTTCTTTCTCAAGCCAACACTACCGTCATCGCTGCGGTACGACGCCCCGTTCACCCTACGAGTCAATCCCTCAAAGAACTTCCGCGCGGTGAAAATAGCAAGCTCACCACCGTCCAAATCGATGCTGTATCCGGCACAGACGCCCAAGATGCCGTCACATTCCTTCACACCTGGGCAACTTCACCGCAAGTCTCGTCTCGGATATCACCAACGAGACTCTGGCCTCGGTCACCATCGCGTCTTCATCGGTCGCGAACGCCTGGACCGAGCACAAGTTTGAGCTCCAGCCCTCGGCAGACGCATCCAACAGCAACAATAGCTTCCTGCTGACCTACGAGGCCGCATCTGGCGACGTTCTCAACTTCAATTTGATCAGCCTCTTCCCTCCCACATATAAGGACACACCGAATGGCAACCGCGAGGACCTAATGGAAACCCTGGCGGGGCTCAACGCGAAGTACTTCCGTATTCCCGGCGGTAACAACCTGGAAGGCGAGTCGGCGGGCCTGCAGTGGAACTGGACAGAGACGATCGGAAATCTCACCGAGCGCCCAGGACGTCCAGGCGATTGGGGCTACGAGAACACGGACGGCCTTGGCCTTGTCGAGTACATGCTCTGGTGTCAAGATCCTGGCCTCGAGCCCGTCCTCGCCGTCTTGGCGGGCTACTGGCTCGACGAGACAGCCGCCTCGGAGGCCGAGCTGCAACAGTATGTGGAGAGTGCGCTCAGCGAGCTTGAGTTTTTGATGGGCGACTCGTCAACTGCCTGGGGCGCGCAACGCATCGCCCTCGGCTACACCGAGCCGTTCCCGATCAAGTACGTCGAGGTTGGCAACGAGGATGGCCTGTCTACAGTTGGAGCGGGGACATATACTTCATACCGTTTCAGCGCCTTCTACGACGCCATTACCGCTGCGTACCCGGATATTCTGGTGTTCACCTCTTACACGGGCTACGTGTACGAGAACTCCGGCCAGGACTACCACCAATACACCAGGCCCGACCGCTTCGTCCAACAGTTCAAGTACTTTGACAACTTTGCCAATGCGTCCGGCCGTCTCATCATGGTCGGGGAATTCGCGGTCGTGCAGAACAACACCGGCAACCCAGATGATGGCACCAACTGGAGCAACCCCAAGAAGTAAGCCCCCCTCACACAACTGGCCAGGGCCACAGATCTACGAGCGGGAAACCACCAACACGCAAGGACAGCACATGGGCCTACCGGATCGGCTCCGTCGCCGAGGCCATCTTCCTTTTAGGCACAGAACGCAACGCAGCAACGGCGTGGGGAGTCTCGCACGCGCCGCTGCTCCAGAACCTCAACAGCTACGAGTGGTCCCCGGACCTCATCTCGTACACCGCCGACCCGTCCCAGACGGTCCTCAGCACGTCGTACGGGGTGCTCAGGCTCTTCGGCAACAACGTCTTCACGTCCACCTTGCCCGCCGACGAGACCTCCGGCTCGGCGTTTGGCCCGGCCTACTGGGTTGCGGGCGTTGATAACGCCACGAGCACGTACTACCTCAAGGCTGCCGTGTATAGTAGCACCGCCGACGTGGAGTTTGATGTCTCCTTCGAGGGTCTTAGTGGTGGCTCGGCAACATTGACGGTGCTGACTGCGCCGGATGGGTATTCGCATAATGAAATTGGCAGTGAAGTTGTCACAACCACGACGCCGACCGTGGCCGCTGTCGATGGGGTGTTCAGCTTTAGCCTGCCCGAGCTGAGCGTTGCTGTTCTGGCCGCGAAGGCCTAAATTATTGGATACAAATAATCGAAACATATGTTGGTCACTCAAGGGACCGACAATCAAAGCGAGAGACAGTGTTAATCAAATAAAGCAAACACTAAGTGAAACCAGTCCTCCCATCCGAGGTCGCCATGGCCAGATACCAACTGTGCTCATGCGCCATCTCTTATTCTGAACACTCTGCCCGTCCAACCCTACCACGTTTCGCCCCTTCAAGCCCCTTGTCCCCGCCTCCCTCGCCGCGGCTCGGAAGGGAGCGCCTGCGCCTGCGCCTGGCTTCTCTCACTTTGTCCCGCTGAGAAGCCATCACGCCCATCCACCAAAGATAGAATGCCCTTATCAACTGAAAGAAGGCTGCCACGAGCTCTGCGAGCCCCTTGCCATGTCTGGGGGGCCGGTGCTTCCTCTGGAGCTGATCTGCCTCGCCCTCGAGCATCCTGACACTCTCCCGGAGACCCTCCAAGTTCGCCTCAGAGGGGCCCCTGCTCTGGTGATCGGGAACCGATGGACCGGCATGGCTGTTTCTGTCCTCGTAGCCGGCGATAACCGTATCGTCGCTGCTGGGACTGGTTTCGCTGCTGGAGCTGGTGTCGCTGAGTAATTTGTAGTGGCTGGGACCGTCGTTGTTGAGACCGGCGGGGCGATGATTGTTGCTGCTGGCGCTGCTGTTGAACAGCTTATTCCCGAAAAGGGAGGAGGACATTCTCAATAATTTTGATTATTCTCGTGGATTCTGGGTTGCTACCAGGTGGACGCTTGAGTTTCCCTTTCGTGTGTGGTCGTGATAACGCTTTCGAATGACATCGTTGGAACAGGACAGGGGGAGCGGCAGATCAAGGTACATTTAAAAGTTCAGTATCTTCACCGCGCAAAGTGGGCATCTTTGTTCATCTCAAACCCCATCGATGTTTCATGTACGATCAAAGACCATCTCAGACAGCTGTGTCGTCTTATCTTGTGACAGTCGCCTTTATCCCCATACGACGCACAGCTCCGTATGAGAACAGATTACTTTCTTGCTCTTGTCCATCGATGGACAACCTAGCCAGGCCTTGTTCTCGTGGTCTCGAGAAGCCAGATATCAAACATACGGCCCAGGGTATTGCTTCTTCCAAGTTCTCCGCAGCATGGCCCGCCTTCGTGTATACGGCCGGCGTCCCGAGAAGGGACGAGTAGCGCAGAAAGTCCGGGTTCTGGATCAAATGGACTTGCATGCAAGCCGATGCTCTCTGTACACAAATTACATGTGTAAACACAGGGTTGCTACTGTTGATGGGCTGCCACTGAAGGCATGTTTTGGAATAGCCTTTGCGTAGCCTCAAGATCTTTCCGCAAGCAATCCAGTTCCCTCTATGAGCCAAGGGCGCCATGATCACCACTCGACGCCTTCTGCGAAGGCTTTGCATATGCACTGATAAACGCGTAGTACTGCGCCGCCGCCTTCGCCGCCTTCGAGTACGACATGGTCCCCTGGCTATTGTCGTCGTCGGCACGCTTGCTGTCAGCTTTCTTGTACTCCAGCTTCAGTTCCTGTAGTTCTTTGGTCTTCTCCGCCACTTCATCGGGCCCATCAGTATTGAACTTCTCTGTAGCCTCGCGTCAGTATGAGATGGTTGAAAGAACAATTTTCATGGGGTCCGACTCACTCAGACTCTTGGCCCCGGGTATGCGGTTCTTCTTGGGATCCTCTTCCCTCCCCGAATGCGCCACGCACGGTAGGGGCCGGCCGCAGGGATCTCCGCTCCAAGGGGACGGACGGGGGACGACGCAGTGGGTCTTGGGGTCGATCGTAGACGGCGTAGGCGACAGCGACGGCGAGGCCGCATTTTGCGCGAGAGACCGCTTGCTCAGCTCTTTGGCTCGATCCGACACAGCCCTGATGGTCTCGAGGCAGAGCCTAGTCTGCTGCTTCTCGGACTGCGTGTACCGGCTCAGGTCCATCCCCTCGATGCACTTACTGAGGTCATTGCAGACCTGCTCGAACGTCTGGCAGGGGATTTCGAACTCGGCCGCCTGGTCGCTGTCGGTGGTGGCGTCGGCGTCTTGGGTGGCTGTTGCTCGTGGGTATTTTCCCTCCTTGGCCTTTCCCTTGCCCTTGGAATCCCTCCACTCGATCTTCGACTTGACCTGCTCGGCGGTTGCGTCGGGCGGAACGTCGGGCATGATTGTGCACTTCTTCAGAACGTCCTCGATCAAGTCCCTCGCTATCACGCCAATCCTCCCATTCAACCTGGTGTAAACGTAGAAGTGGGCGGAAAAGTTACAACGCTTTAGAGCCATGATCTCGGAGAGTGGGAAGGTGGGCTTGTCGGTAACGATCCCGTCCCAGGAATTCTGAAGCATGGGCTCGGATTGTTTCTGGTCCTTGTTGCGGCCGTCGTTCTTTTGCACTCCAGTGGGGGTAGTCGTCATTCGACCGCTGCTGGCTTTCTGCGATTTGGCAAGCCCGACGAGAGAGGCCGGGCCCGAGGCGGAACCGCCAGGCCTGGGGTCGCTCTTTCCCTGCGCTGATGCCATCTCAGGGAAGACAATGTTGACTGATGATAATTGTGAGTTTTCGATGTGTGATGCAAGGCGTGTCGCCTAGGTTGGAGGTCGAGAGGTGCTTGCAATGGAATTGAAGTCGGTGTGCAAATGATGGCACGGCACGTAAAGGTGAATTGGGGTGCACACACCGAAGCCTTTGTGGACGCTGGCTAGCACAGTCAGTAAATCAGGACTTGTGCACGGGATATGCTCCCGGGAAAACCGAAAAGCATTTTGCTTGAAAACGATCGTGGGCTTGGAGCTTGCGATAGGGAGAGTAAGTGGGAAGACAAGCCTTGTATCGTATGGCAGCTGAGGCAACACGCACATTGCAATACTTGCTTCCAAGCTCTTTGTGAGAGCAGGCCAGTTCCGATCCAGTTCTACCACTGCCACATGTGCAGGGTGTCAACGCCGACATTGAGCATGGCCTTGGTCAGCTCGTCGTTGAACAATTTCTCGCTAGCAGTCGTCTGTAAATCGACTCAAATCAAAGCTTGTGAAATGCGATACACGTTTAATCCAAGCAACTCGGTCACATAGTACTCTATTCACTTTGGTGCGTCTATCGTGCGTAACTTGTGACCCGACCACGCAAACCTAAAACCCTAGTGCCAACAAGCGCTCCAGCCAGGTATCTAATGGATCTGATGACTGGCTCGTTCCATCTGTGTTTTGTTTGGACGCATTATCTGTTGAAGTACCTACGGTATATAAGGCTTGATCCGGCTGACGGATTAAGCGTTCGCTTTAAAGCGTTCGCTTTTTCCACATTATCTCCGTAGGATCAAACCATGAGAAGACGACTTGAAGACGGTGCCTTTGCAAGAATGAAGTGTCCAGTGTCTCGAGGAGGCACAGGAGATCCTGTCCAACTGCATGTTGTCGGGGATCTCTACATATCCATAGCAACAACAATAGGAATTTGTCTCATGTTGTTCTCAATGTGGAACGTGGATCTGAATTGTTGAAGAGGGGCAATACCTAAACCAAACATTCACAATTAGCCTTTAACATAGAGAATATTATTATTAGGACTGACTGACCAGAGGAGGGGCTTGTGCCGCGGGTACGTTCCTAGGTACTCAGAGAACCCCGGCTCTCTGGAGCTGCTGGTATGAGAAGCACCACTTCCATGAGACACCCACCACCCTGGATCCTCATCCTACCAAGAACTACGGGACAACCTGCTATAGGACATCCTCTTATGGGATATCCTCCTATGGGATTCCCTCCTCGGGGCTAACCTACTATGGGATATTCTACTGTCCATCATATGGGGTATGGTATTTCCATCTCAGTTTCCGATGCTCAGGTACTTCTCCAAGCACGAATTCTTCTTTTCAAATGTAGTGTTCATCTCTCACGCCATAAGAGAGTCCTGTGTCAAAACCGCTCACACCGCAATCATACCTAGCTCTCATGCAAACCAGCAAACACGAATGACTTCTGGCGAGATAGCACATGAAGGCATCCTGTGTCTATTTTACAAACAGCCAAAGTATATACCTAGGTAATTACTTACCCTTGACCACAAACTTGACTAAAAAAAGAATGCGAGCTATGTTCAGCCTGACATGAACATTCTTAGCAGACTAGGATGCCGTCTATATCCTAAACAATACTACAAGAAGATTACAGTCATTCTGCCCCAGACCGAGCCCTGGCCCACACCCAAAACGGGTAAATAAGAAAAAAGAAATGTAAATTTCATCAGTAAGCTCCCGGCCTCAGCTCCCACGCAGGCTGCTCGACAAGCGATGGCGTGGCCCAGCCTGTCAGCGCAGGCGTTGAGCTGTGCGTCCAGTTGAGCCCAGGTACTTTAGCACCGTCACTCCCCAGCGCCCACAGCGTCAGGCCAAGCCAGTTCCCCCCTTGGTAGTTCAGAACACCCTCGGGTACGGGGAACTGAGTCTGGGGTCCTACGTTGCTTGTGTATCGACCGAGCTGGTACCCATTCACATAGATCAGCGCCCTGTATGGCGCGGCTGCCGCTGCGGACGTGTCATTGGCGAACACCAGGGACAGTGGGACATCCCATTGGTCAGAGGGGAGTGAGAGCGTGAAATTCGTCGTGTAGTAAGCCACTCCCGCAGATGTGATGCCGTCGTAAGGCGACGTTCCCGTCGTGAAAACTTCCACTGGCGGAGCAGCCTGGTGGTAACCCTGACGCTCGACAAAAAGGCCACCCTCGTTGAGGGGACCACGAACGCGGTCGGCATAGTCCTCGCCGCCGAGGTTGCCCGTGATTTTCCACGTAATGTCTGATGCAAAGGTGTAGTCAAGAATACCGCGAGGGTTCTTCTGTACATCACCTCCCACATTGTAGTTTTCATCGAGCCCGGTCGAATCAATCAGGACAGTGAAGACGTATGAGTTTCCTGCTACCAGATTAGGCAGGGTGAAGGTCGAGTTGTAGCTTTCATAGACGGAATTCCCCTCCCATGAGCCGATGAAAGTGCTGTTGAGCCAGACCGACGCGCCGAAGGCCTCTCCGCCTTGTGTACGAAGCTCAATCTTGGACTCGTTTCCAGTGGCAGTGAAGTGGCCTCTGAAGAGTAGAGACCCTGTATTGAAGCCATAGTCCGATCCGTAGAGAGAGACGGGCGTGAGGAGAGGAGATCCCACAGGATTAGTGGTGTTGGTGTGGTCTGCATTCGGCCACGCTGAGTCGTCGTAGCTAGACTGAATCTCGGGAAGCGAATCGATGTAGTACCATGATGCACTAGGGAGGTCGGGGATGTTAAACTCGGGAGGCGAGTAGTCCTGGCTGGCGGTCCATGAGCCCAAGGAGTCGGCAGCGTGCTCCAGGGTGACTTGGTTGACCTGCAATGAAGTGACTCCTGAAGGCACTCCAATGATCTCGATGCTTGCCGTCTTATTGAAATCAGCAGCCAATATCAACTTGTCACCTTCCACCGACGCTGAACGCAACAAGTATGGCCCGTTGACAATCACAGCACCATCTGTCACATCGGCGACCCAGTAGTTATAGGCACTGTTGCGGTCTTCATTCATCATTAGTCTGGCGCATCTTACTAGGCGGGTGAACGTTTCCAACATACCCAGGATGTAGACAAAGAGATCCCCAACTTGCACAATTCTCCTGTCAGAGGAGGTTTGCCACTGAGCGACGACAGAGTTATTGGTCTGCTGGATCGTCACACCATCGCCTTTAACCACTGTCCCGCCAGTTGCACCCGCAATGGCCAGCTCGTGAAGCTCATTCGGGCCACCATAGACGATGAGCACCGTCTTGTTGTCGAAGACTTGCCAAGTGAAGATTTCAGCTGTGGAGTAGAGTAGCTTCGAGTCTCCAACAGGATAGTCAGTGACGTGGACCTTGGAGTCCCGGCCATTGAGACTCAAAGAACCACCAAGCTGGGGAACGGAGACGGTCCCTGCCGAAGTAGGCAGTGACAGCGTATAGTTAGACGAGGCTTGAGATGTGTAGTCTGAGTGCCGAACGATGAAGAATGATCCATTAGATCCGAAGAGTGGGGTGGTGATGATGTCCGAATTCGTGTTGTAGACGCCGGTTGACGACGAATTGGCTGCAGAAGTCACGAGGTACCCTGGGGAGACCTTGAGAAACTGTGCTTGGAGCTTCAACTCAGAGTACTTCTCCCTGTCCACCGCGCGGTCCTCACGGATGACAGAGCCGTAGTCATAACTTGTCTGTTAGATATTTGATTAGCAAATTTCCAGAGAGAATGTGCCGGGAAAGGTGAGATGTGGTGCGCCCTGAGGCTAGAAGGTTGCAGAGCCCGACTGGCTGACGATCTGAAGACATCAAAGCAAGCAAATGACAATGGAAAACACGTACATAACCGCCAGGGTGGCCGATGTTGCCCCAGTTGGTTCCCCCGTAAATCATGTAAAGACTGTAGATAGTGACGCCAGCCGCATAGTTGTTCTTGTAGAAAACTCGCTCGAACTCCATGTTAACGAGGGCGGCGCATTTCTCGAAGCCAACACCGCCCGGGGGATCGAAGGACCCTCCCTGGAACTCTGGGATCGTGTACGGAGTACTGGGGCTTTGCTCCAGATGTGTCTGACGAAAAGTTGTCGGAATGGCACCTGCCGGCCACGAAGAAGGATTGGCACAGTCAAAGCCCAGAGGGTAGGAGTCGTGGCCGTAGATGTCGACCTCCCCGACGCCGGTGCCGGGAGCGTTGTGCCCGGCTGGTCTGGCGTCGTTGCTGATCAATGGGACCACAACACCGGCATTACGAAGCTGATCCTCAATGTACTGCATATATTCGCCATTTGGGAAGACGACGCCTGAGCCGCTCTGGGCCCCTGTGTACTCGTTTTCGGCCTGTACGAGTATGAGGGAACCGCCGTTGGTGATCTGGTACTTGGCGATGAGAGCTCCAACTTCAGCCATGTAGTTGTCTGTGGCAGAGAGGTAATCGGTAGCGTTGGTCCTCAACTTTCCTTGTATGCGCTGAAGCCAGCCTGGGAAGCCGCCGCCGGTAGCCTCTGCGTTCACGTACGGACCAGGCCTGGCGATGATATACAGACCAGCAGCCTGGGCAGCCTTAAACAAAGGCTCGAGGACGAGAGGTCCTTGGGCATTGAAGTCGCCAGCCTTGCCCTCGAGAGCGCCCCAGTGCACGTAGATTGAGATGGTGTTGAGCCCCAACGCTTTGATTTTCGTCAGAACGTCGGGCCAGAGGGAGGGGACGGGTAGTCGGAATGGATGGAATTCCCCCGAGTAGATCAACTGGCGCTCGCCGTTGATGAGAAGCGAGTAGTTGTCAAAGGTGACGACATCCTGAAGCAGGTCCCTGTGCTCGGTGTGGAAGAGGTGATTGGGTCGTCCGAGCAGGGCGTAGCTGCCCTGCAACGCCAGAGTGGCGAGGCTGAGGGTGGTGGCGAGCCTCATTGTGAAGGGGAGAAACGGACACGGCTGTCGATGGTGTCCACGACGAAGGGACTGTCTGTTGTCTGAGTCTCAGCGGATGAGAATGGAGGGAGGAGGTATATCAACCACTGCAGGCCAGCCTCCAAGAGGGAACGGGATGTGACGGTGGGAGTGGACAGGGAGTCAGTCGGCTGCGGCTGCGGCTGCCCGTCTCCATCATCACAGCCATCTCCTCTCTGTCGGGCCTTCCTCGTATGTTGTTGCACCGAGTCGGGCCCATCCTTCCCTGTCATGGTTGCGGGAAAAGGCAATCACGGTGTCACTGACTGGTGGTCGATGGTCGGGGAAAGAGTTGGAGAAAATGGAGAAAATCCGACCTCGCCATCTCACCTTTGCCCCCCCCCCCCCACCTTTGGAATTGGAACCGGTAGAAGGGATCCCCGTCCATTCAGACGGGATGAACTGATGGGCTCTGGAATGAACGGATGGACAGGAACGAGGTAGCCGTAGCGGGAAGGATCGACAAGCTTTCTCGGCGCAAGCCACCCGTTTCCCAGCCTGCTAGCCCAAAGCCAGCAACGCCCGCCGAACCGTCCGATTCCATGACGAGACAGCGTCGCGATCGAGTCGGGTATAACTGGGCCACGATGCGGGGGAGAAAGCTTCAATCAGGAGTTGGGGTTCGGATGAGGTGACACTGCGGGTCAGAAGTCGTCTAAGTCGTGAGGGGTATTAGGCCATGTTCGCGGTGCGAGGGCACCCCTGGAGAAGACCAGGTACGCGATCCTGCTGCAACCTGCACTGCAACCCTATGCTGTCACTCCCTGAAGCTTGTTTGTTCTTGTCTTTTTCCCTCTTTTTCCCTCACACTCGGAGCCATTCCGTCTCCTCCCCTGCCGACTCCTTGGCATCGCCCCACCTGTGCTCGCCCGGCAGGTTGACAGGCACACCATCCTGCTTGTACAGCTCCCCGTCCTTCATGACGAAGCTCACCTTCCTCAACGCCTTCTCGTCCTCTCTAGGATCTGAATCGAGGGCAATTATATCTGCCCTCGCCCCCTTCTCGAAGAACCCAAACCGGTACCCACACGAGTCCTGGCCGCACGCCTCCCATCCGCCCACGAAGCACGCCTCGAGCACATCCTCAAGCGGGATTCCTGCACGCCTCATGAGCTCCATCTCCCTGACTCCCTCGCCATGCGCGAATGTCCCTGTGTCCCCGCCAGCTGCGAACCTCACCCCCATGTCAAACGCCTTCTTGACCCTGGCCTGCACCTTCTTCATCTCGTCCCTAGAGAGCACCAGGTCCAAAATCGCCAGCGTTGGCACGTAGATTGTGCCCCTCTCCGCCATCTCGGCCCACAGCTCGTCCGTGTTCTCGTTGACGTGCTCTACGCTGGTCACGCCCGCTCGGACCGCCATTGTAGCCCCTTCTACCGTACCCGCGTGGGCCACGACCGGCAGGTTCGCCAGCCGGGCCTCCTCCACGATCACGGTCATCTCCTCCTGGCTGAAAAGCGGCACCGCGGGGTTGAGCTCAGCGTGTGTTGGGGGAAATCGTATCCCGGCCCCGGGACCACCACCCGTGGCGGCCTCTTGAAGCGGCGGGAACCGCATCACCTTGCGCTTGTAGTCGGCGTAGAACTTGATGATATCAGCCCCGTCCCCAATGCGCCTCCTCACGGCGCGCCGCACCTCCCACGGGCCGTCTGCGGCGTCTGAGGATCGCGGCAGCGAGAGCCCGTTCTGCCTGTTCTCGCTGCGGATCTCGTATGACGACGTCGATGCCAGGGCATGCGTGGCCACGAAGAGCCGCGGGCCCGGGATGAGACCGCGGTTGATGCAGTCGCGTAGGTTGGCGTCGAAGTTTTCCATCGCCTCCGTCCCCAGGTCGCGGTACGTCGTGTAGCCCGAGAGAGGCGCCTCGCGGACATGGTTTGTGGCCCGGACCGTGCGCTCGACGATAGACTCGTCGCGCATTTGCTGGGCTGCGGAGCGCCCGCTATGTGGTGGAGATCGTCAGTCCTTCTGCCTGATCCCAGAGTGGAGGTGAAGTGCCTTGGCTACCTACCTGTAAGGATGAAGGAAAATGTGCGTGTGTGCGTCAACAAAGCCTGGCATCACGACCTTGCCTCTGAGGTCGATGTCCCCGTCGCGGATTTCTTCGTCTGTTTCCCGCTCGTACACGTCGGCGATGCCGCCTGACTGAGTATCGATTTTGATGGAAACATTCTTCACAAACGCCTTCTTGCGCGGATCAAACAGTAGTGAGGAATGTAGTGTAAGTGTCTTGCGTATCATCTTTGCTCGTTGACTAGTAGAGTTCCAAGTTATGAGGACGGCGCGGCGCGGCGTGAACTTGGGCAGATAAGCCAGATCCTGGGAGGGTGGCTGGGAAACCTGGTATAGGCTATTCAGACACTGCGACTTCTATCTCTTCGCGCGCAAATGATGCTATCATGAGTACCGTTCCCAATAATATCACAGGATCATCTCGACGTAAAAGTTTGTTTTCACCTTGGTTTCGATGGTATCGCTTGAATCCCATTTGTCGCAATGCGGTCCAATATCTCGGGTGAGCGTGGTGACGTACATGGCTCATCGACCCCTGCGACACAGACACTGACGCACCCGGAGCACAGCATATAGATTACTTTATGTGATCGATCACATTCTCAACAAAGCACAGACAAAACACAAGACTTGTTTTGTTTCTTGAACTGTGTTTTCAGAAGTTGGAAGTGCAATTCCTTCCCGCACTTCTAGCTCACTGAGCCAAATGCTCATCCTATGTACGTAGAGGTATCCATCATAGCAGAAGTGAAATACACGAAAGTGCAGTATCCATCGTCGTCGATACCGTCGTAGTCCTGAACGAAAGGTAATCCCCCAGTCCAACAATAAGCCTTTTCGGATCCTCGAAAGGAAAACGTGACAACCAAAGAACGAATGAGAACAGGCTCATCCTCAAGGCGAACAAGCCGAGACACCGGAGTCCGAAGAATGGTCGCCTCCGATACGATGCTCCTCTTTCTTCTTCTCCTCTTCCTCCTGATTTTTCAGCCCCTTGTAGACATTGTCGAGCTTTTCGACCAGTCGAGACACCGGCGTGATGATTTGGTCCTCCAACGAACTGTCGAGGGCTCCCTTCATGACCATTCCCTGCGATCCCAGGTCAAGCAGCAGCTGGATGTCCCGCGGAAGCTCCCGTGACGCCACCTGGCTGCCGTGGGCGACGCCGACCGCGTTTTCGTCGGAAATCTTGCGGCGTTTAGCGGGCGAGTGCTCGTCGCGTCTGTTGTCGGTCGGCCTAGTGGCCAGCAATCTGTTCTGAATGCTCTGGGACGCGTCCCAGCCAGCCAGCCTCTTTACGATCCCCTCGACGATTCCAAACTCCATCGCGTACGTGTCCTCGCATACCGCGTCACCGCTCGAGCAGAACTCACGAAGCTCAGCGATGGACATACGCATGCTGGTCGTTCCGCAGGAGAGAAGGAGCGCCGCCGACTTGACGCTCAGGTTGGTACCCTCTCTGCCGACCTCCCTACTCGTCACCATCTGGTCGTACAGGGAGCCGCAGGCAGAAGGGGGCCCACAGCCGAAGAGGTTGAGCTCGTTGATCAGGTACTCGCGAAGCCAGGACGGAATCTGGGGCTCGTAGTCATCTGGCGGGGGAAGGGCCGGGTACAGCCCAACCATCGTGCCCTGGTCAGGCTCTTCGTGCGACAGGTCGGCTCGGAGCTGTCCAGAAGGCGCAATGGTGAGAATGCCTGGAGTAAGGATGTACTTCTGCTCGAGCTCAACTAGCGTTTTGTTAGTAGCTTGTGGCCAAAAGTAATAGACTCTGGAATATTCCGGAACACAACACAACAGGTGGGAGACTGTGACATGAGGAGACTCGTGCTTACGGATAAGTAGTCGGCTTTTCGCGATGATGTCGTCATCGTGAACGGATTGCAGGTCGTCATCATCAGCGGTTATGTCGATGGTGTCGGCAGAGCGGGAGGAAGGGCTGGGTGTGACGAGGTGAGCCATTTTGAGGCAGATCCCTAAGATAGTCAGTGCCATGTGGTGGTGGTTGTTTCAGAAGAAGAACCAGTTGACGAGCGAAAAAACAGTTTGAGCCTGCGAGGTTGTCGTACTTACGAGCGGTACTTGCTGTTCGCGGCGAGGTTTCGAGTGCAGTGAGTGGCGACAGCGAAAATGTGGCTTGGGAACTTTGAAGTGTCGCACCTTCGGCTGAGCGAGTACAAAGAAAGGCGAAATTGGGAGAGCAGTTGGCAGTTCCCCCGCAACGGGCCCTTTGAGCCGTGTCCAGGAGTATGCGAAGTACCCAGGTAAGTAGCGACTTGTGGGTGAAAAAGGTGGCTTTGTTCCTGCTGAATGATGCTGCGACAGGCTCAAGCTGTAAGTTTCGCTCGCAGACCAGAATTGAGTCGGGAACTGTAGATGGTGCGGAAGAGAGAGTGTGTGTGGATTGTGGAAATTGCTCAGCAAAGACGTCCACATCACAGGTTTTTAGGCAGGTACTAGTTTTGCAGATGCTCAGTGTCAGTTCAGGAGCTTCCACAACCAGACTTTTGTTTCCAAAAGTGGGTGGGTTGCGGGAGTGCCAGTTTGCAGCAACAAAAGCTCAGACGGGAGACACCTCGGGCGCTGGGAGCTTTCAATTCTGAAAACTAGGTAGCTTTGCCCTTAGTTGTGTGTTTTTTCCTTAACAGTTGTGACGGTAAAATTCAACCTGATTGCTGTAAAGCCTAACCAGGCGAATGACTCCCAGCATTTCCGTTTACTTTGCAGCTTGTCAAATCAGACATGTTGCGAAGCTCGAGACATCACGACATTTCCGTTTCCGGAGATCGCTAGTTATCATTCGAGGGCTGCCCACGACCCAATGCTCAGCAGTGACCACATTGATGCAGACACTATAAAATTTGATTGGCATCCGTCTTTCCTTCTTTTCCATTCTCTCTTCATGTAATTTGTTGTTTCGGTCCGTTCTTAAGCAGCTTTATGGTACCTATTTGCATTGACAGAGGCTACCTAGATATGACTGTATCGAGTGCTCGAAGAGCCTCGCTGCAGAGTGGCTAGAGGAGAAAGGGTTTCCATTCAGAGGAGAGAAGAAAGGCTCCTATTCAATCCGAACACCAGCCTCATCAGCACCACAGCCACTACATCTAAAGAGCTGTCCCACCGTCAACGGTAATTCTGAGCATCCGGTAAAGCAATGTACTTCATTTCGCAGATTCTCAGCGAATAAGATAGGCACAACACAGCGCAGACGAATACCGTGGGTCGGCCAATCCCCTTGGCCAGTAAGGAGGGCCGATCCTGTTGGGATTGAAGCTTACGGCGGCGCAGCAGTCTTCCAACACTGAAGTTAGCCATAAATAAAGAGAACGGGTATTCGCACAGAAATAAACGGATGGTATACAGATACATTACACGTCTAGTGCACTCAGACCCAACACACCCACGCCCAAGAGACCAAAACCCAACACACCAAAACCCAACACACCCACCAAACACAACCACAACCAATCCACATACCCACGCCCAATTCACATACCCACAGTATCCCTGAATCATATCTATTTGAGCTGTAGGATGATACTTGAAGCAGCCAGTCTCTAATCACTGTCTGTCTGTCTGTCGATTGTTGTAGCCTACTTGCAGACACATGCACACAGGAGCATCGAAGAACAACAGGAGGGTCGATTTCAAAGACGAAAATCAGTAAGTAAATTTTGGGTATCGGTCTGATTCTAACCAGCCCAAGGAACTTCCTGGGCTCCGTGGAAAACGAGAGGAACCAAAGACTCACACGCTCGCCATAATTATGCAATCTATTATTTAACCAAAACGCCACCCAGCCAATTTACCGCAACAGAAACCAAAAAATAACAGACCTTCGCACTTAAGAGCAATAGCGCTGATGGAAGCGAATGATACCCTCAAGCTTCACCAGCCTCTCCCAGCCAGGCCCAATGATAACCTCGTCCAGGTTCATCGCCATCTCCCCGTGGTCAAACCTCCCGCCCTGCGGGTAAAGCAGGCGCGTCAGGTCCTCGGGCAGCCCAAAGGCCCAAGCCTCGTGGTCGTGCTCGACATCATGCGGCCAGTACCCGGTCAGGCGGAGGACGCACAGGCGCAGGTGCGAGAGGTCGAGCCAGTGGTCGCAGCCCTCGGCCCTGAGGTCCAGCTGCGACCGGAACGCCGCCACGTAGCCCAGGCACGCCCTCATCTCGGCGGCGACCGGCCCCAGGAGGCGCGGGAGCTCGCCCCACGTGACGCAGGACGCCGGGTCGTGGCGCGCGGCAGGGTCGCAGGAACCGAGGAGCCGCCAGGCGAGGGAGCATGGGGAGGATTCCCGGCGGGCGACGGCCCGCGAGTACACGAGCCGGCCGTAGAGCTCCGCCGCGGAGGTTGGGCATGGCATGGCTGGGGCGCGGGCCCCGTAGAGGAGGCCCTGGCTGTCCTCCTCCGCCGCTGCGTCTCGGATGTCGAGGTGGGCGAGGATGAGCTCGATCACGGGCAAGGGGAGGCGGTCGTCATCGTCGCGTCTTGGGGTCACGTTCGCCCTGTGCCGCCGTTGGATGAATTGGTTGACGGCGAGCTGGGCATGGCGGAACGCGCGGCTGGCCTTGTTGGGCCTGGGCGCCTTGTTTCCAGGTTGCTGGTTGGGGGCGGTGTTGACATCCTCAGCCGGGAGCTCATAGATTTGTGTAGATTCACTATCGAGCTCTATGAAGCTCTCTTTGTGTCCGGTAGACAGCGGCAGAGATAGCTCTTCCTTCGATGAATACGAAAAGGCTTGAGTGAGAATTAGCACAAGGTTAGCACGTTGAGAGCGACAGAGATATTTTACTTACCCATGATTATCACGGTTATGGATGTCAAATGATGTCCCACAGGTCAGTTGAATCAAAGAGTATGTCGAATATGTCACAGAGTGCTCTGATTCCCTGACCGGATGAGACAGGAGTAAAGGATGGCGTGTAGCTTGCAAGGAGGGAGAAGTTTGAGATGTTGCAGGGGATAGATATAATCGTCGAGGGAGCGGAATAATAGGATTGTCCTTTGTCATATCATAAACTGCCCGCCACAAAGGGGATCAAGTCGAAGACAATACACCCGGAGATTGAGCATTGTGTAGCGGGCTGGTCGAGCCGTGTCTTGCAACGGGCGGCAGAACTGGGGAGCAGGAGCCGGTGCCCAACAAGCGAACGGGTCGAGAGAGCAGATCCTTCCAGGCCCAGTATCTATAGAGTACAATTTGTTTGTGAACAGTCTTTGTTCTCGATTCGGAATACTGCGGTAAGCTAATACTAAGAGGCAGCCAGCCATGAGACCGTCTGCTCGATCCCACCCCAAGAAACCGCGAAGGCTTGCCCCACGGCTGAGAAAAAAGAGCATAACCTTGATAAAAGACTTTTGTTATTGAGCGTATCCACTCTTCGTTGAGAGTAGATTGAGAGGTTTGCATCGGCACGTGAACAACAAAATGTGCTCGAAAGGGGTTATGACAACACACGAGGTCGTCCGTCCAGCTCACTGCAATTACATGACGACGACCCATGGACACCCTTGACTGACGCCCTCGTGGTAGAATCAAAGACGTGTCGCCGCAGAAAGCAAAGACTGACAGAAATTAAGTGACAACCCGTTCGTCTCCTCAGGATCCTAGCACGTGACCATGTGTTCAACAACAGCTGGGAATGACAGGATCAGACGGTTTGATGTGGTCACCTCTCATGTCCCAGGCATGTCCGTATTGAGGTTCCGGTTTAGGCACTGCCGTTGTTAAAATGCATGTTCACCTGACGGACAGAATTCATGCTTACCTCTTCTTGGGTCGGCCCCGCTTTGCAGGAGCGGCCTTGGGAACCTCGGCCTGATGATCATCACCGTTGGCAGCAGCCTTCTTCTTTCGGCCGCCCTTCTTGGCAACGGGCTCTGGCTCTGGCTCGGGTTCTGGCTGATCAGACGCTTCCTCGTCGGCCTCGGGCTCGGGCTCGGGATCGACCTTGGCTTTCTTGGCACGGACACTCCTCTTGGGCTGCTCAACGGCGGGCTCATCATCGGCTTCAGGCTCAGGTTTGGCCTTCTTGGCCCGGCCCTTCTTCTTGGGAGCCTCAGCTTCGACGGCAGCTTCCTCATCAACCTCCGGCTCCGGCTTGACCTTCTTGGCTCGTCCCTTTCCCTTGGGAGCTTCGACGGGCGGAGCAACTTCTTCGTCGTCGGCTTGCTTCTTGGCTTTGCTCTTCCGAGCCTTCTTAGCGGGAGGAGCCCCAGCCGGCTCCTGCTCTTCTTCCTCCTGCGCATCATCACCAGCCTTCTTGCGGCCACGCTTCTTGGCCGGCTTCTTGGCAGGTGTGTCACCGCCGTTCTAGGGATATCAGCACTTGTTTGCATGCACAAATGGAAGATGATCCACATACTTGCTCCTCGCCATCCTCGTCCTCGGCCTTCTTCTTAGTGGCACGGCCACGAATACCTGACTGGCCCAGGACGTTGTATTCAGGGTCACCGTTGAAGTCTTCGTCGGCGATCTTGCCCTCGATCATAGCGGTGCGGACCTTGGCCTGGAGCTCCGGGTGATCACTGCAGCAGTGCTCAGCCTACATGATCCCAACGTGAAAGCAGGCAGTACTTACCCAATCTCATCGTAACCGTCGATCAGGTCGAAATCATACGAGCCATCCTTGCGGATGTCTTCACGCAGATTCTCGATCTGTTTGCCGGAGACGCAGCCCCTACAAGCAGAGAAAGCAAGGAATTCAGCACTGAGGACCAGTCGCCAGCAGAGTTAAGCAGGGTCGCTTACCAGTGCTTCCACCTCCAGGAGCCATGCTCCTCAATCTCGACCCAAGTTCCGAAGCGCGGCTCGCCCTTCATAATCTTGACCTTTTCCTTCTTGTGCAGGGTGTCATTGCAACCAGCACGGTTGTTGGGTGAAACCTCTGGTGACGGATGTCAGCGGAGTCTGGGTAAGACTTGCAATGAATGATGGTGTTGAATGAAGGTAGTATCAACAGCTTGACATGGTCGTGACGCGCCAGGAGTCAAGGCAATGAGGTCGACGCGGGGAGAGTGACACGGCTGACTTACCAATGCGATAGACAGGCATTTTGAAGATGGATTCGTCAAAAGCGCGAGTTGAATGAGTAATCCCAGAGTCAAAGAGAAGTTGCGTTATCCCGCAGCAGTGAAAATGAGGCTGCTTGTGTGTGTTGGGAGGGGGGATGTGGCACGATGCAACTTTTCCAAGGGCTGCAGCTGGGAATGACGTTAACCTTGCCCACGGTCGCGTCGATCAAGTCAGTCGCGGCGACACGAGCAGAGACGAGATCGCCCGCAAAAGGCGATGATGTGAATTTAAGATGCAACTGATGATGGAATGACTTCTCTGGCAGTCAACGGCGAAGGAAATGAAAGTTGGTTTGTCGTGGAATTGGAAATGCAGAGGCAGATAAAAGGAAGTGGGAGGTTGGGTTTGCGTGGAGGTGGGTGGTGGTGGTGGCGCCTTCCCGTCCCGTTGCATTGCTTTGTGTGCTGTGGTCAAGCTCACCCAGGCAGCCGAGCGGGCCCCCTGTAATCCGTGCCTGACGCTTCCAGATAGGCCCGCCCCGTGAAACAGTGTAGACAATCAACGAGGCAGCTCCCGAGTCTCTTTCACGCAGGTACGGGACGAATTCATTTGATGCATATTAACTGCGTGAGGGCCACCAATCCATTTTCGTATACAAAAAAATCGGGACCGAAATGGGTGAGCATCGGGTGCCGATTGTGTAAAGCATTTATCAACACTACATCGCCTCCTTTATCACCTGCCGTTTCTGACAGATGCATACCAAGTGCTGGGTACCGACCGACCTAGGTAAATACGTGCATTCTGGCAGCTCATCCACAGCTTCAACATCATTCCAATACCAGCTTACCAGGAATCATCATGCTGCATGCCTACAGGAAGGCACACCACCCGATATACATGGCCGACAGGTTCCTCGGCTCCGTCGCCTGCCTCACCAGCTCCTCTACCTGACCCTCCACGCCCAGCGGGATGCTCTCGTCGCCGATGAAGCCCCGGACCTTCCTCTTGATGCTCTCCACCACGCTCGTCGGGTTCAGCTTCACCACGTCGCTCTTCCGCTTCTTGTCCCGCTGCAGGTCCAGCGTCGGGTCGTAGATGAAAGCCTCCAGGATCGTCATCAACGTCTCCTCCTGCTGCCGCAGGATCGACAGCGTCAGCTCGCTGCACTGCCTGAACGGCCCTTCGTACCCGTAGATGCCCATCGCCGCCACCATGTTGTGCGTCAGCCGGAACGGCACCCGCTCCGGGCTGCGCAAACGTCAGGCCCTTGTCGAACAGGCAGTTGAAGTCCACGTGGAACACCCCGCCGTTGCCCTCCTCCAGAAGCACGTTCTCCCCGTGCCTGTCGCCCAGCCCCAGGATTGTTCCCACCATCGACATGACCGCGCATGACCGCGTGTACTTCAGCCGTGCCGCAAACCAGGCTGACGGGTTGGGGAACTGCGAGATGAACCAGCTTGGCAGCACTGGTGGGAACATGCCAAGTACCTGTTCAGTGAAGAGCGTGATGTTTTTGTCCGACGTGGAGGCTTCTTTCATCATCTGAGCAATCTGGGCGTAGTTGGGTATAATACCGCGGGGCTTGTACAGGCCCAGCAGGATATCGCGCAGTGTCTTGAGTCCATCAACCCACTCGAGGATGCCGCATTCCTCGTTCAGCGGGGTGACTGCATACGTGCGAATGTAGAGTTGCCTGCGGCTGCTTTCTGCATCTCGTTTCAAAGACCGATTGATCATGCTGTTGAATTCCATCAAGCGCTGATCCGTCCGCAGATCATCCTTTGGCTTGATCAGCAGGTTGTACAACTTCCCATCCGTGCCGCGCGCCGTCAGTCGGCGGGGTTTCGCGAGGGAGCCCAGAACAAGGACATCGTCTAGGAATGAGTTGCGACCACGTCTCTCGAAAACGCTTTGTGCTTCTTGATGTTGTCCGTCAGCGTAGGCAGTGTGGCGGTCAGACATGCCTCGATGGGAACCACCAAGGGGCAAGGCGTGCACCTGTGGTTGAAGTTGAGGTCCCGAGTGATGCTGGCATGTGTGCTTCTGTTGCTCTGGAAGTCACCGTTATTGCAAGCCAGAAGCAGTTGTTCCGCCAGTTTCTCGCCCATTCTCAGGAGCTGCCTCAGATCGTATGCGGAGCCGTCCACTCTCTTTCCACTGATGTTGCGGAGTTGGGTCAGCAGCTGACTACCGCGTTTTGATCGGTCAGACGACTGCTTGCTGGTCATGATGGCGAAGAGGCCCCACAGGGCCTGTCGCGGATGTGCCTCCACAACCTTGATGATGATGTGTTGTAGATAAGTAAAGATGTCTGGGTTCGGATGAGCAATGCGGGCCACAATTTGCGGCATTGCCGTGTAGAATATGTAAGCAGGCATGCGCTGCATGTGTTTGTAGAAGTACTTGTTGAGCTCGTGCAACAGGGTCTTCCTCCGCTGGGACAGTTCCTTAGACAGTGATATTTTCCCCTCGGGGGCCTTGTCGACCTGAGCGCCCAAATCCATCCACAGTGATAGAATACGCGGCAGTGTCTGGTATAGATACTTTGTGCCGTAGTTCAGTGACCGGAGGTAGTTCTCGATGACAAGTTTGGCTGTTTCTCCAGTGAGATACTCGTCGCTCTGTTCATCTGGACTCAACGCCTTCTCAGACTCAAGAACTTTCTTGTAATGACGGCCGAGGTAGTAATGGCCCTTCTCCCACATCGCGTGCGTCTTTGCCGCCTGCTGGTACTGCGCCCGCAAAGCACTCGCGTGCGTCTGCCCCGCCGAGTCTTGCCATTTCGCCAAGAGGAGATGCGCTCGCGCTGTCAACAAATTCCTCTGCACTTCAGGGCCTTTACTTGACGTAGGAGCAGCTGGTCCCAGGTTGTATCCGATGAAGGAGTTGGTCTGGATGGCGTTTTCGAGGATTTGAATGGCCTTCCTGTGGTGACCCTCTTTCCACAACAGTCTGGCATTTTCAATGGTTGCAGAACCATCTCCAAGTTGCGAGGCGTGTAATACTGCGTTGAAAGACTGATGGAGCGAGTCTGCCTTTCGGGCTAATCTTGCACTTGACAACCACAGAGACGAAATATCTCCGTCCGAAAATTTCGGCCTTTAGACGTCAGCGGAAGTAATTAGCAGGTATGTTCTCGGTACTCACCTCATCAGCTCCATTGCCGCTCGTCGTATTCCCAGCACGTACTGCTTGTCGCTCACATACGCACCCAGAATCTCCAGTCGACGATCTAGCGACGTCATGACCCCTTGCTGGTCGCTGGCTTCCTTCCTGTGATCTCCTGCAACGATTTCGAGGTCTGCAAGGACGTGACATCTTAGCATGGCGTCATGGGCCGCCTGAAGTGACGCTGTAGCCGACATGGACATTGAAGAAGCAGTCTTCTCTTTCAGCTCCTGGAGCTGATTGATGAAGCTCTCTATCTGGCCATCCTTGAGTGCCAGGAGCGCCGATCCTACCCCAAGGTTGAATTCATCCAGATGGTTGCCAGCCTTGTACGAACCCAAGTACTTCTTGAGGGTTTCCCATCTCCCGGTGGCCCAAGCGGCTTCTACTGCAAAGGGCGCGATCTTGTTGATCCAAGGTCCGTCGGTGTCTAACCCTCCAACATGGTTCAACAATACATCTATGCGGTGTTAGCAATGGCAGGCAAGAGCCTCGTGACGGACAGTATTCTTACCATATTGGCCCGACTCCTTGAGACACGTCAGCAGATCAATTTGCACGTCCACGTTGTGGGGGTCCTCCGCGAGCTGAACTTCGCACCAAGTCTGCGCCCGCGACCACCTCCCCGCCTTCCTGTGGCTGAGAATTTGCTGCTTGAGGTCAATGACCTTGAGGTTGGCGGATACTCCTTCAAGGCCATCCGGCTCATCAATATGGGCATAGACGTTCTGCAGGGAGTCCAACGCTTGTTGAATATTCTCCGCGTCGTTGCCGTGTTCCTCTTGTTGGCGCAAAATATGGGGCTCCAGGTGGAACAAAGCACGGGCGTATTGTTTACAGTCAATGGCGCGCTGCGACACGAGCTCTGGCGGTATAGAGTCCAATCGTTTCTGGATCAGTACGAGATTATTCTCGTCAGTTTTACTGAGCCGAAACGTTCTCTTCACCTGCAAGAACCTCATCGCGTAGTCGATGACTCGGAACACCGCCTGTTATCGTCAGCGGGAGAAATTGGGTATTTGCTAGGCCACATACCTCACAAAAGAGCTTCCTGTCCTCCCTCTCCAAATAGGAAGCATTTTCAGGAACGTCTTGTTTCAAGATGTTCAGCAGCTCGTTCCACACTGCATTCTTTTCCTGTTGTGTGCTCTTGCTACCGAGAGTGATGTGGACAACCAAATATGGGAGCATGAAAATGGCGACCGATAAGTCCTTGACTCGAATAGCCCGACAAAGCGGGTCAAATATGATATCTGCGAATGGGTTCTGCCCCTTGTGTAGCAAGTCCAGCGTAAATTGCCGGAGCCAATTGGCATATGAGCGCCCAGCACGGAAGATCGGATACTCGGTTCTGATGCTCGGCATGGGCGCAAGCTTGTACCTGGATGTCAGAAAGGGGAGCAGGACATCGCGCACGCTTTCTGGCATGCTCAGCCATTTCCTATAGATGCGCTCACCCTCTGCGCCTTGCAGGCCAACGGCTGTCTTGTAGTCGCACCTCTCCAAGAGCTCCTGCATGACATAGGACAAAAAGCCCTGTAAGCTAGAATCCGTAGTCGACACAAAGGACTTGACGAGCACCTCCTGCAGAACGAATGCAGCAAAATCCGTGGTTTCATCGGCATCTGTGAAGTTCGAAAGTGCAATGAACTCACGCTGCTCCCGAACAGTTTCGAGCCTGTTCGAGTCCAGGCAGCCCATCAACCCAATGCACTCTGCACAGATTCGAGCAATGTCAGGATTTCTCCCGTTGTACTTTGAGGTGCAGTCCAACAGTGCTCGAGCCAGGTTCTTCACAACGCTGTCAGGCTGCTCACTGATGGCTGATGCCTGCAGATAACCTTGATTTTGGCGCAGGTATTCTGAGAGCTCAAGCAGGCCCTTCTCAACAACACCAGCATTTTCATGGCGCACTCTTTCGATGAACAAGGCGAAGGCAGCGCGCGTATCGAGTGGCGACCGGCGTGCATCGAGTGTTTTCCAGAGTTCCGAAAGCTCACTGATATGGCTCAGTGACGGAAGTTTGCCAATTGTGTTGCTCAGCACTGCCTCGTGATTGCTAAGCAGGAAACGCAGCAGAGCCTTGCTCTTTTCTCGGCTCTCCTCTGCAAAGCAGGGCCAATACTGCCCGATGATGAAGAACGTGGTCTCAATCAGCTCTTCGACATCCTCCTCTCCCACATGAGCCACCATGGAGTACCAACACGCAAAAGCGGTTGTTCTCAACTCATCCAATGACAGAGCGGACAGAAGACAGACAGATATCTAACGCTACTTGGTCAGCAAACTGAGCAGAAATCATCCGTGGGAGGACATGCCTGTGGTCGTGCTATGCGGATGTACTCCTTGGCCAGCACTATCATTTCTTCCATGGCCTTGATGCAGAGTTTGCGTTCGCGCATAGGTGGAGGAACGGGCGAGGTATTGTTGATGACTTCGACCATACGCGCCGACAAGCCGAGAGCATGCTCCCGGAGAAAGCGACCGACGATGTGATGCCCGCCCTTCCTCTTCGCATCTCGGGGAGCTGCCACCAGCAAATTTGCCACCATGGTCAGGGCAGAGCGGGCCTGTTACTCGTTAGTTTCGGCGTGGAGGCTGGCCAAGTTGATACAGTGTGCTTACAGCGGCCTTGGTCGATTCGTCTCCCTCCACACTCATCCTGAGGAGCTCCAAGATCGTCAGGACAGGACTGGTTCTCAAAACCTCTGTGAGGGCCGTGCCGCTGAATGTCGGACAGACATCAACCAGCGCCGAAATCGAAAATCGTTCGATATTGGCCTCGTCCTGCACGAAAAGACGTGCCAAGATGGCGCTCAGATTCGACTCATCCAAAAACATGTCTTGTAAGTGCTCATCTCTTCTGGCCTCGGAGAACTTCTGTATTATGTCTTTCTTCCCGTGTAGCACAAGCCATGGCAAAGCATGAGACTGAATGAGCAGAAGGAGCTCTGCCACGCTGGTTCTCAAGAGATCTGCTACCATTTGCGTAGTCTGAGGCCGTGTGAGCATGTCTTTGACAGTTGAATAAGCAAGATTTCTCCAGAAAGGCTCCAGGAGGCGTCGTGGTGTCGTTCTCCGAGAAGCGGCAAGATTTGTGATCTCGTTCAGGGCGACTGCAGAGACAATAGGATTCTGGTGGCCAAGAAATTCCAGCATCTTGACCAGGACGAGGTTGAGGCCATCATCCGAGACCACTCTGCCCAGTTGACCCCAAGCCATTAGAGAAGTCTCGTTGATGCTTGGCTCATTCTTATCGGAGATGGACCGCAGAAACCCCAAAACGTTGGCCGTGTTGCGATTTAAAATTTGCACGCCAACATCCTGGCTAACACCTGGTCGCAAAAAAATAGTAATTGCCCTACCGGCCGCAATACGGAGTTCTCTGAGGGAGCTTTGGAGCGTTGACAAGCACCACTGGCCAATAGCCGATTTTTCAAGGTCCAACATATCAGGGCTTTTCGAGTGTACTATGATGCGTCGGAGAGCTATCATCGCGACGACCCGTGGACGACGTGATTCGCGAAATGATGGCAAGCATATGAGCCTTGTGAAGATGGAGCCGGCCAAGGCCACAGACGTGGGATCGGTACATGGCGGTCGCGTTGCCGTTCTGTCGGCTTTCGAGCAAAATGAGCACTGCAGACTACGCTGTGTGGCCGATCCAAGGCCGAGAGAGTTGTCAGCTGCGCAAGGTATACGAGCCAACAGCTCGATGATTGAACAACGCACAGCTTCGTTAGCAGCTGGGAAAGAGTCCCTGTTACTTGCTGTCAGCTTGGTTCATCCTCATGTTTCTCCAGCAGACCTTACAAAATGCGGCTTTCAAGCTGGCTCAAGCTCATTACCTGCGGCAGATAGAGTACCCGACAGAGTTGATTGAGAAGGTGCGGCATTAATGAGGACTCCTGGGTGATCTTTCTCCTTTTGACAAGGCGTTTCTGGTCTATTGGTGCGTGCGCCCTCGACTCAATGGATCGGACCTTTAGTCGTATGTCTCTATCCACGAACAACTCTGGGGAGAGCCCGGAGCTGAATGGCTGGGTCACGGGGATAACTACTGCCTCACGCAACAGCGTCACGGATCGCTTCATGCACCAGGAGTTAGATTTGGCTGCACTCGACACGATGAAGCTGGACGTACCTGTAAATCCCCGGAAACGTCGTCGGCGATGCCTTCGGCGAGCATCTGTTCCAGTGGCTTGAGTAGTTGAGCGGCAGCAAGTTTGGATACAGGCCGTTGCTTGGTGGCAGCGTCAGCAATTTGGACAAGAGCCAAAGCCAGTACCTTGTTGGCCGACGAATCAACCTGCTCTTGATTTGAGAATCCTGCCTGGTTCACAGCGACATCCGCTGCCAGCAAGACAATTACGGAATACAACTTGTGTAGTACGGCTTGGTCCACTCCAGGATGCGGGAAAATGAGGCTCAAGGCTTGGTTTAAAAGAGACACCGGATTATAGTTGCCGTTGTCTCTCCATCGTTTCTGCTCTTCGTTCAACGCTTCGATACAGTCTGCTAGCCAGGTGATGTGCTTGCTGAAAGGTGTGACTGATTGTTTTGGCGTTCCATCTGGGACTGCAACAGCGTGCAGAATGTTTAAAAGACAAGAAGCGTGCCGAAGGGCATGATCGCCATCACCAAGGGTATAAGTTGGACAGCGGACGGCGCCAGTAAGGGCTCCTCCGGGCAGTAACGAGTCCAGGGTATTGTGACCGGGTAGCTCAATGTCTATAGAGCCCTTGGTGGCTGGGGAGGCCAACTTGATATGCGCCAGGATTGCTGTGTAGCAGTTAGCGCTGGCGTTGCGTGCGGGATGCCCTCATCTTACATCGGAAGTTTGCCTGCAGGTAGCCATACAGTGGGTCGCCGGCATTCCACAAGCCACCAGATGTGCTTGCTGTCACGAGAACGAAGTGGAAGAGCGACTCCAATGGAGAAGACAAGGCTGGACATCGCGGGTGTCCGAGCATCCTGAGCAGCTTGGGAAACAACCAGACCCACAGTGGCTCTGGGCCTCGATGGAGAAGGGCGGTGCCATCGGTGGTAAATGTGAGAACGATTGGAGTTTCGGTGATTGTTACCTTGAGAAAGTGAAAAGCAGTCAATGCATGGGTCTTCAGCTGCTCGCGGTCTGCGAACGGATCGTCCCACTTGAGAGCGTCGAGAATGACCCGCGCGTAGACATAGATCAGCATGTGATTGTGCTCCACATGCTCGGCCGGTGTCTTCAACGAGTCTGGCTTGTTCTTGACCCTCTCGATCTCCTCGAACAGGCGCTTGAGCTCGCTGGCCTCGTCGGGTCTCGAGGACTTGGCCGAGGTCGATATATTACCGGCAAGCTGCGCAGCCAGGGTTGACGGAGGAGCAGCGCCATTCGAGGTTGCTCCTGGGTTCGCAGCACTGTGACCGGTTGATCCAGCCCGATTGTGCGACTCGGCAGCCATCTTGACCTAATTTCTTCATCTCAAGGTCACTCGAAAGAGTGGCGCCGCACAAGTCCGTGGGCCAAGTGACACGGCTGGCTTAGGCAGAGGTTCGTCGGGGTTGAGGAGCGCGACGCGTCGGACCGGGCAGACGCGCTGTCACGAGGCCAATTTGCATGCGGTAGGCCGGTCAAGTCCAAGTGCAGCCGTGGCTGAGTCAGCAGCTTGGCTTGTACCCCGTTCACGAGGGGCGGCACTGTCCAGATGGTCGAGGCTCGTAAGCCCTGGGAATTCCAAAAGGGATTGCATGAGGGTTGACTTGTAGGGGCAGCCTTGACCTGAGCCATTGGTATGTCACCTTGATAGTGCGCGCTGCTACTCACTGTGCGATCGCAAACACCAGACTCACTGGTCTTCAACCAGCACCCTCGAGGATATCGACCCCAGAAGGCGCAACTCAAACTATCATTGATGATGTTCATCAACTCGTCATTTGACGCACGGCGAAACAGAACTGTGTATTATGATATGAGAGGGTATCCGTCTGGAATGGCGATGACAAGCGCATATCATCCGCTTGACGATCAGTCCGGTCTTCGCCACTCTATCTCTACCCATCATCCACCAGCACATCAGAATTCAGCATCCAGAACACAACTGCAGCCCCGTGGGTAAGCCTCTCGAGCGGCAGAAGTGATCTATAATTCATCATGACCTGCGACCTTGATAGTCACGCCTGGGATGTTGGCTAGTGAGACCTTCCTCTTCGCCCTCTTGGTCGGGCCGGGATCATCAGGCGCGGTTGCCGCGCCGGGAGGAGTCCACGGTTTGATGCGCCCTTGCCAAACATCCAGTCCCCACTTCTGTAGCGATTGCGAGTCCACGGGCAAGTTCCGCGGATACGGATAGATCCGGTCTTTGGACAACTGATGAACAGCCCCTGAAGGGAAGACACCAAGCTCAAGACCCATCTTCTCCTGGAGCTCTGGGTACTCCAATGGATCGACCGTCACGCAGGTCAGCGAGTCGTAGTAGCCCTTGGCAAAGTTGTGTAGTTCCATCCGAAGCCTTGATCGATCCTCTTCGGTCCTTGCAAATAGGTAAACCATGGGCCATCCACGCTGGTGCGGACGCTCCTGTCAGCCCAAGTCTCTGGGAATCATTCTCGTCTTGTGGTGTGGTGTGGTGAATGGTGGGGGGCCAGGGGGATGCACTCACATCGAGCAGCCTCTGCTGATTGTACTTGGTCAACTCTCCGACTACGGGCCTTGATGCCTCGATAACGAACTTCTCTATTGCTGCTGAATCGGTGAAGGAGGTGGCCGTTCTCGTGACCGTTCCTCCATCTCTCAGGTGGCACTTAATGGTAGGCGGGGTTGAGGCCTCCTCCTCCTTCATAACCGTGGCATCAGATACAACCCCAAAGGTGAACTCCTCTCTGTACCTTTTTGCAACTTCTGCAATGGTCTCTCGAGCTACATGGTCGTCCGGTCCAATATGAGCAACGAAAACTGTGTCATCGATGCCACTAAAGGCATCAAGATTGTCCGTTGTTACCTCCGACACGATGGGCCTCGCCAGTCGAGAGACGAAGTTTGATATACTTTACAATAGTCATTAGCAAACACTTAAAACCGGAAATTTTGGACAGTTCGCTTACCCAGAGCCGCGAAGAGTGCCAAAGTAAGTAGCGACAGCATTGCCCTTCTCAAAAGCGCGCAGGGTTGGGCGCGAGTTGACCTCGTGCTCAGCACATATGCCCGGCTCAGCATCACAGTCAATGCTTAGAAGTGAGTGATCGGATACAGAAACTGCGGACAGCCATTCATTCTCAAAAGCTTGGCTTTTCGATCTTCCCAATGGTCAGCGAAGCCCCCTGACATTTTCCCATCGGCAATAGGAGACACTCACTCGCTTGGCTAGTAGACACTCCGCCGTCAGCGTTTATTGCTTGGCTCCGGAAGCTTACACCGGACTGATACACTGAGCACTCACAGAAACAACTAGAGAGCACGATGAGGGTTAGCTCAGACTTTGTCGTCGAAAGTTGTCCACTTACAAGCCACAAGAGCGATATCATGTGCTCCAAGCGTGGACTTGAGCGCATCTGCGTCTGTGTGTTCCCAGCACCCCGCCACTCTCGCACTCAACGCTATGCAGGCCAGCCATACAATCCAGAAAGACGTCATATTCTCTCCTTTTCTTCTGGCTTAGTTGATGAGATTAAAGGAGACGGCAGTCCCGTCTGGAGGCTGATTTAAAGGCATTGAATTTGGTGGCAGGTTCCACGGTTCGCAAGGGGTGGTATAGCACCCCCCCTGCCTATAACCCTAGCCCCTGAGCTGGCTTGTTCAGGCTTAGGTCATACAGGGTATTGGAGATGTCACTGCTCGACAGAAAGCTTCTGCAGCTCCGGCAGTCTGTCGCGCAACCCGCTCGTACCATCCCACCATCCAGCAAGGCCAACACTCCACTGCGTGTTCGCAAGCCTGAGAGCTTTCCTGATTTCATCGGCCACCTCAGCTATCTAACTGCATTTGGCCTCAGCCCCGTCACAGCCGCCAGACATTTCATGATGGGCGTGTTCCCGAAGAAGAAATACGTCTCGTCCGCCGATGCAAACACCTTTGCGGCGCGCTACCGAGCAGCCCTTGCGAAGCGCCCGTTCCTCCTCTTCGGCCTTCCTTTTGTGTCGATCATAGTCGCCGGCTCGTTTGTGCTAACGCCAGCAACGGCTATTCGATACGAGAAACATGACAGGAAAGTGCGGCAGATGACCCGGGAGGAAGAGCTTGGGGTCGGCAGACAAGGGCGCAAGGTCGACATCAGGGACGAGTACTACGTGAGTCGTCGCGGCATACCACATGCGGTATGAAGACAAGGACGAATCTGCTGACGCTGCCCGTGTTTCACAGCGACTTGCCGCAAAGGACCTCGACGATTGGGAGCAGAAGCGGGTGAAGCGACTGCCAGGCGAGAACGACGGCGTGCTGTAAAACCACACCGAGCCAAGCACGTCTGCGATGGCTTGACGTATGACAAAATCTCGAAATAACATGTCAATCGGTCAAGGCGTGGTCAATGCGCCCGGCGACGAGGTCGACCAAGGACTTGGTAATGCCGAGGCACGAGGCAATTGGCCGTCACGAGGCAAACGCCAATGTGAACAGCCAGGGAGGAGCAGAATCTTGAAACATCGCAACTCGACATTACGGGAGTGGCACAGCTTTTATCGGATGAGATGAAGCGGTCGGCAAACCAAAACTCGCATGAGATATACAAGCCGCGCGATGTGCTGCAGGGATGGGCCGACGGCATGTGGGGAACGATATTTTCTCATCTGAGATCCCCAGGTTTTGACATGAAGCTTTCCTCTGCCGCGGGCCACGATCACCGAAGAGGCCGCGGGAGGAGGAGGCGGGACACGCAGTCTTTGTTTCAGGCACCGCTTCGCGCGACCTTGATCACTCGGCGCGCCACTCTCGGTGCGTCAACCGGCACTTGGCGCCCAGCCCGCCTCGACGCCGGACTGGAGATCGAAACACACACACACGCACACGCACACAAACACATCCACATGCGCGCGCGCGCACGCATCACTCACCCACACTCCCACACACGATCAGAATGGCAATGCGAGTGCGAGGTGCGCCCATGTCTCGCCACCATCGGGATGCGACGCCCGTGGCTTTACTTAGCTACATAGCTGCTGTCACGAAGCTAGAAATCAGATCTCGATCTTTTCCAGGGAGAGACGATGGTATCAACGCATCTCGGCCAGTCACGTCTGTTCCTACCGCGCCAATCATGACTGGAAACGTTTGCAGCCACAGAGGCCACCGGACTGGGCATCGGTGAGGCTCTGTGCAATCTAGCGCCCCCGGCTCTTCACTTACCAATTGCAAGTACGACAGCTGCACAGCCCCTGACCATGGAAAGGCCCCCAATTTAAGCTTCGCCGTTGACAGCTACAGCATGGAAGCAGGGAGGACCAGGGAGGCGAGGATACGAAGCTGTGAAAAGAAACTTCAATTCAAGCTACTGGAGCTATTCCGAGCACCTGGGTTCTCAATGCTGAATCCGGGACTTCTTCAGGCAGTCATCCCTGTCCGTGACGCAACGCCGCAACAGGTACGAAGGGATGGCTGTTCCACGCAATAGCAAGACATTTAATCCCCCTAATTTCCGACCAGGAACAAACACACAAGGACCGGTGACAAGCGCCTTCATTTCGATAGTGAAAAGGAGAACCAAAGCATAAACGCCTGGAATGAGCGGCCCAGGGTACGCGAAGTGATCATCTTTGACGTTACCGATGCTGGCAGAGAAAGGCGCAGGTTCCTTGAGCCGTCGTCTCGTCATCCGGTGTTTTCCATGGTTTGAAACGTCCAGTTGCGGCCGATGATCTCATTAGCTGAACAATCTCAATCGCTCGCTCGAACTCAAGGCGCGGTCGCCTGCGAGGTCTGTGGCATTCCGTTCTCAAGTCCGGGATGATGGCGGTAAAAAATAAAAAAAAATTATGTAGAGGCGTTGAGAAAAGTAACTGGTTGGACTTTTGTACCCCACATGGTGCACGCCGCACGGCGGCGCGTTCACGAGCGCCGAGGCGCCCCCAGAGGCCGCAGCCTGCCCCGTGAGCCGTCTCCTGCAAGACACCGAACACCCACTCTGTGTGCGCCTTCAGTTCTGAGATCGCGCGGGGTATGCATGCCATGGCGTGGTTGGCAAATCTACTTCCACGCTCTGCACCCTTCACCCACTGATGTGGCTGCGCTAAGGAGGCTAGGATCGCTGAACAGTCTCAGAATCTCTGGTGACCTGCCCGAATTGCATCCTGATCTACTGATCAACCACGAAGCCGGGAGCACTCGTTTCGCTCGTGGCAGCCGGTCCTGTTTCCGGATCATTGCAACAATTGAATCACAGCCAACCACCACGAGGGTCAGCTTGAATAGAGCGGCAATCCCTTCCCGATCGCGTGGCCCAGTTTTTAGGAATTGGCCACCCCCTGTCCATCCTTGCCAGCATGGGTCCCGGGTTCCGTCACCAGAAATCTGGGGGATTATGATGAAATTAATGGGTCGCTGGGGACAAAAAAAGAAGACAGAGGAGATCATTCACACAATCCTTGATTGCAGGATTATATGTTCATGACCTCAATGGCAGACGCACCACAACCAAGGCAGCCAATATTGACAGCGACGGCCGGCAGCAAAACTCCGGGCACAGGATGGCTTACACGTCAGCAGGATACGATGACAGCCCATGACAGGTTCTGCGCCCATTGGCCGTATCAGAGTTGCGGGCCCAAGACTTTTCTTTTTTCGCCGTCCGACTCACAGGAAGCGAGGATTGATTGGGTATCGTCGTCGGCTCATCTGGTCTGCTCCCTGTCTGTGGGCATTCCGGTGGCATTGGCTGACTGTCTTCGCTTCCCGTCCGATCAATCAAGGGAAGAATCACGCCTGAGGGACTGTCATCCGGGTGACGTACAGCCCCACACTAGGGCTGAGGTACGCAAGGGAAGGGTATCCCCAGCGGGTCACGACGGTCAGGATCTTGCTGTCATAGAAAAGCCCGGCACGGGCAGGTCACCGCCAGACGAAGAACCTTGGAAGTGACTAGTGCGCAAGAAGAAGAAAAAAGTTGGGGTGCATCGCCCGGACAAGTACCACACCCTCTTGCGTGTTTCTGCCATGCCCTGGCGTACCATCGGCAAACCTGTTCGCTTCACAAGCCCATGCACATCGCTAGAACGGCGATCACAAGGCAGGTTTCTAAGCAAGTACCGCTCTACAATTTCATGTACCCTCGTATCTGGGTTGCCTGCAGCAAGTGCTGCAAGGCACATCACCTGGATTGGCCGGGCTTCTCAGTCGGTGCCTTGCGGATATATCAAAGACGGCACCCCCCGCAACCCATACAGGTCACTGGCTTCATTTTCCCACAGACGGTCCTTACCATATTCTCTCACCCAACTTTGGCACATATCAGCCAAAATAAGGACTTGACTTGCAGTCACCCAGGAGTCTCTCATCAGTGATAGCAGAGACTGTCACTCTCTCACTACATTACTTCCCGCCAGAGGCATCATCACCACCCGGCCACCACACCATTACATCACCATGGTTGGCTCGGCCGGCCACAGGATCTTACGTGGGGTCCGCAGCCACAGGAAGCTGCGTACGACAATGCCAGCAGAGGAGCTGGAGGACCAGACGATAGTTCACAGGAGACAACACAGCGACGGCGCACCAGCACCCGTCTCGAGGATATCGTCGACGGAGAAGCACGCCCGAACACACTGGCCACCAATAGAGTGGGATCCACTCAAGCTCAACCCACCAGTTGCCCAAGTTCCGGACATGCCGGTCAAGTCTCGTGAGAGTCTACCCACGCAGTCATTACGATCAAAACAGTCTTACGCCGGACACGAGCTTCGGCGGCCACGGATGCACCACTCGGACTCCGGGTTCTCACTTGTGGTCCACGACGGTTTCGACTTTGGGTTCGAGAGGGAGCAGGCACTTGGCCAGATGATCCAGCGCAACCGATCGCACGAGGACGAGGTTTACTCCAAGGGATGGCCGTCACCGGCATCGAGTGTTGACTCGGGCAAGTCCTGGTTCGACCACGACGACGACGACGAGGAGGACGCGGCTGTGAAGAGGAGCAACGAGCTGTCCTCGCCACAGAGCCCTCAACGGAGGCCACAGGTTGCCTCTCCGGACGACCCAACGCATTACCTCAAGCGCGGGGGGTGGAAGCGGAGAGGCATCTACTTTGGCGGACAGACCGAAGAGGTCTACCAGAAGGAGGACGACGCCTTTGATCTTCCATGAGAAGGAAATTGTCACATGCAAGCGAGGCTGTGGGCCTCATGAACTCGTTTCTCGAAGTTTCTCGGCAGCATTCACGGTTCATCTGATTTCGGGCACGGCTTTCTTTTGTTTCTGATCTTTTATTAGCAAGCACGGAGTTTCGAGCGTTTACTTTCTGGGCGATCGATACCACTTTCCCGGAGCAGAGCATGGCACGGCATTTACGGACAGAATTTGGGTTTACTGGAACGAGCAGGCCGCGTGTAGCCTTGCAATGTTCGGGAGCGTCGGGGTCATCTCTCTACTGTTATGATACAGGATACACACACACACACAATGACACAATCTCGCGAGCCGAGAGGATAAGTCATCACAACAACAACAATAATCAGCTTACGCACGCCGGAGGCGTCGGGCTGAATCGCCCTGCATGTGCATGTTTCGAAACCTAGATAGCAGTATAAGCGGTGTACACACACCCACACTCAGCAACACACTCAACACACAAAATATTTTAATCAATATGCGACAAAGCTTCGCCCAGTCAAGAGGATGCTCGCGGACCATCGTGACTGCGACTTGAAACTCGAGCCGTTTGTGTGCCGCCTTGGTTCGACATGACCATCTACCTGCCACAAGAAGCAACGGCGCCGACGGGAGCACGACAGTAGCAGTCAGTCAGTGTTCAAGTGTCACAGGCATCCAAGTCAGCTGGTACTTGCTGGCGGCGGGGTTCCCAAACCTCCGCCCTTGGGGGCGAGGTTGAAATGAACGCAGGTACATCTCACGTCGCAAGGGCTTAAGGCCGAGGCTGCCGCTGACAGCTTCACCGTCTGTGTGGCTGATCCTCCCGCAGCAGGCTGCATCTTCCTAGCCTGCTGTTCCTTGCTTACCCCTCTCCTGCGCTGCGACAGCAGATCTCGATATGTCAGACCACACACCACCACGGGCTGCATCACCACCACCACCGCTCCGCCCTTGCGTGGAAAGGTGTGCCTGGAAAACCCCTCACCCGCATGCACGCCGCAGCCGAGTTACATTGCTTGCAGCGCACGGCGGTGTTCCAGGTGGTGTCCCCCTGGGCTTATATGCCGCATCAGGAAATCCGCAACATCGGGGGGAAAGCTGCTGCAGGCACTTCTAAGCAGCTTTGGGAGCTTCAGCTCCGCGCGGGCGGACGCCACATGCGCTCATGCGCTTGCCCTGCAGCCGTCCCGGTGCAAATCGCAATCTGCGAGATAGCAGATCCCCATCCTCTGCATCATGGGAAAGGCGTGCACCCGGCGACAGGTCCCCTGCTGTGGGATTGTCCCCTCCTCCTCCCGGATATGGGCGGCCTTCCGGGCAAAAGCAACTTTCCTGTGGGCCGGGCACCCACCCTCGTCTCAGGCCGACGACCTGCAACTGTTCATCATCAGCGCACAGCCAGCACGCAGGTTCCACGTCACCGCCGACGTCGAGGTGGTGTACGCAATTTGGGAATTGTCCAATTATTCCTGCACTGCCCAAGCTGCGAACCAGGCAGCCTGAAGGGGGGGGGGGGCTTGACTTTTCGAGCTGGTCGCAATGATCCACAAGGGGGATTTGCCCGACTATTGCCTGTGAATGCGACGCTGCCCGGGTCAGGTGAACCACCATCCGTCTGGAATGACGATGACTCCACCCAGACAGCCAGATCATGGCACGGCGGCGTGATTCGAGTGGCTGAGGGCCCTCCAAACCATGGGTGGGCGGGGTGGGTTTGGCAACTTTGTGTGGTGGCACAGGCTTCACCCTCCCACGCCTCGCTCCCACCACGGCCGGGTTCCGGGCTCTTGCGCGTTCCGCACACGGTACAACGTCCAGCAAGGACAGGCCGAGGTGAGGGAGGCGAAACTCCCACGCGGTGACGGAAAGCCTGCACAGCAGCTGGGTAGGGACGGGAACAAGCTAGGACGGATTCGTTCTAGAACAGAGGCAGCGCTGTCGCACAGCTCCGCAGCTGCTCGGCGTTCATCTCCGAGGCCGTCGGGAGAAGCGTAGCGCGGTGAGAATAGGGAAAAAAAAAAAAAAAAAAAAAAAAAAAAAAAAAAAAAAGGTCCTTCGAAACCTTGGAAACCTTAATCGTGAGGTAAACAGACTACGGTTCAGCTGGGCCGGGACGTAGCTGTTCGAGCTATGGACCCTGAGGAGAAAACCTTAACCTCAATAAGCCCCTCTCTCCCTCCCGGCCCCGGCGATGACCGCGACGGGACCCCCGGGTGCCGAGCTTGTATCCCAAACTACCAACGTCGCCCTCACCATCTCCACCAAAGAGCTGCCGGGCAGTAGCCTCAAGCCCAAGCGGGGGTTTGGCAAGCAGCTGGGCCAAGTTGAACCTTCACGCGGTCCGAAACACTCGGCACGCTGGCTGCCAAAGGAACAGTCCTGGGCACGCTTGGGCAACACGAGGCAATCTTGATCGATCGACCGCTAGCTGATCAATTGTGGCATCTACTAAGTCTAGGAAACATGGCTCGCTCTACATCTGGGGCTGCTTGTGGCTGAGGGCGTCCTCCTTCTTCTGCTGCTGCTCCCAGGTCGGGTAGTCGGTGTATCCCACGTGCGGGTCCGCCGGGAAGGGCCCGTAGAAGCGCGCCCGGTCGTACGGCGTCAGGGGCCGGCCCTCGCGCAGCCTGTCGACCAGGTCCGGGTTGCTGATGAAGTAGCGGCCAAACAGCAGGGCGTCGTACTTGCCGCTCTCGACCTCGCCCCAGGCGTTCTCGTCGTTCCAGCCGCCGCCCGACAGGAAGGGCGTCTCGCCAAAGATCTTGCGGAACTCGCTCAGGTCCACCTCGGGCAGCCCCCAGCTGTCGAGGAAGGCCTGCTTCTGCTCCTCGCTGAAGATCTGCTCGTACCGCGGCTCGATGAAGCTGACGTAGCTGAGCGTGGGGTGCTTCTTCTTGAGCTCGCGGCACAGGTGGCCCCACGTCTCGAGGCGCTGCTCGCCGCGCGCCTGGTTGAAGAGGCCGAAGGGGCTCAGCCGGATCGCGAGGTTCTCCTGGCCCACCGTGTTCGCCAGCTCGCCCATCAGCTCGAGCGCGAACCGGCAGCGCTTCTCGGGGCTGCCGCCGTAGTCGTCGGTCCGCTTGTTGATGTTGGACGAGAGGAACTGCTCCGGGAGGTACCCGTTCCCGCCGTGCACCTCGACGCCGTCGAAGCCCGCGTCCATGGCCGCCCGCGCCGCCCGGACGTAGTCGCCGATCGTCTGCTTGATCTTCTCCACCGTCATCTCGACGGGCGGGTGGTCGCGCAGCCTCACCGGCACCGACGTGTGCGGCGGCGGGTACGGGAACGTCTCCTCCGCGTCGTCCCACGGCGTGGCCGACGCCGACAGCGTCGGCGTGCCCGTCAGGTGCGGGATGTTAGCCCGCCCGGAGTGCCAGAGCTGCGCGTAGATGACGCCGCCCTTGGCGTGCACCGCGCTCGTCACCTTCTTCCACGCCTGGATCTGGTCTACCCGGAAGATGCCCGGCACGCCAGGCATGGCATTGCCCTTGGGGGAAGCATGTCAGTCTGAGTTCCTGTCCCGTGCAATATGCCAAACGGCAATGTTCAAGTGATCAGCGGCGGCTCACCTCCAGGTTGGGCGGGATCGCCTCGGATATTATGAGACCTCCTTCGGTCGAGCGCTGAGAGTAGTACTCTGCCATCAGATCATTGGGAATCCATTCTCTGTTTGGGTCCTCCGGGGTGGACTCCTTGACCGGAGTGCCACGGTTCCTCGTCAGGGGCGCCAGCACCACCCGATGCTTGAGCTGGATCTTCCCGTTGGCGATGGCCAGGGGCTGGAACAGCTTGGACCCGGCCCTGCTGACGGCAGCGTCACCCATTGTGTGTGTGCGTGCGTGATTGGCTGGTGGGAAATGTGACTTGGGCGATGAAGAACGGCCGCTGGCGTTCGGTGAGATTGCGATGGCGAGGAGGCTGGATGGATGGGTGAGATATCTGACAGGTTCTAAACTTTAACGAGCCCGACAAAGACGAATATGTCGCCCCAAGTATAAGAGCACGTTGAATTCGGAGGTAGGCCCCATTTCCGGCTGGATCGTGTGACATTGTCTCCTGCATATTCGATTCGCAGGTGGGCCAAGATCATCTTTGGGTGGGGAAGGTGATCATCTTGGACGGAGACAAATTACTGGGGTTTCTCTCCGCTGGGCCCACAGCAAACCAAAGTCATGCCGGTACTTGGAGGCTCGGCGCAAGCTCACGCCCATGCTCACGCCCATGCTCCTGGACCGTGAGGAGAGCCCCTCCATGGTTCGCTCCATGGGAAATGAAAACTAGTGCGTATGAAGGTGAAGCCCGTACTGATTCAGGACAGTTTCCAGCACCCAGAGGCTCTAACATTTCGGGCGCAACATCACCAGTTCTGGGGCCCCGCCGAAGGTGCATTAAAAGGGCTGAGCCGGACGGAAGGACATGAGTCTCTGTGACCAGGGTGCGTCCCGGGGCCATCCATCCCGGCATCCACCGCAACCACGCACTCCGGTTTGATGATGTTTCCTTCTTCGCCCTCCGGGTCCACGGAAACCGCCTGGTATACCCCGGGACCGTCTCCCGCGGCGGCATTAGCCAAGCGGGAATTTTTCCCCTGAACATCCAAATGACACTTCCGTCAAATAAGATCAGGTCATGCAGGCCCAAGGCCAACCCGCAAGCACGGGCTCTGATGCGACGCAGCGCAAGAAAAAAGAGTTTTTGCCCCAAAGAGAAGACAACAAGGCCCGCCGCCCCATTACAAGATGCGGAGCTTGGCAAACACTTAGCTACATATTGAATAACAACCGAGGGGGGGCCAGGTGTTCTTGAGCGAGGCCCCATCCACCTCCTACTAGCTAACCCGTCATACCCGTCCTCGATGATCATCCTCTCTGTCGTCTGTTGACCATCGGACGCCCTGACCGTGCTGCTTGCACATTGCTCGCGGCCGCACTAAGCACAATTCGACCCCTCGGCCCCCCCCCCCCGCGTCTCCCAGATGTCGTCCTCGTCGACGCTTGTGGGCGCCGCCCCGGCCCCCTCGGGTGTGGCGCCGAACTTTGAAGAGCCTGCGGACGTCCTCCGAACGGTCAACTATGTCACCCAGGCCCTGAGCATACTGTTCGTGACGGTGTTTATCGGACTCAAGCACTATGCCAAGTCTAGTGTCCTGCGCGGGACATGGAATCTCGAAGACTGTGAGGCGCCCGAGCCATTGCCTTGTCAGAGGACGGTCGGAAGCATCATTTACTGACATGAGAAAGACATCACATACTTGTCATATATCCTGTTCATCGGGTACTGTGTTGACAGCATCTTTGGTATGTCCTCCTCCCCGGCTCAACCCCGAGGGTAAAGACATCCGGATAGTCCGACTCACGTCAAATACCAATAGCATCTGTATATGGCGGCGGCATTAATCAATGGGAGGTAACGACGATACAGCTCCCATACTTTTTAAAGGTGAGCAACTTCCTCCTCGCGGGCTCATCACTCCGTCGCGCATGGCTGACATCGAGCCCCCAGGCCGGATATGCGGCGACCATTTTCTACCCCCCGATGGCCCTCAGCGTCAAGATGGCGCTGCTCCTGATCATCGCCAGGGTCTTCGGGTCGGTACACAAGAAGACCATCATGTGTATCTACATCTTCATGGGCCTGTTGGGCGGCTACTACTTCAGCGCCCTGGTCGTGAAGATCAGGATCTGCTGGCCGATCCACGCCTACTGGGAGGGGGACATGAGCAAGTGCCTGGACCAGCGGGCCATCATCATCGCCGACGCCATCGTCAGCGCCGTCAGCGACCTGGTCATCCTGCTGCTGCCCACGCCGCTCACGTGGTCGCTGCAGCTGCCGCTGAGGAAGAAGCTGCGCGTGGCGGGCATCCTGTGCGCGGGCGGCATCGCGACCGCTTTCTCCATCTACCGGCTCGGGATGATTGTTGCCGAGGGCAGCTCGCCCAACCAGACAGTTGTGTTTGTCAAGGTCATTCTCTCTGGGTAAGCATATTCTCTTGTTACTACGATCTCTGGGATAACCCCCCCCCCTTCTTCACTGCTATATGGCGGCTAAGTAGCTAACCCTCGTGTTCTCTTGTCTACAGCAACGCAGAAGTAGGCCTAGGGATAATCTGCGCCTGCCTCCCAGCGGTGACGGCGCTCTATACGCGGCGCAAGGGCGGCAGCGGGTACAAGTCGGGCGGGTACCACTCGGGGGCCTACGGCAACCGGTCCAAGTCGGACGCGGCGGGATTGTCCAAGAACAAGATCTACGTCAACCACTCGATCCACATAGGCACGGTACCACGGGGCGAGGACGAGGAGCAGAGGGGGTCAGCAGACCAGTGGAGCAGGAGCCAGGACCAGATCGAGCTTGTCACCAACGCGCAGGGGGTCTCCGAGTCGAAGTGGACGTGAGATGATGCGATGTGATGTGACGGGAAGGTCTCGATGGCATGAAATCAACATGGGACGGTTTGGGATCTGGACAGGAGCGGGCCGGGATGGGAATTTTGGAATTAGGACGGATACCCCCCTACCAAAGCAGCGAGGCTCGGGTAGCCGATGCAAAAAATGAGATACAACAGTAATGTCTTGAATCACAAACTTTGGAGACGTCAGGGTGCCGGAAACCATACTGGGGGCGATGTCCCGGTCGTGAGATGGCCGTCGCAGCCAATGTCATTCCACCCGGCGCAACGACCTGCGATTTTGACTCCATCATGCTCAATGCCGGGTCTCTCTGATGCACGCACATCGCCAGGGGCCAGCGTGGCCCTGGGTGACAGGGCAGAATCGGCAGCTGAATTGCTGCTCGTCAGGGCTCGGAAGAGACGACCGAGGTCGGAAGAGCTGGAACGAGAAGGTTCGCTCCGTGACTCTGTTCCCACAATAGAGTAAACAGGGGTCGAGCAAGGCTGTATCGCCCTGCAATTTTGAAACTACCAGTCGGCAGATGCTCGGCCGTTGCCACAATTATTCTGCCTGGGATCTCGATATCTATGCTTAAACCCCTGCGCCGTGCATGCTTACTTGAAGTATCCTCACACTGAAGGACCCGTTTTGGCCGGGCCCGAGAGGCGAGCGAGTAAGTCACGTCAAGGCTCAGAACCCATCAGCCTATGCTGGACGTGCTGTGGGTGGTCACGCGATCGCTCATGTAAGCAGGCGGCCGCAAATTTCCCCGGCTTCACCCATGAACAAACTTGCTGCAACCAGTCCAGCTAAGCCGACTCAAGAAATCAGATAAGCGGTGCAACAACAATGGGTATGTGATTTATCATCGTGAGTGGGTGGGAAGTGAGAGGAATATATGCCCTCCAGCCTGACCTGTCCTTGAAAGTTGCGCCTGGGCTCATGAATGTGATCGCGAGTGACGCGACGATTGTGTTTCCATAGGAATCACCACCTGCAATACTTAGTACTCATAATGGCCACCAAGATAAAAGACATACTAGGATACCTTCTAGATGAGGCAGATGCCGCGGAGGAGGAAGATGTCGAGGATGACAGTCATCACCATCATCATCATCAACATCACCACCACTACCACCACATCAAGGACCAATTAGACGACCTCGAGCCCTCCAGCCATGTCCGGTTACTACAACAGCTCCTCTGCGTCCGGCATCCAGAACCGGCTCTCCCAACAGAAATCCTAGAAGGCATAGATTCTATATTACAACAGCAGAAGTCACGAAGAGTCTTGACACAGGCAGGGTCGATCCAGTCAGCTGCAACGCTGAAGCGGGAAAACTCCACAGACGTCAGGCTGTCCCTCTGGCAGGGAGACATCACGACCCTCGCCGGACTCACGGCCATTACTAATGCCGCCAACAGTCAGGGCCTGGGCTGCTTTCAGCCCCCGCATCGCTGTATTGACAACATCATCCACTCGTTCGCAGGGCCTCGGCTGCGGCACGAGTGCAACGAGGTGATGCGGTCCCGAGGCCGCGAGATCGAGCCAGGCGAGGCCATCGTCACGCGGGGACACTGCCTGGCCGCGAACTACGTCGTGCATACCGTCGGCCCGCAGCTGCGGCGCGGTGTGGGCCCCACTGCTCTGCAGAGAGAGCAGCTGGCGCGGTGCTATGCTTCGGTGCTCGGCGCCGTCGACGGCCTTCCCGCAACGACGCCCGACGGGCGCAAGATTGTCGCGCTGTGCGGCATCTCTACGGGCCTGTTTGCGTTCCCTGCGCGGGAGGCAGCGGCGGTCGCTGTGCGCGCCGTCGCCGAGTGGCTCGAGGATCACGAGGGGACATCCGTCACCGACGTCGTCTTCGACACCCTCACCGACGAGGACGCTGCCATCTACGAGGAGGTCATGGCACGTGTGCCGCGGCAGCGGGTGGGCTGGTCGTCGCCCACACTATCGAGCGAGGGCAGACCTCAGCCACAGCCCGTGATCCGGTGTGACTCGCTGGACCGTGCGAGGGAGTGGCTTGAATCCGCAGACGCAGTCCTCGTCAGCGCGGGCGCGGGTCTGTCAGCTTCGGACGGGCTGGACTACACGTCACCGGCGCTGTTCGCGAGGCACTTCCCTGGCTTCCTCAGGTACGGGCTGCGGACGCTGTACAGCGTCTTTGGGTTCACAGGGTGGCCGACGGAGCAGGTGCGCTGGGGCTATTTTTTCACGCAACTGGCTATGGTCCGCGCCTGGCCTGCGTCGGACATGTACCGCACGCTCATCTCGTGGTTGGGGCGCCTTGAGGGGAACGCGCACGTCAGGACATCCAACGCCGACGGGCTCTTCCTCGCCAACGGGCTTGACCCTGACAGGCTGTCCACGCCGCAGGGAGCATACGCTGTGTTGCAGTGCCTGGCCAACTGCCGTCCGGATGCCACGGTGCCATCTGCGCCGCTGGTCGAGGCAGCGCAGTCCGCCCTGGACCCAGTCTCCCAGGTCCTGACCGACCCTGACAAGGTCCCTGTGTGCCAGTTCTGCGGGGGCAGGATGAATATCTGCGTGAGAGCAGGAGATTGGTTCAACGAGGTGCCATTCCAAGACGGCGAGAGGAGGTGGAAGCAATTTCGCAGGGAGACGGTGCTCGGCGGTGAGAAGACGACAGTGATCCTCGAGCTTGGCGCCGGCATGTCGACCCCAGGGGTGTTGAGGTGGCCGAATGAGGACCTGGTCGCCCGGGGCGGGGGAAGAGTGAAGCTGATCAGGGTGGGCTTGGGGCCTGAGACCGCTGTGCCATGGCGCCTGGACGAGGCTGGGCTGGCGATCAACATCGACGGTGACATTTCGGCAGTTGTTAGAGAGCTGCTGAGTAAAGAAATAGAGCCAGCAATGGCATGAGCGTACACGGTGTCAATGATTGCTGGAAAGACTCCGATTGATACCAGCGGAAACAGCCGTCTCAACCCCAGCGTAATTACAACAGGGCGGGAGAGGCATGCCAGGATAGCTCCTGAAGAATAATTTCCAAGATGTTCCAGAACTTCTTCCCATGCGTGGAAGCTTTCCAATCGGCCGCGCCCAGGCGATACCGCCGTTTAGCCATGAAACTGTCCCCTCGGGGGTTTGCCATTTTGCGCAGCGACCAGCGCGTCTGCCAATGCAACGCTGAGGTCACAACGATATATGCAAGGCTTCTGGATGCCGTCGTACTCGTTCCTGCAGATCGGGCTGATCCTGTCAAGGATCTTCCCACATCGTTTATAAGGTTGCACCCGGACGGCCGGAGCACAGACGAAGGGCTGTCGGAGGAAGAATTCCGACCATCGCTATGCGCGTATAGGACGGCCTCGCATTCTATAGGACTTGCGTTATGGGGGTATTCCCCAAGAAACCAGGCACAAGAAATCGCATGAATCTGCAAGCAGCCGGCGATCGGGTCCGAGACTTTTGGTAGTTCGGATCGCCTGAACACGCGGAACGTCACTCATTTCTTCCCATTAGACTCATCTCTTCTTGCCCGGAAATCATGAGTGTCAGCGTGGCAGAAAAGAAGGGATGACACGCTCGCCGATCTATTTCCAATGGTGTAAAACAATAGATTAAATATCAATTCTGAGCCGCAGGTCACTCGGGATCAGTGTTTGGCAGGCTGCTTCACCCCTGCACTACAGCACTTGGCCTGTTGGAATTCTCCATTCATCGAGGATCATGAGGGCACAGTCCATCCTAGTGCAGCGGCTCACTGTCATCCTCAATTGACGCGTCTGCGAACCGACAGTCAAGCGTTACCCTGTGCCTGTGTGCCCTGCGAGATTGCAGAATCAAGGCAAAGGCTGAGCCACGCGAGCCACGACATTACGTAGAACCTGCTCGATGCTCTCCTTCTTCAGCCCCTGCTTGACATCGCCGACCGTCCAAGTCCAAGTCCTAGTCGCAGGCTTGGGCTGGTCGACGACCCAACTCCCAAAGAGGTGCAGCTCGGGGTGACCGAGCTTCGAGAGGATGACTTCAAAGCGCAACTGTTCCCTAGCGTCGTTGCTGTTCTCGAGGGCGACCCCGGAGATGTGCTTTGCCCATACGATTGGCAGCTCGTCCTCGTCGCTCGGCGACGGTGCTCTGGCAGTCAACACAATAGTGCTGGCACGGTCGACCAGGACCCGCGCAACGGCTTGTTGCAGGTAGTATTTGAGATCGCGTAGTGTGTATCCCTCGCCCTGAAGGTGAACTGGAGGGTATGCTTTTGAAAGAGGGTTTGTGCCTCCCTGCGCCGGCGGTAGGATGGAGACGTGGTAGGGTGTCGCAATGACGTTGCCCATGACTGTTTTGCAGTGAATAAGAAGTCGAGACTCTGGTGTGATGTTCAGTTCATACTGAAGCTCCAAGGGCCCGAAGAGTGCTTGGATGAGGGCCTCTGACGGAGACCCATTTGTCGAGGCCAGATCCAAGGAGATGGGCGGTTCGACCAGTTTAAAATTCACTGTGGCGATCCCTGCGGAGTGCAAGATGGTCGACAAATCCGAAATGAAGCGCGTGGCATCGTCGATAGATGTTTCGTGCTGAAGATTGGCGAGGACGGGACGTAGGAGAGGATATGGCGACATTGTCGTGGATTGGTCTCTGTTCTTGGAATCAGGGCGCGATCGCCTCTGGTTGTTGATGCGATGCGCATAGGTCAACAACTGGTGCAGAGCCGAGCTCAGAGATTCGGCACGGTAGTCTTCTGGAAGGGTTTCCGAAGCGCCCTCCTCAACGGCTCGTTCAAGTGGCTGTAGACTAAAGACGATCCGAATATCGCCATTCAGAGTATATGAAAGCGCGTCATTCTCGAGCCGAACACCGTAAGCCTGTAGCAGGCGGCCCTCGCGATTCATCTCATGCCACAATTCCTGCGCGAAGATGGTGTTCCTGGCTTCGAGAACCCTCTCCTCCAACGGTGCATCTTGTGGAAGCGGTCTTGGGAGCAAAGACCGCCCGACGATCCGGTGGTTCTTCTCGAAAGTGACGAGTAGACGCTGGGATTCACCAAGCATTTTCCCACAGTCCAGGTCGACGGTGCCGTCGTCACCGCGTCTCATCGGCGCGAGGCTTGTATTTCGGAATCCGGGCGCAGCCTCCGAGAAGCCATACCTGACACCAAGGGTCTCTGGCTCGTTGGGAACGCGTGTGACAGCCCAGCCTTTCTCACTGACTGCGAGGACCTCGGCCCAGTATTTGGTCTCGACACTAATTTCTTTCTGCAACCGAGAGGCGGATGTGAGAACAGAGTTCACCGCCCTGTCGATATCTGTCAACTTCCAGCCCGTGGCTACCAACTTATGATCCAGCAGACGCTGAGGTGTGACATTTGAAGCAGCTAGTTTGTCTGCGCCGAGGCTGCCAATGCCGACGAGATCTCGGAGTGCTGGGGAGACCGTATCTTGGGCTGGTCTTGGGTTCTCCTTTGTGATCAGCAATGAGACGAAGTCGAGGGCGAGCATGGCATTCTGGTGCGCGGTCCTGCTAACGGGTCAGCAACTTTGCACTGATCTAGATGCAAGGCGACGGCTTCGTACTCGGCATGGAGTCGCACATCTCCAATCGCCTGGTGCAGGTCCTCGATCCCAACCTGGTCTGCGCCTTCGTCGTCCTCAGCATTGTTTCCTTCCCCGTCGCCGTCACCATCCGCGCCCTCGCCATTGGCCATGTCGACTTCTTTCGACTCCAGGATGCCATTCGCTTCTGCCTCTGCCTCCATCTCTTTGCGCAGGCTCTCCTCTGTGACATTTCGAAAACCTCGGTCGGCATTTACGCGTGCGATGAATTCACCCAGGTTCTTTGGCCGGCGATCACTCTGAGGCACCGGCCTCAGGACGAACGACTGGGCTGGGTTCGACGCCATGTTGGCAGCGGGAGTGGATAGAGCGCAGGTGCGTCGTTGGAATTGTGCTCTGCAGTGGTCGGGACGCGGCGCTGTGCACGATACAGGTGAGAGGCCGAGCCCGTGGCTCAATTCGATCCGTGTCAGGAGTCGCGCATGGGCGACCTTGGGGTCTCTTGGTGGCTGCCCGCGAACCAGGCAAGCTGATCGAATGCGCCGCCGTGGAGACGTAGGAGCTGGAAATAGTTGAAGTGTTGTGCACGGTAGTCTTCAGTAGTTCCCCGACGGCGTCTCTCGTGGTCGCGAAAATGGGAGGATTTTGGGGTCGTGTGGGTAGGAGTGCTCATAGGCGAGCTGTCGACATGCGCAGCGGTATGGACCGAGGTTGAAGCTGTCGCGAGAATGTTGTTGCGGAGCTGGAAAGCAGCTCCAGCGCAAATACCACCCCTCATGCAGTCGCGATTGACGAGCCAATGGGGGAGGTTGCAGTCCAAGCTCCCGCTGGCAGGGGGTTGCGGCCGCTAAGTTTAGCGGGCTGCCAGGCTTGACAGCGGGTGGATCATCTACGTACCTACCTACTCTCATTTGCAATTAAACGTATCAAAATGGCGCTAGCGACTTGCACATAACACACCACATTAAAAATTATATGTACTTATTATGCCGCTAGTTAATACTCTTAATATTATTAATTTATACACTTACTAAGGTTATTATTACCATTAAACGCTTATATATTAATTGCTATATATAGCGGTTACCCTTAAATGTAATTTCTTGCCCTTTAACTTATCGTTAAGGTTTACAAAAGCTGTTAATGCTTTGCTAAAGCTTTAAAAAAGTATAATTAATGCTAAGCATTATTTATTTATATATAATTATGGCTAATAAGAGTATTTATATGCTATAAGGCCCTTAAGTAAGGTTATTATTATATATACCTTAAAGTTAATTTTGCATAATAATTATAAGCTCTTAAATTATAGCCCTTATTAATTACAATCTTAGCTTAAATATTACATTATTTTTAATAATAATCCCTTAAAGTTAATAAGTATAATACTTATAAAGAAAAAGAATATTATATTTATAATATTTAGCGATCCTTTTATAAAAAAGCTTTAAATAATTATTAAGCTAAAGGCAAAGCCTTCTTTACTATTACTAATAAAGCCTGCTTAAAAGCTATTAATAAGGAAAAAGTTATTGCTATTAAAGAAGATACTTTTAAAGCCATTCTTACCATTATTATTGCTAAAAAGTAACCTTACTAAAAATAATAAAAAGGAGCTAAATGCTTTTACTTATATTAATAAGAACTCCTTTGTTAACCTCTTTATTAACCCTTTTATTATTAAAAATAATAATATTTAGGAAATTATTAAAAAGGCTGCTATTAATAGCTTTCCTTATAATAATATTAAGATTAAAATACATATAAATATAAAAGTAGCTTTTTCCTTTTTTTTAGCTAACTTAATTAATTAATTTAAGAATATTTCTTTATTTATTTTCTTAATGAAATATTTAAAAGAGTAATATAATAAATTTAGCGGTTTTTTTATTAATTAGCTTAATAAGTAGCTTAAGGATTTTAAAAAGCAAGTTACTATTAACTTTAAAGGCTATTAAGTAAAGTATAACTTCCTTGCTATAATAATTTAGTTAAGAAAAGGCAATATATTAAAACTTATATATTTTAATTAATAAGTAATAAATGCTAATCTTAAGATTATTTAATTATTAATATATAACCTTATAAAGTAAGTTAATAGCAAGGTAATACTTATTTTAAATATTATATACTTATTTTAAATATTTATTGCGCTTTATATTATCTTAAGGCATTAATAAGGTTTAACTATGCTATTATTAATGTTTAAAAGCTTTATTAATATTTAATCTTATAAAATTAAAGAAGCTATTATTATAAAAGTAAAAGAAAACAATTTATTTTAAACTAAGCAGTTTAATGTTAATATTAATAATGTTTTTTAGCTAAGCAATTAATTAAGTTTTTTATTAAGGTTTATAAGAATTATAATTATGCAAAAGGCTATTATTGCTTAAAAAAACGCTAAAACTAAGTTATTTATTTAATTAAGTTAATAGCTAAAGTATTATAATAAAGAACATTATTTTAATTATAAAAAAAAGGTAAAATTAATAATATAATGCTTTATTAAAGGGAATAAAATATATTTAGCCCTTATATATAATAACTTACTTAAGTAAGCTAACTTAATTAAAAAAAAGCAAAAAAAGGCTTTTTTAAACTATATTCCTAAGAGTATATATAATTAAGCATTATTTTATTATATTAATTAAAAGTAAGGCAATTAAGCTAAAGTATTTAACGCCCTTTTAATCCTTAAGCTAAATAATAATATTTTCTTAGCTATATTAAAGTACTTAAGTAAAGCTAATATGCTTAAGCTAAGCAAAGGTAATATAAACAATAAGAATATTATTAATATTAATAAAGGCAATAACAATAATAATTAGCTTATATTAATACTTATAAATACCCTTAATGGCCATTTAATGCCTTAACAATTAGCTTTATTACCATTAGCATTATAAGCAACTAAGCATGTATATATATTGCTTATAACTCTTTCTTTTATTAAAATATTAATAATAAGGGTTACGCTACCTTTGCTATATTATTTATTAATATTTTCATTATCCTTAATAATACTTAATAACCTTAAGGGTAATAAGCTGCTAAATAACTTTTTTTAATATATATATTATTAAAAAGCCTGCTATTATTAAGAAAAGCAGGAAATAAATTACTTAGCTATAAAGCTTTAAAATATAAGCTTAAGTATACTTAAGAACTTCTTAATATAATTAAATAAGTAATTTATTAATTATTAGTTTAAAAAGGATTTGAAAAGCTTTTTTTATTAATATATAAAGAACTTTATATAAAAATGCAATATGCTAAAGAAAGGCATATTAAACTTATCGGCATTTTTAAAAGCAATTAAGGGCTTTAAAAATAATGCTATTATTAAAAGTAATTAATTACAGCTTATTAATTATATGCAAAAGGATATTTTAAAAATTACTTTTATTATTATAATAATAATAAGTAAAAAGTAGTAAAGTTAATATTAATGCTTATAATATAATAAGTTTTGCAAACCAGCTTAACTTACCTATACTTATTATGCCTTAATATAAAATATTAATTTCCTTTATAAATTTAATATTAATTGCAATAATAATATTATTAATAAAAAGATAAAAAGCTAAATTATTTAATATAAAAATTATATTATATTTAAGATTTTTTTTAATAATATTATAGCAATTTAAAGTTAATATATATATATAACATACCTACCTTAGCTTATACCTTTTCTAGCTATATAAACCACCCTTCCTATTACCTTTTATTTAATAATAAAGAGCTTTTAATAATTTAAAGCAATGATAATTAATATATTATATAATTAAAAGGTTATAAGTTTAATTTTATTGCTTTAAATTATTAAAAAGATTATTATTATTAAACCTTTTTTTTACCACTTAATAATATTTACCCAATACCTTTTTATATTATTAATACTTAAAAAAGCAATTTTATAAAATATAATTATAACCTTTAAATAGCCTTAATACTTAGTAATTAATTAATATACTTTTTTTTTAAATTAAAGCTAATTTAACTTAATTATTATATATTAACGTTAACCCTTATATAATTACTTAGCTATAAGTATTAACTTATATCTTCCCTTATTTATAAAGTTATTACTTTTTAATGAAATATATTAATTATTAAATTAATTTATTAGCTAATTAATATAGCTATAATTAAACTTAATATATAATAAAAAAGTTATAAGTTTAATTATAAGTATGTTAATTAAGCATTAAAATTAACTTATAATTAATATACTTTTTTATATATATCTTTTATTTTAACTACCTAGGGCAACTACCTTTTTAACATTATATATATATAAAATATTACTTATTTAATAACGTAAAAACAAGGCTATTTAATATAGAAATTATATTATATATATAACTTTTTTTAATAAAGATATAATTATATAAAGTTAATTATTTAAATGCTAATTATATTAATATTATATATTATTATTTTATGCATTAAGTGCATTTAATTGCCTTTAAGGCAAAGACCTTTTAATAAGCATTTAAAAATAAATAATATATTATTTAATTTATTTAATTAAGCTTTCTTTTATAATATACTTTTTATAAATATATGCCTTATAACTATTAACATATATTAAGTTATAATTAAAGCATTATAGCTAACTTAATTAATAAGCATAATAATATATATTATTAAAAACATTTAAGTTACTTATATATTATAATGCTTATAATAATAATTAAAGCTTAAAAACCATATATATTGCTAATGCATACATTAAAGTATATAATTAATTGGCTATTTAATTGGTTTAAGCTTGCTTTAGTTTAAAAACCATAGCTTTTTAAAAGTAACCTTAAATTACTTTTATATTTAAAGCAACCTTATATATTAAGTTAATAAGAAATTACTATTAATTCTTTTATATATGCTATTAATCTTTATAATATTAAAAATAGCGATAAATATACTTTTTAAGATTATTAAAAAATGCCTTAATTAAGTTAAAATTAAGTAAGTATAAAGGTAAATATTTAAGCTAAATGCTAGCTTAATTATATACTTATTAAAGGTTATTATAAAAGTAAAAATTAACATTATTTATTATTAGCATTAAGTTAAGCCTTAAGAATGGCAATATCTTAAGCAAAACCTTACTTTTAATAAAGTTAATAAAGCCTTAACTATTTATATTACTTTTATATATAAATAACTTAAATATGCCTATAATTATAAATATTAAAAGTACTTAATGCTATATATTGCAATCTTTACTACCTTTAAATATAAGTTTCTTTAGCTTAATACCCTTTAATAACCATCTTATATATTATAGCTTATTTTTTTTATTTATATTAAACTTATTAATAAAGATAAATTAGTTTATATAAAGTTCTTAAGTCTTAATAATTTAATTAGCTTAAATAAGGTAGTTTTATTAAGTAGTAATTATACTTATAGTTTTCTTATTTTATTTAATTCCCTAAAGTACTTAATTAATAATGCTTATAAAAATAAATAAGTTAAAGTTTTTTAATAATTATTATTATATTTTATTTTAATATAAATTATTCTTTAAAGCAAGATAGTTAAGAAGGGCCTAAGCAATAAAATAATGTATTAAAAAGAATGGATATTTAAAACTTAAATTATATATATTATAATAAAAGTTAGTTAATTAAACAGCCTTATATAAATTCCTAAGCTTAATAATAATACTAGTAATTAAAGTCCTTTTCCTTAACTTATAAATCTATACTTTAAAGCACTTTATAATTCTTATAATAATAACATTATTTATTTAGTTAATATTTAATAGTTCTTAAATTATATGGAGCTTTAAGAAGGTTAAGCGATGAGATATAGTTATAAAACTACCATAGATTAATTTGTAATAATTAAAATATATAGCATAGCAAAAGACATAGCATAATAAAGGTTATGGGATAAGTAATTATGGTTAATAGTTAGAAAGGGCACGGTATAATAAGTGCATATAATTTTTAGTATGGTATGTTATATGCAGGCCGCTAACGCCATTTTGATACGTTTAATTGCAAATGAGAGTACAAACATACATACATAACACGGTTGAAGGCAGGTTCTCAATCCATTGTACGGTTACAAAACGGTCAGTCTGAGGCAGGACACGACATCACACCATCTCTGGGTTGCGAGGGCATATCTAGATCTACCTAGGCAGTCCATACCTATCTATTGCCATCTGAGTGGATTGTCTCCTGGTGTCTAATTATTTTCAGTGCTGGGCTCGGTTCTGGCTTGACACCTGATCTCCCACAGCCCGTTCCTGTAATTAAGCTCCAACTTCTAACCTGCAGGGTGACATTGCCATCGGAGGGTGCCTACGTAGCCGGCTGCCATAGGTGCCCAGCATGAGGCTGCAAGGCGTGCATACATCACCCTCGGCATCACGCCAGGACGGACATCGGCCATGCCCCACGTTCCCGAGATTGCTCACCCCATTTGCGAGAGCAGGCCCTGTCGGCCCTGCGCGAGGCTGGGTTCGCCCAAGTCGGGCGTAAGCGGCTGCAGGCCAGGCCTGGGCCTCAGGGCCTCCTGGATTAAGGTACAATAGAGATGCACAGACATGAGGAGAGGAAGAGACACAGACACAGGCTGATGGGTGTGGGTTGACACCGCGACGTATGACTTGCTTCAAAGTTTTCCTTGTAGTGAGGCCACCGTCTCGAGACACTGCTGGGTCCAGTCCCACTTGACAAGCTCAGTGTTACAGCGGCATTTCAGCGAGACAGCGCCGTGCTACAAGGGAGAGCAGGAAAAGTCGTATGAGGGATTAAGTCCCTGCGGTATGAAGTCACTCCAAGAGTTTTTCGGTGGTGGGTGATGGTGGGGTTGACGTTGACAGCCCGCCCAGATAAGATAAGAGCTATGATGTCCCTCCCTCCTCCCTCCCTCCCACTTGCGCGCGCTCACCCGAGCTCAGCTTGCTCTGACCTGCATTGCCTTCGTCCCACCTTGACGCTGCTATTTCCTTGTCTTCCGGTGCAGCATATCCCGTTGTTGACTGCTGCTCAACCCCGAGGCGCTCTCCTCATCCCTCACCTCCCTCAAAATCCTGATCTCGCTTGTCTCTTGAACCCCTCAAACGCCCCGTTGCGGTGACTCGACTCAACAGCGCCACTCAGAAACATAAAACACTCGTCTTGCCCCGCCAGCTGTGAGCCAAGCTTCTGGTGGGCTACGAGTGCAACTTCGTGGTTTCATTCCGGTAAGTCAGGTCAGACACCCAGTCAGACAGTTTGGTACCCCCGGGAGATGAGAAGGGACGGGACGACACGAGACAATCAGAAGAGGTGCTCAGGCACGCCTGAACGCGCCTGGGCACTCGCCAACCAAATACCAGCCATTTCACTTTCTCTCAGTCTCAAGTCTCACTCTCATCCTCCATCTTCAATTTCCCCCGCAACAGCCGACGACAGCGACTGACCATCACCTAGAACCTGATTGCATATCTAGCCATTGGAACACACCTCGCCAGATAAGACTCGAACATTACCGGGCGAATATTATCGGGCACAATCCCAACCCTATTACCCCCAGATTCCACTCAAATAGGACAACATGGCGCCTGTCAAGAAGAAGATCGCCATCATGACCTCGGGGGGTGACTCCCCCGGCATGAACGGGGTTGTCCGGGCCTGTGTCCGCATGGCATTGCACATGGGCTGTGATGCCTACTGCGTCTACGAGGGCTACGAGGGCCTTGTCAGGGGAGGTGACTACATTCGGAAGATGGCGTGGGACGACGTTCGTGGCTGGCTCTCCGAGGGCGGCACTCTCATCGGCACCGCCCGCTGCATGGAGTTCTACGAGCGACCCGGCCGTCTCACTGGCGCCAAGAACATGATTCTCAATGGCATCGACGCCCTCATCATCTGCGGCGGTGACGGCTCCCTTACCGGTGCAGACAAGTTCCGGGCCGAGTGGCCATCCCTCCTGGACGAGCTTATCGAGAAGAAGGAGTTCACCAAGGAGCAGGTCGCCCCATTCCGCCACCTGAACATTGTGGGCACCGTTGGCTCCATCGACAACGACATGTCTGGAACTGACGCCACCATTGGTGCCTACTCTGCCCTTTCGAGGATCTGCGAGATGGTCGATTACATCGAGGCCACCGCCTCTTCACACTCCCGTGCCTTCGTCGTCGAGGTCATGGGCCGCCACTGCGGCTGGCTGGCACTCATGACCGGCGTTGCAACCGGTGCTGACTTTGTCTTCATCCCCGAGAAGCCCAGGGAGGACAACTGGAGGGAGGAGATGTGCGCTATTGTCAAGAAGCACCGCAGTCTGGGCAAGAGGAAGACCATCGTCATCATTGCCGAGGGTGCTCACGACAAGTACGGCGGCAAGATTTCTCCCGACATGGTCAAGGACCTCCTGGCAGACCCCAAGGGCCTCCACCTTGACACCCGGATCACCACCCTGGGACACGTTCAGAGGGGCGGCACGGCTGTTGCCTACGACCGAATGCTTGGCACCCTCCAAGGAGTCGAAGCTGTCAAGGCCGTTCTTGAGGCCACGCCTGAGACTGAGACTTGCTTCATCGCTATTACCGAGAACCAGATCGTGCGAAGGCCACTCATGCAGGCGGTACAGGACACAAAGGCCGTGGCCAAGGCTATCGAAGCTCAGGACTTCGACAGGGCGATGGCGTTGCGGGACACCGAGTTTGCGGACCAGTACAAGTCATACATGTTGACAACAACGGCAAACCTCAGCAAAGAAAACATACTTCCCGAGAACAAGCGCATGAGGATCGGTTTCATCAACGTCGGAGCACCAGCTGGGGGCATGAATGCGGCCATTCGAGGCGGTGTGGCTTACTGTATCTCCCGTGGACACGAGCCTGTTGCCATCTGCAACGGATTTGCCGGCTTCGCAAGACATCACGGCGATAAGCCCTTAGGTGCTGTCCGTCCTTTCGACTGGCTCGAGGTCGATGGCTGGGCAAGCAAAGGTGGCTCTGAGATCGGAACCAACCGAGAACTGCCCAAGGAGTCCGGGATGGAGCTGATCGCCGATCTCATCAAGCTGTACAAATTCGACGCTCTCTTCCTCATTGGCGGGTTCGAGGCCTTCCACGCCGTATCGCAGCTTCGCATCGCCCAAAAAGACTTCCCCTCGCTGCGGATCCCTATGACCGTCCTGCCTGCGACCATCTCCAACAACGTACCCGGTACCGAGTACTCCATCGGCTCTGACACCTGTTTGAACGAGCTGGTCAACTACTGCGACAAAATCAAGCAGTCTGCCTCTGCTGCTCGCCGTCGTGTCTTCGTCATCGAGACCCAGGGCGGCCGGTCCGGCTACGTCGCGACGCTCGCCGGCCTCGGTGTCGGCGCCGTCGCCGTGTACACTCCCGAAGAAGGCGTCAGCCTGGGCATGCTCGAGGCGGATGTTAGGCACTTGAAGGATGTATTCGCCAAGGACAAGGGCCAGTCGCGTGCTGGTCGCCTGATCCTCATCAACGAGAAGGCTTCGAAGGTGTACAACGCCAAGCTTGTGGCAGACATCATTCGCGAGGAGGCGCACGACAGATTCGAGTCCCGTGACAGCATCCCCGGCCACGTGCAGCAAGGTGGCGTTCCCTCTCCTATGGACCGATCCAGAGCCGTGAGACTTGCGATCAAGTGCATCCAGCACCTGGAGAACTTCGGCAAGAACGCCGCAGAGCGTGTCATGTCCGACCCGATGGGAATGTCCGTGATCGGGATCAAGGGCGCGGACGTGGTCTTCACGCCCATGCAGGAGGTTGAGGAGCAAGAGACCGACTGGGCAAACCGACGGCCAACGAAAGGCTACTGGTGGTACATGAAGGACGCAGTCGATATCCTCGGCGGTCGTCCAGATTACCCCAAGCCCGAGAAGAGGCTGTCTGGCTTAGCGGCAAAGGATGCAAAGCGCGGTATATAAGGCGCAGTGGTTCACGACGGAAAACAGACGGGGCAATGGGTTACAGGACAGGAGTTACCAAGTATTACTTTTTTCACATACCTAACAGGTAGCACCCACCTCAATGGACATGACGTTACGCTCACATCTCGCAAGGAGCTTTAAACATGATTATTTACGCGTAGACCTGCACAAAATCTGCGGTTGAAATTGGTCCAATGGTGCCCTGAATCATGCAACAAGCGCAGTATCCACATAGCTCGACCACACAGAACGGACCCGCAGCCTTTCATCACTCGACCCTAGGCTGTCGTTTGGGGATTCCATGATGTACATCTGGACTTTTGGTCTTTACTCGCCTTTTACATACGTGTTCGCCAAAGCAAAAGAATGCCGAACACGGAAGCAGGGGTCATGGAGGAAATTGTCGTAGCAGAGCAACATACAATGTGTAGGCAACCCGATGCCAAGATAATCTGGACGAGACAACACTATCAGCGTCCATATGAGCCGTATGTGGTTCACTCGTGCAATGCATCGCAACATGTCCATGATTCCTCATTCTCACGGGAGTCTGGAGCCTTGTCCCGACTAAAATAGAGTTTCCCTCTCAGGGGTACACCACTGGGCAGGGTGTCGACTCTGAGAATGACTCGCCTGTCGAACCCAGAGATTCGGCGCGTCGATCGTCGAAGCTTATCCGTCAGCTTTCAAGGACACATGGTATGAGATGAACTCACCGGCTTTCGCTGGGGAAACATGGCTCTTATTACCGGAGGTCCTTCACATGTTGATGTGTGGACTGAAGCCAGAGTGTAGCAGACTGCTTCCCGAGCAACATCGAATGTCCTCCCGGGCTCCCGGATCCACTGGGGGTCCCGAAGCAGGCACATTGACGACGACGGGAAAGAAGACGTCGTGCAACTTTATTTGATGTCGCCAAGGGGTGGATCCAAGCAGTGGGCACCTATTAATACGCAAAAGCGTCGCCAACACACCTTCATCTCCGCGCCCTCGCCATCAGCGTACGTCTTCACGGCAGCACAGTCACTCATTCAACAACTTTCTTTCGTTCTTCTCGTCCACGAACCTGGATCCGCAAGGAATTCCCGACGTCCTTCTTTCGTCTCATAACCCACGACCACTCCGAGGCAGCCAGCCAACATGCGCGCATCCTTCGTGTCCAGCCTGGCGCTCGCGCCCCTGGCCCTCGCCCAGACCGTCAACATCACGAAGACGGAGGACGTCGACCTGGCAGCCAAGACCGGCGAGCTGGGCTGGGGCGCCGACAACCTCGCGTTTGGTTACTCGGCGGGCGCAGGCCTCAACTTCTCATCCGGTATGCCTTTCTTTCTCCCTTCCCTCTCCCCCGACGGTCGCCAGATAATTACTGGAAGAGTATGTAGCTAATATGACCCGAAAACTAGACTCTGTGGGAGGCGGCTTCAATGCCGGAGTCCCAGGACAGTCCGAGGGAGCCCTGGGCGGCGGGTGGACGCTTACCAACTCGACAGTCGAGTTTGGCCTGGGCGGCGTGTTCAACAACCAGAGCTTCAACGTCGCAGTCACGGGTGACAAGGAGACCGGGCAGCTTACGGTCACGGTCAACGGCAAGACGGTTCCGCTGTGAGCAGCCTTGATACGGCTGGGGGTTGAGAGTCCCTAGGGGCCTGTAGGGCCTAGAGACAGACACGGAACCATATTTCAGCCATTTTGGCAGGGTTGAAATTAGTTTAGTTTAGTTTAGTTAATGGGTCTAACTAAAAACTAAAAACTAAAAAAAAATTAGTTTTTAGTTTTTAGTTTTTTAATTATTAAGTTTAACTTAAAAATTTTTTAAAATAAATAAAATAATAAATAAAAAAATAAAAATAAATAAATAAATAAATAAATAAATAAATAAATAAATAAATAAATAAATAAATAAATAAATAAATAAATAAATAAATAAATAAATAAATAAATAAATAAATAAATAAATAAATAAATAAATAAAAATAAATAAATAAATAAATAAATAAATAAATAAATAAATAAATAAATAAATAAATAAATAAATAAATAAAAATAAATAAATAAATAAATAAATAAATAAATAAATAAATAAATAAATAAATAAATAAATAAATAAATAAATAAATAAATAAATAAATAAATAAATAAATAAATAAATAAATAAATAAATAAATAAATAAATAAATAAATAAATAATAAATAAATAAATAAATAAATAAATAAATAAAAATAAATAAATAAATAAATAAATAAATAAATAAATAAATAATAAATATATATATATTATATTTATAATATTATAATATTACTTTTACTTTTAATTTTATATTTAATTTATTAATTATAATAATTATTTAATTAATATAAATATCTTTTTTTAAATATATATATTAAATTCTTTTAAAAAAAACTAATAACTTAAACTTTTATTATAACTTAATAATATATAGTATTAATTTATTTTTAAAAAATAAAACATAATGTGCTTAAAATAAATTATTATTAAGGGGTATAATATTTATTATAGCTTATTATTATATTTATATAATAAGGAAATAAACTTTTTTTTTAAAGATTTTTAAAATTTTTTTTATTTATTATTTTATTTATAAATTATATATTATTTTTATTAAGTTTTATAAAATTTTATATTTTATATAATATAATTTTTTTTTATATAATTAATTCTTTAAAATACTTATAGCTTTTTAAAAATAAAGGTTTTAATATATTTATATTAAATTTACTAAATAGCAATTACTTATTTAAAATATAATTACTTTCTTTATGCTTTTTACTTTTAGCATTATTACTTAAATATAATTATTAATATTTCTTTATATAAAAAAACTTAAAATTATATAAAAAATACTTTTTAATAAGTTTTATATATAATTTAATAAATAAAATATTATTTAAAATTATTTATTTTTTAAAAAAATAAATATAAAAAGATATATTATTTTTATTTTAAATATAAAAATTAAATATTACTTTATATAATTATATAATAATATTAAAATTTTTCTTAATATAATAATATTATTTTTATATATAAAAAGAAATCTTTAAAAATATTATATATAATTTTATTATCTTTATTTATTAAAACCTATTTATCTTTATAAATATTTTATTTTAAAATTAAATATAAAGCTTATTAAAGCTTATTTACTTTTATAAATACTTTATTTTAAAATTAAATATAAAGCTTATTAAAGCTTATTTACCCTTATAAATACTTTATTTTAAAATTAAATATAAAGCTTATTAAAGCTTATTTACTTTTATAAATACTTTATTTTAAAATTAAATATAAAGCTTATTAAGGCTTATTTACCCTTATAAATACTTTATTTTAAAACTTACTTTTAAAACTTAAATATAATAAATATATTTAAAATTAAATTTATAAAATTTAAAATAAATAAATTTAATTAATAAGCTTATATAACTTATATAATAATAATAATAATAAAACTTTATAATCTTATATTTTTATATATAATAATATTTAATATTTATTAAAAGTTTTATTAAATATAATAAAATTTAAAAATTAATAATATATAAAATATTTTTAATAAATAAAATTTTCTTTAATAATATAAAATATATTTTTTTTTCTTAAATATTAAAATAAGTTTATAAGTTTTTTTTTTTAATTAATAAATAATTATTATAATTTAATAATAAAGTATATAATTATAATAATTATTTAAGTTATTATTAAGAAAGAATTAATTTATTTTCTTTAAAAAGCTATAATTAATATTATATTAATTTATAATTATTAAAAGCCTTAAAAAATATTTTAAAACTTAATAATTTAAGTTTTATTATATTATTTAAACTTTAAAAAGTAAAGTTATTTATTAATTTATTAATATAATGCTTTAATTATAAGTTATTTTAAAAGTAAATTATATATTTTATTATATATTTATTTTATTTATTTTTTTAATAATTATATAATTTTAAAAAATAATTATTAATACTTATATATTTTTATTTTTTATAAATTAAATTATAAAGTTTATTAATTTATATATATATATATATATATATTATATAGTTTTAAAAATAATTATTAATATTTATATATTTTATTTTTTTATAAATTAAATTATAAAGTTTATTTAAAATAAATAATATATATATATATTATAAATTAAATAAACTTTATAAAATATATTATAAAATTTATTAATTTATTATTTTCTTTAAATCTTTAATTTCCTTTTTTAACTTTTAAATATTATTAAATTTTTAATTCTTTAATAATATTAATTCCCTTATTATCTTTATATTAAGATTAATTCTTAACTTAATAATAATATTATTAATAATAAAAAATATTCTTTTTATAATAATAAATATAATTAAAATAATAAGATATCTTTAAATTAATATACTTAATATAAGGTATTAAAATTTATTATTTTTTTAATATTTTAATAAATTTAGCTATTTAAATATTAAAATTTATTTTTAAAAAAATTTAAATCTTTTTTTAAAATATATACCTTAAAATTATAAATAAGTTTTTATAAATAAATTATATATTCTTCTTTATTATTATTATTAAAAAGAATTAATATATATTTTATTATTAAAATTATAGCTTTATTAAAAGGAATTAATAAATAAAGAATTAAATATATTTTTATTTAAATTAAAAACTTTTAATTTAATCTTAATAAATATTAATATAAATATAAAAGTAATAAAAAATAATTAATAAAAAAACTTATTTATTAAACTTAACTTTTAAGAAAGCTTTAATATCTTCTTTTATATTTAAATAAAAGTATAAATACTTATTTACTTAAAAATAAAATATTTTAAAGCTAAGGTTTAAAATTAAAGCTAAAATAAAAGATTTATAATCTTTTAAATTATTTTTAATTAATTTTTAAGGAAAATATTTTTTTAATTTATTTAAATTAATTTTAATAGCTTTAATAAATATTAATAAACATTCTTTTTATTTATATAATTAATATTATATTTCTTTTAAAATAAAATAAAAAGTAATTTATAAAGTTTAGCTTTTATTTATACTTTTTCTTATATTTTTTTATTAAATTCTTTAATTTATTATATATTTAATAAATATATAATAGCTCTTAAGAAAAAGTTATATATAACTTTCCTTATAATTTAATAAAAGGTTTTAAAAAGATTTTAAAAGTTTTTTTAATTTATATGAAAATAAATAATTTAAATATATTAAAAAATATATTTTTATATTTTAAATTTAAAGTATTATTAATTTAGCTTTTATATAATTAATAATAAATAAATAAAGTATATAATTAATTTAATTATAATATAAAAAGTAGGTTATAGCAAAGCTATAGCCTTTCCTTATTTAGCTATAGGCTAGCTATAATGGTTTATACATAAAGCATATAATTACTAGCTAATAGCTAATTAATATTAATTAATAATTACTATTAATAAGATTAATTTAAACCTTATACCTTTAAATTTATATATTGCTTATAGCGTACTTATTGCATAAACATGCTATATATAATGCTTATATATATTATTTTTATATTAGCAATCTTTTATATATACTTTAAAATCATGCTTTTCTTTATAAACTATTTACTTTAAGCTAATTAAATTAATTATTAAGCTAATAAAAATAGGTTATTAAGTTAATTAAGTAATATTGCAATATTTATAAATATTATAAATACCTAAACATTTAAATGCTTAAATTGCTTAATTAAATTATTTATTTAATAATACTTTAAAGCTTTAAAGTATTTAAAATGTTATATTTTAATTAACTTAATTATTATTTTAATAGCTTTTTTTTAATAATTAATGCTAAATATTATTTTTACTTAATAATAATTATTACTTTTGCTTAATAATAAGGCTACTTTTATTTAATAATAAGGCTACTTTTATTTAATAGCAGGGCTACTTTTACTTAATGGCAAGGCTACTTTTGCTTAATAACAAGGCTACTTTTACTTAATAATAAGTGCTACTTTTGCTTAATAATAAGCATTATTGCTATTAAGGTTATTATTATTATTATTAAGGTAAATCTTATAATAATTAATTATAAGGTAAAGAAAAAGGGGAAAATATTTTTATATTACGCTTATAAATTAATAATTAGCTTTTAAATTATTTACTTATAAATAATAGTGCTTAAATGCTATTATTGCTTAGTAAATTAATCTTTATTAGCTTTAAGGTAGTTTATGCTTAAGATTTTATTAAAGGGTATTAATAAAAAGGGCATTAAAAAAAGGAAAGGTTATGCTTATTAATTAAATATTAATTATTATTAAAAAGTAAATATCTTAAAGGTTTAATTAAGTTATTTATATAATTAAATTAATAATAAATATTAATTATTTTCTTTAATAATTTTAAGTTAATTAAGTAAATAAAATAATTATATTAATAGCTTATTTGCTAATTAATACTTTAAAGTATTTAATTAAGAGTATTAATTAAGTGCGTAAATTGCTTAAAAGAAATATTATTTGCTAATACTTTAAAGTATTTAAGTATTTTATATTTTATTAAGTGCTTAAGGGGGTTTTTAAAGAGTTATAAGCCTTAAGGATATTATATAAATGC